AACACAATGCGATTCCACATCGCAGCGCTCTTTCTGGCCTCGCTCTCGTTGGTGTCGCTGACCGAGTCCTCCCCTCTCGTCAACGTCAAGAGGGAGGCCGGAGCTCTCGAGGCTCGTACGGCTCAGGCGTATGGAGCTCCTGCTGCTCTTCACACTTACGTCTCGACGACAAAGACGACGACGACGGTGAAGCCTACTACGACAAAGACTACCACTACCTCGAAGAAGACTACTACCAAGAAGACCTCGACGAAGAAACCTACGACGACCAAGTCTACTACCAAGTCTACGACCAAGTCTACGACCAAGAAGAGCTCGACGAAAAAGGCCTCTACCACTAAAAAGCCTACCACGAAGAAGACCTCCGCAAAGAAAACCACTGCCAAGACTACGGCAAAGACTACCACTACCGCCGTGAGGCCCACCGCCGTTGCGAAGGCCGCTGCTGTTCCCACTTCGAAGACGACCACGACGAAGGCTACTACTACGATTTCGAAGAAGGTGATTACCACGTCTACGAAGCCGACTACCACGTCTACGATTAAGATCACCACTACGACCAAGAAGCCGACTACTACTACGACGAAGAAGACCACTTCCAAGACGACCACCAAGGCGCCTACAACGACGCTGAAGACTACGACGAAGGCTGCTACCACAACTGCGAAGACTACGACGAAGGCTGCTACTACGACTAGTAAGGCTGCTACTACGACATCGAAGGCTGCTACTACGACTAGTAAGGCTGCTACTACGACATCGAAGGCTGCTACTACGACCAGTAAGGCTGCTACTACGACATCGAAGGCTGCTACTACCACCACCAAAGTCTCGACAACCACCTCCAAGGCCGCCTCCACCACCACCAAAGCGACTTCCACTACGTCAAAAGCCTCAACAACCACCTCTCAGAAATACACCGGTCCCACCGCACTCTACACCGGCCCCACCACCGGAAAACGCGGCCTCGCCTGGCCATGGGACAACACCGATCCAGTCTCCCTCTTCTCCACCCCAAAAGTCTCCTGGCTCTACGATTGGTCACCCTCCCCCGTCGCCGCAATTCCCTCCAACATCGAATTCGTCCCAATGCAATGGAACGGCGTCAACATCCAAAACCTGGACGCGATCGTCCAAGAGTACGCGTACGAACATATTCTCGGATTCAATGAGCCCGAGAGGACGGATCAGAGTAATATGAATGCGACGTATGCTGCACAGTTGTGGAAACAATACATGAACCCCTTGTCGAAGAAGTATGGTATCAAACTCGGTGCGCCGGCCATTACGAACGACCCGGAGGGAATTCCGTGGATCGTGGATTTCTTCACCGCGTGTAATGGCTCCTGCATCGTCGATTTCGTGCCGTTGCATTGGTATGGGACGACGCTCGGGTCGCTTTACGACTTTTTCTGGACTGTGTATGGGGCCACTGGAAATCAGTATCCTGTGTGGATTACGGAGTGGGCGTTTACAAATTGGGATACGACGAATCCCATGAACGCTACAGAAGTCGAGCCTTTGATGGAGCAGGCGGTTGCGTACCTTGATTCTGTTTCCATTGTTGAGCGGTATGCATATTTTGGTGCTATGAGGAATACGGGAAGTGTTGGGCCGGCTAGTCAGATGATTGGAAGTAATGGGACGTTGACGTGGTTGGGTCAGCAGTATGTTAATATTTAGATGGATATTTTCTCTTTCTTAGATAGATAATTCTTGCTGCGGATCTCACCAGTTTGCCTAAATTGGATACCTCTGATATACTTTTCTTTCTTTCTACTTTCAATTTCATGGAGCAGTATTGAGTATGAGGCACGGTGATGTGCATGGAGCAGTACGACTGTATATGTCCGGCTAGCAATGACATATGCCGCCGTAATCATTGTATGCTAATCATATCCTTCATAAAAAGAAAAAAGAAAATAAAGTTCAAAGCTTGCCCGTTCTCCTCGCCTCCCTTCACAATTAAATATCCTAATCATACGCTCGATCGTATCACTGCGCAAAAGCTTCCGGCGGGATCGTAGCCCTCACGCTCTCGAAAGTTTGCATCGCAGTCGCCGGATCCCATCCCGATTCTGCCAAACACATCTGTGCAAACTGCATGTTCAAACCCGTCGCTTGCATCAATTGTTGAATCAGAATCGCTTGCTGTTCAGTCTGCAGACACGTATTAGCATAGGTCACGAGAAATAAAGATCATGGGGAACATACCATTCCAGGCGGAAGAACAGGTGCGCCAGGAACAGGCATCGCCGCTGCGGGCGGGGCTGCCTCAGTCGGCATAGCAGGCGTACTCGGGGGAGCGACTTGTCCAACAATCGGTGTCTCTTCCTGCGGCTGCCAGGCGTCGTGGCCACCCCAGGCCCTGACAATCAACGAATCGCTAATGATCTCACAGTCACTTCCAATGGCAGCTGCACGGCTTCCGGGAGCTGCAGCGCCGATGACGAAGGCACGGTCGAAGGAACGTTTACTAAGAGTGGGCTTGGCACCCTTCTTGCCGCTCGCAGGAATTGTCTCGGTGAACTCACCATGCACCATGACTTGGATGGCTCTCGAAGCATCGGTACCCTCGGGTCCGGTGAGACCACCTAGCCAAAAAGCGTCCACACAAAAGAGCGCAGGGTTGGTGAGATCGTGAGATGACTTGGGAAGGAGGTCGAAGATTTTGCCGATGTTTTCCGGTCCGACATGGAGACGGTTTGTTCGTCCTTCGAGAGACGTGATTCGGAGAAGATTGCGGTTTTGTGGTGTGTAGTTGTCCCATTTTCCTACCGTTTTGAAAGCTCCATTGCCAGTAGACTTGCCTTGCGGTGCCTGCACGTTGACCGAGATAGAGAACAATGCTTGAGGGCCATAATAGTTCGTGAGGTCCGCACGGTTGGAGTCCCAGAGTTTGTAAAATGCCCCGACGAACCGATGGACAGTTGAACGAACGAGGTCCTCCTCGAAGCAGTTAGGCGTGATAGGAGCAGGTAGTTGAGGACGCCCATCTGAGGCTTTCGCCTCGGTATCTGGGATGTCGAATGAGATATTAGCGCCCGCAGAAACAACAACCATGCCATCGAGCATCCTCAAGTTGGGGAACCGCCTGACCATCTCGGCACGGTAAAGTTCATCACCGTTTGGTTTTGCGAGTTCGGTCTCAAGAAGAGGATTGCCCTCAAAAACAAGCTCCTGTAGCTCGGGGAACTTGTTCTTTCCCGCCCACGGATCCAAATCGGACCATTTGGCAATGCGGTTGTTTGACAAACTCAAATTCTTGAGTTTGGGGTAAGTTTGAGCAAGAGCTGTAACATTATGCACACTCGGCAACCTGTTGTCCGAAAGATTGACACTCTCAGCATCTGGATGGTGTTTCGTACAGAGCTTCATGAGTGCCGGAAACATCTTGCTTTGTGTGCCTTTGGTAGCAGTGTTGATGCCCAATCCCGCCATGATCGGATCGCTCTCCATGTTGGATAAGTCGAGCAGTTTCGTGTGCTCCTGATAGCGATTGTTCAGAAACGTCAGAAGTCTGTCGAGTGTGTTTTGCGTGTCCTTCGACATTTCTCTGGGTCCGTCCATGGCAGTATCCTCCGGAAGAGTAACCTCAAGCTTATTACCGGCAAAAGAAAACCCATCAAGCCTACCAATCTGCCTGGCAGCAGCGATTCCGCGAACCGTGATCACCATAACGCTATTGTCGTAGCGGATCTAAGAAGGCAATGTCAGCGCTCAAACCAGAAGGTTGATGAAGGAGAATAGTGCATACACCCGAAAAAGCCATGCTACCCTTCCGCTTTACGAAAGCTACGAAGTCGTCCTCGGTACCACCCTCGTATCCCTTGATGCGTACGTCGATCAGGTCGCCCTTGTTGGAGTGGTCGTGAATGCGCGGGGCATTACCGCCTCCTCTGCGACGAGCACCGTACGGGTTGCTGTACGAGAAGACAGAATTAGCATACATTTCATGTAGATAGTTCAGATCAACGCACTGCCTGCGCATTCCGGCACCGCTGTCGCCGCCCATATCGATATCACCCTCCCTATCCTCCCTTACATTCAGGCCGCGGGAAGCACCACGTCCACGACCACCACCCCTACCACCTGAACGAACAGCACCGCCGCCTCTCTGCCAGCGTCCGTCATTCAGGTTGGTCTTTGCGGGGGGCATTTGTTGTGTTGGTGATTGGTGTGTAGTTGGGAGAGCTGAGCGCAGAGGGTGTCGGCGTGATGCATATGATTCCTCTCAAACTTGAGAGCCGCCTGACCTCATACACAGCCTAATTCTATAATAGATAGAACCTCGTAGAATTCTTGGAAATACTTCTGGAGAGGATTTACCGTATGCTGAAGAACATGGTTTGGGCAATTTACGTCGCGAAGGGGTCCCTGCTGTAGATTGCCGTGCACCGGGAAACGCGTTACCCGCGGGCACGGGAAGTATCGCGACTGGTTTTCGGCTGCTATACAGTCTTGTTGACGCTGAGAATCTTCGCCAACATGCCTTCAATGCCCGTCGTCGTCTACAACTTGCGGATCATCCATCCTTCGGGCAGTTCAAGCTGCGTAGCTCTTCCGTCCTCCCGCAACGAGTACTCGATCGCCTCCGATCCGCTGGATGGGTCCTACTTCCTACGCGGAGAAGGCGATAAACATGGGGAACTTCTCGCCGAAATCTATAGGGAGAGGGACGCCGAACAAGACGACTTCTGCTTCTTCTTCTCTCTTTATCACGGCGAGGCGAGCATCGTCCTAGATGCCCTTAACGGCGGTCAGAAGAGAAGAAGAGTACCAACAAGTGATCCTGATGGGAAGGAGAAGCTGGTAGCATTCGATGATTCAGATGTACGCTGACCACTCCTACCCTTATGACAAAGTCTCACGGTCTATGCAGATAATATTCCTCGGCGAGAACCGTCTGGTCCTGGAAGCTTTGATTCCCTCTTCAGCGCGACCTGATGAGCTTCCGGAAGAGGACGACGGCGAATCGCAGCAGATTCCATTCTCGACGGCTCCCGAAAACGACCCGCCACAGCTGCCCCGGCCAGCACTACCACTGGACTCCTCAGTTACGGCGGCAGAAAGTACTCAACCATGGGTAAAGCCGGCTTATGACGTACCTGCGACCGAACCAGATCAAGATGACACACAAGTTGTCCCTTCAAGCATGCACGTCGATGAAGAGCTCGCCCTTCGCGCAGCATCATCACCGGCAGCACCACCAGAAGACGACGAGGACGAAGCACCGGAACCGATTCACTATGATCCTGATGTTCCGATGAATGAGGATGACGAACTGGACGCTGCTACGCGTGACGAGGAAGCGGCGAGAATCAGGAGTCAGGCGAGAGATGAGGAGGCTTTGATGTTCTTGAAACCGGAGGTACCGGAGAGGGAATACGTTGAGGAGGATATAGTGGTCAAGCATGTACCGGGACTTCCAAAAGGAGAGACGACTGTGGATGAGACGCAGGACACCTCGGGATCAGCTGCTGTTCAGAATGCACCGCATGGGCTTGCGAATGGCGCTGACAAGGAGCAGCAGTTTGAGGAACCCAAAGCTGACGTGAAAATGGAGGAGGCTGTACCAGCGGCGGAAAAAGATGATGACACACCAACATCGCCCTTGACTCCTCCGCCTCCATCTTCCGCCGTACAACCGGAGCAGCCATTTGGTGAACCAGATCCAGCGACTCTACCCGAAGCCTTCCGCGAACCAAGTTCTCCAGAACGGCATAGGGGCAAGACCTACTCAGCGCGCAAGCGTCGAAAGCTTGATAGTGACGAAGAAGAGGCTCGACCAAAGACTGCGGAGAAGAATCTTGGTGATACGCAGTACAGTATGCCCGATGAGGAAGAAGACTTGAAGGTTAGAAGCGTGAGGAAAACACCTGCGCGTAATGTCGCCGCTGCATCTGCCAGTGAGAAGAAGGCTGCGAGTACCGCTAAGAAACCAAGAACATCGCAGGCGCAACAAGATGTGGAGACGCCTAGTCGCCCTGGGCGGAAGCGGGGAGTCTTGAGTCCTCCGACGACATCTTTACCAGGGGCGTCATATGAAGGGAAGCCGCCGAGAATCGTCCTGAGTTCGTCGGATGTCGATCACGAAAAGGAAGTAAAGTCCTTCTTGGCGAGTTCTGCGGCAAAGATCGTGGATGACATTTCTGCTGCTGCGTCTACACATCTCGTTGTGGGTGGGGACGGGTTGAAGCGGACGAGTAAACTCGTCGTGGCAATAGCTCTAGGGAAGCCTGTCGTGCATGAAAACTGGTTGAGAGAAAGCGCAAAGGCGGGACATCTACTTGACATCACATCCTTCCTGGCAAGAGACGAGGAGCGGGAAAGGGATTGGGCCTGTGACCTCAGTCGCGCTGCGGGTAAGCCAAGGACGGTGCTGGACGAGCACACCGTCTACTTTACTCCGGCATTGTTGAAAAGCCTTAAAGCATCTGGCGCTGAGGGAGGAGTAGTGCAGATTATCAAGGCAGCGGGCGGTACGTCTGTTCGCAAACCACCAGCGAAATCACAAAACCCCTCCGAGAACGAGCTTATGCTTGGGAGCGAAAAAGACGATGAGGACGTCAAAACTTGGAATGAGCATGGATGGACGCTTTACAGACAGGAATTGGTTATCCTAGGGGTTCTGAGAGGGAAATTGGAGCTGGAGAATGATGAGTTTGTCATCAAGAGCGGCGACGCAACAGGGAGCGAGGCTGGTACTGCAAGCCAACGGAGTGGAAGAGGAAGCAGACGGTCTACCAGGAGTACCTGATCAGGTCATCGGTGTACGATATGAAGTTGGTATTCCGAGGAGGGTATTCAGATAGTAGCGGAATCGCATCGTCCGAGATAAAGGTGATGATCCACCGCAGGTGTCAAGCATAGACCTTCCCCATCAACATGGAACCCAAGCTGCCGGTAACTGATGAAATACATCTGCGACTCTGCCCACGCAATTTATGCCAAGTTCCAAGGTTCATTCGCAATTTCCACCTGACTCTGGTTGCTATCTGGGGTGCGGCGATGCGCGGCTTCACCCCCGCGGCCGGCCCCGGCAATGCGAGAACCCCCACCAACGCAGGACGACGACGGTTGAACGGCCAAGACTGAGGACGACAAAGAAACCCACATCGATGCTCATGGGAGGCAAAAGTTCGTTGCCGAGCACGCGTTTTCTGATCTTTTCTCGCTTTTTCGCATTCGGTTTCCCTTTGACTTGGACCGCCATGCACTGACGACCTTTAGATTGCACGCTCGGATCGCCTGAGCAAGATGTGGTATCGCCGAACAAGGGCTTAACAAGAGCGAAATCGACTGGAAAAAGTGTAAGACTCACTTTGAAACAACCACGAGAGTCGTCCAGTTGGATCCCATGACAGCATTGAGTGGCTAAGGCGACGGCCGTTGCTACCGGCGGATAGCCCCCTTATAGAGCCGTGTCGTCCACCCCTTTTCCCGACGACGTCCGTCCTCAACCATCGAGAACCCTCCCTACGAGGTTTTCACTTTCTTTCGTTTCGATATTCCTTTAGGTGCCTTCAACCTCGCCAATTTGACTCTATTTTCGTCCCAGCGTCAGCTCTGACAACCTTCGGTTCGGCACGGTGAGCTTCACTTTGACAGTGTAGCTTCTCGGTCGTCCATCGCACTCGTTACAGTCTTTTTCAGCTTTTTACTGGTACTTTGGTGCCGTCCATTCGCTCTTTTTCATTTCCAATTTTCTCAGCTCAGGAGTCCTCCTCGCACGGACTCAATACAATCCACCGCCTCGTTCTATTAGAGCCAAGAACCATGGCATACTACTCCGTGCAAGAGCAAGACCGCCTCTTGCAATCACCTCCGGTCCCCTCCAACAACCCTCAGCCTCCTCAACACCTCCCTTCAACCTTCATCCCTCCGCCGTACTATCACAACCCTATCGAATCACCCACGCCTCCACCTTTCATCCGTCAGGCTTCAACCCCTTTTACGCCTGTCGGCCCTATCTCCAGTCATCCTTTAGGAGAACAACCGGGAGTTACGGATTACTTCATGTTGACTCCGCCGTCTCCAATGCGTCGCACGCACTCCTTTTCTGTCGAAATGCTCGGACAAATGCGTGCGCCATTCATCAGCCTCTCCTTGCCTGCTCTTCCCGGCACGGCTCCGGCGCCAAGGGTTTCTCAGGAGCCGTTCCAGTTCAACTCACCTCCCAGTTTGTTCTCGCCTCCGGAGCCCTATGCTGCTCTCTCCTCTTACACCCTCGAAGCTGCCTCGCAATTTAGTTATGGCACGATGGGCACCTTCCTGTCCTCGCCTACTGAGGAATTTCTCTCTCCGCGCTCCCATCACTCTATGCACTCTGCGCCTGTGACTCCTGAGGAGCCTCAGATGGGTTTCTTTAGGTGTGCCTCTACGCCTGCTGGCGCTGGTTTGGGATTCCTCAATGTACCCACTTGCGACCCATCTGTTTTGAGCATGAGTGTTGCGAGTTCGAGGTCTTCATCCATCTCGGAGCCCGACGGTGCTTCGTACACATCCGTATCTGCGCACGAGCCTATGCACTGTGACCCAAGTGCGATTGAAGAGAAAGTGCAAGAAGCATTCGCTTTGGATGATGATACGGAGCTCGAGTCTGAGGACAGTGACGAGGAGGAGGTTGATGCGGCGCCAGAATTACCGAACGCGGGACTCGTCCAAGTCTTGGACGAACTCGAAGCTTGCGTGGAAAGCAGTGAGGAGGTTCACCAAATGATGAGTGCCGCGGAGAGTGATGCTGAGAGCGTCCATGAAGATGCCAAGGATTCTGACTACGACGAGGGTTGTGGTTTTAACGGCCGTTCTCCTCAGCGACGCCGCAAGGAGGCGAGCACTGCGTCCTCCGTCAGCGCAATGGATACTCCCACCTCGATGGATGACTGGCAGCCGCGTAGTCCATCGATCACTCCGGGACGTCGCTTCAGGATCAAGCGTGGCATATCTATTGCCCCGCCTGTGCCGACGGACTCCTCCACCCCGAAGCGCGGTCGTGTTCCCAAGGCCTCTCCCAGGAAACTCATCTACCCCGTCTCCCCTCAATCTCCTGGTACGACTCTTGAAACGCATGATCCGGATGCAAACCCTATCGTTGAGACGAACGACAAGAACTTCACTTGCACCCTCTGTAAGAAGGGCTTCCGTCGTATGGAGCACCTGAAGCGCCACGTGCGCTCTTTGCACACGATGGAGAAGCCGTACGAATGCTATATCTGCAAGAAGCACTTTTCGAGGAGTGATAACTTGACGCAGCATATGCGCGTTCACGGCATCGGAGACGTGCCGAGTAAAAAGATTGCGGTCGTTATCCCCAAGGTTACAAAGTCTGGCTCTTCCAGGAGGGGAAGGAAGATGAAGGTGTAAGAAACAGTGGTGTATACAAGTATCGGTATGTTATATTGGCGTTCAGGATATTGCTTTCGAACTACACGTGGGGTAATGGAGGAAGTCTCTGCTTGCTGGCCTTGCGGATTGCTAAAAGACGGACGGACGATTTATGGACATTTACACATATATATTTGGTTGGGGCGAACTTGATACCGGTCCCATTAGACTCGGGCACTTCTATCTTCTACATAATCAATCTTTACTATTTCTGAACGATATAAACGCCGCCATCTCTTGTTAGCTGAACATGAGTAGAGGCGGATGGATGCCTTGAAGGAAGGTCTCCTCGAAGGTCTGATACCGCACAGACGCCGGAGTTCCCACGTCAAAAAGGCCGGTGGACAAAAGGTATGTTCCGTTACGGGGAATCGAACCCCGGCCTCTTCGGTGAGAGCGAAGTATCCTAGCCCCTAGACCATAACGGATGGTTTTGTCTGTTTGTTGACAAACAAACAACAGATAAAAAATACAATTTTGCCGCTGTCCCTATGTTTCGAAAGTACGCAGTCAAGAGATGAGTGCTTACAAGCTTGTCGATAAAATGATCTGAACGTAAAGTGGTACAGTCATGGCGCCAACGAGTGTCGTTGGCAATTCCCTGATACACATTCTTTCCCACGGTTGCATCTGCGCTCCCACTGATTTTAAGGCTTCAGAAGGACCAGAAAAAGGCGTTCGCAAGAATTCAGATGCAGCAGCCTCATCGCATATGCATGGGTCAACTTGGTGATATGGCTCTATCGTGGGGCATACTGGTGAACCTGCCATCTTCCACTCAGGTCATCGCGTGCAGACTTAGCAGGTTCTGTGGATCGTCAACGCACCGTCCACAACTCTGTCGGTGCATGACCCTCGCAGTCATCGCGACTCATTTGGAGTAACAGGTGGAACAAGATCCTGCAAAAGTGGCTGCTGCGGAAGAGCGACAAACAACACACCAGCGTGGGCCTGCGAGCGGTGACAAAAAAGCGTTCCGTTACGGGGAATCGAACCCCGGCCTCTTCGGTGAGAGCGAAGTATCCTAGCCCCTAGACCATAACGGATTGGATACACGAATTTTGCCACACTCTTTTATAGCCAACAAAATATTGACAGCGATTATATAACCAGGCTCCCCGCAGTACGTCGTCCCAATCCGAGATCATCCTTCGGTTTTGCTATCAGCAGTTATCATGTCGACGAACATCAAGATCGTTCTGTCGCCAATGCAGAAGTATGCGGTCAAACCGACGCCGAAAACTTCTCTCTATTCGCTTCTCGTTCAAGCATGCTGGCTGACGAAGGGGCTCAAGAAGTGATGAATGCTCAAGTGGTTGTAATTGTGTGCATCTCTCTGTAATAGGCTTGCATGGCGTTGGTATATCTTAGCTTTTCAATCCTAATACCATGATTCCCGTGTCAGATCGGTTCAAGCGACAGTTTGTGATTCCCTGTAACTTGTGGTCATTTTGCTGTGCCTTTTCCGTACGCCTCACCGCTAAGTAGGATTCAGAAGCGATCATGGTAGATAGATCAGGGTCCCTTCCGGCGTCCCGGGGTCAATTGTTTTCCTTTCCCTTCCTTTTCCATCACCTTGCTCGCCTACTCCTCATACCCACCTCTCCTTCTTCCTCATCATCTCTTGGTCTCTTGACACCATGCGGCGCCGATACGTCTCCTTGCTGAGCCAGCGCTGCAACCACTTGCAGCATCTTATACCTCATGTCCAACTGGACTGTTGCGTCGCTCTTCAGCTGTGCATAAACAATCCTCAGCTCCTTCCCGAGGAATTCCTGTCCTTGTAATGCGCGCATAGCTGTTGTTGCGGAAAGAACGTCCCAGAAGACTATATGTGCTTGTCCGTGCAGCTTTTTTGTCTTCAGCGCTACGCCGTCTGGCGTGCGCCGTATGTTGAGAACAGGCAGTAGAAACATAATTGGAGATCATCCTGCAATCTGGGTTGGTATATGAAAAGTAACAGCCTAACGGACAGACGGCGCAACGAATCACGGATTGAGGATCGCCTTATAGATCCATAACCTCTTGACGTGACTGTCCAGGTACTTGATGTACAGTGTTGGTGATGGTGATGAAGACATGGTGATGCACTGCTCAAATGACTGATGACGATGAAAGAGGTTGCTGAAGCGAAAGCAAAAGTACACTGATGCCGGTAGGAGCCGGCACAATTGGCATTCGTGTGGATGTTCGAGGTCAAGTTGGAGTACTCGTATCGCGTTCGTGGTGGAGATGTTCAACTTCTACTATTGCAGCTTGTTCTGATGTGTCTTATGCCACCGAACACCAGTCAATCCGTTATGGTCTAGGGGCTAGGATACTTCGCTCTCACCGAAGAGGCCGGGGTTCGATTCCCCGTAACGGAACACACCTTTTGTCCACCGGCCTTTTTGACGTCTGCTTCCCGTCATCCCATGATGGCTCGAAGAAACGTTCTGCTTACGCATTTTACATGGTGCAACAGCAAGTGCAAGTAAGCGCTGAGTGAACTCAAGAGAGTAGAAACAATCAAGTTTGGTATTATCAAACATCATCCATCAAAATAAAAGCAAGTCCATCAACCAAAAGAACATCCACGAACAAAAACGTATATGTCAAGAATATTCCCGAAAGAAAAACTTTCCTTCCTTCCACTGTCTATCCCCGAATGTCTAGCGTTTAGAGGGCGAAGGCAACAGCAGCCAAACCAGCCATCAAGGCAGCAGCGACACCAACGGGGTTGGTGGCGGCTCCGCTGTGGAAGACGGCCATGGTGGTGCTGTTGAAGGTGCTGTTACCGTGGGTGGCGAGGGTGGTGGAGTTGGAGGAGGAGCCGGCGACGGCAGCAGCGGAGAATCCGGAGGAGGAAGTGGATGCGGTACCGTTCCAGTTCTTGGCTCCAGCAGCGGCAGAGGCGGTAGTGGAGGCAGCACCAATAGCGCGACTAGCAGAGGGTCCAGCGACATAGATGGTGTTGGTCAAGGTGGCGGTAAGGGTCTTCTTGACACCGTTGCTAGTAGTGGTCTTCGTCTCGGTAATGACCTGGACACCGGCAGGCGAACCAGTGCCCTTGCCAGCAGCAGGAGCGCAAACGGTGGCAACAAGGTTGACAGGGGTAGGGATGGCGAAGGTCACAGTAGAGGTAACACCAGGGACGGAAACAGTCTTGGTCTGAGCAGCCGCAGAGACAGTCACGGTCTTCTCAACGTAGACGGTACCGGAGGAGGTAACCGTGGAAGCTGGCAAGGTCTTGTAGACAGTAGAGGCGGTGGCAGCAGCCGCAGAGGAAGAGGGGGTGGTCTCGGTGGTGTCAACGCAGTTCGGGTCGGAGATGATGGTGAACTTGCCAGACTGGGCGTAGATGACATAGGTGTTCGTTCCGTTGTCGAGGTTGATTTGGTATCCGTAGCCAGCAGAAACATCGCAGGGAATCTTGACGTTAGCACCACCAGAGGTAGTGTTGACGTCCAACTCAAGAGGCAAGTTCTGTGGAGGCCAGGAGAGAAAGTTGACGAGGTAGACGGAGGCGAGGGAAGGGTCAGTGTCGACGTAGCTCCACTTGACCGGGAGGGTCTGGCCGGTGGTGACAGTGGAGTTGGCGACGGGAGAGATGATTTGGAGGGCGTTGGCGGCGGAGGCCAAGGCGGCGAGGGCGGCGAGGATGGTGGTCTTCATTGTGATTATCGTTTAACGTGTGTGAAAGAGAGTGTAATCCTGTAGAGGCTGTGTGTTCGAACGAATGTGGATGATTGGAAAGACAGGCGAACTGACGAACCGAGAGAAGGGGAGCGACGGCCTTTTAAACTCTTCATCTAGGCGATCACTATGGAGGACGGCGCAAGTGAAGAATGCTCCTGTTTCGCTGGGTGCGGGTCGGCTGTTGGAGGTTAAACACCTCTGTCATCTCGATCAGCGATGAATCGTCGTTATATTGCGAGGGAGGTCTTCGTAAATTGCATCGGCAACGCACGGACCATGCTTTGTGATGCCAAATGCGGATTCAGGAGATAAAGGAGAAGAAAAGAGATTTGCGATTGGAGTCAGAAGATGGATTTGTTGTCTTGGTGTCTGTTCTTGAGGATGTATGCTGTTTCGTTTGTCGCGAGCTGCAGAGTACTTTACTGCACGGGCACTCAGCACACAAACCCTTGCAACGGAGAATGCGCACAGGCCGTGTGCTTGTTTCCGGAAAAATGCAAACAGCCATGAGCACGTAAACAGCTCAAGCAGCTGACCTAGGAGAGGACTGGATCTGCGTCGGAAGCTTCAGGGATCGCCCGTCGCGTAACTCGCTCGATTTTCCCAACCTTTCCACGACACGGCCCGTTCTTGTTCACGAGCATACATCCCCTACGTTTTGGAAGCTCGGTGTTTGCAAGGTACGAAGCCTAGACGTTGCGGGCTGGAGAACAGGGAAAGTGCAACCTTAAGCCGGGCACTAGCAACGGGATCTTGCAGGGTAGGGGATACGAGGAATGCTGGCCGTGGAGATCAAGGCAGTGGTGGTGAAGCAGGCTCGTCGGAGGGGAACAGTCTTGGTCTGAGCAGGCGCAGAGACAGTCACGGTCTCATCATCGCTTACTCCAGTCTCGTCCTACTCGCTGCCCGGTGTGTCGCGGGTCCAGGTGCAGCCACGCTATCATGATTAACTGGACGACGAAAAGAAGCTTAAATCCTTAGCCGAATAAAAAGAATCAGGGTTTGCCGTAAACACAAACACAAACAACCACCAACCAGCTCAACGACCATGTCGAGTACTGCGACGAGTGATAGCTCGTCGGGCGGGACTTCGCTGTCCGCGTGGTTGACCACCTTCATCCCGTCTGCTGCCGTTTTCGCAATTGAAATCGGCCTGTTCTTCTACCTCCGCCGCATTTACAAGCGCATTTATGAGCCCAAGTCCGTGGTGGACACTCAGAGGAAGGTCGGCAGCCCGCCTGCCACTTTTATGGGTGTTTTGAAGGAACTGCTCAAGTCGCAGACCTTGGAGGATACCATTCAAACCGCCGGATTGGACGCATATTTCTTCTTGAGGTGGGTCTCCTGACAGCGCCGCGCAACGACTGTATGCTAACAACTGTGCGACAGGTTCGTCCGTCTCATCGTCTTTATCTTTGGCGCTTCAATGCTCCTCGTTTGGCCCATTCTTATGCCCATCAATGCCGTTGATGGTAAGGGCAACAAGGGTCTCGACATGCTTGCCTACTCCAATGTCGGTCTCAACCACACCTCTCGCTATTGGGCTCACTGGGTCCTCGCCTGGCTCTTCATCGGATTCGTTCTCTACATGTTCTACCGCGAGCTCGTTCACTACAAGAACACTCGCTTCGCCTGGCTCAGGAGTCGTGAGCACAGCGGTTTAGCGAGCGCTAGGACGCTTTTGGTGACCAATGTTCCGGATGAATTGTCGACCGAGGAGAAGATCAAGGAAAGATTCGGGCAAGACAAGGTTAAGAAGGTCTTCCTTGTTCGCGATATGACCAAGCTCTTGGATGACGTCCAGACTAGGGACAAGAACGCCGCCAAGTTGGAAACGTCTGTCAGCAGCCTCATCAAGATGGCGCTCAAAAACGCCCGCAAGAACAAGAATATCAAGGGTGTCGATGCCGAGTCTGGTCGCATTGCTGACCGTTACGTTCCCGCAAAGAAGTACCCTACCCATCGTCTCCCTGTATGGAAGATCCCCTTCGCTCTTCCCTTGATTGGAAAGAAAGTCAATTCCATCGACTACTGCACTGAGGAGCTCGCTCGTCTCAACCCCGAGATCGCCGAGGGTCAGCAGCGCGAAGATTCCTACGAGCTTATCGGAGCTGCTTTCATCGAGTTTCACCGTCAGGCTGACATGCACCGTACCTTCTTCGAGCTCTCCGGTCGCAAGGTTGCCACCAGCATCTTGCCTCCCTCGCACCTCGAGACTGACCCGCGTGACATCGTTTGGTCCAACCTCGGTCCATCCCCTCATGTTCTTTTCGTGAAAAAGATTGTCGCGTACGGTGCTATCTGCTGGTTGATTGTCTTCTTCGCCATCCCCGTTGCGTTCGTCGGTTCGATCTCCAACTTGACGTACTTGACCAACAAGGCACCATGGTTGAACTTTATCTACAAATTGCCATCCGCTCTCCTCGGTTTGATCACTGGTCTTTTGCCTTCGGTTATGTTGGCCGTCTTGATGGCTTTGGTTCCCGTTTTCATGAGGCTTGCTGCAAAGATTGGTGGTGCGAAGACGTATACCGCGGTTGAGTTGACTACGCAAAAGATGTACTTTGCATTCTTGCTCATTCAGGAATTTTTGGTCGTCGCCATCGCTTCGTCTGCCACGGCCATGGGTACGCAGATCGCTCAGGATCCATCCAGTGCTTCCGCTATTGTTGCGGAGCAATTGCCCAAGTCCAGTAACTTTTACTTTTCCTACTTTGTCTTGCAGGGTCTTACCATCGCCGCCGGTCGTCTCTTGCAGATTGTTGCGTTGCTTTTGTTCTTCGTGTTCAACAAGTTCCTTGACAACACCCCCAGGAAGAAGTGGAACAGGTGGAACTTGCTTGGTGGAAGGCAGTGGGGTACTGAATACCCTGCCTTTACCAACTTGGCGCTCATTGCTTTCACCTACTCGATCGTGACTCCGTTCATCATGTTCATTGTCGTCTTGACCTTCGGTTTGTTCTACCTCGCATACCTCTACAACTTGAGGTACGTTTGGGAGTTCCGCCTCGACAGTGGTGGTCTTTTCTTCCCTGTCGCCATTGATCAAGTTATGGGTGGTATTTACTTGCTTGAGGTCCTCTTCATTGGCTTGTTCTTTGCTGCTCGTGATGCGCAGAACAACCTCTGTGCCATCCCTCAGGCTGTCTTGATGATCGTGGCTTTAGTCATTACCGCCTTGTTCCACATCTGGCTCAAGTGGAAGCTTAAGCCCTTCGAGGAGACTTTGCCCCGTGACGAGGTTTTCGCCGAGTCCGACCACCCCTTCTCCGACGCTCACAAGATTCCCTCCGTTGAGGGTGCTGTCGTTCCTGACACCGCTGCTCAGGGCTTCGACGGTGAGATCATGTCTGAGGGGTACAAGAACGAGGCTCTCCGTGCTTTCCCTCCCACGATCTGGATTCCCAAGGACCATCTCGGTATCGGTGAGGATGAGGCTAGGAGGATCACGGACAGGCAGGTCGAAGCGAGCTACGAGCACGCAGAAATTGCCGAGAAGGGTGATATCTCTGTTGATGGAAGGCCTCCGGACTACCAGGAGATTGACTTTACTCGTCGTTGATGGGGAGGAAATGGGAGTATCGTATACCGGATATCACGATAGTGGACGTGATCTAATATAGCACGATTAGTCTCTCTTTACAATAGTTAGGTATATGAGGATAGTATATAATACGATCTTTGGATAATATGATCTCTCCCGGCACATCGGTCGTTTGCGTCATGCGCAGATCCAGTTCAAGCGCTTCTGGAAGCCATAACACTACACCAACGGCAAGTGAAGACCGGAAATGTCGTCGATATCCAAGAGGCAGGATGCGAAGAATCAGCAGTTCTTGCGCTCCTTGATCCAGTTGCCTGCCAATTCTACGTGCGCCGATTGTCGCAATCCGAACCCGCTGTGGGCATCATGGTCGCTCGGATGCTTCCTCTGCATGAGATGTGCCGGTCTTCATCGCAAGATGGGTACTCACATCTCTAAAGTGAAATCAATTTCATTAGATACATGGACGCCCGAGCAGCTGAACAACATGAAGGAGCTTGGTAACGAGAAGAGTAACGCGATCTGGAATCCAGATGGGAAGGCACCACCATATGCGGACGAAGGAGACGATTCGGCGATTGAGAGATATATCAGGGACAAGTATGAAAAGGGAAAGTTCAGGCGGGATCGACAAAGTCCTTTGGCGACAGAGATGAGCGGAGTACCGTATGGTGAGGAGTCAAGACCGTCCAGAATGCCGCCGTCAAGAGAGGCCTTTTCGGATAATGTTCCACCGAGGCAAGCTTCCCAACGGGCACCGACTACGGTCACCGCACCGGCTGCTCAGACCCAGCAGGCGAAGGCTACCGGCCCGGGGTGGGGTCCTAAATTGCTGGCGCTGAAGAGTGCTGGATTCCCAAATCCAAGGCAGAATCTGGATGCGCTCAAGATGTACGATGGAGATGTTGAAAGGGCAAAGGCGTACTTGTCGGGAGGGCAGCCAAGTCCCGTTACCGCTCAAGCGTCAACGAACCCCTTTGCCGACCAGACTGCGGTTTCAGCTCCGGTCAGCAACAACCCCTTTCCTTCGCAGCGTGTGACGACAAACCCATCAGATCCGTTCCCATCTCAACCTACTGGGTCTACGGTTGCTTCAAGTTCCTCAGACCTGTTCAGTGCCTTCGCTTCGTCAGCACCGTCCACCACGACGACAGCAAGCAATCCTTTCCAAAGTTCAAATCCGTTCCCTTCACAAGCAAACCAACTAGCACCGCCCGTGTCGGATAAGAAATCCGCGATCTTGTCTCTCTACAATCAGGCGCCCGCGCAGCCTATGTACGGCTATCCACCACAGCAGCAACAACAGCAGATGTATGCCGCACCCCAGCAGGCATACGGACAGATGCAGCAACCGATGGGGCAGAATCCCTTTGGTCAGATGGCGGGGATGAATATGCATCCACAGCAGCCGCTGCCTCAGCAGGGTGGACAGCCATGGTATGCCCAGCCTCAACAGCAGATGGGAGGTGCTCCGCAGCAGCAATGGGGACAGTACGGAGGACAGCAGCAGCAGCAACAACAACAGCAGGGTGGACAGCAAGGACCTTTCTTCTAACATAGGTAGGATAGCGATAGCGACTTGATATTCATGATACCATTGATTTAATCATTATATACCGGTACCCAACCATTTAATACGAGCATGACGCACGGATGCAGATGCTTCTGCAGTGTACGAAGCTTAATCCTATCCGCAGCCAAACAACAACGAGCGACAATTTATTGCAATGGCATCCTCGATTCCGAAGAACTATGTTGAAATCAACTCCAAGATTGAAGTGAAGCAGGTGCGTCGGTGCGTTGTGTCTGCAAAGTCTGTACTGACTACCTGCAAAGTGCGAGGTCCTGAACGCAACTTCACCAGCGGCGCTCAAGTCAATTCTCGAGAACACCGGTACTCCACTCGAGTCAGACGTCGATGAGCAGCTCCTGATTCACATTCCTTTCCAAAATGCCGTCAAAGTACACACTATCGTGCTCAAGACAGCGGCAGCACACAAGGACCGTGCGCCAAACTCCATCAGAGTTTACGCCAATTTGCCGCACACTCCATCTTTCGACGACGTGGACAACATCACCGCTGCGCACATTGTCTCACCCGACGATGTTGAATATGTGGAGGAGAAGGGCAAGGGGTTAAAGGCAACGGTGGGATTGCGATTCGTCAAGTTTCAGAATGTGAACACCCTCACCATGTTCGTTGAGGGTAATGTTGGCGATGAGGAGAGTACGCGATTGGACGGTCTGACTATCATCGGTGACGCTGGAGAGACGACCGAGATGAAGGTATCTATATGCGCGGTCCAGGAGGAAGGTGAATGCTGACGCAGAGATATAGGACCTGAAGAAGATTGGAGATGAGGAGGCTCTTGCTGCACCCCCGCAGAAGGCATAGAGGCGTGGAGAGGGTATACTGGCAAGAGATGTGGTGAACTTAATAAAGCACAGTTCTCGGAGATGCAACTGGCGGATGGCTGCTCAAGCGACTTGAAAAAGAAGGACATCTGTATACCAATGGCAGGCATAAACAAGAGAATTTACCGCGTTCTTCAGATCTAAACAATATTCTGACCATTCTCGAGAACAGTTAATCGGTCATTGATGATGATCTCTGAGCTTAGGCCCTTAATTTCGCACGTACGCGTACAGTGCGAGCTCCAACACCTGTGACCCAGTTGACCCAGTTGACCCCCTTGGTTACTCTGGTCTTTCTTCTTTAAGCACTGGACGATGTCGAAAAAAGGGTTGTCTGCCGCCGAGAAGGCTACCCGTATGCAAGAAATCTTTCACGAGAGTGTATGTCGCTCACCAGTGTTCTTCGTTGTTCGTGGTTCTTGAACTAACAAGGAGAACAGCAAGAGTTCTACCAATACAAGGAGATCGAGAAAATCGCGTCTAACAAGAAGAAGATTGTGGCGATGACGGTCAAGGAGGTGTTGCAAGGCTTAGTTGACGACGGGTTGGTCAAGAGTGAGAAGATTGGTACATCGTACGCATTCATGTCTCTGAACTTCGGGTTGTATGCTAACTTCGTGTCACTGTAGCATTTACTACTGGTCTTTTCCCTCAGACTCTCATCACCTCCGTTCGCAGCGCATTGCCGCACTCGAGAACGAGCTTGTGACTTTGGAGACAGTTCAATCGTCGTTGACCAACAATCTTGAACTCGAGAAGGCCGAACGCGTCGAAAGTGAAGAGCGTCGTGCTTTGTTAAAGGAGGTGAAGGCTTGTGAGGAGCAGGTAAAGGCAATGAAAGATGAGTTGGGTCGCTATACGGAGAATGACCCTGTCCTTCTGGAGGCAAAACGCAAGTGAACCTTCCTGTTCAGGACATAAGCAAGCTAACTCTCCACAGGTGCTGCGGCAAACAGCGCAAGACAAGCTGCAAATATGTGGACAGACAACATCTTCATCCTCCAGCAGTACTTGAGGGATCAAATGGGTATGGGAGCAGAAGAGCTCGAACAGATGATGCAGCAGAACGGAGTTCCGTTAGACCTGGACTCTCTCTAAAGCTGTTGTGCTAGTTTAACTGTCAAGGATATATACGATGGTATACAGATTGCATGTTGCTCGGGTTTTGATGTTGGCAGCTGGTGGAGGTGGGTTGCGTCCTTGGGTTTTTCACACGGTGGGTCCAATAGTGACTGACTCGCCCAGCTGGAGATTGAGTGCTCAGTGTCGAATGGAACCCTTCGTAGCTCTTAAAATCAACAGGCCAAACACCTATGACAAACGTCCAGAAGAACCATGGTGCCAATCCCGGTCTGTTACTTTTTATAGAACAAAGTAAAGTTTGCGGCGCTCACGCGCAACGGTACCCGTGCCTCAACTGGCTCCGAGCCGCAGTGTGCGCATTCAACCAGGAATGAACCTCCAAGGAGTGAAAGCTTGAAGAAGAGGGAGACGCTCAGTCATGCCGCCATCACTACGGCCGCAGGCCATGTCTCGATCGAGCTCAGTGTCATCCGTTTCCTCCACTCATTCGGCGCATACAACCGGCGGATCAGCTGCGTCGTCAAATGTTACGTTAAGGTCCATCCTTCCGCCTTTTCGACGGGCTGTATCGAACCTTCTCAATGGACCGACGGACTTCTACATCAGGCTCGCGGAACCTCATCGAATCAGCTTCTCGCCGGGCGAGGTGGTACGTGGAGAGGTGATCATTGGGGTCGCGCGAGCTCTGAAGGCATTAAGCTTGAAACTGCGGTTTGCCGGTAAAGTGAAGATCAATGGGTTGTTGCGTGGAGTGGAGTGTGCGAGCATTTTTGAGGGCGATGAAATCGTATTACTGGGAGAGCGAAGACCGGCTGGATCATCAATGGGCCTGTTACGACGGAAATCATCAGATGCACCGGAAAGGACGGATACGGACTGGGTACCAAAGTTGCTGGAGGAAGGCGAGCATGTATTTTCTTTCGAAGTCACTCTTCCCGCGCGGAACCTACCAACGTCGCTCGACTTTGGTAAAGGCAGCATTATGTACATGATCACGGCGGATCTGCGATTACCATGGTCAATCGCGAAACATCGGTTACAGGCACGACGAACCATTCCTGTGAGAGATTTGATCGACATTGCGGACGTTCCGATACCGAAGCCAAAGAAAGTAACTTTTTCCATATCACCAGGCTCGCTACCAGCAGACGGAAAAGGGGCACGAATAGAAGCATTGATTGAGTTGGACAGAGCTGGAGTATTGAAGGGTGACACGCTTGGTTTATCGGTACGAGTGCATCACGTCCGACCAATTAAGACGCTGAGAGGTGTGATTGTTACGCTCTACAGATTGTCACGCGTCTATTCGGGACATTCGCATCATTCAGCTTCAGACCTCACATTTAGGAAGGACTTGGTCCAAAGCGTGCATCCCCTCCTGTGTGACCCTAGGTCGCTCAGCTGTGTGGTATTCCCTCGGCTACGGATTCCCACAGATGCATTCCCAACGATCCAGTCCGCCGGTCGGGCCGCTTCATTCCGTTATTTCGTGGAAGTGCTGGTGGATTTGAGCGGGAAAACGACGGTATGGCAAGGAGGAAACAACGTGGGTGCGGAAGAGGTATTGGAGAGTGTGATGTTCGGTGGTCAGGCTGGTGTTCAAGGAGATTTCTCTGGCGGCAATAGTGGGGCGACCTATGATGACGAAGCGTCTCTCAGCAAAGGGCAGGGCCTTGCGACGGATCGGTTACGAGGCGAAAAAGGTGTGTGTGTGGTTGCCTTCGAGGTCATAGTTGGTACGGTTGATTCGTCCGCAAACTGCGCAGGGGTGACAAGCACAGGAGCTGCGTCTGTTGGACCGTCATCTCCGCCTGAACTCACAGGTGAGTCTGCCGACTATACCACGCCGCCTCCCGCTCCTCCGCCTGTTGTTCAAACTCCGGTAATCACGCCTCCGCCACTGGCAGTCATTGCATTACCCGAGATTGCGCACGATCAAATACCTACTCGGAATGAGAAACGTGTTTTACGCGACGCAGAAGCGGCGCTTCTTCCTTCCGCCCCTCCACCGGCGGCCTCGAGCAGCAGGGCTCCAGATTACGTGTCTGCTGGATCATATGATGATTATGGGGAAGGATCCATGCCACGACCTTCTGCGCCGTTCCGGATCCCGTCCTATATGTCATCCACGGGGTCCGGAAGCATGCTGGGCGATCTCACTAGGGCTATTGCAAGCCCCGGACCTTCAGCGCCCCCATTGGAGGTTGAACACATAGATTATCCAGCAGAAGGCTCTTCACGGCCTTCGTCATTTGCACCGCCGTTGCCTCAAGGACACATTGGGGCTGCGGAGGAGAAGGAGAGGTTAAGGGCTGCTGAGGCAGCGTTGATGCCATCTGCGCCGCCTGTTATCAGTTACAGCAACGAAGAGTTACAGGGTGTTACACCGCAGCCGTCAGCGCCTGTTGACGAAAGCTTAAACGAGAATGACGGGGAGGAGTGGTGGATTCTGCCAAGCGCACCAGCTGCTATTCATGTGGAACATGAAACCTACGGATTAGTCGAGGAGGACGCAGACGCAAGCGCACCGCCTTTGGGTTGGCATGGTGATTCTGGTTCGGGTTCGGAAAATCTGGAATCGACTACGCTGCAGATGGACGCTTTGAGTTTGCAGGAGCAGAAAGCATCCAGTACGAGGCTGGCTTCTGAGGATGCTGAGATGTTACCGGAGTATGTCAGGTCAGGTTATAGTGAAGGGTAAAACATGGATACGGTTCACGGCGTTATTGTTAGCATATCCTAGTGTTGGTACGCCGGAGTAGAAGGCAGGCCCTTTCTTTTTGGAACAGTTTGATATATCAGGACAATCCCCCTCATTCCCTGGTTGCTGCCTTGATGTTTGCTTCCTTCCCTGCCAAACGTTGTGCTTTTCCCTCCGCCTGCATAATGGTTAGTACAGTGCCCAGAAGAGACGAGGAGAAAACTGACCTTCGCTGGGTTCCAGGCCTTGATCTTGTCGGCCATACCCTCAAGAGCATCCGTCCGCTTCTTCATCCTAGACTTGTATGTTCTCTCAGACTTGTGACGCTTCCACTTGATCAAACCCTTCATGGGCCTGCTGCTTCCCATGTCACGGAGTGCACCCATCTCCTTCAGGATACCATCCAAGCCAAATGGCCTCGCCTTATTGATCAAATCAGCTTGCCGTCTCCGGGAGTAGACTGGGTCATTGCGGTTGCCGGATAAAGGGTTGATATGGAATTCGAAGGGGTGGGGTTTATCTGCCGGGATAGGCTGTGATGGTGGGTAGCGGGAGAAGAATCGGAGGAGAGGCTGAGGAAGGAGAGACACGAGACGGTCCCTTGGAACTGGGATATTCTTTGGCATGGCGGGCTCTTCCTCCTTCTATGGAGATGTCGATGTCGATACCTTTTGTTCGTATATCTCCGGGGCAGCTACAGATGCAGTATACTTCTAGCAAGGGCAGGCACCCATCAACCTCGGTACAAGGGTGCGACTGTAGCTTTCTGTTACATTTATAGCAATTTCAGATGGTTTATGTATGCGCTTCCCATTCGACCCGTTTTCTTCTCTTCTCTCCAGACGTACTGCGGGGAGCTGCGATACGTCGGGCCCAGCGTCCAGCGTCCAGCGCTCGAGGCCCGGTACGCTCTTGAAGTCGTCCTACACTCAGATTCACCACACCACCATGTCAGCTCCTCCGCCCCCTCCATCCTTTCCCAGTCACATCCCGCCACCTCCCTCTGCTTCATCAACCAATCCTCCTCCTCCTGCTCCTCCGCCGCCTTCGATCTTGACTGATGATCCACCAGCTGCACCAGCACCAAATGCCACCTCGGATTCCACATTCACGAGGGCACCTGCTCCGATTCCAAAGCGTGCTCCCCTGAGCATAGAAGAGATCATGCGGGAGAAGCGCGAACAAGAGGCAGCAGCCAGCAAGCCAAAGTTTCTCACGAAAGAGCAGCGAGCAGCCCTGGCTTTGGAAAAGCGGGCAAAAGAAGTTGAGGAGAAGAGACGCAAACAAGACGAAGAAAGACGAGCACGCGAACAGCTCTTCAATGGGGGCTCAGGTCGGCAGAGCGACGGATATGATGCGTACAGAGATGGATCAAATGCTTCGATGTACGCTGCACCACCAACCGCACCGCCCACAGGCCCTCGGCATATGCAGGGTAGGATACCCAACGGACCGGCAGCATACAGGACGGGCAATAGTATGAATGCGCCTGGGAACATGGCACCGCCCTCGACAATCCCGGTTAAACGGCCTGCGGTCAATGATGCGCCTGCACCTGGGGAGGACAAGGAGTTCGAAGATATTCGTGCCCGTTACATGGGCAATCAAGAGCAGAAGAAGAAAAAGCGGCGAGTAGCTGGGAAGTTCACCTTCGACTGGTCAGCTGAGGACGACACCTCGGATACACGGAATGATATGTATTCAACCAAGCAAGACACGCTCATGTTTGGTCGGGGCAGGCTAGGAGGTTTTGAGAAGGGCGAAGTGGAAGGCAGAAAGGTGAACTGGGACAACAAGCACTGGTCGGAAAAGCCATTGGATGCCATGAAGGAACGTGATTGGCGTATCTTCAAAGAAGATTTCAATATTGCTGTCAGAGGTGGCGGTATCCCCAATCCGATCCGAAATTGGCAGGAGGCAGGGTTGCCCAAACAGGTCTTGAAGGTCATCAACCAAGTTGGTTACAAAGACCCGTCGCCAATTCAGCGCGCCGCTATTCCCATTGGACTTCAGTCTCGTGATCTCATTGGTATCGCCGAGACAGGATCCGGAAAAACGGCCGCGTTCATCATCCCCTTACTTGTGTATATCTCTTCTCTTCCGCCTATCACTCCGCAAAACGCTAGCGATGGACCGTACGCTATTGTTCTTGCACCAACCCGTGAACTTGCACAACAGATTGAAGTAGAGGCGAAGAAGTTCGCCCAGCCCATGGGATATACTGTTGTTTCTATTGTTGGCGGTCACTCGCTGGAGGAGCAATCATTCAACTTGCGAAATGGAGCGGAGATTGTCATCGCAACACCCGGACGTCTGCTTGATTGTTTGGAGCGTCGTGTATTGGTATTGTCGCAATGCACGTACATCGTAATGGATGAAGCTGACCGAATGATCGATATGGGTTTTGAGGAGGCTGTGAACGGCTTGCTTGATGCCCTTCCAGTGCACAACATGAAACCCGATACCGACGATGCAGAGAACTCACAACTGATGAGTATGATGCTCGGTGGTAAGGAAAGATACCGACAAACTGTCATGTTCAGTGCTACTATGCCTCCAGCTGTGGAGCGCCTTGCGAGAAAATATCTGCGGCGACCGGCTATTGTTACCATCGGTAATGCCGGTCAGATTGTCGATACTGTCGAGCAGCGCGTTGAGATGATATCACCAAGCGAGGAGAAGCGCAGACGTCGCTTGGAGGAGATTCTGAACTCGAACCAATACCAGCCGCCAGTCATTATCTTTGTTAATCAGAAGAAGAATTGTGATGCTCTAGCGAAGTCGTTAGTACGGGTTGGTTGGAATGCGGTTACAATGCACGGTGGAAAATCTCAAGAGCAGCGTGAGAGTGCCCTGCTCCAACTGCGTAACGGCCAAGCGGATTGTTTGGTCGCAACGGACCTCGCTGGTCGTGGTATTGATGTGCCGAATGTATCGCTTGTGGTCAACTTCAATATGGCGAAGACCATTGAAGACTACACTCATCGTATCGGACGTACAGGTCGTGCCGGTAAGAGTGGTGTGGCAATCACGTTTGTGGGACCGGATGATACGGACATCTATTACGACCTTAAGCAGGCGCTGCTGAAGAGCAGTAAGAGCAGCATACCGGATGAGCTTCGCCGTCATGAAGCCGCATCCAGTAAGCCAAATAGGAGTGCACCGAAGAAACCTACAGGGGATGAGAGCACTGGAACATCTATGCGTTGGGCGTGATTCCCTTCTTGCGTCACGAATATAGTAGTAGCATACCGGTATCCAGGTTATGCTGCTAGAGATTACAGTATGTAACATTATCCCAGATGAAATTCGGTTGAATACATATATGTTGAGCAACATTCTTCATACTCTCCGATAAAATCGCAGAAAACCGTGGGCAAAATGCGCAATGTTGCTGGGCCAAACTAAGAACGCGAAGCTATCTGACCAAAAGAGCTGTGTCTTGAGAATCCAGGTCGTGAAAGCGGGAACTCGCAGAGTTACGAGAAAGGACGATGCTTTTGCTCGCGTAGGTCCCTCGAGCTCCTTCGGACCTCTCTTAGTGTCTGCTTTTTCCATTGACGGAAACGTGTTCCGAGGTATTCTCGTCCACTATGTCTCAGTTTTTCAGGTGTTTCCGTTATCTATACCAAGTTTTCTATCATTTCCCTTGTTGCTTTTGAGGTATGATCCCAGATCTTCTGCGGGCTTCATGTAGTATGAGTACGCCCCCTGTGCACAACTACGACAAGCGAGGATCATGGGTTGCCAGGTCAGCCCTAGAAAGCCTAAAATCATGGATTAAGCCCGATTACTCTTGGGCGCGCGGGTAAGCCATGTCAAAATTGTGGATTCCTCTGGGATTGGACACGGGTTACGATCCCCGCCAGCATCATGGACTTCAATTCCTATTATCGTCCAGAATGACGATCCTTCTTTGCTTCGAGGGTATGCCGAATAAGATAATGGTTTATGCCAGATCGATTGCAAATCGAGGATCAAGCAGAAGTAAATAATAAGTATGGGTTAAGCCCGAAAATATCGTGAACAACTGACTTCCATCCGGGATTAATCATGAATTATGCTGAAAAAGAATTGTGGATTAAGCTGAACCAAAGCGTGGATTAAGCCCGATCTTGTTGAGGATTACACTCGTTGAAATTGTGGATTATGCACAATAAAATCGTGGATTAAGCCAACTCAAATTGTGGTTTAGGTCACGCAATCCAGGATACAATCCCATGCATGGATTAAAGGGGATTTTGTAAATCATGATTCTCACGAACGTAGAGCTGTACTTGCCGCTTTCGGTGTGGTACACTGTTGAGCGCGCGCCGGACCCGCTCCTGGAATCTCCATGAGCAGAGTTGTGGAATTTACCCACGTACATGCTTCTGAAATTCAGTTCTAAGATTTTGCTGGCCATTGGACTATGATCAATTTGAAAACCAGATTAATTCCAGAACTAAGTCTTGGAAGTTCCATGAGCGATTCCACCGTAGGGACAGTACAGCCACATGTTAAACTGCAAACAAGTATGATGATGATGAAATGGTGCTGCATACATGACATATATAGGTCAATGCATGATGTGAATGTTGATCATGTCCATGAAGAGCCGGAGGTCCGGGCCCTTCTGAGTTGAACGCATGAAAACAGCTGTATATAGCAAGCATTCCGTAGGATAACATTTGTTCTTATGGGCAATTCGTAAGGTATTCCTACGTTTGCGAGAATCACGGTCTAACAGATCAAGTTAACGGTATTGGAGAACAGTTCACAGAGGTGTACTTAGAGAACTGGAAGACCCAATGCGAAGGCTATAAATGTTCTGTGTATTGCACTCAAATTTCCTGCAGACAACACTGAGAACATCAGATTGTTCTTCAAGAAGTTTGTGATGGGATACTAAAAACACTACTACCGAATAACTTTCATCGGTTTCCTGCCTGCCCTACACCGTTCACGTGCCTACGGTCGCGAGAATCATGTATTACAAAATTCCGCTTAATCCATGATCGTATCATGAATTTTGAAACCCAAACCATGATTTCAATCCGCATACTGCATGATTTTATTTCGCATAATCCAGACTCTGCTCCATACAATCCACAACTCCATGCAGCATATTCCACAATATAGTTCTGCTTAATCCATTGATTCCATTGCGGATAATTCATGATTCTCTCATACATCATCCTTGATTTGCCCACCCTTAATCCACGATACGACATCGGGCCTTCCACACTTGAATTCGGTTTAATCCACAACTTCGAGGATAATCCACCCTCCCAGCTCTTTGAGTCCTCTTCATCATTTGTACGACCTTCCACAGCATCCGACAGAGCTTGAGTCTAGTCCAGAACTCACAGACTCAGCGGTGAGTAGCAGACGCCGATGATATCTGGAGGCTACGATGTTTGTAGTCAAGAACTGGGAGTGTATGCTGACACTAACTGTGTGCCGTTGGTAGGACTTCGCGCATCTGTACAGCCTCCGTACCTTGACCCACGTACCTACAGCATCCAAACAACATCTACATTGTCCGTACACCCCCTACGAGCCCCCCGAATTCGACTGTCACGAATACCTGATTCGTGATTGCACAAATATGGAATAACATATTCCACTTCCAGCAAAGGCACTCGAATAAGTCATTCAACTGTATGAAAAACACGAATAAAGTCGGAAAGTATTCAAGTATAGTGGAATTCCTAATGTCCGGGTTTGGATTGTGAGGTTGGCTAGATTTCATGGGTCTTCAATGGATCAAGGTCTTTGATGGATCGAGGAGGATCAATGGTCTTTAGTGGCGGTTCTTCGGCCTGCGCCTCTCGAGAGTAACATGTGAGCACAGAGTGCTGATGCGCTGGCAAATTTCACCAAGTCTCAGCACCAACCAGGAACCCACCATCATCAACGTCTCAATCTCCCTGGGTGAGTCACGACTGACTGACGAAAGCATCAAATTCTACGCCTCCTTGGTCCTCTCATATCGATGTATGTGTTCCCTGATCCTCTCCCATCTGTTCTCCCGATGCTATGGCTTGTATCGTCTCAACCCAAACTGGGCACATGATCGCTGTTGCTGAAAGGTTAACATGATTATTGTTTAATCTCGACACTCTTGCTTGATGTCTGCTCTCATTCGGGTGAGTAGAACCCAGACGGAATTGCTGCTTGCTGGTGGAACAGGCATTTACATTTGGAAATGACTGTACCGTCAACTGCTGTCGGTACCGTTTGAATCTCATAGTAATATCAATGGGCCTAGATTGATGGCCTGTGATAGATGGGACCAATGAACGTCACGTCTGTGCAGTGTGCAGTATGAGGTAGAATAGTATAACAGTGTAGTGGTGGTAAATCGTATAAAAAATTCTACTTTCAGATCCAGATTGTGCCCAGAATATCCCACTAACTCGAATAACTCTATTTGTGATACTGGATAATTTTATTCGTGTTTTATAACCGTGTTTGGTAGAATTTGGGGGTCTCGTAGGGACCTTCGCTACGCTGCCTGACACACCTTGTGTTGTCTCTACAGCTCTCACTCTCCTACATCCCCCGGCAACCAAGAACTGCTGAAGTAAAGTCTGGACTAAGCCAGATCTTGATGTGGATTACGCCAAATAGAATGGTGGATTGATCATGGATTATGCAAGATACAATCATAAATAAGCTGACAAAAATCATGATATGAGTCCCGAAACATGGATTATACGGGATTTTGTAATCCATGATTTCACGAACGTAGAACCAGAAGGACCTTCTCCTTTCACACATGCACAGATGCATGATCAACATATATGTATATGTAAATGATCGTATATGTATATATTATTATAGGTCATGTATATGTATATATGTCGTGTATGCAACAGAACCTCGTCATCCTTTACAAGGGTTAAAACCATGGAATTCGATTCTGTTGGCAATAGGTAATCCATGTTAAAAGCTTGGATTCACCTCTTTGAAGGTTTCCGAAAAGCCTTAAATCCTTACATGCGTTTTGAGCACCAAAGGTCAAACAAGAACAGGTATGAATGAGATTTCGTTTTATAACATTGAACTTGTGGTAACCTTCTGAGTCATAGGGACATGTTTACAGCTATTAGGTATTAGAATACTGAAAATAAATCTCTCTTACCTGGTAATTTGACTGTTTTGGTCTAAGACTACCGTAACTGTTTCCCCTCGCTCTTTCGCATCCTTGCACGATTTTTCCTGGGATTAAGCCCAATAAAACCATGGTTTATGCTGACTAAATCGTGGTTTGGGTCCTGTTATGCAGAATATGATCCTGGATTAATCAGGATTTTTTTAATTCATGATTGTCAGGAACGTAAGGTAACCTGGGAATCTATGAGTCTCACGCTATGGCATTTTCGATCCCCTTGAGATTATCTGCTAAAGACCGGCCCAACTAGGTGTAGTTTTCTCTTTTGACCCACGAAGAATGCATTTCTAAGCGGTCTAATCAAGGTATAGATTCCGCGTCTCTCAGAGCTATTTCTGGTAAATACTACATTGTCTGCTGCCATGGGTACACTGTGTAATTGAGCTGGAGTTCAGGTTATGGATGAATAAAGGCCATTCCTTCCCCAGCGAGCTCGCTGTCCCAGGATTTTGTTGCGGGGATGAGATCGGCACTTGGTCGGTCTCCAGCGGAAGTTAGCTTAGGCGAGACGCTGCGCCTCCAAACATGGAAGATCGTTTGTCCGTAGTAAAGTGTACCGAAGCACAACCTCTTCGAAGAACTCGATCGGCAAGTACGAACAAGCAGCAATTCTGCGAGGCCCTCATCGCGGAGCAAAAGAGGCTCGTTGGCACTTCCATCGCTCTTTGGATCAAATTCTTTCAGCCAACTTCCCATCCAAGAGGATCACTCCGCGTTGTTCAACACGTCGCGCGAGTCTCTGGGCACCTCCGGACATCCATAGCACCACATACGGTCGACTCAGCAGGGTCAGATTAGAAACCGACTTTTCGACTGACGATGTCTGCGCTGCCGGCTCGCAAACGCTCTTTTTGTCAAGTGGACAGCAGCGGAACACCGAACGCACTTCTTTTTCCAAATAGTCGCCGGTGTGGTCAAGCCCTTGAAGAAACATCCGATGAGATTGATACCGTGAACGCGTTGAAGGGCTGCGTGTCCGAGTCACAGCCTTCGCCGACAGCATGGGATGATACAGACACCAAATACTTCGCCGACACAGTGTCCAAAGCAGACAAGTTCAGGCGTTACGAAGAGGCCAAGCTGCGAGTCAGGGAGTTTTACAAGGAGCAGCATTCAAAGCAGACAGTGGCATACAATCTTAAGGCTCGATGCATGATGAACACCAAGAAGAGAGCTCGTATGGGTGTGTGGGCTGCAATCGAAAAGCTGAACACGTTGATCGACGACTCCGATCCCGATATCGAATTGAGTCAAATTCAGCATCTGCTGTTAACAGCGGAGGCTATCCGAAGAGACAACAAACCTAGGTGGATGCAGTTAACCGGACTAATTCATGATCTGGGAAAACTTCTGTATTTCTTCGACGCAGAAGGGCAGTGGGATGTTGTCGGCGACACTTTCGTGGTAGGGTGCAAATTTCCACCAGAATGCATCTTCCCGGAAACCTTCAAGGCGAACCCGGACTACAAACATCCAATTTATTCGACACAGTACGGCATTTACAAGCCTCACTGCGGTTTAGATAACGTTATGCTGTCTTTTGGCCACGACGAATACCTGTACCAGATCTGCAAACAGCAATCCTCCCTACCTGAAGAGGCGCTTGCAATGATAAGGTACCATTCGTTCTATCCCTGGCATCGGGAAGGTGCGTATCGACACCTAATGGCGCCCAAGGATCATGAGCTGTTGAAAGCCGTACAAGCATTCAATCCATACGATCTTTACTCGAAGGATGACACGTTACCAGACGTTGATAAGCTGAAGCCATACTACATGGAGCTCATTGCTGAGTATTTTCCTCCGCTAGTTGATTTCTGAGAACATTGCACAGGGTATGTTAGCCATTGGCACGGCGTGCACGGATATGGACACAATCGAAAGGACACATTCAGGTAATATGGCGTTTAGCATTAAGCATACCTAGCCAGGCATGCATCTGCAGTTGAATTAGGATACCCAGCATACCTTATCAATTTGGTTCTTCTATATTCAATCGTGAACGAGTTTGCTAAATGCGGTGCAAGTTGCTATCCCATGAAATCCAGCTGCGCTCCAACTGCAAACGTACTGTAGCTAAGTAACTCTACGAATTGGTGGACTTTACGTGTAAACATACCGGTAAGTAGGTATCCACCGGGTATGTAGGGCTCACTTACCGCACAGAGCGGGACCCTGCCGTTGGTCGCATTCAATGACGTGCCGGCATAAACAACAATCGAGCAGCACATTATACGCCATTCACCTCCTCAAGTCATGTCGCATCACCACCATAGAGAATGGGCGAGCGACCTTGCCCAACGCTTCCAGAATCTAGTCGTTTCCAGGCGACGTGGACCACAGGCAGGCAGTTCCCGGCCTGGAGCCCCACAAGTACCAGCACCAAGCTCGGCCTCAAATGCAATGTCGCATCAGGATCAACAATTATATAACATGATCTTTGCCTTGTCGCGGACTCCTCAGCAGTATGAATCTCAGACATTGCAGGTTCGTCTTTGCCGGTCAGGAACCACTCTTCAGTAATACTAATGGAATTTACAGGATAGAGCCTTATCAGTCATTCCTCTAGACCGTATATATGCTGAAGCAGAGGAAAAGGGTAAAGCAGATTCTTCTTGGGGTCATCAAGACCATGTTATACGTGCGCTCATGGCATGGTTCAAGAATGACTTCTTCACATGGGTCAACAGCCCGGCGTGCTCCAGGTGTCAAGGGGAAACCCAAGGTCAAGGAGCGGGACAGCCGACAGATCAAGAAAGACGGGATGGAGCTGGGAGGACAGAAGTATACTGGTGTCCTCACTGCTCAAGGCAGGAACGCTTCCCAAGATATGATCATCCAGCCAAGCTTCTGGAAACGCGACGTGGAAGATGCGGAGAGTGGGCCAACGTCAGTATTCTGGCTGTGAGGAAGAGCTGAAGTGATGTGCTAACACGGTACAGTGCTTCACCCTCCTAGTCCGTGCCCTTGGTTCACGTGCACGTTGGGTTTGGAACGCTGAAGATCACGTATGGACCGAAGTTTGGTCAGAAAAGCAAGGTCGATGGATACACGCAGATTCGTGTGAGAACGCGTGGGGTACGCCGAAGGTGTACGCCGAGGGGTGGGGAAAGAAGATGAGCTATTGCATTGGCTTTGGAGGTATGAATGCCCTCGACCCTTCTTCAACATTGACCAATACTGACAGCAAGAATAGTTGACAGTGTGCAGGACGTTACGTATGTGCTGGTGCCCCGGCAGTAACGTGAAGATGGTTGACATTTGAAACATATAGGCCACGATACGTTCGAACCGAAAGTCAGAGTTTGCCTCGCAATCGCGGGTCAGAAGAAACCTTGCGGAAGGTGAGTTAAGCTAATATCTTTTCTTTCGAAGTGACAAGTTGCTAATGCTTGATAGGCCATCGTTGATCTCAATCGACAACTTCGTTCACACCTTCCACCGTCAGAAAGAGCTGTGCTCGAAGAACAAGATGTAAAAGAGCTGGGAAACTTGGAGAAGCTGAAATGGAACAGAGCACACGCTGATGCTATCCCAACAAAGACAGAAGAACTTCAGGGAAGACAGTCTGGAAACGCTGAATGGAAGAGGGCAAGAGGAGAGGACGGAAAGGGCCCGGGAGCAGCCTAGAAGCACGGCTAGGAAACAACGTTCAATTATAATTGTATCGTTCATACCAATCATGGAGAACCATGTATTTCACTGGGTGTGGTGCGGGGCCTATGAGTGCCTTTCTCACGAGATTCCTATAAATTTGCCGGCAGGTCGCGGTTCTGGAGCAATCCGATCAAAAATTCACTGGATGCATGCCACGATGGAATTATGGTTATAACTAAGCCGTTTCATTGCCAGGTGGACGTTTACGTCCACTGCCGCGTCCCAGACTGTCATCGGGGACTAAAGAACCATATTGCGATACTCCTATTCAGTTAGGTCTGAGCTGTTGGGCCGACGTCCCCGGACATGCCTTCTCCTATTCCCCTTGTGTGTGTCTATGCTAGTTCAAATACACGTTCGTTCGTTCTTACCAGCTTCTCTGTCATTCTCATTCGTCTTGCTGTTCTCTCCGCACCGTAAGCTTTCCGCACTTGAGCAGTCGTCGTCGCCGTACATGCCGGTTGCGCGGTGCCTTAAGTATACAGAGCATACGTAATTGCTCCTCCGCAACGAAAACACCAACTTAATCCATTGCATTCATCACTGCCGACCGACCAGCATGGATGACCAGGAAGCCATTGCTCAGTTCTGTGCTATTACAGATGCGAAGCCAGCAACAGCGGAGCAATACCTTCGTGTAAGCGACGGCAATATCGAAAGCGCCGTGATGCTCTTCTTCGAGTCTGGAGGTGCAGACCTGAACACAGAACCCTCCTCACACACCGGCACTGGTGGTCGTGAATCTCCTGTCCAAATCCCTGACGAGGATGACTTAGAGGACGACGAAGCGATGGCGAGGCGGCTGGCGGCGGAGTATGGCAATCAAGAAGTGCGGGCACCGATTGCACCGACTACGCAGACACTCGTAGAGCCGGAGTATGAAGGGATGATGCCAGGGATGGGTTATGGAGCGGAAATGTTCCCAAGCCTAAGGGGAAGGTCGTCAAGGCCAGGAATCTTCAATCAACAAAGGTCTGTCTGGGATGCTGAAGGCAACGAGGAGGATGATACTACGGGTAAGTCCTCGCATTCGCCAGGTTTTGCTAAAGTATATGCTAATGATGATATCGAACAGGTGGCGCCGCGGAAGCCAGCAGTAAAGCCTCTCGGTTGGCGAAGATGTTCCGTCCACCATTCGACATCATGACCAATTTGGATCTTGACTCGGTAAATCATGGAATGCTTTGCTAGTTGAAAACATCGCTAACAGAGGTTACTCAGGCTCGAGATCAAGGGAAGGAAGAGCTGAAATGGTTGATGGTCAACATCCAAGACCTCACGGATTTCAATTGTCAATGCCTCAACCGCGACCTTTGGTCGAACAATGCCGTGAAAGAGATGATCAGAGAAAACTTCCTCTTCATGCAATACAACAAGGATGGTCAAGACGGACAACGCTTTGTCACCATCTATTCAACCAGAAAGTACCCGCATATCGCCATTTTGGATCCGAGAACTGGTGAACAGGTCAAGGTTTGGAGCGAGATGATGACAGCGACAGATTTCTTGATGCAAGGTATAAATCATCAGTTCCTTCCTCTGTGCCGCTTACTGATGGCTTCCACAGTGCATGAGTTCCTGGACCGCTTTTCTCTCGACATCAAGGCCAAGAATCCAATTGCTAAGAAGGCTAAGACTAAGAGGGACCCCTCTCTCGTGACTGAGGAAGAGCAAATGAATGCTGCGTTGTCAGCTTCTATGAAGCACCCTACCGAGGCCATGACTCCAGATGTTGAATACACTGATCCGATGGAGATGGAAGCTGCGGAGGCTCCAGCAGCGGAAACCGCAGCAGAGCCCGCCTCACCGTTCGACGTCATCAAGCCTGTATCTCGGCCAGAGCCCACAGATCCCAAAACAACCACTCGAATTCAGCTTCGTCTTCCAGACGGGAGAAAGATCAGGAGGTTCAACTTGGATGACCCCGTTCAGGCTGTGTATGAGTACATTAAAGCCGAGGTTGACGGGGCAGACTCGAGAACGTTCGATTTGACGTTCAATAGGATGAAGTTGATTGAGCACCTGGATGAGACTATCGAAGCGGCGGGGCTGAAGAATGCCACGGTTATCATGGAGTTTACGCAGTGATGGGGGTGGGGAAGGCGGAGAGGTAGTCTTAATGCTTGGACATGGTCAACGCGGGAGTACGATTAACTACAGGGAGGTGTCTTCGTAATAGAGAATTATCAATGGCTACGATGTTTGGTCGGCCTTCTATTTAAGGTTCCCCCACCCCTGACCCGCAGGCAGCTGCAATACGTCGCAGCACAACGCGTCGACCAGGATAGCCCTGACGCCAACAGAGGGCCTTCGACTTCAGATAGATCTGTTTGCTATGGCACAGAATGGCTCCAGTAAGCCATCCTTCTCACTCTCGCTAGGAGCAAAGAAGGCAACAGCACCCTCCGTGAAGCCTTCTCCATTTGCTTCGTCTGCGCCGAAGCGCCGCACAGGGTTCGAATCCGACTCCGACACTGAAGAACCTACGACCAAAACCCAACTGCTCTCTGGATTCGATGCCGAGAAGGGCGCACTCTCCTTAAACCCCCAAGATGACGAACTGAAAGGACCAATAGTCATCCCACGACTGCAAAATCGGGATTGGCGAGCGGAGAGCCGCAAGAAGAAGGGGTTAGGATACATACCGGACCAGGAACAAAGAGCGCAGGCCGACAGTGGTGGACCGGAAGTGTTTGGGGATCGGCCACAAGCGTATGGTCTGCAGTTTGTGGAGAAAAAGGACGACGTTCAGGTAGCGACGTCGGAGGACCCGTCAAGAACAGAGGCGCCTGTTCCACAAGCCGAAGAACGAGTGAGCGAGGATCAAGCAGCAATAAAGGCCTTGCTTGCAGGTGATAAAGAAAAGAGGAGATCAGATCTCGTTCTGGCACCGATCGAAACCGAGAACGATTGGCGTGCAAGCAAACCTGCAAACGAAGACGATGCTTATCGCATGGACGTTGAGTCGCGCCCAGATGTAGCATCACTCGAGGCATATGAAGCCATTCCTGTCGAGGAGTTCGGCGCGGCGCTTCTGCGAGGCATGGGATGGAAAGACGGGGAAGGCATAGGTCGAAACAAGGCAGGAGGAGTCAAGGAGGTTATCCGACGGCCAGCGTTCCTGGGTATCGGTGCAAAAAGCAGAGAAGCAGCAATGGGTGAAGAACTTGGAGCCTGGGGCAATGGTGCAAAGAAGAGGAATCCTCGGCTGGACAAGACCTACGTACCCGTTGTGAAAGTGAACAAGAGAACGGGCGAGGTGATCAAGGAGGACATGGAGGTTGAGCAAAAAAGACGGAGGGAAGAGGAGCCACGTAAGTCTTCAAGGGAAGCGACCGCAGACGGTGAACGGAGCAGCAGGGGAAGCAACTCTCGGCAGGACCAAGAGCGACTTCGCGACCCAAGCGCAACGACTAGCAGAAGGAGCAGGGATGAAGATGAACCTCGCTCTTCAAGAAGAGAGGACCGTGACAGGGACCGACGAAGAAGGAGTAGTCGGTCAAGAAGTCAGGATAGGGACAGGGATAGCCGGAGAAGACGGGAACGTAGCAGAGATAGGGACTCCAGACGGGACTACGACAGGAGTCGGGATAATCGACGAGACTCTAGCCGTGATAGAGAAAGGGACAGGCGTGACCGGGATTGCAATCGGGATTCGTACAGAAGCAGAGATCCCAGAGACAGGCAATAAGGGACTTCGATTTTGGAGTTTATACGAGGCAGAACTGGGGTCATTCACTGAAGCAGTGATATGATGAAAATAATCGATCATTATAGCAACAAGACAACGAGATTCACCGCCGGCTGACATCACTAGCAAGCCAAACTTAAACCACTCAACAGAAATCAAAGGTAAAAGAAAATCCGCCACGCCACGCCACCCCACCCCGCACTCCAACTCTGATATCCATGTTCCTATCCGCCCTCACCCTCTTCCCATCTCCCCTTTACTGCTCCTCAGTCTTGACATCAGTATCCATCTTCTCCGGAGTCTCGGCAGTCTCCGACGCCTCAGGCTTGACAACATCGGTCGTCTCCTGCTGCGCAGGGGCCGCAGCACTCTCGTCTCCAGTCTCCAAGTCGCTCGTCCAGAGGGTCAAGTTATCCCTCAACAACTGCAAAATCAAGGTAGAGTCGCGGTAGCTCTCTTCGCTCAAAGCATCCAACTCGGCAATCGCGTCGTCGAAGGCCTGCTTGGCGAGATGGCAGGCACGGTCGGGCGAGTTGAGGATTTCGTAGTAAAAGACGGAGAAGTTCAAGGCGAGACCGAGGCGGATTGGGTGTGTGGAAGGAAGGCCGGTCTGAGCAACGTCGGTGGCACCCTAGCGTACTGGTTAGTACTATCTCACGGTTGATATTGATGTAGTCGCATACCTTGTATGCTTCATGAGCAAGAGTAGCGGCCTCCTTTCGCTTGTCACCGCTGGCAAACTCGGCAAGATACCTGTGGTAGTCACCCTTCATCTTAAGGTAGAAGACCTTGCTTCCACCCTGCTCAGCCTTCGGCACAAGGTGCTCGTCCAAAACCTTCAAAACATCATTGCAGACATCCTCCAATTCCTTCTCGATAGTCTGACGGTATCCGCGAATCTTATCGATGTTAGCGGAGGGCGAAGAGGCGGCTTTTGTCTCCTCCTTCTGCTCGATAGAGGAGATGATACGCCAAGATGCACGACGGGCTCCGATAACGTTCTTGTAGGCGACGGAGAGGAGGTTTCGCTCCTCCACGGAAAGCTCTCCAGGCATGGAGGCGACCTCCTTCATGTAGGTGACCATTTCTGGTAGTAATGGGTCAGTCAGTGTATGCTGCATGGATGCGGAGGTGGAGAGGAACATACCATCGTAACGCTCAGCCTGCTCGGACAACTTTCCAAGAAAAACCTTCTTTTCGCGCTGTGACTCGTATTAGTAACCACCCAAAAGTTAAGCCAACTCCATCCGCAATGTATGCTCGTCCTCCATCGGTCGCTACACCCTTATCGCTTCGATACCCAACGAGCGAACCGCACACCTCCGCATCGCCGCAGCATCATAACAGCGACTCAATTGACGACAGCAGCATACATGGCGGAGGATAGAGCGTACTCACCTCAGAGTCAGCCATAGTGAATTGGAGATTGTTTGTTCTTCTGTTTGGTGTTGAGGAGGCAGCTCTTGGTGTCGGCCGTGGGGTGAGTCTTAGCGCGCGGGTCGATTAGGGGGTCGATGGCACATGCTGAAGTGACGTGGGCGGGTCGACTGGGTCGGTGCTGGGTCTCTTTGTATACACGGAGGTTGCGTTCTTCATTCCCGCTTATTATCGTGATGAGTTCTCAGCTCCCACCAGCGTTGCTCCGTGACTGCTGCTGACAGAAGCTCGACGGTTGGGCATGTTGAACCATTTAACCGTGTACGGAATTGAATTGCATGAAAGAAAAAACAAACTCGCAGAAGAACGAAGACAAAGTATACTTGCACCAAAACACACTCTGATCGCGAGCACAGCCACATCCATACTTGTAATGTTCATTTCTTGCAATCCCAAAACTCCGATCAAACCCGATCATCCTTTTCAGGATCACTTCATCCATATCATTCTCTCATCCTATCGTACACTCGTCGCACACTCGTCGCCTGTTCTGCTCCACATCTCCCTGTCCGTAATGAAACACGTTAACCAGAACGAGATCCATATCCATACTGTATCGTACCCGCCCTTCCATGTCCGCTATGAATACCCATCCTTTCCTTCCATATCCGACCAAGACCGCTAGACTGTGCAAATGACAAACGCAAAACAGACCATGTTTATCCCTTTTAAATTGCAAAACTCGTTTCCTCCCCACTGAATGTGCGCATCGACCCACGACCACATTCATGATTGATCAATCACTTAATCAAAAGAGAATTGACCCTGTAACATCCTCTCACCAGTCGGCGTCGGCGGCCTCTTGAGTGACATCTTCCTCGCCTTCTTCTCCCCGTTCCCATAGGCAAAGAAATCACCCGGCGGCGGCGGAACCCCAGCAGTCTGAGAAGGAGACCCAGACGGAAGAGAGGCAGGCGGAGACGGAGGAAGAGCAGTTCTCGGAACAGTATTATGTTTGTTTGCATCGCCTAAGGAGCACATCATGTCAGCACTGCATCACCACCTAAGCAGGCAAGAATCGACATACCCAAAGCCTTGGCAGACAGAGAGAAACGACGAGCGAGGAAACCACCATAAGATCCGGGTACCATGGGCGGCGTATCAGCCCTGGCAGAGCCCATAGAGATAGGAGAAACGATAGATGAAGATTCAGGCTCATCAAAGACTTCTTCGTGTACGACGCCAGACATGGCCGGCAACCCCTTCGGCCGCGATCCGGTCTCAGCGAGCGTCATACGACGTTTATCCGTGAATGAAGAGTCGGTATTCGGCGGTGGAGAGGCGTTGCTGCTCGTCGAAGCCGGACTCTTGGAGAAAAGCGAGGTAAACGACGAGGCGGTCGGAGCAGCGGAGAACGACGCCCGGCGGCCAGGACGGCTATATGCACCGGCTGGAGGAGAGTAGCTAGTGTTGGGGATATCGAACGGCTTGCTCATCGTTTTGTTTATCTATTGGGGGTGTATGCTGTGGCGAGGACTGAGCTGGTCTATTTGTACGGCTGCAATTGCCTCTCAGGTCATCCCTACGTAGGGTCTAGTGTGGCAGGCAGGCAGCGTCCCCCACAGATTGGGCTACAACCTTATAAGCAAGCCTATTCAATTGCACGAATCAGAAGGGCATCAACTGACAGCTGACAGAATACTTGGATTGTTTCGGGACTTGAGCTGGACAGTCTGATCACACGATACCAAGAGACCTGCTGCTACCGGACGCCGTAGATACACTCCCGTTCACGGCACTCGTGTACGTGCTCGTGTCGGTCACAGAGAACGTCGTGCCCCATCCTGTTTGCACGGCTGCGGCACCGGGTACCGTGATGGTTGTTCCCTCAAATGTAAGGACCGCGCCGGGTGTGGCAACGATCGTAGACGTGATAAGGTCGCCTGCAACGAACGGCTGATTCGTGAGAAGCGTGATAAGAATCGTACTGGCCAAGACTTGCAGCGAGTGCATCTTCCTTGTGATTGCGTTGCGAAGCGATTGTGGTGATGACGTCGATGATAACGATTTGTGATAAACGAAGGAGCAAGATTCCGCGGGAGCCTTGAGTTTGGTCAAGCTGTAAACGTCGCCTTTTCAAGAGTTGACAGCGCACTCACGGACCGGCCGCAGGACGAACGGGTCACGCAAGCTGCAGAACGGGCGGAACCCGCTGGATTGGCTATAGAAAGCTCCGACAGGGTAACGTAGGCAGATCAGTCTTACGAAAGGGTTGACAGCCGTACCTTGCTCTCCAAGACACCCAGGTCTTGAAGGTTAATTGCCGGTCAAACTGTGATGCCCGGCGTGGGAACGCCTCAGCTTACCCACAGAAATAGAAACAGATATATTTCAAGAAGTCAGATCGTATCGAGTGATGAGATAGTTCTCAATAAAGACTGTCTTTATACACCCCGATTACAACCTTTACCACCAACCGCCCCTCCTCATCCTGCCCCCTCTCCGCAACCTCAAAAGCCTCCCTCGCATCCTCGAGCCGATACCTCTGCGTAACCAACTTCCCCAGCCCCGGAACCCCTCCAGACCCTACCATCCTAATCGCTTCCGGATACGTATTACAATACCGGAAAACACCGACAAGATCAATCTCACGCGTCATAGCGGATGCGATGGGGAGGGTGGCGATGGGTTTGCCCATTCCTACCATCACTAGTTTGCCGCCTGGACGAGTCGCGAAAATGGAGGTTTGGATCGATGTGTCGACGCCGGTGCATTCGTACGTCACGTCGAAGCCGGCGTAAGTCTCCTGATCCATCTTTGCAGCTTTAACCAGCTCGGAGGCAGTATCCTTGGCATAAACTAACTCAGGATCCTCTCCATATTTCGCACGCTTCAATGGAACAAGGACTGTCCGAGTCACCCACTCGGTCGTCTGCGCAAACTCAAGACGCCGTTGTGAGATGTCAGCAATAGTAATGTCTGAGGCGCCATTGATCCTCGCCATTGCTGCAACAAGTAATCCTACAGTTCCGGACCCCATGATGAGGATGCGTGAACCAGGCGTCAGGGAAGGCTGAGATCGGCGAATGGCGTGGAGGGCGACGGAGAGCGGTTCCAGGAGAGCTCCTTCTTCGTAACTGATAGAGTCGGGTATTCTACTTATCTCATTAGCAAATACATCTATTGAGATATGGAGGAAGTAACTCACTTGTGTGTGAAGTCGACATGCTGATTCACACGCTCACACAAATACCCATCACAATGCGGAAACCTCTTCGCCGAACTCCGAAACTGCATCCCATCGCAAAGATTATACCGACCCATGCGACACATCTTGCAAGTGGAGCAAGGTGTTCCTGCTTCGAGTGCTACGCGGTCTCCGATTTTGAAGTTGGTTACGCCGGGGCCGACGGCCGTAACGTAGCCCGCGGATTCGTGGCCAAGGATGAGAGGTTCTTTGACGACAAAGAGACCGTTTGCGCCGTGAGCGTAGTAGTGAAGATCTACCCACCCGAATTAGTATCATTGAGCAGCCTTTCGGGAAGGAACACACCTGATCCGCAGATACCAATAGCCTTTGGCACAACCTGCACTTCATCTTCACCAGGATCTTCAAGAGCCCGGGTCTCTAACCTTATCTCCTTCTTCCCACAAAGAACGGCTGCTTCGAATCCCATTTTCTTCATGACAACTATTCAATTGGTTGCCGTTGTGGTCCATTTTGTCCTCGGTTCATCTTCCCACCGCAATTCCGCGGCTGCGCTTCCCGCACGCTCCGCTTCCCCACAAATGTTAACGCTGAGGGCAACGTACCGTACCGGTATGTACATCGTACATCAACATCGAGAACAGGACGCAAACACAACAGTCATGTCGATGTTTTCGCTGAAAGGAAAGACTGCGTTGATTACTGGCGCTACGAGAGGCATTGGCCAGGCTATGGCAATTGCTTTGGCGGAGGCGGGTGCGGATGTTATCATGATCCAGGTATGCCCGTTGATCCATCTTATGGAACGATCAACTCACAGCAATGCAGAGAGATACTTCGAGTACCGCTACGAAGGAAAAGATTGAAGTGCTCGGTCGCAAGGCACCTATCTACACTTGCAACCTCGGCGACAACGCCGCTGTCAAGACTGTCATCGCGGAAATCCTGAATGACGGCTACCATATTGACATCTTAGTCAACTGCGGTGGCATCCAAAGAAGACACAAAGCCGAAGAGTTCCCAGATGATGATTGGAATGAGGTTCTCCAGGTCAACTTGACCACCGTCTTCACGCTATGCCGTGAAGTCGGCAAATACATGATCGACAACGGCCGGAAAGGCAAGATCATCAACGTTGCAAGTCTCATGACATTCCAAGGAGGCATCAACGTACCAGCATATGCTGCTGCGAAGGGTGGTATCGGACAATTGACGCAAGCGCTGTCAAACGAATGGTCATGTAAGGGGATCAATGTCAATGCTCTTGCTCCGGGATACATTGCAACGGACATGACTGCAGCTCTCAGAAACGATGATAGCCGAGCCAAGGGCATTCTAGAAAGGATCCCCGCAGCAAGATGGGGGACGCCGGAGGATTTTAAGGGACCGGTGGTATTCCTGGCGAGCGGAGCGTCTGATTACATGTGTGGAGAGGTTATGGTGGTTGACGGAGGATGGATGGGAAGGTGAAGCCCCTACACGGCGACCGAGACCAACTTAGAGCTATGAGAAAACACAAATCCAAATCACATACCGTATCGGCACGGTATTATTTTGCCCACCCGTATCTCCCCGGCTTCCCGCAGCACCCCGCATGACGTCGGATCTCCGAAGCTCCAGGTTCGGGTCGTCGGCGGACGCAGAGGTATACTTAAAAGTCAACAACGGCCAATTGCAGGCAGCATTCCGTTACCCAACTGAACATTCTAAACATGACAAAACCAACAGTTCTTCTTCTCGGCAAGATCGACCATGCGACCAAGGAATGGGAGGCTTTGAGCGACGTTGCTGAGCTCCAGGTCGGTTCAGATTCACTTGTGAGATGCCAATTGCAGTGCTGATCCGCGTACCTATAGATCTGTGACTCCAAGAACCGAGAAGAATTCATCAAGGACTGCGCTGAGGGAGGAAAGTGGGATGGTGTCGTCGCTGTTTACAGAACTTTCGTCTCCGTCGCAATTACCGGATTGATCGACGAGGAGCTCATTTCTAAGCTGCCCAAGAGCCTGAAATACATCTGTCATAACGGTGCAGGATACGACCAGATCGACGCTGACGCCTGTACAAAGGCCGGGATCAACGTCTCCAACGTTCCGACTGCCGTGGATGGTGCAACTGCGGACACTGCTTTCTTCTTGTTGTTGGGTGCATTGAGGAAGATCCAGTTTGGTTTGAACCAATTGAGAAGAGGAGAGTTCAAGAACAAGTGCCCAATCGGCCACGACCCTGCTGGCAAGGTTCTAGGTATTTTGGGTATGGGAGGTATCGGCCGTGCTATGGCTCAAAGGGCTCGCGGCTTCGACATGGAGATCATCTACCACAACCGCAACAGGCTTGCACCTGAGCTGGAAGCTGGTGCCAAGTACGTTAGCTTCGACGAGTTGCTTGCGCAGTCCGACGTTCTATCATTGAACTTGCCCTTGAACAAGCACACTCGCCACATCATCTCAACCAAGGAGTTTGAGAAAATGAAGAATGGAGTTGTCGTCGTCAACACTGCGCGTGGACCCGTCATGGACGAGGATGCTTTGGTCAAGGCTCTGGAGTCTGGCAAGGTGTTCTCCGCTGGATTGGACGTATATGAGAATGAGCCCGAGGTGCACCCTGGGCTGTTGAAGAACGAGAACGTCATCCTCGTCCCTCACCTCGGTACTCACACTTACGAGACTCAGTACACGATGGAATGCGTCGTCCTTGACAACGTCCGCTCTGCAATTGAGAAGGGCGAGCTTAACACGCCCATTCCAGAGCAGAAGAAGTAGAGAAGAGAGGAGGGAGAACGTCAATATCAATAGCATAAAGAGCACCACCTTCGTATACCTATCAAGATCTATCGAATCAGGTTTTAGAACATCGGATTTTTCGTTTTATGTGAGCTTATCGTCTAGGCGTGCGCCATTGATGTCGAGAGGGCCTCCGTAGCGCAGCATCACTTTACAGTACAGAACAGCAGCCAAGGAAACGAACGTAACGACTCTCCTACCCTAACGACCAGCAGCATCTATATCCCACAGCAAGTGCAATGTCGTCTCCACGGCCTGTCCGCTCGGGAGCACTGTCGTCACCGCACGATAGCATTGCATCATCGCCGTCACGGGCTCACTCCACGGCACGTCTGTCGAACTCGGTGGCTCGTCATGGCACTTCTGTCCCAAGATTCTCCTCGTCTTTCAGTCGGCAAGCCGTCGTCGGTTCACCCTTTCGTCAAGGACGCATGGGCACTCCTCCCGCAGACGCCGGACCCGCTGGTGTGTACGGCTCAATGGGCAACACAAGCCAATTCGGTATGGCCGATCCCGATGTCGTTCGCCGACATCTAGTGAACAACGGTGAATCAAGTGCATTGAGCACAAGCTTGAAGCATGCGGCAAAAGGTCAGCTCGGAGGCGGAGGAATTGACGATGAATTCAGTTCCCTGCAGTTACAAGGTGGAGATATCACTCGTCAGGTCTACAGATGGCAAGAGAGTGCTGCTGCGGAGGCAGCCCAGGCGGCTTTGAAGAAGGGAAGGTCGTTGTCGTACTCTGAACCACGAATGGATGAGACGGGTGACGAGACGTTGCGCGCCTTGCACATGCCTGGAGGGTTCCGAAGAAACTTCATCGCACAAAGGCATGCCCAGAATGCGGAGGACGAGGACGGCCCTAGTCAACCTCGTCCCCAGCTCCACCGTCCGGCTCTAACGAAGCAGCCAACGTTCCTCACCAGAAACTTCATCGAGTTCCTGACTCTCTACGGCCACTTTGCAGGTGAGGAGTTGGAGGAGGAGGAGGAAGAGGATGAGTACGGAGAGGACGTGGCAGAAGAAGGACGAGCTGTTGCCCCTGAAGGACTCGATGACAGACAACCACTGCTCGCCAGTCCACGGAAAGCCAGGGCGCACGCTCGTGCACAACAACAGGGCAATGCCACTGTCACGAAGGCGGTCTTGCTCCTTCTCAAGTCTTTCGTAGGAACGGGTGTTCTTTTCCTTCCCAAGGCCTTCTTGAACGGTGGTATGCTGTTTTCGTCTCTCTTCCTCCTGGGTATCTCCGCCGTCTCTTTGTACTGTTTCCTACTCCTGGTGAATGCTAGACTCGTCATTCCAGGCAGTTTTGGTGACATTGGAGGTGCACTTTTTGGACCAAAGATGCGATCTGCTATCCTGTTTTCGATCGCTATCTCGCAAATCGGATTCGTGTGTGCGTACACTATCTTCACGGCAGAGAACTTGAGTGCGTTTGTTTCCGCTGTGACCGACTGCCGTGTCAAGATCGACATTATCTGGATGTTCCTGCTTCAGTTGATCATTTTCATGCCTCTGGCCATGATCAGGGATATCAACAAGCTCAGTGGAACTGCTTTGGTGGCCGACTTTTTCATCCTGTTGGGTCTATTGGGACTGTACTACTACGACATCCTGACCTTGTCAACGAATGGACTGGCTGATATTGAGTTGTTCAACGCCAACGACTTTACGCTCTTCATCGGTACTGCCGTCTTCACGTTTGAGGGTATCGGCTTGATCATCCCGGTGCAGGAGGCCATGGCGAGACCAGAGAAGCTTCCGAAGGTCTTGTCAGGTGTGATGCTCCTCATTACCGTGGTCTTCACTTCCATAGGAGTTTTGAGTTATGCCGCCTACGGATCCAGTGTGAAGACCGTTGTCCTTCTCAACCTTCCTCAGGACAGCAAGTTCGTGAACTCAATGCAGTTCTTGTACTCGTTGGCTATCCTCCTTTCGACACCGTTACAGTTGTTCCCGGCCATCCGTATCATGGAGCAATGTGAGTTGTGCAGCAGCGAAGAATTTTATATCTTACTAATACAATCACAGCATTGTTCACGAAGAGTGGAAAGTACAGCAGCTTGATCAAATGGGAGAAGAACCTCTTCCGGTTCGCCCTTGTCATGTTCTCGACGCTGATAGCCTGGCTCGGTGCTGCGGACCTGGACAAGTTCGTTTCGCTCATCGGATCCTTGGCATGCGTGCCGCTCGTCTACATCTATCCACCGATGCTGCACTACAGGTACGTTCACTTGCACAGCGTGAGAAACACCATGACTAATCTTGACTCAACAGGGCATGCGCCAATACCAGATGGGCCAAACTTGCAGACATCGCCATGGGGATTGCAGGAGTCGGAGTCATGGTCTACACTACGTCTACGACAATTCAGAGCTGGGCGGACAAGAGCGCACCTGCCCCCGGTTATTGTGACAGCCGTTAGCGGCGCCATTTGATGTGATGACTCCTTTAGTGCCGTTCGCGTTTGCCGGGTTTCCGAGAGCAGGGAGAGTTTCTCTATAGCATGATGGCCATGGTAGCAGAGCATTGTGACGCATACCATTCAATAGAACAGAGTTCTGACAAGCCTACTATTGACGTTACGTTATTGGGGGGTTGAATTGCGCGCTCGCAGTCGTCCTCGTGATTTTTAAAGTTGGGCGGGATGTCGGCAGCCGCTGCCACCGGCCTGCAACTTGCGCACTCTAGAGGACTTAGGACTGTGCTGTGCTGTGTGTGCCGAGTTCCGTGCACCAGTCGAAATTGTTGGAGGGTACAAATCAATGCATACACCCGAGTAGTTGCTGTCCTGCTAGATACCCGTTATCAGAGTCGTCGATCCCATCAGTCACTCCTTCGACATATAGGACGGCTCCCCTCTCTTCAACAACCTCGATCTACCCTGACTGTTGAAAGCTTCGCGTTGCCGCCGATGTCAACAGCACAATACTTGCCTCAGGACCTCTCCGAGAAGGACCACGTCTCAGACTCGGATCAGACTGTTACCGACATCGCCGACCCTTCTTCCACAGCTGTACCACCTTCATCGACCACAGCCTACCCGGCACTACACGACCAGCATCACTATGCCATTCCTCACGACGCTGCATACCACGCCGCACACCCAGATGTGGAGAAAGGAGATCCAAGAGAGTTAACCAATGCAATCAGCAGACGCAGAACCGACAGAATATATATTGAATGGGAGGAAAACGACCCGGAAGATCCATTCAATTGGAGCAGGACGAGAAAGTGGGTCGTAACGGTTGTTGCCAACCTCATGACTTTTATGGTGGCATTCAATGCAGGAGCATATACTCCAGGACAAGCTGGTATGGAGGAGACATTCGGAGTATCTCGAGTGGCCATCATCTGTGGGTTGACGGTCTACGCCCTTGGATTTGGTGTGGCACCCCTCGTTCTGGCACCCCTTTCTGAGGTGTACGGACGCAACCCAGTTTACATTGTCAGTTTCTTGATTTACACGGTTTTCTTCATCGAATGTGCATTGTCACAGAACCTCGCTACCATGCTCGTCGGTCGTTTCATTCAGGGTTGTGCTGGTTCGACTGGATCTACGATGGTGGGTGGGACATTGGCCGATATTTGGCATTCGGACGAGCGCGGGACGCCCATGTCCATGTTTGCTACTGTTGCGATGGTGTCGACTTCGCTTGGGCCATTAGTGGCTGGATACATCAACGATGGCTTGGGCTGGAGATGGATTCATTGGATTCAGATGATTGTCTGTGGTGTATGCTGTATCGTCTTCGTCCTTGTCTTGAGGGAATCTCGTGGTTCTGTATTGCTTAGCAAGAGGGCGAAGAAGATGAGGAAGGAGACTGGTGATCAGCGTATCCGTGCGCCGGCAGATGATGAACGTGCAAGTTTGGCTGTGTTGGTCAAGGTATCGCTGACCAGACCTTTGTGGTTGTTGATCAGTGAACCTGTCGTCTTTTCCTTTTCCCTCTGGTTGGCCTTCGTTTGGGGAATTCTTTACCTCTTCTTGGAGTCCATCCCGCTTACGTTTCAGACTGTTCACGGATTCTCGACCTCATCTGTCAGTCTCGTGTTTTTGGCCATGACTATCGGAGTCCTTATTGGTGCTGTACTCGACTTTACCGTCCAGCAACCACTCTACCTCAAATCCGCTCAACGCAGTGAGACTGGCCAACCGATCCCAGAATCTCGTTTGTACTCCAGCTGTGTGGGAAGTTTAATCCTTACCGGTGGTATGTTCATGTACGGATGGTCAAGTCGGGAAGGCGTTCACTGGATTGTGCCAACGATCGCCGTCGCCATGGTAGGGTTCGGTCTCTACACCATTTACCTTTGTGTCTTCAACTACCTTTCCGATATCTATGGACGCTATGCGAGTTCAGCCCTGGCCGCCCAGAGTTTCTTGCGAAACATGTTCGGTGCTGGGTTTCCCTTGTTCACCGTGCAGATGTTCAACAAGCTTGGCTTTGCTTGGGCTTCATCTCTTTTGGGGTTCATTGCTCTTGCACTTTCAGCTGTGCCGTTTGTCTTGATGAAGTGGGGTCCGGAGATCAGGCGGAGGTCAAAGTTTGCTTCAAATTTAGAATAAGGGAAAGTGAGATATCAGGATATTTTCGAACTTCGGGACCACTTTTTATCACGTTAATTGCATTGGACGAAGCATAGCATAGGACAGACGAAACCAGATACCTACGAATTGCAAGGTGTTCGATTTGAATAAACGGATATCAAAGATTAAATTGTGAGCTAAATACAGTCCAATGTCCACGACATCTAAGCAGACAAAGCCTTCATCATCTCCTCCGCACCCTTCTCCGAGTTCACATACTGCACCCTCGAGATAGGGAAGCCGTTGAAACGACTGGCGGCACAACCAGTGTAGGCACCCATCTCCTCAAAGTAAAGCCAGTCTCCGACATCCAAAGCGTAAGGCAAGAAAGACTCCTCGCTAATGCAGTCAAGGGAGTCGCAAGTGGGTCCCCATACAGAGCATCTCACAGAAGAATCGCCGCGAGCCTCGTTGTAGAGGAAACGGCCATCGTGAGCCAAAACGCGAGGGACGGGGTGCTGGTGGTCGAACAAAATACAGTTGAACGATCCGTAGACACCGTCGCTGACGTAATACATGTAGGACTTGTCAGCGAGGCCAGCCTCACCTTCCTGGTTGGCAACGGTCCTGCGAGCGATGATGTTGACAGCCAAGGTAAACGCGTTGGCAACATAGTACCTTCCGGGCTCAGCGATAACCCTAATAGTCGAAGGGAAGTGCTGGTCAATGGCAGGGCCAAGGACGGCAGCGATGGTCTCGAAGTTGTCGTGACCGAAACCACCACCAACATCGAGCAACTTCAGGTCGTATCCAACGGAAGCAGCCTCGTCGAAGACGCAGCGAGCACGCTCAACAGCGTCGACGAAGGCAGAAGGATCCCACGAACCAGATCCAACGTGGAAAGAAACACCGACAATGTCGAGCTCAAGCTCCTTAGCCAACTTCAATAGGGGCAAGGTGGTGTCCAAAGGAGCACCGAACTTCAATCCCAACTGACACAAAGACTTGGAATCATCGGTCAAAATCCTCAACAAGAGGCTAGCACCGGGATAAAGGCGCTTGATCTTGTGCAACTCGTCCGCGTTGTCGAAGGTCATCATACGGACGCCATTGTTGGCAGCAAACTTGATGTGAGACGCCGCCTTGCAAGGGTTGGCGTAGATGATCTTATTCTCAGGAACACCGAGGGACAAGACCTGCTGAATTTCGGCCTTCGAGGCACAGTCGAAGCCGGTACCGAGGGACGCGAGAAGGCGAACAACCTGGGGGTCAGGGTTGCACTTCACAGCGTAGAAGGGCTCCACGCGAGGCAGATTACGCTTCCAACGGAGATGCTGGCGGTAGACCTCACCGACGTCGGCAACGAAAAAACCGTTCTCACTGTCGGAGACACCGGCATCGACGTCCATCGCGGCCAAATGAGACAAGAGAGCATTCCTAACAAAAGCGCGGCCAGGGTTAGACACACGCTGCTTGTGAGATTGGGGGAGCACAATAGGAGCGCCCAAGTTCGGCGAAGACGCCAAGTGGTTGGTAGTTTCAATGATTGCTGGAGACATGGCAACAGCGGCGGAAGGAGACATTTCGAGTTGTGGGTTGACAAAGAGTGTTTGAGAGGACCGGTTTGCGAGCAGGACCAATTGTTGGGCTTTAGAACATAAAATGTTCTGAGTGTACAGTTACTTTTGTGTTTCGACCTTCGAGAAGGATAGAGTAGCCCTCGTCACGAGGAGCTTACTCTACTTTGAAGGTGTGCCAAGCGGTGGGGGGGTTTAAGGCTGTCAGCGAAGGATGCTAAGGCATAGTTAGCCATTGATCTTCAAGAAAAGTAGCAATTGATGCTTACCGGACAGTGCAGTATGGAACTGGCTTGAAGTGGACGAGCTTGGTGGGGGCGGTGTCGTTGAAAGCTCCTGAAGCCGTGGTGGGCAATTGGGCTACCTTTTGCGAGCAAGGCAGCAAAAACGAAATGTGTATTCTACCAGTACAATGAGCACTGGCGATGGAACGATGCCTTTTGGTAAGGGATCGGGGTTTTGGTGGAGTTGATGTCCAAGGGAAAAGTCCTCGATTCGATCGGAGTGACGCTAAATCCGCATGCTTACTTTTTCGCAGTAGAATGAGGGGCCGAGGTCATCGTGCCGTTTTCATGGTCCGAAGGTTGCAAAATGCTTCAATTATTTTCTTTGATATATCAGCAGCTCTATCACCTGTGCAGTCTCTGTATCGCCTTCAATTGCCACCTTCGTCCTGCACGTCACCTCCAGTCCTTTTGCCTCCATGAGCTCAAAGAACTCCTTCTCGTCCTCGTGCCGTCGCTTGTATGCCATTAGCAGTCGGTTATTATTGTTCAAAACCGCATCTATCACACCGACCAGCGGCTCGAAGTATGCAGAATTGTAGGTGCAGTCTGTCATGATCACCAGACCGAAGCTGGTTTTGTAATGTTCTGGCAATGGCTCTGTCCAGTCCAGTTCCACGAACTTTGCTCGATCACCCAGAGAATTGGCCTTAAGGTTCAGGTCTGCAATTTCTTTAGCTAGACCCAGGTCTGTCAGAGTGACCAAGCAATTCTCGAAGAGTGTTGCAAATGTGATGCCGAACGTCCCGCATCCAGCACCAAGCTCAAGGATATTGACATGATCACGATTGAGACATGCCCTTATGGCTTTCCGTAACTCTGGTGATGCCAAATTGCTCCTCTCATTGTCTAGTGAAGCGAGCACAAGGGAAGCACTCAAACCAGCATCCCTGGGCAGCATAATTAGCCAACTCCCAAACCGATTTCTGCTGCAAGACATACCATATATGCCGTGCAATGCTTTCACCAGTCTCCTCGACCACCTTCAGCACTCTATCATCCCGTATTTGTAGCCTCCTCTCCACAAACAGCTCCTTCGTCTTCTGGCCAAGCCTGAACGGCAAACTCCATATTGGCAGCACAGAGGTCCGCCCTTGCACCATCATATACTGCCCCCATACATCTTGCACTGCTTTTCTGTCCTTCTCACCGACTCTCAGGAAGTATTGATGCTTAGGATTGCACTTTGCGGCATCGACCTGCAACACCACCTTCAACGCTCTCATAGGGAACGTCCAGTCAACAGTCTTGCTCAGCACCGCCGTCTCCGCACTTCCAGGTCCATTTCTGTAAAGAATTGCTTCCAGAGTGGCATTATCCTCATAAAACGTCTCTCCTAGCTATCATAACTTTAGCACAACCAGCATTCGAAGGATATGGGGGTACACACATCCGTAGTGAGGGTAACGACCGCCGTAATCGTCCAAACGGCAGACTTTGGACTCTTCGCCTCGAGCTTCGTAACCGGCGCCTTCAAGAACCTACAATGCGTGATTCCACCCATCATGTCGTTCCGTATCCCGAATTGGGAAATCCGCAAAGTGTAACGTCGACACCCCCAAGTCACCACCATCCCCTCACCACAAAGATGTCGACGTCAATCCTCAAGGACCCATCACTCATCGAATTCCTCGAACTCACAGAAGAAGTACGCTCACTATGCCACCGAGTCCTCTCCTTGCCCTCTTCAGACGCGACACAACAAGCTCGAGACAGACGAACAGCGATGACCTACCTCACCCGCCTACGACAATTGAACAGATCAGCGCAACTACAAAGCCGAGCAGCGAAGCAAACTACAGCTGAGGCGAAACAAGAGCTGGATCGTGCGCATCTGGAGTTACAGAATCTGTACTATGAGCATCAGCATTTCTTGAGTGAGATTGCACAGTGTGAGGATTATGCGTGAGTATACCTTTTGGAATTGCGTTGAACTTGAATGCTGACAGTTCATTCACAGGGCAACATATATTACGTTGGATCTGGCGTCCGAGGAAGACTTCCTCTCTTCGCACCCTGAACAACCATCATCCGACCCACATGTCCTCATGCTCGCAAGAATACAGGCCGAGGGTGACGAACGGGATCGACTAGAAGTACTCAGGAAGGAGTTGATCGCGAAGAAAGCGGCGCTGGTCGAAGAGAACAAGAAGAGAAAGGATGAAATGGAAGCATGGGATGCAGAGATGTTGAAGTTTATCGAGGTATGTCTGACACCACTCATCAGAACGACGGATCAAATGCTAATAAGGTGTGAATAGTCGGCAGGACCTATCAAGAAGACCTTGATGAAGTATTAGATGGTACTACTAAGCTAAAGCCTACATGGGCGCAAGAATCCAATATCTCCAGATATGCGACCAATTCCAGTTCATCTGAAGTCAATCGTACACGTATCACGACCGTTTCACTTCCCGCCCGCCAAGTGCATGAAGTTCTGCGCCAAGTCGGCAAGGATCCTTGCTTTATGCTGCGAGAGTCTGTCAGCAAACGTCCATATCCGACAGATGAAGCCACTCACGTCTGCAGGTAACGACTGATACACCTCATACACACTCCTCTGATTCCTCTCCCTGATGGCTCCCAGTCTATTTCCAACGACGGCACCCGCAAGAAGGCCAGGCACATTACCCACGATGAATCCAAGTACGGCACCACTCGCTCCTCCCGCAAGCGACCAGAACTTATTGCTCGTGCTGGTATCGAAGTTGACGTTGATATTCTCTTCATTCATCATTTCCTCGAACGCGTCCGCAAACTGGTCTTCCTCATACGCCGGTTGTTCCTGTCTTGGGTCTGGCCGTGACCAGCTGCCCCAGCCGGTGCTGGAGCCTGTACGGCGTGCTTGTTCTGCTCTTGCGCGGTCGTATTCTGCGCGTCTGCCCACATCGGAGAGGGTGTAGAATGCCTCTGTATATACGTCAGCTCCATCATTTCAATGGAAAGGTCCGATATATACCGTTCACTAACTGAAATCTTCTTGTCGCATTCGCATCGCCTGGGAAACGATCAGGATGAGAGGCGAGCGCAGCCTTTTTATAACCAGTCTTGATCTGAATAGGCGTTGATTCTGGCTTGACACCGAGGACGGCGTAGTAATCTGGTAGCGAGTCTGACATGGCGGTGGATCGGTTGGTTAAGGTTCTTGTCGAAGAGGTTTCCAATAATGGGATCCAGTGACGTACAGTACCGTACACCGTGTGGCGGGGACCCAGCGCGTGAAGCGATCAGGCAGACAGGAAGAAGGAGCAGGCAGCATACACCCCAGCATGTCCTCGGCCTCTCCACCAAACTCACCACGCCCACAACCGTTTGGTCTCTTCACTGCCAGGCGGAAATCTGCGCCATTACTCTCGCTTCTTGCCGCTCCCGAACGACCCCGATCCGCGTCTGGTGCTGGGCATACTCATCCACCGCCTGCGTTGTCAGAGTATGGGTCTATAGCTTCAAGACCGTCTCTTCATACGCTTCACACGACTCGGAGTTTCCAGTTGTTGGATCGTAGCGAGCAGCCAGTCAACTGGAAAAAGGTGAGGCTATTCTACGCGACGGTCGTTTCACCTTGCTAACCCGTGCACAACAGTACTATGTCGAAGATGAGACCCTCAAAAAGATGAAAAAGAAAGTCAGAGCATTTTACGAGCAACAGAACACCCTCATCGAAAAGTTACAGGTCATTGACCAATTGTTGGCGAGCGATTTCCCACATGGTCTGATTCACACCTACGACACCGGCAGCCCACGTCCTACAGACCTCGAGAATCAGCCATTACTAGGTGGTGACAGCCCCGAAGAGACCTCGAAACTTACCTGGCTCGCGATTAACGTCAACTTTGCCGCCAATGTCTTCCTTCTCGCTGCCAAGGTCGTCGTCGCCCTGGCCACAAACTCCCTCTCCATTTTGGCTTCGTTGGTGGATTCATCCCTGGACTTCCTGTCAACAGTAATCATTTGGACAACCGCAAAAATCATCGAAAACCGCGACTGGAAATCTCGGTATCAGTTCCCTGTTGGACGTAACCGCTTGGAGCCAATCGGTGTGCTCGTATTCGCAGTCATCATGACTGTTGCGTTCTTCCAGGTCGCAGTACAAGCTGGACATCGCCTACTATTCGAGGAAAGTCGGGAGGTTGTGAGATTGACAAACCTGAGTATCGGGATCATGGCGAGTACGGTGTTGGTGAAGGGATTGTGCTGGCTCTGGTGCAAAAACTTCAAGACGACGAGTGTGCAGGCATTAGCACAAGATGCCATGAACGATGTTGTGTTCAAGTATGTTCTATTCATCGGACCACGTGGATTCTGCTGACGAAACATAGCTTCTTCTCGATTGTCTTTCCCTTGGTCGGTGGCTTTTTCAGCGTCTGGTGGCTCGACTCCCTAGGCGCCATCCTGATCAGTTTGTACATCGTTGTCGAGTGGTTACAGACTTCAGCAGAACACATCCAGCGACTCAGTGGCATGACTGCCGCGGTACGTACATTTCAATGCTCTCCGTGACGGACCGTTAGCTAACAAGCCCGTGCAGATCGAGGACCAACAACAAATCGTGTACCTCGCCGCTCGTTTCTCCAACCTGATCCAATACGTGACGATGGTTAACGCATACCATGCTGGTGATAAGCTCGTTGTTGAGGTGGAAATTTGCTTGGATCCCAAGACGAGTTTGAAGGATGGACATGATCTTGGTGAAGCACTTCAGTGGATGATTGAGTGTTTGCCGAATGTCGAGAGAGCTCATGTTCATCTTGACTATTCTCATAGTAGTCCGATTGGGCATAAGCCAAGATAATCTGAGGCGTGGGAATATGTCTGTGGCTACGAAAGCATGTCATTACATAGCACATCTAGCGGACTTATGAAGGGGAGTTTAAGAACGGTAATAAGGAATATTATCTGTGTGTATCCAATGACTCGTATCCAAAGTATCATGTAAAACGCTCGTGTATGCCTGACCGTAACCCCCGGTATGTCTCGAATTATACTCGTACATATCCGCATCCATGATCCCAGTAAATCAAATAAAAAGAACATTAAGCAATCGTCTCAGCAATCAATAATAGTACACATCGCCCTTAAGCAACTGGGTTGATGGTGTGGTTGTTGGGCGCGAGATCAGGGCCTCCGGACGCCTGTCCGTTGGACCACCCGTTGCTCTGCTGCTCCTGCATGGCCATGACAGCAGAGGGGTGTCTCTTCAAGTAGCTGTTTGAGGTCTTGACGGCGGGTCTCAAGTCGTACACCAAGGTCCAGACATAGGCGTCGAACAAGAACGCAATGATCCACTCGCATACAGCAGCGGCAGACTCGTGGTTCTTGTTCATCAACACACCCATCGCGATGGCGAGGGCGACGGCGAAGATGACAATGAGGATCTTGACGGCGTAGGAGAACATGAGGCGGCGGGTGTCGGGGTAACCCTTGCGGAGGAATCGGAATTCGCAAGTGGTGAAGATTGCCGAAAGCGCAATGAAGATGATGAACACAACCGTCAAACGCCAGTGAACACTAGAATGGTTGAACGCATCCCAAATACTCAAGCAAATCAAGGCAGCAGCACCGACAAGCGCGCATACAATCGCGCAGACACTCAAAACCTTCTCCGTAGTGCGCCTATTAGGCGTGAGACGCGACCGATGCCTCAACCACCTCTCCGCAATCAACGCCGCCACAAAGAATGGACCGGTCACCGAGGTTCCGGCTATAAATAGTGGTTTGATATGTGCTCCTACATCGGAGATATACACGATTCCACCCTCGTCTGATTGGTATCGTGGCGTGCCTTCTGCGCCCCAGATGATGAGCATGGCGAGGAGGACACCGAACCAAGTTGCGGCGGAGACGACGGGAAGCCAACAGGCCTCAATTCCTCTTCCAATTGCCGACCCAGCTCGCCGACGTCATCTCCTTTGCGCGCCCCCGGAGCGACGTAGCCGTGCATGATCCAAACTTTACCCCCCCCCCCCCCCCTAAAACTGCTGCATTCACCCCCCATCAGCAACCAACCCGCTGTTGCTCCCTTCCATCCCATAGCTCCTATGTCAAGATTCCTCGGCTACGCACGTCCTTGTTGAATGCCCTTGTTGAAAGAGCATCTATAATTCCCATACACGTCCCGTTGAAAGTGCATCTGTGATTCCCATACACGTCCCCCGAGTAGGCCAGCTTACACGCGCCACCTGATCACAGTGACATGCGGCGCCGGCCTCTGCAAGCTCCCAGCGTTCGTGCAGCTGCAGTCACAAGCGAGCAACTTACACGCTCAGAACTTTCGAGACACCAACACACCATTGTCGATACCCAAAGCTGGCTTCCTTTGATTCACGCAGGAAATCTCATTCAAGAAAGTTTGTCCAATCACCAAACATGACAACTTTCGTGGCCTCTCTGTTCTTGCCTCGTATGTGGAAATCGCTTGAGCGGAATACCCCGGATGTATGTTAACGCATCGAAATAGATACGATTTCGTTTGATCTGAATGATGCGAAGGGAGAGGACAATTCGCTGCCTACTCCGGCCAACTCCTTGCCAGTTCCGAACCTGTTGGTGACTTTGGGATCTGCCGTTCCATCGCCTCCAGCAACACCTGGTGTTGATGCTCCAACAACGGAGTTCTTCTTCCCTAGTATTGGTGCTACCTTAACGCCCGCACAGAGTGCGAACCCACCTTCTGAAGGAGGCCGACCTGGAATGAAACGTATGCTCACTCAACCTCGTTCCCGGGCTTCCTCCCCTCCTCCTCCAAATATTGCGCTGGGCAAGGCTGCAACCTTAGAAGGCATTCCGAAGCCCTTTACCCACCAGATGAGGCGTCGTCGTCAGTCTTCAGTAGACGAAACTACTCTCTTCGCCACCGCGAACTGGACGGTTGAGCCTTCTGATCTCGGCAACGGTGGGCTGAAGAACGCTATCCGCGCCGGCGAGGAAGAGGGCAAACTCTCAAATCGCGTCTGGGTTGGAACTCTGGGCATGCCTACTGACGCTCTACAGGAAGAGACCAAGAAGAGTGTTGAGGTGCTCATGCAGAAGAACCAGGGTTGTCTTCCCGTATGGGTGAAGGACAGTGATTTCGAGGGCACTTATGACCATTTCTGCAAGCAGATTATTTGGCCGATGTTTCACTACCAGATCCCTGATGAGCCTAAGAGCAAGGTTTATGAGGATCAGTCTTGGAAGCACTACGTTGCCCTCAACCAGGCGTTCGCTGATGCTATTATCGCTCAGTACAAGAAGGGTGACACTATCTGGGTGAACGACTACCATCTTTTGCTGGTTCCGGGAATGATCCGCAAGGCTATCCCTGATGCCATCATCGGCTTCTTCTTGCACGTGTCTTTCCCATCCTCCGAGGTCTTCAGGTGTTTCGCTGTTCGTGAGCAGTTGCTTCGGGGTATGCTCGGATGCACGGTCATTGCTTTCCAGACTAGTGAGTATGCTCGTCACTTCTTGCAGACCTGCTCTCGTTTGCTCCGTTTGGAAGCTTCTTCGGAGGGCGTTTACCTGGACGACAGGTTTGTCTCGGTCAAGAGCGTGCCCCTTGGTATCGACCCCGGAGCACTCCAGATGAAACGCGAGGAGAAGGAAGTTCAGGACTGGGTTAAGCTTCTTAGAGAGCGCTACGAGGGTAAGCGCATCTTGGTCGGTAGGGACAAGTTCGACCACGTCCGTGGTGTCAAGCAGAAGTTGTTGGCCTACGAGATGTTCTTGGCGAACTACCCCGAGTTCAGGGACAACACTGTTCTCATCCAGGTGGCCACCTCGACGACCGAGAACCGTGATTTGCAGACGCAGGTTACGGATATTGTTACGAGAATCAACTCTACTTACGCCAACCTGACGCACACGCCAGTTATCTTCTTGCACCAAGATATCACGTTCTCGCAGTACTTGGCGATGTTGACGATCGCTGATGCCTTGATCGTTACTTCATTGAGGGAAGGAATGAACTTGACGTGTCATGAGTACGTCTTCTGCCAGAGCCAGACGAAGCACCCCTTGGTACTGTCCGAGTTCACTGGATCCGCAGATGGATTCGGTAAGGACGCAGCGATCTTATGTAACCCATGGGACTACAAGGGTACTGCGAAGGCCATCCACAATGCGTTGACGATGTCGAAGGAGGAGATGGAGTGCAGATGGGAGAAGTTGAACGAGTGGGTGCTCACGCATACTGCTGTCGGATGGGTCGCTACTTTCCGCAAGCACCTCGAGGCTGCCTACGTCGAGGCTACCAGCAGTGGCGCATCTTCCATCCCTCGTCTTTTGATCGAGCCTCATATCAAGAGATACCACCAGTCCAGGAATGGTAGGTTCTTCTTCGTCGATTATGAGGGAACTACCGGAACCTGGGGTGACCCGCGTAACAGCGTCATCACTTCACCTCAAGTCTTGATTGACGCGCTGAATGAGCTCGTTGCGGATCCGTTGAATGTGGTGTACCTCACTTCTGCGCATGGTCCGGAGGATCTTGAGGCGTTGATGAGGCGTGTGCCCAAGTTGGGATTGGTCGCCGAGAATGGATGCTACGTCCGTCCTTTTGGTCGTGCTTTGAGCACACCTGAAGCGGAGCGTCTTCACCCTAAGCCAGGACAGGACCACAAGGACTGGGTGCGCTTGGCGAAGGAGGATGACTTTGCCTGGCACGGAGCTGTGAAGCAGATCTTTGAGTACTACGCCGAGCGTACTCCCGGTGCCCGCGTCACCGAGAAGAACTCTGGCTTCATCTTTGACTACTCGAATGCTGAGGACAACTCGCTTGCTGCTCGCCAAGCTGGTGAAATCATCAACCATGTCAACGATGCTTGTGCCGGACAAACCGTCCATGCGGTTCCCGGCGAGGGCGTCGTTGTCGCCGAACCCACCACGGTCTCCAAGGCTAAGGCCGCCGAGTATTGCTGGTCATTGCTCGACGGACGCAAGATGGACTTCTTGTGTGTTGCCGGAGACGACAGGACTGACGAGGACGTCTTCCGCTGGGCCAACGAGCTCGAGAAGACTGGCGCGGTTGAAAGTGTCTTGAGCGTTAGTATCGGAGAGAGGAGTACGCAGGCCAGGAGCTGGGTTCCTGGAACGAATGGAATGGTTAGCTCACTGGAGAGCTTGTTGAGCGGATAAAATAGGCATGAAATCCACGATTGCGAATATAGGTTATGATGAGGATGAGAACCGGGATACCTGGCATTATTATCTGATAGCACTTAATTATAGACTTTCCACGCTTCGACCCTAACCCTATGGGGCAGCCTCACGTGCACGCAAAACTTTTAAAGCGGGCAGTCAGGATCGAAGCTGCTTCACCTCAACCATGGCCTTCATGCCGGTCGAATAGACTCCTAGACGTCGCTACTCCTAATTGCTTCGGCAAGGTGGACGGGACACAGGGAGTAAACAACGGACGGTCATATTTCTATGGGAGCTTAACAGGTCAACTACGAACACACCGCTCTCTCATCACGGAGGAGTCAACTAGGCTCTGAAGCCATGGGATTGGTGTTGTATATGTACCGACATCTTCGTGTTTTAAACGCAATAATAAAATGCTATTTGTAATACGACTCACTTACAGCAGGTCTTATCTAATCTCGCTGTCGTATGAACGTAGACCGCAGCGCAGCGCAGTTGGCACCCGCACGCAAAACACTCCTCGCGCATCCCACATCCCTCCTCCAACGCGGACAGGGTGATATCAGAATTACGGAGAGCAACGGAACGTAGCATTACGAAACGCTCTGACAACCTTACGCACTCGACTGTCGATCTGCCGAACGCTCACCGAGGCTTCCGATTGGCACAAGGCACATAGCCGTGCCGCCGTGCCGCCGATCAGCCGCTTCTATCGCTATATCTGGTGACTCAAGCCCGCTTTCCGACAAGGAACACCACGACTGCAACTGTCTTTAACCAAACTCAACACTGTTGATGTCTTCGTCATCATCAAGCAAGAGAGAGCGTGAAGTAGGAGGGTATCGCATCGGTAACGAGATTGGTCGCGGTTCATTTGCGACGGTTTACAAAGGTTACCGCATTAAGGACCGCGAACCCGTCGCCATCAAATCAGTCTTACGATCAAAGCTTACGAAGAAGTTGCTGGAGAACCTCGATTCTGAAATCGCAATCCTCAAGAGCCTGGGGCACCCACACATCGTCGCCCTCATCGCCTGCTTCAACCACCAGCCATCACCAACACCGCAATATGACCTTTCATCATCACCAAGCCCAGCCAACTTTGAGGCCGGAGGATCATCGACAAGCAAATATATCCACCTCATCATGGAGTTCTGCGCGCTGGGCGACCTGAGTTTCTTTATCAAGAAGCGTGAACATTGGAAGGAGATACCAGAGATTCGCCACCTTAGCACGCGTTACCCATACCCACCGGCCGGTGGCCTGAATGAATACGTTGTTAAGCATTTCCTGCGGCAACTGTCATCCGCGCTTGCTTTCCTCCGCGAGAGGAACCTCATTCACAGAGATGTTAAGCCGCAAAACTTGCTGCTCCAGCCGCCACCGAACCCTAATGCGCCTGCATTCTGCAGCAGCGGAGAGGACCTGCCGGTATTGAAGATTGCTGATTTCGGTTTTGCAAGGAGTCTGCCAGGTGGAGGACTGGCTGAGACTTTGTGTGGAAGTCCATTGTATATGGCACCAGAGATCCTGAGGTACGAGAAGTATGACGCCAAGGCAGACCTTTGGTCCGTAGGTGCTGTCCTGTTTGAGACATTGACGGGCCGTCCTCCGTTCCGTGCGCAGAATCACGTCGAGTTGCTTCGCAGAATCGAACGTGCAGGGTCGGCAGGTGTGAGATGGCCGGAAGAGGCGTTGTCCAATGTCAGTGGCGAGATGAGGGAGTTCGTAGGGAGATTGTTGAAGAAGGAACCTGGGGAGCGTATGGATTTTGGAGAGTTTTTTGGGTGGGTTGATGGAATGGAGGGTGTCGGTGGACAAGCATTGGAAGTTGTCGCAAAGTCCAGGACGGGTGAGTTGATGGTGGGCACGACTACATTACCTACGGAGGGAACGAGTCCCAGTCCAGCATTCATCACGGATTATATCTCGTCAACACCAAGGCAGCCGGCACCGCCTATGGTTCCTTCATCTATACCTACGCGACCCCCGCTGGGTCATCATGCAACAACGACTAATGCTCATCAGCCACCTACGGGTTACTTCACCCGGAGGATGTCAACACCCAGTCATACTGCACGTCCTGCTCTCACGCACGACACCTTCCAAACACCATCCGCAGCGACAGCTTTGGAGCGTCGTCCCTCTCAGCGGGCTCATGCGGGCACGCAGGTCGTCACTACCATTGACGAGGATGAGAGGGATTATGTCATGGTTGAGAAGCGGTCTGTGGAAGTAAATGCCCTGGCGGATGAGCTTGCGAGACCGAGAACGCAGCCGCCTGTCAGTCGTCGTTCATCTGGCTCTTTGGCTAGGGGTATCAGTGCGACGGGTGGTTATTCACCCCGTTCTACCAGCGCGTTTGGTACGTCGCCCGGTTCGGCGCTCGCGAAGGCCATTTCGCTTGCGAGTATGCGTTTGTTGGGTTCGGGAAAGTCTCCTCCCGTGGCTCAATGGCTGGCGAAGGGAAAGAAAGTAATGCCTTGGATGAGTAGTCCTCACTACAACCACGTAGTGGGATTCGAGACTGGAACCGAGGACGATGCGCAGGTCGTGAAGCAGCTTGGTGAGATCTGCAGCCGTGCCGAAGTCGTGTATGAGTTTGCGGAGGTTAAGCTGTCGCAGTTGATACCACCTACACCAGTTGGTGCTGGCGGAGCTGATCCTTCGCCGTTGACACCGGAAGCGACTGCGACACTCGCCGAGGAAGCGTTGGTGTTGTACGTGAAGATTTTAGGTCTTCTTCAGCACGGGATGGAGATTGTCGGCGCTTACTGGTCCAGTGCTAGACATGGTATTGCCGCCAGTCCCGACTTGAATACTGCCGTGCAATGGATCCGTGATAGGTTCAACGAGTGCTTAGAGAAGGCAGAGTATGCCAGAGGCAAACTTGGCAGTGCCGTGGGTGAGAGTGGACCTACCCCGAGCTCCGCAACTATGGAGGTGATCACTGCCGAGAAGCTTCTATACAACCGTGCTTTGGACATGAGTCGTCAAGCAGCGATCAACGAGCTCGTAGGGGATGACCTTCTCCAATGCGAGAGTTCATATGAGGTCGCGATCACGATGTTGGAAGCGATTTTGGATAACGAGGGTTCGTCTGAGGGAGAAGAACCGGCTATGGACGAAGAAGATCGCAAGACGGTTGAGAAGTTTGTGAAGGCTATGCGCGACAGACTTGGGCGTTTGAGGCACAAGCTTGATTCATTGAAGGTTGAGGCTTTGAGGAGTGGGCCGTCAGGACCCGTTGCTCACCCGGTGTAGTTGCGGGTGGTCCTGGAGAGGTAAGAGATACAGTATACTTCGGCTGTGAACGTATTGGGATGCGATGACATGAAGCTCTTTATGACATTTACTTGGTTTGCGGGCCCTTCTTGGGATGGCCGTGCTTATGGTTTGATTGCTGGTTGGTTTGGAGTTTCTTCACTTGGCTTGGGGGTTTGCACGGGTTCATCGTTACTGGGACAAGGATTTGGGGTCTTTTGCTCGCTTCAATGCAGATTTATTTGTGCAATCGAAATATGTATTCATCTTCCGTAAGGGAATGTAGATCAGTGATTAAGTCCTGCAAACTCCGTGGTTTTTCCGGTGAGTCAGGGTGGAGTAGTTCTTAATTGATCTCCCAATCGTCAAGAAGCGAACGAGCCACCATTAGAAATCAACATGTTCGAAACAAGTGATCAGATCGATGGTCCGTTGTATTGTCAAGGCATGGGGAAAGTGAAGCGGAGTATACGCGACAGGGCAGTCCGGAGGTTCCACAGAACCCGTACCAATCCGTTACACATACTCTGCTTCAATAGAGGAGACTGGCACTGCGTCCTCTCCATTATCGAGTCCAGTCCGATGAAGCCCCAGTTGGGGGTGTCGGTACAAACTCGCACTCGGCGGAGTTGGGACGAAATTTTATATCGCGGCCGGCTTGAGGGGGCTTAGCGTGCGACCGGCTGTGTGGCTGGAGAAGGCCGAGGTAGTAGCGGGAGCTCCGAGATTTATTTTGGTGCACGGAAGGAACAACAGTAACAGCTTGACGTAGAATATGGAACACGGTGAAGCTTGGGTTTGCTACGCCGGGGTGAACGACCGACGAAGTCATCTCAAGCATCGCCGTTATCCTGCGTTTGAAATGATGATCAAAAGAGTTCTGCAATTCCAAGCGAGTTCTCTCGGTGCTTCCGGGTGCCAGAGATGGACAAGCAATGCGGATTACTCTATACATTACACTTACTTCTGATCAAACGCATTCAACATCAACATTCAACGTCAAGTTTACTGTCAGAGATGAGTCCTTTGTTATGGATGCAATAGTTAGGGAATCAATTAGTAATGTTATTTTCCTGCTGATGTGTCTAACTTCACTTCTCCTGCTCCAGGAGACGCTCCTCACGCTCCTTCCTGATGTGCTGCTTGAGCATGTTCTTGTAATCACGAATGTCACCGTCAAACTCCTCAACCTTACCCTTGTCCACAATCCAAACTTCCTCAGCGACCTGCTCAATCAAACGGAAGTCGTGAGAAATGATAACAACACCACCGTCGAACTCGTTAATGGCCTCAGCGAGGGCATCAATAGTGTCCAGGTCAAGGGCGTTGGTAGGTTCGTCAAACAAGATCATATGAGGGTTCTTCAAACCAAGGTATGCGAACAGCACTCGTCGTCTCTGACCATCAGACAACTGCTTCATCGGCACAACCTGACTCTTACCAGTCAATCCGAACTTACCAACCCATTTTCTCATATCACCAACACCACGCTCACCGTACTCGATACGCAGCCAGTCGACAGCGGACATATCCAAATTGAGCTGGTCACCCATATGCTGGTGGAAGTGTGCGAGTCGTAGATGGTGGTGCTTGGAGATGGTACCAGTGGTGGCCTCGAGCTTACCAAGGATAAGCTTGATGAGAGTAGTCTTTCCAGCACCGTTAGGTCCGACAAGAGCCACGCGGGAGGAAAGATCAAGACCGAAGTTCATGTCGTGAAGAAGGATAGGCTGGTCAGGGTACGCAAAGTCGACCTCACGGAACTTGATAGCAGGGGCGGGAATACCACCACCACAAGGAGTGAATTTGAGATTGAGCTCCCTGTCTTGGATAAGCTCCTCCTCGAGAGTAGCATCCTTGGCCTTGTCCTTCTCAAACTTCTTCTCCATAGCCTTAACCTTGGACTTCGCTTGCTGCTGCTCCTTGGAACCAGTCTTGTTAAGCTTTTGCTGGAGCTTAGCCATCTCCTTCTCCTTAGTGTTGGAACGCTTGGTAAGTTGAGCAGTCTTCTCCTCACGGACACGGACGAAAGTGTCGTAATTGCCGTTGTAGAAGTCGAGATGCTGGTGGTAAAGGTGGATGATGTCAGTACAGACTTCGTTGAGGGTGTCCATAGAGTGAGAAATGATCATGAGCGTGTGACCCTCGATTTCGTGGAGCAAGTACTCCTCAAGCCATGCGACAGCTTCCAAGTCCAAGTGGTTGGTAGGCTCATCAAGCATCATGAGAGTAGGCTTGACGAACAAGATACGGGCAAGGGAAATACGCATACGCCAACCACCAGAAAGATCCTTGGTCTTGGTGTTCATGCGCTCCTCGCTGAAGCCCAAACCAGTCAAGATGGCTTTGGCCTGACGGTCAGAGCCGTCAATCTCAAGTTCAGTCAATCGGGTCTGGATCCAGTCAAGGCGAACGGCGTTCTTGTCAGGGTCGTCGAGGAGATCATCCATCTCCTCCTCCAAATGCTTCCGCTCACGCTCGTTGATGTCCAAGACAGCCTCAAGGGAGGTCAAGTCCGTAGGACCGAACTCGCGGTCCAAGAGGTAGAAGTCCAAAGCAGGAGGAACTGGGAGCAAACCACAAGCAATGGCGTGCATAAGAGTAGACTTACCGGATCCGTTAGGAGCAATGACACCGTAACGACGACCGTTAAGAATGTTGAAGTTGGATTCCTTGATAAGAGTCTTACCGAAAGCTTGAAGAGTTAGCTTTTCAATCTGGACGTCGCGGGAGTTGGGTGGAGAAAGAAGATTTCCGGTAATGGCAATAGCATCTGCAGGGTTCTGACCTTCAGGACCGATGTTAGATCCAGAGGCGTAACCGTAGGCAGCCTTGGAGTTCAAGAACACCTCGTTCTTGACCTCAGGCTCCTTCTCCTCGTCGGATCCAGGGCCCACAGCAGCCTTCATCTTTTTAGCAAGCTTCTCCTTCCGGCGCTCTTTTCTGTCCTTCTTCTCCTTCTTCGGCTTCTTTTCTCCGGACTCATCCTCATCATCCTCATCGTCAGCAGACTTCATGCTCTTCTTCGACGAGGACTTCTTGGACTTGGACTTCTTGGGCTTCTCATCTTTCTCCTCCTCGTCCTCTTCGTCCTCATCCTCATCCTCGATATCCAGTGCATCAAATGCACTTCGTGCCTTTTGAACGGGCTCGTCCTCCTCATCCTCCTCTTCTTCTTCGTCCTCAGACTCGACAGCCTTCTTCGACTTGGACTTCTTGCTGCTCTTGGACACCTTGGAGGCCTTCTTGGACTTCGAGACGGGTTTTGCCTCCTCCTCTTCTTCTTCTTCCTCTTCATCGACGTCGTCGTCCTCCAGCATATCGAATGCATTCTTTGGTGGTGGCGGCGCAGCCTTCTTAGCAGCCTTACCCTTCTTCTTCGGCGCAGGCTTGATTTCCTCCTCACTCCCCTCCTCCTCCTCCTCGGGAGTTTCGGGCTTCAAATCAAACTTGCTGTCATCCGAGTCGTCCTGGACCTGGGCGGCCTTCTTCTTGTTACGCTTGTCCTTCTTGGCCGCGGACTTCGAGACGGCTGGGGCGGGCGATTCGTCGGCAGACACGTTGGCAGCGGGGGAGGCGGCACCCAAGCCAAGGTCGTCGTCGTCTCTGTTGTTCTTTCTTCTTCCCATTTTGCTGAGCAGCTGTACTCGACGGCAAGTACGTCTATGGAATGGACTTTTTGGCCACAATGGCGCTGCAGCTCACAATGTACGACAGGTACCCACACGTGATGATACGTGAATATCCTCAACGACGAGAAGTTTCATTTTTGAAGAAATATAAGTATGCTGTATTGCCTTGGCGTAATATCTCTGTCCGATTGACGGTTTGCCCGTCGAGCTACCGAATATGGCAGTTGACGTATGAGCCCTCGATAACGACGATTGCGACGAGACCGTTGAGGTCATATTACTTGATGCGAGAAGACGCGGTACTTCACAACGACAAGGTGCGGATCTTAGAAAGTGTGGGCGGAGGAGTCGTCAAAGTCCACACTGGGGCACTTGCGTGACAAGACATCCTAGACACTGTGGACACCACTCGTGTTGGATCACTTATGATCGAAGGTGGGGCTCGGGTAATCACAGATGTCCTGCAAGAAAAGGCCGCAGGCACTGTCATTGTTACTATCGCACCCGTCTATGTTGGTAATGAAGGAGTGGGTGTTGACGTGGAAGCATTTTGTTGTAGAACAAAGCTAGCTCAAGGATGCAGTTCGAGAACGATACTGGTAACTGGCAGGATGCAGTCTTAGCCGGCCGTCTCTAACAACGTAATATTATCACTACTACGCATGCCCTGTGGCACCCAACGCATGTAGCATTGTCCACATATATAGGGGTATCACTAGATTATCATTCTGCCACGAAAAGGCCTCGAGCAACGCAGCTGATACTGTTGCAAGTGTAAGACTGCCCCAATTCACCTCAACAAGCGGACTGAGCCATTCCATACAATAGGCTACATAAGCACCGGACAGGACAGCAAGGACAAAGGCAACAGTGCCCTCGACTGTCTTCTTTCGTCCGAACCAATGCACTCTACCATACTCCTTTCCCACAATGGAAGCCATCGCATCTCCAAGCCCCAAGCAAAGCACCCCACCAAGCTCCGCAATCCCTACCTGCGGAATATAGTTGTTTGCCATTGTAAGCCATAACGGCAGTGCACAACCTGTCAGAAGGAAAAGGTGGCTGACAACAATGCCCCCCCGACGGTCACGATCATCTGTGAAGTTGCTTAAGAAAGCATGCAACCCTGCCCCAAATGGCGGCAAAGCGCATGCACGAATGATCTCGGTGAGAATGAACAGGCACAATGCGAAGGAAAAGGCAAGGTGTGCAAACTCTGGATCACGACTGATGGTTGGAATGAACATCACCACAACCAAGCCATGAAAGAACTTTCGCCGGCGGTTCAGCGCAGCGCTGAACTCCTTCTCCTCCTCCTCATTTCGTAGCTTGACTGGGTGCATTCCAGTCTGTGAAGACCACAACCTGACAACGACCACAATGCCCATTCCCACACAAACTGCCCACCAGGTAGCCATACCAAGTCTCACATCCCACCCATGATCCTGGAACATATATCTCAAGATCCAGATAAATGGCTCATCCTCTCCCGGAAGCCTTCGTTTCACCCACGGTCGTATTACACCTACAACCATAACAGCAATAGTGGCGTAGGCAGCGCAGGCGTATATCAACCGTTGTTCGATCAATCTCATCGTGCGATGTTGTGGAGGTGTCCGTGTGATGCGCATAGCGGAGTAGACGAATGGCAATGCGGGAATGGTTGCAATGATGAGACCGATACTGAGTACTGGGAGGAACACTTCATAGGGCTCAAGAGCTTCATTTGACAAAGCTGTGGCAAGAAGCAATGTTATACCAGTTGCGATGATGCCCAACTCGCTTGTGAGCAGTGCCGGTTTTGTTGCGGATTGTACTAGCGAAAGGATGGTAACATGAAGATGACCAAGATAAGGTGGATCAATGTCGATGTTGAGGAAGGGATCGACATGGAGGTTAGACATATCAAGTCCGTAGTCGCCAGCACGGACAACCCCTTCATTGAACAACAACAGAATCTCGATATAGGCTATATCGGGTATCGAAGGTGACTGTGTCATACATTTGCAGATGTAAATGGTGAACGGAAAGATTGTTGCGTAGAGCGCATGGATGTCCCGCAAACCCAGGATCGTGAAGAACAGAAGCATCAATATCTGAATCAACCATCTCGGCTCCTGTAACAGGCCTAAAACAATCACCTGTTAACGATGGTACATGACTTCTTGATTGATACCCACCAAGGAGCGTATCCCAATCCTGCATCACGAGCAGGTTATACAACGCAATCAAGAACGGCATTAGGATCAGGGCCCTCTCAAAGCCCGATCCGCTACCATGCGACCTCGAATGCGCATACCTGCTTTTCCTTGGATCAACGGTCAACACGGAGTCGGCGGAGCCGCCATCGGGATCCGTATGCAAGAGAGTTGACGAGGTATCGCATGGCCTTTCAGGAGTTTTCCGAGCGTTTGTCGACATATAAATTGTCAACGAATAGAGAACGATGTGATCCGTAACATGTGAAGGCTATCTGCGTAGGCGAAGGCGAAGTCGAAGTCGAAGTTCCGGGTCCCACCTGCAGGCCTGCATACGTGGCAAACCTTAATTGCTCGCCGGCATGTGCTCGGGGGGTGCAATCACAGGTCATACGAGAAGAGTGGCGAACATTTCCGACAGTTTCTTTCTCTCATACAATCCATTTGATGCCATTTTGGATCTCTTGATAGTTTTCTCACGGTTGCGCGCAGCTGATTTTTCTGCGCGGTCAAAAACTTGCGGGCACGCGTCTGTCGCCCAACCGCAACTTCATCCACCAAACCATCAGCAGTCAGTCGATAGTCAATACAATTCGTTTTACACACAAAGGTACTGATACCACGCCCCGCATTCTTGTCCATATCCACCCCGCAAGTTACAGCGACGTGCTTGATCTCTCCATATCTCGCATGTTGTCTGAGTGTTCGCTACTCTCACGAGTGCGTACACACCCCTTGCCATATCATAGCTCTCGTTTGAGCCGGGCTGCGTCACCTTTTGGCTCTCCGGTATAGAAGTAGGGCAACATGCTTACACTAGTCGTAGAAATATCTATCTCATTTCTTCCTAATCTGTTCCTGTTGCCTTTCACACCTCACTCGTCAATCGTGTCGTCATGAAGGTCGTCGCTTTGATCAGCGGAGGGAAAGACTCTTGCTTTAATATGATGCACTGTGTTGCGAATGGTCATCAGATCGTTGCTCTTGCGAACCTTCGTCCGCCTGCTGCGGGACCAGGTAGATCCATTCGCGATGTAGGAAAGGAACGAAAGCTTACGAGTGAAGCGAAGATGAACTTGATAGCTGGATGTACCAGACCGTCGGTCACGATGCGATCCATCTCTACAGTGAATGCATGAATCTACCCATGTACCGGGGCGACATTATCGGATCATCACTTCAACAGGGTCTGAACTACACCGAGACGGAAAAGGATGAAACGGAAGATTTATATAGGCTCCTGTCCGATGTCAAGGTATGTGTTCCGGGCGAGGTTCGGCGCAGAGCTGACCGATGAAGGCCCACCACCCAGACGTGCAGGCCGTCTCCGTCGGCGCCATCCTGTCCAGCTACCAACGCATCCGTGTTGAGCATGTATGCGCAAGACTCGGTCTTGTCAGTTTGGCCTACCTATGGCAGAGGGAGCAGAAGGAGTTGCTGGCTGAGATGGTCAACAACGACTTGACTTCAATCTTGATCAAGGTCGCTGCGATAGGTGCGATTGCAGTTCCATTCCGAGGATCATGGCTAACACACACGAAGGTCTCAAGCGTGTTCACTTAGGGAAGACGCTCGGGCAAATGCAACCGCTACTGCTGTCACTGGTGAGTGATCCTTCACGTTTACATCTACGTCAATTCTAACTGTTCTCAGAATGAGCGCTTTGACTTGCACCCTTGCGGTGAAGGCGGCGAGTACGAAACTTTTGTTCTCGACTGTCCTCTGTTCTCAAGACGTATCGTAATGTACGCTGACGGATTGACCTCCCTTCACGAACGTTACTAACTTCTGACTACAGTGACGAGCAGGAGATTGTCGATCACTCTGCTGGCGACGTAGCATACCTGAAGCTCATAGCCCATACTGAGGCTAAAGACGATGTTTCCTCTGAGTGGCTCGAAGACTTTGCATTGCCCGAGCTTGTCAGCGAGGATCTGCATCACGTACAAGAAGTCATCGAAAAGGAAGGTGAACAAGATCTTGAGACATCCTTTGCTGAGTTGGCTCTGGCGTTGTCTCCTGATGCCGATAGTCTTCTCGGAGAAGCATCGTCTGACGCAAAGAACCTCCTCTCCATCTCTGGTGTGACGGCGTTCGCCAATGAGAGTACATCAACTTTCGCTACAGTGCAAGATGAGATGGAAGCATGCATGACCAACGTCAAGGGTAATTATACTGAACCATGTGTTGTTTTCCTCGCTAATGTTCTCCGTAGAACACCTTTCTCAAAGCAACCTCGCCTTCCAAGACGTCACCTTCACCACAGTCATCCTTGCCTCCATGTCAGACTTTGCGGCAGTCAACGAACTCTACAAAAGATCCTTCCAATTCGCTGACCCACCATCTCGAGTCTGCATCGCAGCCCATCTCCCGTCACCACAGCGCGTTCAAGTCAGTGTCGTCGCCTCAACCACCAAAGCGAACCGCAAAGGCCTCCATGTACAGGGACAGAGTTACTGGGCACCTGCGAATATCGGTCCTTATTCGCAATGCATTAACGTGTGTACATCCCCCGTGCTCTTCTTGCACCGTCTAATGGAAGGTGTAGTCAAATGGAAACATCTATGTCGCCGGCCAAATCGGAATGATCCCCGCCACCCTCCAGTTCCAAGAGCCCCGCTCAGTCGGTAGGGAAGCACTCGTAAGTCTCCAGAGTCTTCTTCGTATCTGCGATGTCGTGGAGCTTCGGCGTCAGCATATCGGTAGCTGCATTGCATACGTTGTCAAACACGACGACGCCCCTCTTGTCAACCGAGCCTGGCATGCGTTCTTCGATGGACAGGGTTGGGTCCCGCCTACCCTCATCGTCGAAGTTGAGGGTTTGCCCAAGGGGGCTTTGGTGGAGTGGCAGGTTGCTGGATGGGATGGGAAGGTGGAGGAGGCGAATGTCGATGATGATTCTGATGAGGATGAACCGGTGGAGGTCGTTCAGCACGTTACCTCGCGAAGCAGTCTTCAAGAACTCGATGGTATGCTGTTGTCGGTTCAGGAGAAACGAGTTGGCAAGGTTTTGCACAGTGTAGTCGCTGTTTTGCCATCCACAGGCACAGAGGTCTCCGTTGTCGATGCTTGCGCAGCACTTGGAAAGAGGATCACGATCTCCTCTTCGAGCTGCATCGGTTGCACCGTCTTCTACAACCACGGCGGCATGGTCGCCAAAGACGAGCAATTGGCCCGCCGGAGCATTACGGCTCCTTTGGAAGCGGACGACCTGCCTATTCACTTTATCGCGGCTTCGAGCGTAGTCGATGGCAGGACAGGGAAGGATACCATCATGGCGATTGTAATGCACCGAGCAGTTTAAGCAACAAGAATATATTGTTAAAGCCAAACTAAAAAGCAGAACTTTCATATCTGTAGTATCCTCTGTACGTCTCCGTCATAATATATCGTACACCTCGTTCCAAAAGCAAGAAATAAACGAAGCCACCTCCTAAAGAGTGTAAGCAAAGTACGGACTCCTATCACACATGGCCGACAACTCCTCATTCGTATACGTTTCCTCCCCATTCTCAATCCTCGCCTGCCTCTCAAGCTTCCTCTTATTCGCAATCCTCAACGCCAAATAATTCAAACCCGCAGTCAACATTCCCATACAGTTCAACCCCATACAAATCGCCAAACCGAACTTGTAATGCGGCGCATCCTGCGTCCTGAAAATATTGGAAGAAATCGTACCTCCCATACCGCCTACGCCGATCTGAATAGCGATAGCAGTAGCACGCTTGGTCTTGCCGCCGATGTTGTTGGTAAGGATCGCGACGACGGAGGGGAATCCGGAGTAAGAGCCGATCGCGGCGAGGAACATGGAGAAGTAGCGGACGTTTGGGTTGAGGGTGGAGAATGCGATGGTGTAGCCGAGGAAGGACAACCCACAACCAGCGATGATAAAGGAGGAGCGGTGCTTGAGTCTGTCGGAGTAGTAGGCGAAGATGATACAGCCAACACAGGCGGCGGTGTAGACTGGGACGGTCAAGAGCTGAGCCGTAGTGGTAGCATACCCGAGGCCCTTGATAATCGACGGCAAGAAAAGGGCGATACCGTAGAGCGGCGTGATGGATCCCCAGTAGATGAAGAGCGAGGCGATGACCTTCCAGTCACAGATACCATCAACGACGTACTTCCACTGGAATTCCTCAGGCATGGGCGTTGCCATCGCAACACCATCATACTTGACACGGTCGACGAGCATCTGAGCCTCAGATGGGGTCAAGTACTTGGCCTTCATGGGCGAGTCGGAGATCATCCAGTAAGAGGCGATGGCGAGGAGGACAGTCGCGATACCCTCGATGGCAAAGATCCACCTCCATCCGTGCTCCCATCCACCAAGACCAGCCATCTTTCCAATGCCATAGGCCAAAAGACCACCAAAAGCTCCAGCGATAGTGGCAGCCGAGAAGAAGACACCAACACGGAACTGAATCTCGGACCTCTTGTACCACGTCGTCATGTAATACGTAACGCCCGGAAACAACCCCGCCTCCGCCAACCCAAGCGCCAACCTTGCACCCAACAACCCCTCATATGACTGACACAGACTCATCAACGTCATTACAATACCCCACCAAAACATAATAAACGGAATCCACCTCTTTGCACCCCATTTCTTGAGACACAGGTTGGAGGGGATTTCGAAGGCGGCGTAGGTGAAGAAGAAGACGGTAAGGCAGAGGTTGTATTGCATGTTGGTGAGTTTGAGTTCGTCGACGAGGCCGTCGATTTTGGCGTTGCCGATGTTGGTGCGGTCGAGGAAGGAGAACTACATCCACCATGTTAGTCATTTGATTGGGGGGAGGGCAAGCGTGAGAAAGGACATACCAGGTAGAGAAGGGCCATGACGGGGAGGATACGCAGGTCGATCTTGCGAAGGAGCTTACGCTGGACCTCGAGCGGAGGCTCGACATACTCTGTGATCTCGGCTGGTTGAGGGCTGATGCCACCCTCCTTGCTGGTATACTCGATGTGTTGGGAGTAATTCTTCTCCGTGTCTGCCATTGCTGTTGTTGTTGTTGATTGACGTCCAACTCGACGGGGCGAAGGACGCCCCTTATATAGGGCACCTTTCCGGGCCCTCGCTTCACCAGCGTGATTTGAATTATGGTTATCGTACGCGGGGAAAAGTGTGGGGTGTGGGGTATCGCCGGCATAGAGTTTCGGCTAAGCCTCGATACGAGTCCCACGCGCGCGCTGATTGGTTCGCTTGAATCAGTAAGCGAACAGAGACACGGCTCACGTTCTAGATCGCCCAGAATTGTCTACACCTGATGTTGTTCTTTCTCCGGCGGCTCATTGGGGGAACGTCTTACTCCGAGAAACCCTTGGTTGGCTCGCATGTGATCCTGGCGCTTCCCCGGTATGATCGAGAGCGGACATCGTTGGTCATTGATCGGAGGCGGTGTCGAAATGCACCGATGATGCGACGGCCAACGACGTGCTCCTCCTGCGATTGGCTTTCACGATGGCCATTGCTACTCGTTCACTATAAGTCAATTGTTCTCGACGTCGACAAATTGACGGCTCGCTTATGTCTTCATAACGCCATGTGACCCAAGCGAAGTGAACTGCACGGTAGATCATTGATCACCTTCACCTTCACGTGAACAGCCTGCTCGTGACTCGCTTCTCGTCTTCATCAACCCTCGCTCCTCTAAGTCTTCTTTGCGGTGGAATCATGGGCTACCGCCGCGCCGCTTTGTCCTCTCGCCTCACCCGCCCTCCTTCGCTCAAACGTCTTCACCATATTCCTCCCCGCCTCCCTCGCCTGCCACGCAAAATAGTACAACAAATCATCATACTTGTGCTCATCCTTCTCAGTTTCCACTGCCCCATGCGAGCTCGCGTCCGTTGGCGCGTACTTGGCTTTCGCTGCGTCAACTTCTTTAATGGCGAGGTACACGGCTTCGGCTGAGGAGATCCAGGATCCGACGTCGCCTAGGATGTGGTGGGTGCGGGAGTCGATACACCCATCTTCCGCTGTTTGTCCACTCTCCTCGGGTGTTTCATTCGCGGGTTTGCCTTTCTTGTTCCGCGTCCTCCTCACATTCCTCCACCTCCAAAACATCGGCCTCCAGCCCCCCTCCCTCTCCAAATCCAATTGCACACACCTCAACCCTCCCAACCCACTCCCTTCATCCCTCCTGATCCCCAACACCCTCACCCAACTCGAATCCAACACCAACAACCTCTCCATACTGTCGAGATTTGATTTAGTGAGCGCAGAGATGGGGGTGCTGTCGGGGCCGGGGAGAAGGATGTAGGTTGTGCGAGGGTCGTATGTTGGGAGGGTGGGGAAGTGGTGGGTTTGGAGTTGCTTGTTGGAGGCGGTGAGGAGGTAGGGGATCGAACTCTTCGATTTGGCTTCTGCGTAGTGGTGGATACTAACCCCCCATCATCAGCCCCTGTCCCCATCTTCATCCTCTGCGGAAGTTGCTCACATGTCAACCTTAACAGGCAACTCTTTCTCATATTTGACTGGATCAGGATACAACGGCTGACAGCACTTATAACACCACCCTGGTCGTGAACTCTCGCAGGCGGGGCATTTCTGCCGCGATGGATCGAAGTTTGAAAGGGGTTGAGAGAAGCGCAAGTTCAAGTAACTTCGATCATCTTCAGCGAGAAAGGCGGAGGTAGAGGGCGGGGAGGAGCAGGTGAGGGCATTTTGGAAGGAAGGGGTTGTTGTCCAGTTGGGGTTAAAGGGAGCTGTGAGGAGAGTGTGTGAGCTTCAGACTATCGGATCAGATATCCTGATCCAGACATACCTTTCGAGTCTTTGGAGGATTCTACATCCTTACGTTGTGATCCCATGATTTGGATTTTCGTTCGAGGAAGTTAAGGCTTGTGCGGCCCGAGCACGTACGCGCAAGATGAAATGTGCATTCGTAGGAACCCGAGCGTACGGCAGATGGATACATGGATGTACATGAGTTAAAACGGTATATACACTGAGCGCTAGGGCATCATATAACCAAACAGCTGACTACCGTACGGTGAAACGCTCACTACCATCCAGACCCAAATGTTTGAATCAACCACATCTACAGTCATCTCTCCGAGCTCGGTAGCTACAATGTATCGGCGGCAAAGAGTGCCCGGGACGCATTGGATTGGAATGTATGCTAACTTCCGTCGTCTGAATCTAGTTGTACGCAACTCTTCGATCCCGTTCACTCTGCTCTCACCCGTCCAGTCCCATTTACGCTGCTCTCGCTCGGTCGCGATCACAGCAAAAAAATGTACTTCGCATCTAAGAGGATCTCCAGACTATATTGTAGGCGGTAAACAACTTATCAATGATATCTTTACTTTGGTAGCAATCACGACTGTTGGCACTTTGCCCCTGTTTCGTTTCCCACGAATTAGGGGGTCGATGGGGTCCGGGAGCATCAATATAGACGAGATGTATGCGACGTATGAACGAACAGGACAACGTCTACAGACGCCTTGGCAGTAGCATAGAGTGCATTTAATCGCCATTCTCTCCGCTTGACGTCTACATCATCATTGTCGTCCCCGACGTGTTTTGAAGAAACAGAGAATCAGAACAGAAGATGAACAGCAACACCGCCTTCCAGCTCTCGTCCCCTCCTCTGTCTCCCACCTCCCACAAGACCTTCAACACCGTCCGCGTCCGTCCCACCACTACCCGCCCGACCGCATCCTCCCTCTCCCTTCTCTCCGGTCCCACTTCTCCCTTGGCCACCAAGAACCACGGTCACGGACACCGCCACGGTCACCATGGCGAACACACTCCTGGCCCGAGCCCGCAACGTCCCGGGCTTACGAGAGCAGCTACGGCTACGGCTGACATGAAGGCTGAGACAGAAGGGGAGAAACTGAGGAAGATGACTGAGGTCTTGGGGGGTAGGCTTTCTGAGGTGGGTTTCACTCTTCTCCCGCATTGCACTTGTCGCACGTCCCGCCCTACGAGAGCCAAGGGACAGCACGCCCAACGGCACACTGCGCTGTTAACGCGTCCTTATGGCCGCTACGGCGTACTGGATGAAAAGCGTCTCCGCATTTCGAACGTGAAAGGCGATTGCACCACGGGAATATTTCGGGCATGGCTGACTTGGTGTGAACGTAGATGGAGCTACTCGTCAGTTTCAAGCTACATGATTTGAGTTTGCGTTTGTCGGGTAAGTCGAAGCGAGAAGTTTAAACGTGCGGGTTCTCCGTAACTGCGGACTTCAGGACGGAGGTTAACGTGTGAACGTGGACGCTAATTGGGTGGTGCTCCGCAGCGTTGGAAAATGATAATGATGGGGTGAAGGGTGTCGTGAGTGATATTATTCGTCACGGTGATAAGGCTGATGGTGAGTTCGTCTTTCATGTATTTTTGTGGATGTGAATTTTTCGATGGACCAGGGGAAGGCGGAATTATTTGGCTGCTTCGCTGCCATGTGGTGTGGCGATTGGACCGTGGCAAAGAGACGGGAGTCCCATCCCGAGGATTTAAGACATGCACTTTCGACGTTATCAGCCCACGCTGCTTTTTCATGGCCAACGGTTTTGAATGAGTAAGCACATGCTAACATGAGATGCATTGTAGAAAAAGTGGACAATGTTGGCGGTCGTATGGATCAAGTCGAGACCCGGGTGAGAGCGTTAGAGGCGTTACGTGGTGCAGCTAGGGGTGGCGATAGTTCGAATGGGCAACTCGAGATTCCAGTGACGATCTCGCCGAAGGACAAGAAGAGGAGTAGCTGGAGCGTGTGGTCGTGAAGCGGAGGGAAAAGGTTCCGATATACATTTGTGTCATGTTACATATTGAAGCTTGTTTGGAGAAGGTTGGCCGGGAGAGGAGGAAGGGCCGGGGTGTGCCGGGATGGTCATTGGCAGGCAGGGATCAGAAAGCTAAAAATTCCGATTCTGACATCCTGGGGTTTGTGACAATCTCGATGGGGTGGACCCTTAAAAGGCGGCTTTCCAAGTTAATTCAGATCCCGAGGCCAGGTCCTCACCCCCAGGTACGACGCGCGCGCTTTAGAGTAGTCGCGCTTCTTACGCTCGAACAAATCTACCCAAGACAAAATCGAACCTCCGCCTTTTCCGACAGCGCTGCACGAGTGGGACGCAGTTCTTGGCTGAGGGAGTTGCAGATCGAGAAATCCTCCTTGATCCTTCCCGCGGCCCGAAACCTATTTCTTCCTTCTCTCTACTCTACCTCGGACCAGGCGCAACAACGACCCGCTCGAAGTTGCACGTGGCTCGTTTTTGCCTCGCTTCTCCAGGACCCCTTGGTTACGTACGTCGAAAGGCCTGCCTGCTCTCGGAATTCTTGTGAATTTCCCGATTCTATTGTTGGTGCGGATCGATCGAGTGCCGCAACCGACCGTCACGCCCTTTTCAACCAATCTCAACTCTACACTTTTCTTCGTCCAGGATTGATGTGGCTGGATGCACCGACCGACTACGCCGAAACATTTTTCCCAGTTGGTCTCTTCAACACCGATGAGCTGTTCGTTATCAGACGGCACTGCTAAACGCAAATCGAATGTATATAGCGACTACGACACATACACGGAAAGGGCTTCTAGTCAGGGTGAAGGTTCGAGGCAGCTGGCTTCCGCAGGCTTCGGAGATCAGTTGCAATCGAGTCCTCGAGCGCAATCTAGAACGATGATGCCCGCAGCGTACGGTGGAATGGGTTACGGAGGGATGGGATCCGGCGCAGGAAATCTGCCACATGTTCAACGAGACCTCATGGGCGGATCAGCTGTGGCCATCAACAGTCCAGGTACAACCAATCGTCTTTTCTCGACATTTGTAGGATTTCGCTGACCCAAGCTACAGGCTCATACGCGGCGTATCAAACCTCCAACAACTCCTACGACCCAACACATACTCCTACATACGCTCAAACACATGCGCAAACACGACATGACATCGGACCTTCTATGTTTTACGCGCCACACTCGCCCGAACTCACTGCTCGATCCCCGACGGCATTTCCTTCTCTACAGCCACTCGCACAACATTTGCCATCGACACAAGCACCACCGACGAACAATGGTTCACAATCGGCGGCCTCTTATGCTCAGGCGATGTACAACCCAATGATCAACCCAGTAGCAGCGGCACAGCTTGCGCGAGCACACGCAGCCGCAGCAGCAGCCTATAGCGCTCTTCATCCATATCAACCAGAGCAAGTGCAGCAGATGCCGTACCAGACCGTGGCAGGCGGATGGGTTATTCCGCCGTCACCACAGGTTCAAGTACCTCCGACGCAGTACATGCTTACGCCCAATCCACAGCCGCAGCATCAATCCTACAGCGCCCCGCCAATGCCAAGACAGCAATATACGACGATGTCACCGTCACCTCGGCAATCCTTTCAGACTCAGCACCATCCTGTTCCGGCACACACCGGAAAAGGAGCAGTGCCGAGACCGAGGGATGACCGGGGATATACGGAAGTGGCAAATCAGGATTGTAAGCCTCAGGAGCTCGCTACGGGACAGACAAGCCCAGGGTCACGGGGTCCACCTCGAAAACCAAGGCAGACTGGATACACGTTGTGGATCGGAAACTTCCCTACGTCAGTCGACCTTGTCGGGGCGAAGGATTTCTTTGCATCGCCGGGTTTAGAGAGTATCTTTGTAATGCGGAAAAGCAAATGTGCCTTTATCAATTACAAGACTGAGGCCACGTGCTTGGAGGCATTACAGAAGTACAATGGACGGGAGTTTGCAGGCGTCAAGTTACTTTGTCGACTGCGAAAGGCACCTGAACCACAGACTCCATCCTCTGCAGCTCAACCTCAGAGTCCGGAATCTGCGGCGGAAGCGCGAGAGCGCAGCGCCATGGAACACGAAAAGGCTACGGCAAAAAACAGATACTTCATTATCAAAAGTTTGTCAAAGGAAAATTTGGATCTGTCTCTGCAGAACGGCGTGTGGGCTACTCAAGCTCATAACGAAATTGTCTTGGATCAAGCTTATCGATCCGCCGAAAACGTTTATCTCATTTTCAGTGCGAACAAAACCGGTGAATACTATGGATACGCTCGGATGGCATCCCCTGTCTTCCGTTCTCACTCCGGATCACAAAGTCCGGAAGCGGTGTCTCCAGACATTGAGTGGAAACCTGCACATGGAAAGCAAAGTTCGGATGCAACTGCGGTCACTGCGGGGCCAACTGTCGTGGCTACGCCAAAGACAGATCATGTGCGGAGTGGTCGGATAGTGACCGATGAGTATCGGAATACTACATTCTGGGAAGCAGACACTGATAGCGACGCGGAAAGTGTCGCAGCTAGGAGTCCGGATGAAGTACGCCAACCTGACTACATCGGTGGTCCTGAGGTTGGAGATGAGCATTCCTGGGGTGTGAGTTTCCGAGTCGAGTGGATCGTGACGGGGCATCCTCTTCCATTCTACAAGATCCGGCACTTGCGAAACCCATGGAATGCTAATCGGGAGGTGAAGGTTGGGAGGGATGGTACGGAGTTGAAGCCGAGTGTTGGCGAGAGACTCTGTGCTGAAATCCGTAGAAATGCCGAGCAGGCTCGGGAAGGTGCGCAGACCCACACAAGGCTGCCGCCGCGTGGTGAATACGGCGCTGGTGCTGTTACGACACAAGGCCCAACGCGCTGGGCACGACCGGAGATTGCTCGTGCAGCTCAACGTAAACAGGTTCCCCTATCCACACCAGCAGGTCCTCAAGCCTTCACATTGAACGAACCACCACAACGACGATTTACTGGGAGACCTTATGCGATCTCTAACCTACATCAACAACAATATTCTTTAGGCCGACAACCTCTGCCTGGTCTACCCAGTCGACTTGACCCTAGTCAAGGTGGACCTTCACGAGATGACGTCCATTCACCGCCATCGTGAACAGTTGCTGGACAACATTCATATACGAAAATGTTTTCTTCAGCACTCAGCATTCTTTTTGGGGCATCTCGTTGCTCCGTATACGACTGAGCAGCATCTTATACCATCACTTGCCGACATGCTGTTCAGTTCTTGCATTCGTTGGAGCCGAGGGGCATAACATACACGGAAAAAGGCGTTCGTTTTTTTGTTTTTCTTTTGCTTATGCTTTTTGCTTTTTGCTTACCTTCTCACGCATTACTTATTGGGAAGGAAGGCTCTGGCGTACATACACGGAAGGAGTTCACTCTTTGGCTGGGAGCATGGCGCACATACACGGACATCGTCTTCTGTCTTTCTCTTTTTATCGAGTCATATGGTGGATCTACACCAGCTGCTGAACACACGATCTCTGGATTCTAGCGATTATCTATAAATACTGACTCGTACACGTTCTCTACATCTTTTGGTTCATGCGCAGTTCATCGTGATCGTACGCGTGGAGTTCTTTGACTGCATGACGATTATGGAATAGCTCAGAGACTACGTTACACACCCAATGTCACCATGGGGATGCTCGATATCCTTCGAGCGATCCTTTGGGGTCCAGTTCGATTGCTTCATGGGTTGGGCAACTTAGTTCTCTTCCCATTCCTACTGCAACTTCCTGACCTCCCAACCTTTACCGCTCAAAGCAGGCTCATCAATGCCTCTGACATCGCCGCACAGATTCGCTCACGGCCCCCCGGATCAAGACTCCAATTCATCCGAGGAACGGCTCCTTCAAATACAATTCGCACAAAGGATACCTCGTCTCATGACCATGTCCACCGGGTGTATCTTGGTCCGGCTAAACGGATCCTGAACATTGACACGGCGGAAAGGACCGTGACTTGTGAACCAGGGGTAACGATGTCTGAGCTCGTTGAGGCAGTGTTACCACTCGGTCTCGTCCCTCCCGTTGTGCCTGAGTTCAAAGCATTGACTGTCGGAGGGTTAATTGCTGGCGCTGGGCTTGAGTCTTCGTCCTTTGTTCAAGGACAGTTTTGTGCGGCGCTAGATTCGGCGAAGGTTGTGTTGGCAGATGGGAGGATTGTTGACTGTAGTAGAGAGGAGAATGAGGACCTATTTTGGGGGATGCTGGGGGCGTACGGGACGTTTGGGCTTCTTGTGTCTGCGACGTTGAGGTTGGAGGAGGCCAAGTCGGGGTGGGTACGCGTGAGGTACCAACCAACGCAGGACATTGTCGACGACATCAGGGCTGTTTGCAAGGAGGGCTCAGATGACTACGTCGACGGCATCGCCTTTGGCCCAACGTGCGGGGTGATCATTCGAGGTTCCCGCTCAGCGGCCCCTCCTCCCCCCAATGCCCGAATCCTCCACTTATCGCGTGCTTCATCACCATGGTTCTCAAAACACATCGAATCGGCTCTCCGCATCGAAAACGCAACCTGGTCAACTCCTACCCTCCTCCAACCCATCGAAGAGTGGCTCCCTTACCAGGATTACCTCTTCCGCTACGACCGCGGCGCCTACTGGATGGGCAAGTACGCCCTCGAGATCCTTCCCTTCGGATACAACCTCATCTCACGCACTCTCCTTGCACCACTGCTGACGACCGAGGCACTTTATAGACGATTGCATGCGGCTCCGGAACATATCGTAGAGTCGACATTGGTGATTCAGGATATTTATATCCCAGAAGAGGGGGCGGCGGAGTTTATGGAGTTTGTTGGGTCGGGGGAGGCGGCGGAGGAGACTCAGATTTACCCGCTCTGGCTGTGTCCGATCAAGTCCACTTCGAACGCATCAAAGTTGTCGCCGAATTATGTGGAAGAGGGTAACAAGTTCTTCATCAATTTTGGCATCTGGCATCACGCAGACCACTGGACACCCGGCTCACCCGTGCCAAAAGCCACGACACGAAGGCTGGAACAGAAAGCGCACGAGGTTGGTGGAAGGAAGATGTTGTATGCGCAAACGTATTACACGGATGAGGAGTGGAGGAGCATATATGATATGAAGTGGTACGCGTTTGCGAAGAGTATGTGGGATCCGGAAGGCGTGTTTGGAGATCTACGGAAGAAGATTGGAAGGGGTTAATGAAGTCAATGCCATGAGTTCATATAATCATATGCACGCAGTCGTGTATTCGTGCTCTATCGTACAGTCTTCATGCTTTATAGAGCGATCCAAGAAGTTCATGACGCTCCTCACGTTCCATGCAATGTCCAGAAAGTGCGTTCGCTTTCGCGTTCACTTGAAGTTAGGGTTGTAAGTCGCCTCAAGCTCAACCAAATCCTTCGTTCCACCAAACCTCTCAAAGAACTCCGGCTCCTCGAACAGCTTCCCATACTTCTTCGCCTCCTCCTCATTCTCGTGCTCAACCTCCTCATACGAGAGGTAGTTATGCAAGTTATGCTCCCCATTACCACCCCTAATCTCCTCCCACTCCGGCGGGTCAGACAAGTACTCGCCTCCGTCGTCCTTCATATGCCTTCGGTCAGAATGGAAGTGGTCGAGATAGTCCTGGCCGGGAACAACGCGGTAACGGCGACGTAGAGCCTCGTCATGGTTGAAGGTTGGCTTGAACGTCTCTACGCAGTACTTGGGGAAGGGGCAGGGGAAGTCAAGTGCGGTGTCTTGATCCCAGACCAAGACGGGATCATCGGTACCCTCCTCCGGGCAGGTGACGGAGAGGACGTGGTGGGTCCAGAACATAGCTTTGGACTCTTTGCAGAGCTTTTGGTTGAACATAGGGGTCTGTGATGGGATTTGTCAGCATACATCCCGAGTACAATGGTGCGAGAATGGACGTACCCTCTCGGAAGAAGTCAGAACGAAGACGGCGTACTTCCTATCAAAATCCTCCGGGTGATCCTCCTTCCACTTCTGACACTGATGCCAAACGTTCTCCTCACAGAACGAGGCAGTGTAGGCGAGATCATCGGGCGTAGGATGCTGCTTATCCGGGTCAGAGCCGGAGCGGTGGTGTTTTGCCTCGGAGTCTTTGGGCATGTTGGTTGTTTGAGATGGTGGTGACCTTCTCCTGAGTTCTCCTTTCTCAGCTTTTGTACATTTTCTGGGGAAGCCTCGAGGCGGAGCATTTAGTGCGCTGATTTACGTCAGAAGCGGGTAACGGCGATCGATGCGTCGCGTATTGCAGAACCGAGCGTGAGATGCCCGCGAATGAGCGAGAGACGAGCTCTTCAGTTTCGAACGAGGAGTGTTGGAAATGATCCTGTCAAGTGAGTTGGAAAAGGAGGTCAATGACGGTCGCGAGTCGAGGATTTACGACGCTGACGTCATCATCGACATTCACACGCTCCGCACATGCAATATTGTCATAGGGCAATTCTTCCCTCAAGGGTGGATTCAGTCTCAGTTACGTTCTATTCGAACGGTTGAAGGCCTCTTCTATGTCATCCTTGGTCGGGGTGGGATGCTTGGAGGAGCAGCATCACTGGGTCCCGAGCGCTGCCTGAAGCCCATACCAGGACGCGTTTGTTCCCAATTTCGCCTGGCTGCGGCTTTGCAGAAGGGCTCCAGATGTCGCGAGTGTATCCCAGAAACAGGCCAAGTTCCCGTGCTTGCAGGACGACTGCATACCTAGGTACTACGGACCCAACACGACGACCAACCCCTGTCACAGTAGGAAACCCCTGGAGCCCTGCTAGGTAAGTATGGTATGATGCCCTATCTCTGGCAACATTCAATGGCGATGTATGCGTGCTTTCTAGCTGGCCACGGGACGAACTTGGGGATCCTTTGGCACTGCGCTTGCGCCATGGGCCGACGCACTTGCGGGTGCATGCAGTGCGGATCCCGCGACTTTAACCCCTGTCCATAGGTGACCAGTCAAGAAAGAAGGTTATATGAGTATTGCGGTCATTGTTCAAAGAGGATGCGTTCGGCTTGAAACGCCTTTAGGCTGCGTTTTGGTTTAGGCGAGGGTGCTCTGCCTTTTGATCACGCCAACATAGTGAGCAATACGTCTTCAACTGGAAACAAGAGGGCAAATCCAGCAATTGGTTAACCTTGTTATAGACGATTGTCGAACCTTCGATGCAGAGCAGGCAACTGCTACCTGCGATCGACACCGCACCGCAGTGACACAACCGAGCTCCGTGGAGAAGCACTTTGGCAGGCAATCTACAGCTGCAGCTGCTAAATGTTCATCCCCGTCTACCAAGCTGCACACGCTCGCCTCGATCACACCATCTTGCCGCTGTCAAGCTTACGAGTTCATCTCAACCACGACCCTTCCCGTTTCCAAGGCTGTGCCCGATCTCCTGTGCACCGATCAAATCTCCGCTGCTTGGCTTTCCAATTGCACGCTGGTTTTCTAAACCTCTCATGATCGAATTCAAGAGTCACCTAACTACTGCAGCTATGGGGGAGAGGCACGTTAGAGTTGTCCCCCTCACGTCGGCACGCAGACCGTAGTTGGCAGGTTGGCTTAACCCCAACCCGGTCCACACTTGGTTGAGATCGTCATCTGCAGTTACAGTTGCAATTGGCGACGGCATGACGATCGCGATCACTCTTATCTACGTGCTAATCGCCTCATTCCCCGCTGGCATTCACCCCCTGATACGCTCACGTAACGACAATCCTACGACGGAGGTAGCAATTGCCTTGACGGAGGAAGCGTAATACCAGGCAACGCCTTCATCTCCATTCAATGTCACCGACGTCAACTTCCTTTATTGCTTCCGGAAGGGAACGAATAAGAGGCGTTGACATCATGCCGTGCCATACAAGCCCTAATCTCCAGTTACTATTTTTAGATACTGACCCGTTGGACGGTGGACCGTGCCTTCCGTATTTGGAATAGTGGTGCGACTATTAGCCGCGGCTCCGCTCGATTAGGAAGAGGCAGTGCTGCAGGTTGAGTGCAGGCGCACGATGATCCTTTAACATGTCTCGTAGGTTTGATTGGCAGCTGTTGGACGGGCTTCGAAGATCGATTTAGCCGAGCGGAATTACAGAGATACGAGAGGGACGACGCGGGAGAGACGGGCTCGGGAGCGGTAAGAGTCACCAGTTGACCTCCAAGGACAAAGGGGGCCGTTGTTGTCGTCCCGAGTGACCTGGCGAGGCGACGGATGCCAAGTGACGGTGTGCGTACAGGAAGCAAGGCCAAGAGGCTTCTCGTCCCTTCTGGTACAGCCAATCTATCTCTCACGCGCATCTCGGTGCTGCCTTGCTCCTCCCTTGCATTTCTCCTGTGGCGATAACCCCGGGCCCCCTTTAGCGTCCATTGTCAGTGGCGAATCCGCCCAAGCCCAAAACTCGCCCCTCAGGGCCGACGCGCTTCCGAAAACTTCTATATCTACCCCCCCTCGGCCTGCCCAACCCCCTCCTACCAACCACTACCACTCTTACTTTCTTTACGCTCTCGAGCATACAACACCGGTCTTTTACCAAGCCAAATACTACACATACACAACAAGATGTTCTCCCGTTTCGCCCTCGCTCTCTTCGCCGTTGTTGCCCTCGTTGCCGTCGCTCAGGCTGCCCACAACGGTACCGCTGTTAACGGCACCGCCTTGACCAACTCCACTGTTGCCTCCCACAACGGTTCGTTCAATCCTTCTTGGATAAAATGAGCTCTGTACTGACTGTTTGCTACAGGTACCTGGGCTGCTAACGGCACCGTCTCCCCCATCGGTACCGCCTCTGGCGCCGCTTCCTTGAGCACCTCCGCCTTCGCTGTTGCCTTGGTTGCCCTCATTGCCTCCGTTGCTTCCTTCTAAATGCACACTACACTTCTATAGAGTTGTGTCGCATTGATGGAGTGAAACGATAAATGGTGGTTCTTAATATGGGTGATTGCAATTGCATGAAATGAGAGGATACGCGGTGGTCAAGATCATTGGCGACCCTCGATCTCAAACCGGAAGGGGTTACTCTTTTTTTCTTTTTTTACTTGATACTTTTTACCAACGGGCAAAATTTGGTGGTGTTAATGGCTTCTTTCCTTTTCGCTTTTTCCATTCGGTCTAATCAACCTTTCAAATCTTGAAAACGTTCTCTGTCAATCTTTCTCTTTCATCGTCTGCCGTGGTTGTTGTCATATACCCCTGAGTGTATGCTGGAATTGTCATTGTGGGTTCTGAATCTACCCTCCATACATATATGTATGCTCGTCTCTCAATCACAATTGCACCGTAGGCCTTCTTTCACAAACCTCTTACTTCTCCACACTCAAGTTCCTTGAGCCGTGGACTCGTTCCCGTCCGTCTGTGCTTCTTCGAGATCGCGTCCCATCGCGACCGCGTGTTACCCCCTAATTACTGCGCGTCAACCGCACGTCCGTAACAAGAACAGCATACACCCCGACAATGTCGTCTTCTAAGGCGAGATCAAGTCATACGGAGATGTACGAGAGTCTGCTAAGCGTTCCAGAGTACGCATCTTCTCCTTGGTCATGGGGAGTTTCAACATGCTGACGAAGGGCACATAGGAACGATGAGAAGTTCGAGTCATTACATCGCGTCGAGGCGGTTTATGATCCACTTCCAGAGCGAAGGGATGGGTTGATTGTACGATGGGCCACGCAGAATCATGATATCAAATTCTGACCGTGCCTTCGTACAGGTGTCAAACCGCCAATACCGACAACAATATGCAAACCTTTACTACCTCCGCCTCGCAACACTCAAACCAATCCTTTCCGCCCATGCCGAACGTAAATGGGCTTCCATCAAAATTGCGGGACAAAAACCGCGGTTGGTTATGAATACGCTGAACGTGAAGCAAGGCGAGGTTGTCTGGATTATCGGAACGTGTTTTATGGATTTACCACTCAAACCGAATATTTTGGAGGACGTTGCGAAGGATCATTTACACGTTGCTATTCCTCCCCGTGAAAAGTACGTCGGGCTGGATGGTGGGGAGGTGGTGATGTTGGAGGATGAGTCTGGGAGAATCAGGTTGGTTGGTGGGAGGCTGCTTGAGGAGGGGTTGGTTACGGGGTGTGTCATTGCTGTGCTTGGAAGTGAGAATGGCGAAGGCACTTTTGAGGTTGTGGATGTTTGTTTGCCGGGAATGGCACCGCAGAAGGAGGTTGAGGTGGATGAGAACGGAGAGGATGAGTGGATTGCTGTTGTGAGTGGATTGGGCTTGACAGGACATGAGCATGAGAATCTGCAGACGCATTTGTTGGCGGAGTATTTGACGGGTGAACTTGGCACGAACGAGGTAATCGTTTCACTGTCCATTATTCGTATACGAATATTGACCCGGATGATTACAGGATCAACTACAAGCACGCAAGATCTCCCGAGTGATCTTCGCCGGGAACTCGGTGGATGCGCTGGCGAAACCATCACCAACGGATGAGGATGAATCGACAGTACGAAAGAACAAGAAGTACGGGTACGACGCTTCGGCATACAATCCTCTTCCCACCGCTGCCTTCGATGATCTTGTCACGGACCTGGCGTCCTCGATAACCGTCGACGTCATGCCCGGCCCTCTAGACCCAGCGATTGCGACACTACCACAGCAACCGTTACATGTCGCAATGTTCCCTCAAGTACGAGCATATTCTGGTTCGACCTTTAACGCCGTCACGAATCCGTATTGGTGTTCGATAGGTGGTAACACCTTCTTTGGATCCTCAGGACAGACGATCGACGATATCTACAAATACGAGTTACCGACTGATCTGGGAGACAAACTCACCATGATGGAGCGAACGCTGAGGTGGAGACACAGTGCGCCCACGGCGCCGGATACGCTGTGGTGCTACCCATTCCAGGACCGGGATCCGTTCATTATGGAGGAGACGCCGAGGGTGTATTATTTGGGTAACCAGGACAGTTTCGATACGAGGGAGGTTGAGGGCGAGGATGGGCAGAAGGTTAGGTTGGTAAGTGTGCCGAGGTTCAAGGAGAGGAGTGAGCTTGTGTTGGTTAACCTGAAGACGCTGGAGTGCGAGGTAGTGGTGTTCGATGTCGAAGGACAAGTTGCATGAATGCACGAAAACAGAGGATTTTGGACAGCATAGATGTACCACGCAAAATGGCTTCGCTCATATTGGGTATCTGATTGCCATGCTAAATGCTCAAGGCTGCCTGCAGCCCTATATGCCGTTCCCCGTCACCCCTTGTTGAAATATCCCCGCGAAACTACCGTCGAGAAGACATAGTTGACCTGACTGTAGCACCACCTCATGAGGACCTCCAACGGCAAACTCTGTGTTAATAGCATCTTCCATTCTTCCAGGCCCATTTTGCCGGCCGGCCTCAATTGTGCGGTGCTATTGATTCCCATCATGCCAAACGGCTGTAATCCCAATGCTACATTTAGTGGACGAGTGGCAAGGTGCTCCAATGCGAGCGTTCTGTCGATAACCGTGCCACATGCCACCGCGAACCCCATATTCGCTATCAACCCAGTGACCTCGTGAAGTACAGCATCAGGATAATGCGTCGCCAACACCGTATTCCGGTTCGGCTTCGGTATCCTTGTTCTTATCCATCTGGTTGTTTTCTCAGAGATAATATCATGGAGGTGTAGACCAGCGAGGGAAAGTATGAAGGATTTGAGGACGAAGGTGCGGGGGTTGAAGGAGGAGAGGGGTGGGAGGACGGGACGGAGGGGTATGAGGCCGAGGGATTGGAGGGTTGCGTGGCGGTAGATGGGGTAGAGGGCGAGCCAGGAGATTGATGACAGACTGTGATTGAACAGGTTAACCTGTTATTGTACAGAGTTCAAGGTTCACTTACCAGAGCTCCATCCCGCGAATCTTGACGACCGGCCCGAGCAGCTTTGGTAGGGATTTCCAAGCTAAATTTGATCTTCGACACCTCAACTTTCGAAGTATCCATGCTACGACGTATTTCTCGAGTTGCGAAGTGCCAACGTAAAGAGCTTGTAGCGTGAACAATGCGGGAACACCGGCGTAGAGCTGTTTGAAGGTGCCTGTTTCCCAGGCTTGTTGAATGATTTGAGTGATGTACCATTTAGAGTCCGTCAATTTGAAGGTCTGAATTACTATCAGTCAAAGTTTGAAGTGACCCGGATAAGAGCAGTCCTACTAGGAGTCTCGTTCGCAATGTATCCAATGGACACATCATCAGATACGACATGCTCATTGTCGACAAACTTAGAAAGAGTCCCATATCATTCTCTGCCTCCTGAAGATGCCTCGCATGACGACCTATGGCTCTTGCGGTGTCTCGTGAGTTCGGATATGGTGGAATGTCGGATGGATCAACCATTCCCAGGACAGCGAGGATGCCATTCTCGGCATTGCACAGTGCCGTCTCCCGTGCGCGATGCTCATCCAGAAGTTCTTCATCTTCACCGGTCTCGTCGGCCTCGTAATACAGAAAAGGCTTCAGACGGCGCATTCTCGACACAATTGACCTTCGTCGTCGCTATCGTCCCGTATACTTCATATCGCAGCGCTTCGGCAAGGCCCCAAGGTCTTCTCCCTGAGGCGTACGTGCGGCGCAGCAAAAATCTGGAAATAAGCTCGAAGTAACGTCGCCTCGGCAGAAAGTCGCAAATCACCGAGAGTTCAATTGCGAAGATGTCGCTCGCTAAAGCTCCTTCGCTCAAGACGAGCTTCAAGGCGACCCGCACTATCGAGCCGATTTACACTGGTGGCAAGGTTGCGCTCGCTGTTGATGGTAGAACATTGGCGACGACCCTGGGAGAGGATGTGCAGATTACGGATATGACGACTGGAGAGAGGGTTGCGGAGATCAAGGGAGACTCGGATATTACAACGCTTACTGTTACTCCCGACGGCGCACACCTCTTGACCTGCTCGAGATCACTACAATTGAAGACATACGAATTGCCTAGCGGAAGGCTGATCCGGAGTACCAAGGCGCACGAAGCCCCTGTCATCGTCATGGACGCCGATCCGACATCGACCCTCGTCGCGACTGGTGGTGCGGAAGGTGCAGTAAAGGTCTGGGACGTTGACGGAGGATTCGTCACTCACCACTTCAAGGGTCACGGTGGTGTTGTTTCAGCTTTGAAGTTCTGGGGTGAGAAGGGCGGTGGAAAATGGTACTTGGCGACAGGTTCGGACGACTGCAAAGTTAGAGTATGGGACTTGGTGAAGAGAACCTGTATCGCAGTGTTGGACAGCCATGTGTCCGTTATCCGTGGATTGGACTTTTCGGAGGATGGCAAGACCCTGATCTCTGGTTCAAGAGATAAGGTTGTGAATGTGTGGGATATGAAGACTTTCAAGCTCATCAAGACCATTCCGACGTATGAGTCCTTGGAGACGGTTGGATATCTGTCGGCAGGCACGCTCACGGAGGATCCCAAGGAGCAGGTTATCTACACCGGCGGTGAGAATGGTGTCGTAAGACTGTGGTCGGCAAAGACTGGTCAGGAGGTCGGCAAAGCGTCCACCCCACCCCGACCCGAGATCGGCATTTCAGACATCATCTACCACCCCACAACCCAGCTCTTCCTCTCCGTCCTCACCGACGAAAACCTCATCATCCACTCCACCTCCGACAAGACCCTCCCAGTCCTGAAGCGCATCGCGGGACACCACGACGAAGTCATCGACTGTACCTACCTCGGCGAGAACGACACCCACCTCGCCATCGCCACCAACAGCGACGAAGTTCGTATCATCAATACCGACGGCTTTGATACTGGCGCATTACACGGACACAAAGATATCGTTATCTGTTTGGATAGGGATTTCGAGGGTGGATGGTTGGCGACTGGAGCGAAGGATAATGAAGCGAGATTATGGCGGATCGATCTGAATAACCCTTATCCGGAGAAAAGGTTTGAATGTTTTGCGACGTTTACGGGTCATGCTGAGTCGATTGGTGCGATTGCGCTGCCACGAACACCCACGAACGGAGCGCCGCCCAAGTTCTTGTTGACTGGATCTCAGGACCGGACGATTAAGAGATGGGAGGTACCACGTACCGCTGGGGCTAAGCCCAGGGCGCTGTATACCCAGAAAGCACACGACAAAGATATCAACGCCATTGACGTCTCTCCTAATGACGCCCTATTCGCCACCGCATCCCAAGACCGCACCGTCAAGATCTGGTCTCTGGACGATGGAGAGCCCGTCGGTGTCCTCCGCGGCCACAAGCGCGGTGTCTGGTCCGTGAAGTTCTCTCACCATGAGAAAGTCATCGCTACTGGTTCCGGAGACAGGACTTTGAAGTTGTGGAGTTTGAATGATTACAGTTGTTTGAGGACGTTTGAGGGACACACGAACTCTGTCCTCAAGGTTGCATTCATGACTGCTGGGTTGCAGATTGCATCTGCGGGTGGTGATGGTCTCGTTAAGGTTTGGACGATTAAGAGTGGCGAGTGTGCGACTACGCTTGATAACCATGACGAGAAGGTTTGGTCGCTTGCTGTTCGCAATGATGACCATGTTCTCGTGTCTGGCGGTGCAGACTCTCGGGTTAACCTCTGGGAAGACGTTTCTGAGATCGAGCGTGAAGAGGATGCGAAGAAGGCAGAGGAGTTGGTCGAGAAGGAGCAGACCCTCGCCAACTACCTCCACCGCAAGGATTGGCGGAATGCTATCGTCATGGCCATGTCTCTCGACCAACCTCACCGTCTCTTGAACTTGTTCAAGAACGTGCATGAGTCAAGAGGTGTCGATGCACCAGAGGCTGACAAGCAGAGTATCACCGGCTTGGCTGCTGTTGACGACGTCCTTGCGTCCTTGGCAGAGGAGCAAGTTGGTACCCTCATGATCCGTATCCGCGATTGGAACACAAATGCACGTACTGCACCTGTCGCTCAGCGTATCTTGCACGTCTTGCTGCAGTCATACCCACCTGAGACCTTCCTCAAGATCGACGGTATCAAGGGTGCGTTGGATGCTTTGGTGCCGTATTCTGAGAGACATTATGGGCGCATTGGTGAGTTGATGAAGGACTCGTATATTGTTGAGTTTACATTGAGAGGAATGGAGGATGTCCTTGGTTTGCAAGAGGACGAGGAGGAGCAGACGAATGGGACTGCTATGGAGGTTGATGCCTGAACGTCTTACATTTGCGAGAAAGTTTCTTTTAGCATATTGTCTTTTGCATCTGGGATCGGCGTCTTTCTTTCTTTCTTTTCTTACATCCCTACCGGGCCTCTCTCAATACAAAATAGAAACCTCATATTGGGTAAACCGTCTCGAGATCGGGCTCATACCGTACGCTCTCTTGAGCTTCATTAATTCATTCTTATTTTCCCTCCCTTCCACAAAAAGAACGTCGAAGCGGAGCGAAGCCCGGACCATCCATGGCCCTCAAATACCCGTCGAAGAAACGTTACGGGCATTCTAAGGCAATTCCAGGCTGGACCGATAAATTTGGAGTTCAGTTGACATTTACGGACCGTGCCGGTGCCTTGTCCGAAAAGCTGTTGCGACCGCATGCGCATACGGTGGGGCCGCTAGCTGATTACTTAGCCTCCACCGCCTCTCTCGTCAGTGAGCTTCCAGCTGTTTAATCCACCCGAATATAGCACCCGTTGCTCACGGATCGTGGCCATTACAGGCATGGATACGCTTGCTTTACGTCCATTCCTTCGCTCTCAGTGGATGCCGAGGCTCAAGACAGGGTCTAGCACGTTACTTACTATCCAATCTTATCAATTTCTCCTTTGATAATCTACGAAACAAGCAATAGCTACACCGCGGTATCACTGCGGGTGAGGTCCTAATGTTTCCCCACTCTTAAACATCAAAGCGCTTACGTCAGCATCATGGGCCCCGAGGCCGCTCGACATGGCGCGCTCCCTTGTAATTATTCGAGATGGAACCTTTCTGCATATGCATCTTATATGAGCATTGGAAGTTCCGGAAGCCGGTTGAGGGAGTTTACCATTGTTACCAAGAGTCGCATAAAGCATTACGCAATCGCAATGGCCTGCAACGCTCAAATGACCGGGGTAAGTCACTTCCGGAGCAGCTGCCCCCAGGATCCCCTTACGCGAATGTACGTCAGCTACTTTACCGAATTGGCGGTGGAACACCAAAATGAACATAGGCCGCTTGCAGCGCTGGAAGATTAGGACGTGCTGAGGAAGGTGCGGCCCAAATCCCGACTCTCTTTAAATCTGCTCCTCAATTGCAAAGTGCACAGTCCGCAATGACATAGAGAAGTAACCTCTATAGTCGTCACATAGCTGCTCGTGGCCAGCATATGAATGGTCTTTTCGTCATCCGGTGATCCCAAAGACCTACGACCATTGACTTTGTGTGCACGTTGCGGGTCGCACGCGGACGCACGCGACGGATTCGAACTGGCGGGGAGCTCGAAGGCAATTCTTGATCTGGTGTCGAAACCCAGACATCATCAAGGGCGGACCATGTAACCATAAATACCTACGGCTTTGAATTCTCCAAGCCATCGCTGTAGATTTAACAAACCAATGGACCGCGATAGTAATCGAGGCTCGGGCCATTTGGACCGCGGCTTACTGGAACGTCGTTGAAAAGTTCCATCAACAAACCGGGACGGTCCGCCGCAGCTCCTACCCCAAATAAGGTGAAACAAGTGCATATCGCTACACCTGAAGTTCTCACACCGCGGTCCGATGTCCAATTGAAAGGTAGTGAGTTCTGTTCATTTGATCTTGATCCACCTCGGGAGGGCTAGGGGCACAGAATTCCGTGAATGACCCGAGGTTATTATTACTGGTTCCCATAGCTATAGGCATAGTACTGTCCGCGGTGGCCACGAGCACGAGCAACCACGTTTTGATCCCTTTCGTAATGAGTGGGATGATATAAGAGTCCTGCCCTCTGCCACTGGCGTTTCCACAAGTCTCTCAACAAGTCTTCGTGTAAGCTTCACCACCTGTACCGTTGCACGGGCGTGGACTCGCCCACGTCGCCGCGTATATTCAGCCCCGTCGAAGTCCCCAACCTTCGCAACCCGTTCGAAGCTTCCGTCTCTGGACATGTCAGCGTCCAGGACGTCGTCTACTCGCCGTCGCACAGACACTCTCGACACAGGCGGCTCAGGAGCACCCTCTGCCTCCTCTGCGACAAACCCGCACTATGGTCGTCAAAGAAGCAACTCCAACTCTACCTCGGTGTCCGCAGAAGGCCATACGATCCCTCCGGATGAGATTGCTTTTGCTCGTAGGGCGAGTCATAACGCTGGTAAGATGCTCTGGTCTGCTTCATGTTTGATTCTGACATGATTGTTTACAGTGGAACGCCAACGCCGTGATGCTCTCAACCTCAAGTATCTGGCACTTGGCCAAGCTCTTCCAGCACTCGAAAACATTCGCAGGCCCAGCAAAACCTCTATCATCAATGAAGCGCTCGCGTTTGTCGTTAAAGCCCGAACCATCATGCGCGAGAACGAGGCATTGAAGCGCGAGAATGCGGAACTGAAAACGAAACTGGGCATTACAGAGCCTCAACAAAAGACAACTGATGATACGGAAGTTACTGCCGATGACAAGACTGTGATCCCCCACGTTAGTGCCAGCGACGACGAAGCAATCATTGACGAAGAAGACGACAGCACACCCGAATTGCCTCGCTCAACCAATCCGTCCCAACTATCGTCTTTGTCTTCGTCACTTCCATCTTCCCGATCATTCTCATTTTCCGAATTCTATCCAACGCCCGCGGCTCAGACTGTCGAGCCCGTCTACTTGACACGACAAGCACCAATCATTTCTTCTCACGGTATGTTCGACGTCCTCCAAGGTCCCACCCCAGTGTCCTCAAGAAGCTCAGAAACCGGCGGAGACAGCGCATCTCCTCGTCAACCTCCTTTGTATATTGTCGAACCTCAAAGGAATTACCTGCCTCAATTGCCTCAGCAATACGCAGCACATACCGAAGTCCCTTTGAGCACCCCGTTCGACAACGTGCAATACACCGCAAGCCCTCACATGGCAACGGCAAGCTCACCTATGCCATCGCCTACATTTGGCAGGGGTCAACATGGTCTTGGTCTTCTTAACCTTCCAACAGCTGGCGATTATGCTTCCTCTCGAGGTTCAAGCCGCGGTACCCTCACAGGTCCAGCAGCCCCAGTCAACACCGTCTTCGCTGCAGGCCCTGACCATGGCCAAGCACCACATAACGTCCTAATAAATTCCCAGTTCTACGACTTGAGTCCAGGATATCTTGTGGCGGAGGGTCAGAACATCTTTTGGGCGAATGAGACAGACCCTGCAGCGGCATTGGAGGATCTTGGTGACCAGGATGCACAGATGATTCCGGTGGAACTGTTTCAGGCCAATGATTACTTTGCGAGTGAGTTTGGATCGGGGCCAGGTGGAACTGGCGAGTGAGTAAGGATGGCGAAGTGATATGGTTGACGTGATCCACTCATTACCGGGGTCACACGTCGGCGGTTCCTGGCGCAATAGGTAACTATGGATGGAAGGAGGGTAACGGCGTGTCTTTGTTCGATGATGGATCACGGCTAACGAGGGCATTCTTCTCTTGTATCATTGTAACCTCACTGTTTTGTCATTGGGTGGTTTTAATCGCTGGCTTTATGCATATGGAAATGCGACAGGCCTAGGTTCAAACTCTAGATCTTGTCAACTTACAGTCCACGATTTTGATCGTGATTACGATTTGCACACGACCGAGATTGAAAAGCGATTGATACATTTTCCTGTATGAATGCAAGTGTCACTAATGATATGCTGCCAGACACTGCCAAACCCGATAAGATCATGGAAACACCAAACGCCGTCACCGTCGCCACCGCCAGATACCCCGACAGGCCAACCGACACACACAAGCCTCCATCCTCAGGAGGATGCTGTCAAGCTATCCTCATTCCTCTTCTTCCATGAGTTGACACGATCCACATACAGTGAACCTCCATGACCACTGTGATCCTCACTTAGCCGACCCTCATCCTCGAAAGCATCCTCCTCTTCCTCCTCACCATCACCTTCCGTAAAATGATCCTCCATAGCGCTCCCTTCCTCCTCTTCCTCTTCCTCCTCAACAATAGCACCCCATCCACCCTTGCCGCCTTGTTTGCACTTCCGTCGACTTGCCATTGGTGTAGCGAAGGCACTCCTCCTCCGTCTCCCAAATACCACACCCGACGAACCACCTACATCAGGAAAACCATACGACATAGCATGCCGAGGCGGAGGCGTGACAGGTACAGTCATCGCATTCACGAATCCGGGACTACGGCCACTTTTCATCTGACTGCTTGCATTGCTTGATGTTGAACTCGCTTTCGAATGTGAATTCCGGCGTATCGATCTGAAGCTCGAGACTGACGAGCTTGTACTGTTCCGTCGCAGATCCGATGGGCGGCGAGCCCGAGACGGCGCCCGAGGTGAAGAAAATCCAGAGGGTGGTCCCGAGAGGGGTGACTTTTCCACGCGGTTATGAGAGGCGGTGCGGCCGACCAAAGCCAGTCGTGGCGGGACACCGCTTCGTTCCAGTCGCCTCGCTTCTCTCGTAGGCGCTGTTTGCGAGCGAACAAACGCGTTCAGTGCCGCTTCATCGATCTGATTGCCTATCGAGTTTGATCCAGTTGATGTAGACACCGTCGGCTCCGTGCTCAAGCGGGCAAGGCTAGTAACATTAGACGATTTGCGATTGGTATCCGTCAACCAAGCCTTCAAGGAGGATATAAGACTGGGCCGTCGGTTGTGCTTTGGTTTCGGTGTCGTTTTCCGACCTTTGCCGTTAGAAGAGGTGCTGATCGTTTGCCACACACTCCCTTTCTTGTCCAGCTCGTGCTCCTCGACCTTTATATCTGGAAGTGGTTTATCCTCGACGCTCCCAGGCGGAAATTTGAACGACTTCGCCGCTTCCTTAAGCTTCTCGATCTCTTCATCAGATGCACCTCGATTACTCTTCTTCGGTGCATCATCTTGAACTTCTTTTTCAAGCTTCTTCTCCTCCTTCCGTTTTCTTCGCCTCGCCTTCTTCTCTTCTTCCTCCCATGCAAGCCACCACCAACCCGCCAGCAGGTCGCATTTGTTCTCTTTGACACTGGCTTGCATCTTCTTGGTATCAACGCCAACCACAGATAACTTCTCCAGAAGTTCTGTCTCTCTTGCTGCCGTGAACGGGACAGGCCACGTCGCTTTGACCGAGAGCAATTGATTAGGTCCATGCTCGGCGAGGAAGGGATGCACCAGCACCTGCTGTATCGTTGGCCGCCGTACGGGATCTTTGTTCAATAGCATCCGTATCAGCGCTGACGCATGCTCCGATATATCCATAGGTATCTTGATGTCGTCACTGATGATCTTCTTTCGCATGTTCTGTTCATCGTCGTCATCAAACGGCAACTCACCAGTGAGCAGCGTATGTAGAATGACACCAGTACTCCAAGCATCAGCAGCTTCTCCAGCATACTTCCCACCCATGATCATCTCTGGAGGCGCATATGCAGTTGTCCCAGCCCAGGTCTCCAAGAACTTGCCGGGGTCGTTCTCCCTGGTGAAACCAAAATCAACCAGCTTCACATTCCCATGCTTATCCAACAAGATATTCTCCAGCTTCAAATCACGATGTACGCAGCCTTTGGAATGCACATACCCAACCGCACCACATATCTGCGCAAACAACCGCTTCACCTCATCCTCAGGCAACCTCTTCTTCCGGCACAAATAATCAAACAGCTCACCTCCCGAACAGTATTCCATTACCAACCATGCATTCTCCTCCGTGCATATATACTCAAATAGTCGTGCAATATGTGGATGATGTAGTCTTCTGTGATGATAGATCTCTCGAGCGAGGTTCGCGGCTTCGGTCTTGGGCGTGCATTTAACAACAACCGTAGCGGACGTAGGCAGGTGGGTCGCTTTGTAGACTTTTCCGAACGATCCTAACATTGATATGAGTAATGGAGCAGAAATTCGTATAAGAGATCCGGACCTTTGCCAATCAAGGATCCGAGGACGTAATTCCCTACAGTGTCAACTTCGCATGTTGAGAAAGCTTGTAAGAGCTCATTGTAAGCTGCGGCGACCTGTACTTATTTGTAAGCACATGCAAACTTGTTGAAACTCATGAAATCAAGTACCGATGCTTTTTCGTTGCGCTCAGCTGCACTCTGTGCCCGCGATGGCATAAAGGAGGTGTTGATCTGCGTTCACTCACGAAATACAAAGATGAGCTTGACTTCGCCGGAATGCCGAATGAATGCGCCAAATGCGTTGAACTTGTTTGATTGTATTCCAAGGTTGAAATGCTGTTGACGGACGGTTTGACTGGGGTATCTCGAAAACACCGAGAACTCGAGTGTACGACGCATGCCTGGTGCCGGCGCATGCAGGACGCAGCACCGTCAAGCCGCCCGGCCGTCATCTGCTGCCTGGGAATGACATTGGGAGGTATCAATGGATGGAGATATACCTTGATATTTTTGTGTTCGATAAAGACTCATTCGATCTTACGCGGTGGTTTCGCCCAGCTTCCCGCCGCAATGCTTCCCGCCTCATCCAATATGAGGAATTTTGGGCCTACTGATCGTCGGTCCAACACCCTTTCCGTCCGTGATGTTCCAACAATCCACACAAGGCTCGTCAAAGCTTTGGTGCTCATATGCCAGCACTCCCACTCCACCAGCCGACAGCAAGAACTTGTTTCCGCTCGTAATGGGATCATCGATCCAGCGAGCAGTGAAAGCTCGAAGAATATGTCCATGAGCGACAACCACGACATCTCCATGCTCGTCCTTCTCCACCGCTTCTCCTTGAATTTTTCTGATTCGGGCAATGAACGCATCCAGTCTCTTAGTGACATCTTCAGGAGACTCACCACCCGGACATCCCTCCTTCCACAGATTCCACCGTCCCTTCCCTTCCCTCTCCCGCTGCGCCTGAATGTCCTTACTCGTAACACCCTCATATTCACCATAATTCCACTCAATTATATCCTCAGTCTCCTCGACCGGAATGTTCTTTGGCAAATGAAACAGCTCCAAAGTCTTCCTGGCACGCTGGAGCGGAGATACGAAGATCCGTTTGATGGTCGAACAAGTCAAGAGCCGATCTTCGCCGACGAGAGCCTCGGCGGATTGTCTGACACGCTTCTCTCCGTTCTGTGTCAATGGTAGGTCGGTGGCTCCGGTGTGACGGCCGTTCAAACTCCATTCGGTCTCACCTGAAGGCAATCGTTAACACCCATTTTTTTTGGTAGACTTGGACTTCTTACCATGACGGACCACAAACACTCTTGGGTAGTTAGGCATTGTCGTACTGATCGGTTGGCTAATTGGTATTGCTCGTTGGAGTTCGGTTGTACAGCTGGCCCGTGGGGAACCAAACAGCTGCAAGATTACGTTATACGCGGCTCTGAACAAACTCTCAAGTTACAACCATACATTTTTCAGATACTGCTCGTTATGAAGTAAAAGTCCAATAGAATATCCAGAATCCCTAAGCCATGCCGATACCGTGACCATCAATCAAAGATCACCTCCCTCATCCTCAACTGTCTTAACGTGGGGAAACAAACGTCGATGGCCCTCGCAAGTCGTCCTTCGTTGTCAGGGGATGAGTATATGGGGCCCACCTCCTTCACTTTCTGTCTGTAGCCTCTCCGGATGCCTCGCTCGGTTTTGAGGACGTCTTCTGCCTTTCTCTTTCTGCCTTCACGGATAGGGACGTCAAGCGGTGAACCTTGATCCGTGATAGTGGGGACTAAACCATGTCCAAACACCACTCTCTCAGCATCCTCCCATGACACATTGGCTTCATTGGCAATAGGAGACCATATCTTCTTCCTATTTCTCGCATAAGAGTCCATGACAGAAGTGTCCCCAGGCGCCTCCTCCCTGCAATTGGGTGACGAGGAGGAGGGGGTCGATTGGGAATTGGAAATAGGAATGAACGTTGCTTGCAGTTGAGGGACCGGAAGCTCAGGTTGCGTAAGTTGAGTGGACATCAGAGCAGACATAGCTTCAGTCTTCTTGGGGTCGAACGCCCTTTTTATGGCACGTTGCTTGTTGTATTTCACACGACACCGACATGCCTCGGGTGTTTTATTTGGAAAGTATTTGGTGGCAATGTCTACCACTTGTCAGCTTCTGATCCATCGCCAAGACACAGAAATAACTCACCTTTCCAGTGTACACCATCTGCGTGTAAGCTATGAAGAAGAGCATCGTCTTCGGCGGTCCACTTGGGACCTTTGGTCATAGCGGGGAATCGAGGCTCAGCGGGCCTCTGTGCTCGAGGCTTTGGCAACGGCACTGATGGAGTAGCGATTTTCCTTACCGGAGCAGTAACAGGAGCGGAAGGAGGAGCAGCAGCCATAAACGACGACACGATCAATGAGGGAATGAAGAAATCCGGCGATGCCGAGCCTAGGGAGTGATCGCGCAGGACTGAATTCGAAGACGATCCGGAAGGATACCGAGTCGAGGTCGATTGCGAATGCGAATGCGAATGCTGCGAAGGGTGATCGTAGGCAAAAGCGTAAGAAAGTACCCCATCCATAGTCGTTGTGTGCAATTGCAAAGGGTTGAGTCGTCGTATTTCACTGATCCGTAACAGAATATCGTGTACGACTGCTCTACCGAGTTCCCGGGACGGGGAACACCGATACCTATATACGCGGTTAACAAGGGCTGGGTGCGCCTATCTTCTAGACCCTGTTTTACGAAGACGAAATCACTCTGTTGAGCGTGTTTCGCCTTCTCCTCCTGATATATCCGGAGCCCAAACCATTGCAACGCATAGCGGGTCTTAACGCTCCGCGGCATAAAGAATGAAATCTATGGGAACACCGATCGACGTGGCCGCTCATTTCAATAGATACTGAGGTGATTTGGTCCGCTGCGCGTTTCGTACAAGACCTTCCCAAGAGTCAGATTGGTCAGATCAATATCAGAGCACCTGCTCGTCCATACGTCTCTCCTCGACATGACACGTATGCATATGCTCCCGCTGTCAACCGCCTAGCCCGGGGCTGCACCTGAGATGCCAGGACCTCCGCAAATCATGAATCCCAAACAAACAGATCAACCCGCAATGCTCTAACCCCAGACTGCGAGCCGCGCACACGTGAAACCTCAAGCCTTCCAGCTTAAGGCTTCTTCAATGGAACAAACACGGCCGGTAACTAGGTGTGGAGGAAATAAGGTTCACTTTGAAACACTGCTGGCACATGCCGACTCCGTCTCGCAAGGTTCGCATTCAAGCAGCTGTTCTGGGTACCCGTGCATGTGATTGACGGCCGCGCAAGAGATGAGCGGAGGAGTCTCCTCCGACCTCCTCTTTCTTGGTGCGGACCGGATCAGACTGTCCATCCCGCCTATGACCAAGACGGAAGCATGCAACCTGTTCGGTCCGACCTTCATGAACCAAGCCTTAAGTTTGTGTGGAGCGCAGCTGCCGTGCGTCACTCAATTTCTCCCACGCACCCGGCACGTTCCGCGCTTTCGGTTGGGGCGTGAGCGTTCGACAAAATACTGTAACCAGCGATAACGACCCTCAGCAGTCGAGTAGATTGCGTCAGAGGATGGGATCATGGAGGGGAAGGTAATCGATTGTGCGTTATAAATATTTTATTTTTATTGTCTGTTTATATGCTTCTCGGCAGATAATAGCAGCGGAGCGCAATGCTCAACGCCTTCAATCCTCTCACCTCCTGATGCCTGAACATTGTCCATCCTTCATTTACTACCCCGGACATGCCCACCCACCCGCACCTCGTTTTGCTTCAGTGCAGTCCATCCTCCCGTTTCACCAGAACCCCCGTTCCGCAAAACTTTCTCTTCACACTACCAACCGATGATTATCACTCCCAATATAATACGTCCCGATCTTCTCCGGATCCGGTTTCAACACAAACGTCTGACTAAACCCCCTAACCTGCATCTCACCCCCATAACTGACCGTCCCACTTACATTCACCAAAATCGTACTGACCATCAACCCATTCGCCGCAGTAGCAACCGTTCCAATCATGGGCTGCGCATCGATGACTTGGACTTCGTGTTTGGTTGTGGGGAGACGGGTCGCGTATTCGTTGACGAAGGATTCGAGGGTGAAAGGGCGGCCATTCCAGATTATGGTGGAGGTGGGGCGGTAGAAGCGGCCGATTACGGAGCGGTTTGTGTCCAGGACTTTGTAGTAGAGGGGTACGAAAGCTTCTGCGCCTGGACGGTAGTTAGTATCGTGAAGGATGAGATGTTCGGAAGGAACTGCATACCCTGGGCGGAGATTTCCACAAGGGTGGGTGGGACGGTAGTGCTCTGTGAGGATCATTAGCTTTGGACGCTGGGAAGCGCTAGGCATCGCATCATGGTGCTCACCATTATGTTATTAGAATGGTCTTGAGAGCTCCAGTCCAGCTGTAGACGATCCCAATTGGTTGCTTGTTCGGTTTGTTGAGCGCAGAATCACAGCCGTCACGGCGACCACCGTCTTATTGATGGTTGCCGGTTCTCTACATTGCTGCAGGAATTGCGCAGATATCGTGGTCATGATACATGGAGACTATCTCATGAAAATGCCCTAATGTTTACAGAATATAGTCAAGGGATCAGGTCCTGAAAAAGTGATTCCATTTGGGTCCTTCTTCTTCACGGTTCTTATCGATTATGCCCACTAGCCTTTCGTAAAACTGAAGATGGGCCAAACCTTATTAATACCAGGTATCGACGTTACACCTCCCTCGACCCTTCCACATCACAATGGATACCTCTCTAAACCTACCAGCAGCTGCTACCGTCGAGGAGACCCTCACCTCTCCCTCCATCGAAGATCCCTTCAAGAAGAAGAAGGTCACCTCCTCCGTCGTCGACGTCCAGAATCCTACCAATACCCCAACTTTCGGCTCAAGACTATTAACGGACGAGGAAAAAGTCTTCGAACACAACGCCTGGGACCACGTCGAATGGGGCCCCGAACAAGAAGCCACTGCGCTCGAAAGTATCGAGCGACAACTCCAAGACCCCGTTCCCGAACAGGACAAGGAACGGTATAACGGTGACCCAGCCTCCTTCTGGGACGCATTCTACTCCCAACACAACGAGAATTTCTTCAAGGACCGCGCATGGTTGGCGCAGGAGTTCCCTGAACTCGCGGCGTGCACACTCCCCGAGGCCGGGCCCAAGGTGGTCGTGGAGGTCGGGTGTGGAGCTGGTAACACGATGTTTCCAGTCCTCAATAACAACAAGAACCCAGATCTCAAAGTCATTGGGTGTGATTTTTCGAAGGAGGCGGTAAGGGTCGTAAGAGAGTCGCCGTACTTTGACCCTAAACATGCGGGGGCGGAGGTTTGGGATTTGGCGGAGCCGAGTGGGGCGTTGCCGGTTGGTGTCGAGCCCGGATCGGTGAATATCATCGTATTGGTCTTCGTACTCTCTGCTCTCGCACCATCACAGTGGGAGCACGCACGCAGAAATATTAGGACGATGCTCAAACCCGGCGGTCTCGTCCTCTTCCGCGACTACGGCCGCTACGACATGACTCAACTCCGCTTCAAAAAGAACCGCCTCCTTGACTCCAACTTCTACATCCGCGGCGATGGCACTCGGGTCTACTTCTTCACCAACGATGAGGTCGAGGGGATTTTGGGTGGGGAGGGAATGGTTGTTGAGCAGAATGCGGTTGATAGGAGGATGATTGTTAATCGGGCACGGAAGCAGAAGATGTATCGGATTTGGTTGCAGGGGAAGTTTAGAAAGGCGCTGGACAACTAGATGGTGTGGTAGAGTTGGATTAGAAAAGACTTTAGCGCTCGCTCTCTCGTCTAGGGTATATGTTGGACCACTGTCTCCGCTCTCACACATCTATGCTCTCTCATCGCTGATCTCGTACGTGACTCATGCTCCCAACTTCGGCTGAGCCGCAAAGAACTCATCATCCTTCAACACCGCATACGCCGGTCTCTCCAGGCACTTCTGTGCCACCTTTCCATCGAAGTTGATATCATCAATCAGCGCTTCTGTATGTCATACTCATTAAAACCATATTCATATTCCGAACGAGTTTTACATACCTAATGATGGATAATTCTGCTCCGGACGAATGAAACCCAGTATGACGATCTTGAGCGTCGATCCGTAAAAGTCTTGGGGGAATTTATGAAGGACGTGGACCTCAAGAGAGCGGACGGTGTTGTTATAGTAGGGGTTAAAACCCAGACTCAGGACCATCGGGTAGACTGGTTGCGCAACGGCTGCCTCGTCCTTGGGGATGATCTTTGCCCAGCCGTAGTAGACTCCACTCTCGGCATGTTCCAAGACTGAGGCGATCGCATGTTCCGGCAAGTTCGCTGTAGAACGTTCATGCCGTTAGCCCTCATTTAAGGCACGAATATGATTCCATTCTACCTGTCGGGATACCCAACTCCTTCGAACCACGGCCAAAGCCTTTGATCACCTCGCCCTCGACGCGGATAGGATACGGTGACTCCGGTGCGTCGGGGCCGATAAGAAGGGGACGAGAAGAGACGTGGAGGGCTGCTGGATGCATTTCTGACTGTTTTGGAAAGATTCGACGAAGCTGTATTTGGGAGGTGAGGTCAGGTTTCGGGAGTGGGCAGCCGATGCAAGGTCCGGCAGATCGAGGTTGGACATGCCGACGTTGGGTCCAGCATTTACTCGGGGACCAGCGACGATGAATACAGAGGATAGGCAGGCTCAATTGATCAGCTGTGAGTTCACTGGGGATGAATGCTATATCAATGGCTGACAAGACGAGCCTACAGCCGCTCTCGACACCGGCGCAATCAAGCAAGCCCAGTCATTATGTGCGAAAGCCCTCAGGAAGAAGCCTGATTCGCACCTCTTCCAGGTCGAGGTCACTTTCCTCTGTAAGAGCACGAGAACTGATGATCTTGACAGTCCCTTAACGCGCTCATCCTCCTCGAGTCCGGAAAATACACCGAAGCCTCCGCAGCGGTGGACACTCTCATCTCTCTCTCCCCAACAGACCCCAAAGCCATCAACACAATCCGGGATATCCTCCTTGCCCTGCATCAACCCCACAAACTCTCCCTCGTATACGAAGGCGCCGTTAAGAAAAAGCCCAACGATGAGCTGATCGCGAGAACGTGGTTTTTCAGTATGGTCGCGAATGGGGATGAGAGGGGACAGCAGAGAGCGAGTTTGGGGTTGTCGAGAGGATTTGGGAAGAGGGAGTATTTCTACTGGTATGTGGCGAGTTTGGCACGGTTAGCTGAGAAGACCAAAGGGGAGGCCGAAAGTGCGCTTCATGCCATTCTGGCGTATCGGGCGATTGAGAAGGTCGCACTGGATACAACAAGCGACAAATGCATCAAGTCGAGTGAGGAGATGCATTTATATTTGCAGATTCTCTTGGGGCAAAAACAGCAAGCGAAGGCACTGGAAGTTCTGGAAGGCGAATTTGGGCAGAAATTCATGGGTGATGTGGATTTATTTCGTATGCGACTGGATTTGCTAGCGAGTGAAGGGCATTGGGACAGACTACGAGAGCTGTGCGAGAAGCTAGCTAAGGATGGAAGGGATGATTGGAAAGTGTACAAGGACTGGCTCAACGCCGTCGTTCACACGCCTGGATCCGATGCTACGCCGCCCTCGGATCTCGTTACCTCGACTTTGGTGTCGCTGTTCTATTTAGCTGACAAGTCGCCATATTCCCGCAACGCCAATTTGGCACTCGTCAAATTCGCCTTTGATCTCCCCGAGGTTCTCGAATCGGATGGGACTTGGTCGAGGATGGACGCTATGAAGACATACTTTAAGAGATTCTGCAACAAGACGTGTTGTTACGAGGATTTGCAGGCATACTTGGAGCAACTGCCCGAAGCTACGCAGAAGGAGTTCTTGACGTTCGTCAATGGTCAGGTTGATGTCATGGCGAAGGGGACGGAAAAGGAACAGGTCAATCGGGTTGCGGCGTTCACTAACGCACGGAAGTTCGAGTACCTCCTCGAGGTGTCGCAGACTGAAGATGTGGATGGGTTGAAGGCATACGTCGCCAAGTGCGTCGAAGTCTACGCCGAAAGCTTGGCTCTTGGGACAGCCCTTCTTCCCACGGACAACCAATACGGCGACGACCTTGTCCTCCTCGCTGTGCACGCCCTCCTCCGCCTCACCTCCCTCAATAAAGACACCCACCAACACCTCTTCCAATCCATCATCCTCCTCGAATACGCACTCAGCCAGTCGAAGAACAACCACCAACTCAAACTCCTCCTCACCCGCCTCTCCCTCCTCCTTGCCTCCTTCCCCCGCGCAATCTCGATCTATGAAAGTCTGTCGGTTAAGCAGGTGCAGAATGATACGTTGTCGCATACCCTTCTTACCCGAATTGCGACGCTCTACCCCACCCGCGAATCTCTCAAAATTCTACGGGGTGTGATGGATATTTATACGGCAAATGCGAACGAGACCCCGAATATGATGTGTCATACGTATGAAAAAGGCGCGTATTCCCAGATTGCGGAGTTCTCTGAATTTCATGAAAGGCTGGACAAGAGTCTCTGGAGGGGGATGGTGGATGTTGAGGGACATCGTGTTGCGCGGATGCTCAACGTCAATGACGAGGAGGTTGTGGTGTTTAAACCGCGTGAGGTGGATGGGTTGAGGGATAACAGGGATTATCGGGTAATGCTCAACTGCAATCCCTCCTCCGCTCCCCCGGTCGAGGAAGGATGGAGACTGGGTGCCAAGCCCCGGCATGCGTGGACGAAGGTTGGGGTTGTTGGGCAGCATGTGATGCAGTTGATCGAGGATGGGAATTTCACGGGATCTGGGGTTATTGTGGAGCTGTTGAGGGAGGCTGTTGAGAGTGAGGCGTTTGTGAGGGAGGCGACGAGGTGGGAGGTTATGTGCGCTCAGCTGCTTGTGTTGATTGGTGAAGCTGCTGCCGCGATTGTTGAGAAGAAGGGCGAGGCGCAGGCGAAGGTCGACCTCATCTCTGAATGGCTCAACACAAACGTCGCCGAGAAGCTGTTTGGTGAGGAAGTCAGAGAAGAGCTGCCTTGGTTGATGGTGCACAAAATCAACCTCGCTCTCGAATCCTGCAAACAAATTGCAGTATTTCAATACTCCCTCGTCACCCCCGCCAAATCCCTCAAACTCACCACTTTCCCAAAGCTCAAATCGCAAGCCAAGACCGCAGCCGAAAGACTTACTGCATACATCAACGAATACAAAAAGATCATCGCATCTGTTTCTATAGATAAGGCTGTGGCGGCGGTGAAGGAGTTGCCGGGACGGGCGTATTTGGGGTTGAGGGTTGATGAGTTTTATATTGAGCAGGTGCTGGATAGGATGAGGGATGAGCAGAGGAGCGTGTTTGCTGGGGTGCCGGCTATTGTGAGAGGGTTGTAGGAGGGCTGGAGTGTGACGCTCAAAAATTGCATTGTGTGGTAAGAATATAGATCTTTGCATCATCATATGTCTTCTTAATTTGTTCTGTCTACCTCTGGTCCTTCTTCTGTAGGATTCTACCCCTGTACTGTATGTTGCCGTGTCGACGTCTTCCTCCGTCAACGCCCAAGTGCACTCTGCAGCCGTTCTCGACTTTGACTGCGTGTTGTGCTGTAGTATGCCGTCTCTCATGCCTTTGCGAAAACTTGCTCTGTCTTGCCTTAACTCCTTGTATCCCGTCAGGCTCCCTTATCCGCAATTACCAACTTGACAGGCTCGGTATCCTGATACAACCCATTCTCCTCAATATACTTAATAACACTGTTAGGCAGCAAATACTGCACACTCATCCCTCTCCGAAGAAATAGTCGTACCTTCGTTGACGAGATGTCGTTGTAGATCAGCTGCTTGATAACGATGATATTCTTCCGATGTTCGTAGAGGATATCGTGGGACAAGAGGAACTTCCATACATCGGCTCCGGTACGTTCAACGACGAGTGCGCCGTGTTTGCCGAGGATGTGGTGTAGGTCTGCGTCGGCCCAGACGTTTGGTTCGGCCATGGTTTCGATGAGGTCGCCTCCAGCGAGGAGCATTACCTTTACCTTGCGGTGCTTCCCGGATTTCGTACGGACGCCGCCTCGGACTTCGTTTATTTCGCGGTGGAAGTGGTCGAGGACGACGGCGGTACGGGTATATGAATCTTGTAGCGACTCCCATGCATCGACCATAAGCCACGACGACGTCCGTTCCGACGCGAGCTCACACATCCGTACACGATATGAAGCGGGCGCGAGTCCAGCTTTCATGTAGTGGTCGGATACCGGAGAATAGTACCCGCCCATAACCTCGAAATCCGTCCGTTCACGGATATTGTCCAACGCCATCTCGAAGATCCGTAAATGCAAATACGTGATCGGGGAGAAACTCCCGCAAGCAACGATGACTAGAGGGACTTTTGTTTCGTCTGCCATGACTCGTCGGAGGCGGTGGTCGGGGAATTTGTAGGATGCGAGGTCGATGGCTTGACGGGTGATTCCCATTGGGACTTCTTCGAGGTCCATGCCGTCTGAGATACGGTTCGTGCCGTAATGGGGACCGAGTTGTGGTGATCGCGAGCGCATCCCATGAGCTGCAGTATGGAATTTTCTCAAGCTTGGTCGTCGGGCGTCAGATCCGTTTGGTGATTCTGCGCCGGCTTGGATGTTTGACAACTCGGCCCGCGCCGTAGCACGATCGACGTTGCATAGGGAGTCGTTCTGAGAGATGCGCTTCTCGTCGCTCTCGTACGGTGCTGAAGGATCCATGATTAAGATCGATGATTCTTTTTGGAGGTTACCTGCCCAGGTCGGTATCCGTTCTCGGATCGACCCCAGGCTGCAGCGGCGGTTCATGTGGCGCATGAAACTCTAATTCCGTGCTCGTATGACAAAACTCGACTGCTTGACCATTTCGATTGACCAAATCAGTCGTCACCTGGCAATAGCAGGAAGCCAATTACGAGCTCAACAGCAGGTTGAGCGGATGTTCATTGCACGGAACCTTCGCTCTCACTGCCGCGGTCTGAGCCGTCCCCGCGCGCGGCTCACGTGCACCAGCAGCTGGCTGCGGCCCGGCACGATGACAACCGTCGATTCCAAAGTAAACTCCAAAATCCCAGCAACGCACCCTCATTCATCATCAGGATGCTGCAGTTTCTCGAGGTCCAACTTCCACGTCATTATAGAATCTAGGCAATTGCTGACAATTAGCTGTGCAGTCCTTGGCAACTCGCTTCGACGACCCCTCCATACCCTGGAAACAAATCATCATCTCCATCTCCCTCGCCCACCACATCTTCACAACCTATCTCCAAGCCCGACAATACCGTACCCTTTGTGCCACTAACATTCCCAAACCTCTACAAGGCGTGATTGACCAAGAGACGTTCGATAAGAGTCAGAAATATTCAAGAGCGAAGGCGAAGTTTGGGTTTGTGAGTGGGTGGTGGAGCACGGTACAGGATGTTGGTGTTATGTATTTTGATGTGTTGCCCGCGTTGTGGAGGGTTGCTGGGAATTTGATGGCGGGTTATGTTCCTGCAAAGTGGCAGGGGGAGGTAACTTGTTGACCAGGCTGTTGGTGTAAAGCCAAAGCTAATTGATGGGTTACAGATCTGGCAATCCCTCCTCTTCGTCTTCATCTTCAACCTCGGCACAACCCTCACCAATCTCCCTATCTCCGCCTACCAAACCTTCGTCCTCGAAGAAAAATACGGCTTCAACAAACAAACTCCCAAGATCTTCATCACCGATATCCTTAAATCCCAACTCCTCTTCGCCGCTATCGGTGGTCCGGTCTTGGCTGCGTTCTTGAAGATTATCCACAGATTCGGTGATAATTTCTTCTACTACCTCTGGCTCTTCTTCGTGATCTTCCAGTTCGTCATGATCGCGATATACCCAACCCTCATCCAACCCCTCTTCAACAAACTCACACCCCTCTCCGACGGCGAGCTCAAAACCAAAGTTGAAGCACTCGCGAGCAAACTCAAGTTCCCGCTCAAGCATCTCTACGTAATCGACGGCTCAAAACGCTCCGCACACTCAAACGCATACTTCTACGGCCTCCCCTGGTCAAAACAAATCGTCATCTTCGACACACTCATCGAGAAATCCTCCGTCGAGGAAATCGTCGCGGTCCTGGGTCACGAACTCGGACATTGGGGGCTCTCCCACACTTCGAAGACGTTGGTAATCACGCAAGGATATCTGTTTACCATCTTCGCACTCTTTCGGGTGTTCATCCACAACCACTCCCTCCTCGCCTCCTTCAACTTCCCCCTCTCCACCATCGTTTCTCCGCCCGTCATCATCTCCTTCCTCCTCTTCAACGACCTCTTCCAACCCTTTGATTTCGTCATCTCAGTGTTGATGAATGTGATGAGTAGGAAGCACGAGTTCCAAGCCGACGCCTACGCAAAGAATTTGGGGTATGGAGAGGAGTTGAGCAAGGCATTGATCAAATTGCAGGTACAGAATTTGAGTGCGATGGATGCGGATTGGATGTACTCGGGCGTTCATCATAGTCATCCAATTTTGGCGGAGCGGTTGAGGGCGGTCGGGTGGAAGGGTGGAAAAGTTCAGTAAAGTTGCATGCGCATCCGACGGACATAACATGGCATATTCTTACGGAATACAAGCAGTGTATCGCTTCCCGACTTTTCATCCAAGGAGGCTTGTCATCGGTGGATATAGTTGTGCGCGGGGCGATGAGCGATATATGTTCCTTAAATTCGAATGCGCTGCGACTCCACAATCCTCCGTTATGACTCGTGCACTGCTCCATACTGCACTCTGGAAGACATCCAATCTTGTGTTTTGTCTCCTGACATGTCGACGTCTCTTCCATGACTGTAACCCTAAGCGTATTGAATCCTCCCATCCATCTTCCCTCCATCCTCCCTTAATGCGACAAAAACTTCCTTCCCTTAGCCCGTCTCCTCTTCAACACCTTTCTTCCACCCGGCGTAGCAAGCTTCGCCAAAAACCCATGCTTCCTCTTCCTCTTCCTCTGCGATGGCTGATATTCGTTACCACGGGTGTTTGTTCGTACTGCGACCGGCGCTGGTGCGGAAAGGAGTGATGAAACGGTAGGGATCGCAGGACGAGCGAAAGGTGAGAGGATTGCGGAAGGGCGGGATAGAGGGGAGGAGATCTGGGCGGTGATTGGACGGGAGAGAGTGATGAATGTTCTTTGGCCAGAACCGATTAGCACGGCGAAAAAGGCTCAGAACGTCGGGAAAACGGCATACCTAAAAGCGACAGTGCTTCTCACAGCAGGCGTTCTGAACGCCGTCCGTAATGATGCTCCAAACATTTTTCCTGTTGCTGATATCTTCGTTACACGTTCAACTTTTACTCGTTCGTCGTGCGCACAACCTCGACGCTCAGGGGGTGGTGCCCTTGCACGGCAGGCACCTCTCCACAGCGACTGCAGTTACGTCCAATAACCACCTCCTTATATCTACGAATACAACACAATGGCTTATTTTCCAGAAGTCTTTGGATGGGAACGTCCGGAGCACATCAAGAGAACTTATGACGAGGTTGACTTCGACGACAGAACACGTGCGTGTCATCCTGTGTGGTTTGGAGGCAGATATTGTGATCAAGAGCTGACTCCGATTGTATGGCAGAGATCGAAGAAGCTCGCAAGTACTATATCCGCGAACAATGGATTCGTGTCATGCAAGCACGAATTGTACGAGACAAGTTGCAGGAGTGTTACAGACGAGAGGGCGTGAACCACTACGAGAACTGCAGAGAGTTGGCCGAGATGTATGTTTAACTCAAAGATGCGCGGGATGAGAATGAATGCTAATAATTGAGGCAGGTATTTCAAGATGTTGAAGACTCACCGTGTCACTGGATACAAGGCGCGTGAGAGGATTATCGACTACGAGGGGTAGTGTACTATAGCATGCATTGAGAGACCCTATATCAACAAATTTGAACAGCATTGCATCACATATCATCCAGTCTTCATACCATTAATCCACGGAATCTGCGTCTCAGCATGCGTCTCGACTTTTGATCATGGAATGGTATACTACGGCACAGCAGGTACATCCAACACGAGTTCAGCCCAAGTTGTGAACTGGACAGGACAGGAAAATCCAGGAGATCTCCTATGATTGCAGTTGTATGTCGTAACAAAAAATGCTATGTTTTGGTGGATGCGCATCTTAGTCCCCCTCACTCCGGTCCGCGTAAACCTCCCCACACCCCACCTTACCCCCTCCTAATCTCCCCAATATTTCTCCTCCTAACCTCCGTGTCCGCAAACAACGCCTCGATAAGCCTAATGAGCTCCTCCCTTTCGAAATCAATCAACGCACCCTCTCTGAACAGATACATAATATCCGCCATGCTCGCTTCCAACAACTCGGCCAAGTATCTAAACTTGAGCCAATGCTCACAGTAAAACGCAACAGTACTGGTATTGTAGTCGGATGTGGAGGGGATGAAGAGGTCTTCGAGGCTTGCGAGGGAGGTGGCGAACTCGACGAGGATTTTTGAATCTTCTTCAGAGATGTCGATGATATCCTGTACCTCCGCCGTGAATTTCTCGACAGCGGCATCGACCAAGACGCCCAAACTCTGCCATAACGCACTCTGTCTCAGCACGCCCTTCCACTCCCCTTCCAACTTGCGTACCAAGTCCACGACGGAATCGATCGCAGTTTTGCCTTGTGCGTAGTTTGCTGGCTCAGCAGTGGATCCAAAGCCGTCGACGCTGGCGAGGGTAGTTTCGATGTGGGTACGCTGTTTGGTGAGTTCCAAACTATAGTACCTCTGTCCCAACTCCTTTATCATCTCCGCGTCTTCATCGAGGTTGAACCCAGGAAAGATATCCTCCTCAGATATGATATGGAGCTGTTCGTGGATGTACATGCAATCATTATACCTCAACATCGCACTCGTCTTCTCCGACTCTGGGATGAGTGCACGCCAGAGTGCGAGGATGTGAGATGGGAGGGTTGGGTAAGACATCACCGCTCCAGCGACAGGGGATTCGGCATATTGATGTGAGAGAGCGGATGTTTCGTCGATGAGATGCTGAATGGGTGAGAGAAGCTTTTTGGGGAGGGTGGTGATACGGTATGTCTCGCGCAGTCCCACGGCTGGTTTTGTGCTTGCGCCTGCGAGGGGACCTTGTTTCTTTGCGGCTTTTAGTGAAAGTTGCTTCGTAGTCGCGGCAGCTGCAATGGCGCGTGGTGCTGGCTCGTCATCCCATGCGTCACCCCATGGATCCTCTTCCTCTTCTTCATCGGCCTTTGTCTCCTCAACTGGTGGTTCTAGCGGAGCAACCTCCTCGTCCAACCCCCACCCATCGTCATCATTTGCACTTATATCCGCAGCTTGGGGTGGTGGTGCTAGTGCTAGTGCTGCTAGTGCTGATGCGGGCACGGCGGCGGGCTCATCATCCCACTCATCCCCCCACGCATCGTCCTCTTCTTCAGCCTCTCCACCCGGACCCTCACTCTCCCTAATAGCAGCTTCCACATTCTCCTGACTCTCCACACCTTCTACCTTCTCAGTCCCCTTATCTCCAGTCAACATGAGCTTTCTGACTTCATCAAGTACCTGCTCTCTCCTCCTTGCAAACCATACCATTCCCCTGTCCTCCCTTCCTGCGAAGTCCTGTAATTCTCCACCCTTCGTCCATCCCTTTGATTGTAAATCATCCTCGAACGCAAGAACGCGATCACACAGTCTGTCGAACTCCGGTATGTTAGCGAGGGCAGGTGGTGGGAGGTGCTTGGGGAGTAGGGCGAGGAGCTGGCGTGTGACGTCGGGGGTCAGCCGGACAGTGACGTGGGGAAGGAGGACGTTCGGTAGGTGTTGGGTCACATAGGCTGTGAAGGCTGTTAAAGCATCCAATAGATTGTCGATTGAGGATGCTGAGGTGGTGGAGGGTTCGAGCTGGAGGGTGTTGGTTGAAGTAGATAGGGCGAAGGATCCGGGCTGTGCGAAGAGTGGCCTAAGAATTTGTTCTTCCACCCGCTTGCACGTGGTCTCAATTTTCTGTGCTGGACTATCGATTGTGGAGATGAGGTTGACCAACTCCGAGGAGGACAAAGTTCGGCCTTCGGCAAGTTCCACCGACGACAGGATTGTCACCCTGCTCGCCGTGATTTCGATCATTCTGGTCCATAGCGAGTTGACATCGCGAATGACATCCGATCGTAGCTGAGAAGCCTTTGCGCGGAGTTGTCCAACAACGGCGCTGCCTTGTCCATGTCTGAAGTTCGACAACATATCTTCCACCTTCGACAGGTTATCTAGCGCGTGGGCGTAGTCATGGTTGTCATGCGACTCCACAGCCTGCTGAAAGATCGCATGAGCTTCTCCTAGAGCCGTCAAAGCCGCGATGATATCGTTGTTCGCGGAAAACTGGGACTGAAGCGTGCTTAAGTTTTGTGTGCATCGTGTGAGGTCGGCATAGCGTTGCTGTATGCAACGGTCAGCACGCCCGTGATAACACGAGAGACTATCATGTTTTACATACCTCTCCCTCCTTGTATGACTCCTCTATCCGTGCCGCGCCTCGAATTAGTTCGTCATGTATGCGCGTGCTCTCCCGGGCATCGCGCAATTGAGCAGCAAAATCTTCTGGGTTCTCTTGGATGACAGCGTCGATTTGATTCTGCCATAGAATGAGCAAGCGGCTATCCAGGCTAGGGAGTGCCGTACCTTCACTTCCGTCCGTTTCGCATCAATAGCATCCAACGTCGCACGCACCGCATCTTCGGTGATCTCCGCATCTTCTCCACCACCAAGGAACTCTTCAGGGGGGATATAGTGATTGAGGACAGCATGCGCAACTGCCTGCGGCAACTCCCTGGTCGCTGTCATATCTCTCTTCCTTTGCAATTCGTTGTTGGGTTGGTGTTTGAGTTTAAGGTGTGGAGCTCGTCACGTGCACGCCGTACGTCACTTCTAAAAATATCCACTGACGGCCACAAACCTCCAAACTCAATTGCAATGGTATCCTCGACGAATTTCGAAGAGGTCGTCGCTGTAGATGCTCCTCACTATGGCACAAAAGTCACAAAGTACCGCTCGAAGGTAACTGGACTCTCAGCCGTCGTTGTCGACTTGACTGTTCCCGTTGTGCACGGTTACTTCGCTGTAGCGACCGAAATCCACAATGATTCAGGCTGTCCGCACACACTCGAACACCTCATCTTCCTCGGCTCTGAGAAATACCCATATAAGGGCGTTCTTGACACCCTCGCCAACCGTGCATTCGCACAGGGCACAAATGCGTGGACAGATACTGATAATACTGTCTACACAATCGAGACCGTAGGGCAGGACGGGTTTTTGAGGATTTTGCCAGTGTTCGTGGATCATGTGCTTTACCCGACTCTGACCGATGCAGGGTGCTATACTGAGGTTTACCACGTCAACGGCGAAGGCGAGGACGCCGGTGTCGTTTACTCAGAGATGCAAGGACGCGAAAACACCCCTGGAGACTTAATGGACCTTGCATCCCGACGACTCCTATTCCCGGAAGGCAATGGGTATAGAAGTGAGACTGGTGGGTTGATGGCTGCGCTGCGTCAATTGAGTGTTCAGGAGATCAGGGATTACCACGCCTCGTACTATGTCCCGCAGAATTTGTCACTTATCATTACTGGTAACGTCGACCACAATGCATTATTGGAGACATTGCAGAATACTGTCGAGCAGACGATCATCGAGAAAGGCGCACCGGACCTCTCCACCTGGCAACGTCCCTGGGTCGACTCGCCCGCTCCCTTGCCTCTTGTCGAGTCCAAGACTGCTACGGTCGAGTTTCCGGAAGAGGACGAGTCTATGGGCGAACTTATGATCTCCTGGCTCGGACCGTCGTGCAACGACAACCTAACGTGCACGGCACTCGATATCTTGGGAAACTATCTCACCGAATCCGTATCGATCCTCGAGAAGGAGTTCGTCGAGATTGAAGATCCGCTAGCGACGGATATCTCGTTCTACACTTCTGACTCAACTACCTCCGTTATTTCTCTATACTTCTCCTCAGTACCCACCGAAGCACTCGAGAATGTCGAGAAACGACTACACGAATTACTACAAGAGCTTGCGGGGACTGGGTTTGATCTAGAAAGGGTTCATATGTTCATCGAACGTGACCGTCTAAAGACTCTCGATGCGTGCGAAACGTCTCCTCATTACGCTTTCTCCACCCCTGCCATCACTGACTCAATCTACGGTTCTCCTTCCGGCGAGACCCTTACCGACGGCATGAACGACCTCAAATACTACGACGTCGTCCGTACCTGGTCTTCCGCCGACTGGATCTCCCTCCTTAAAAAGTGGTTAATCGACAATCACCATGTTTCGATTCTGGGAAAGCCGAGTGCGGGATTAGTAAAGAAATTGGAGACTGAGGAGAAGGAGAGGAAGGATAAGAGGAGACAGGAGTTGGGCGAGAGTGGGTTGAAGGAGTTGGAGGAGAGATTGGAGGAGGCGAAGGAGACGAATGAGGCTGAGATCCCGAAGGGGGTTATTGAGAGCTTCAGGATTCCGAATGTGGAGGGAATCAAGTTCATCGAAGTCGACACCGCTCGTGCCGGCATCGCCGACTCGAAGGGTTTCGACAATGAGGTGCAGAAGCATGTGAATGCTGACGGGTCAGGCGACTTGCCGATCTGGATTCAGTTCGACCATATCAAGTCCGAGTTTGTCACAATCTCGCTGTATTTCTCCACCACCAACATCCCCGCCCGCCTCCGCCCATACATCTCCATCTTCCTCGACTCGTTCTTCATGAACCCACTTTACCTTCCCGACGGCACCGAACTCTCCTTCGAAGAAGTCGTCCAAGCCCTCGATGCCGATACGGTCGAGTATGGTGCTTGGCTCGGTGTCGGTGGTGGGTGGAATGAGATCGCATGCGTAAGGATGAAGGTCGAGAGTAAAAAGTACGAGAAGGCGATCGCATGGCTGAAAGATCTGTGGACGTGCGCGAAGATGGATGAGGAGAGGATTGGCATCGCAGTGTCGAAGAGCCAGAACGACATGCCTCAGCAGAAACGCGACGGTTCGAAGGTGTCTTGGGCGGCATTGCAGATGCTTCAGATGGATGCTGAGAAGTCTACGGCTCGTGCGGCGAATATTCTGACGCAGGACAAATTCTTGGACGCGCTTGAGGAGAAGATGGAGGAGGATGAGGGGATGGAAGCGGTGCTTAAGGATGTCGAGGAACTGAGGACGTTGCTGTTCAGAGGGGAGAATCTGAGAGTGCATGTCGTTGGTGATGTGCTGAGGTTGGAAAAGCCAAGCTCTGCTTGGGTCAAGTTTGAGATTCCGTCGGGGTCGAAGGGGGTTCTTCCTGTTCCTCTCAGCCGCGATAACCTCACCGAGCAAGGCAAGAACCCTAAGGGTTCGGCAACCGTCGTAGCTCTTCCGTCCATCGAGTCGTCCTATTCCGTTCACGTTACGAAGTCCGATGTGCACTTCACTCACCCCAACCTCGCCGCCCTCCAAGTCCTCTTCACCTACCTCGACACAATGGAAGGCATCCTGTGGAAATACATCCGCGGCTCCGGCCTCGCATACGGTGCAGACCTTCGCATCGAGCCTGAATCTGGATTTCTCTACTTCTCCATTTACCGCTCTCCCGACGCCTCCAAGGCATGGACTCGCGCGTACGAAATCGTGCAAGAGTTCAAGGATGGAAAGATCGAGTTGACACAGACGATGTTGGATAGTGCCAAGAGTAGTGTTGTGTTTAATTACGTGAGTGGGGAGGGAACGCCAGCAAGCAAGGGTGCGCAGAGCTTTGTAAATCAAGTTCTGAGAGAGGAGAGTAAGGATCGTGTCAAGGAGATGCTGAAGAAGGTTCAGGTACGGGAATACTCAATCCGGTTTCAAAAGGAAGCTGCTAACTCTTTCCTTTACAGGCGGTTACGTTGGATGACTTGAAGGGTCCTGCGATGGATTATTTGATGCAGTTGTTTGATGTGAAGAGGTCTGACACGGTTGCTGTGTCATCACCTGCGAAAGCAAAGGTTTGTTAAGGTCTGCTTGCACCGACTGTGTACCGAAGCTAATCCATCTACAAACAGGATCTCGAGCAAGCATTCGCCAAAGTAGGCTTCAACGTCGCCGCTCACACTTTGGACGATTTCGAGTAAGATGTTGAAGAGTGGGTTCTATTCAGCATGTTGCATAGCAGATGTCGCTTTTAGAATAAGAATATTGTATTCTTCTACACATCTCTAGGTATATTGAGGTATATATATTGTCCATGTTTCCACACGGATATACGTGTCGCCTACAGTTTTGCCAACCCATACCCATCAGCCCTCACCACCCCCAACAACTCCCTCTTGATATCCCCCACCTTAGCACACCCACTCAACGCCATGCCCAACTCAAACTCCGACCTAAGCAACCCCAACGCGAGTTCAACACCGGCTTGCCCATCATATGCCAGTCCCCACAACACACTCCTCCCAATGAAAGCCATATCCGCACCCAACGCAACAGCTTTAAGGATATCCGTCCCCCGGGTAACGCCGCCATCGAAGAGGATTGGTACCTTTCCTTTGGCTACGCGGGCGATTTCGGGGAGTGCGTCGAGGGTTGAAACAGAGCCGTCGAGTTGTCTGCCACCGTGGTTTGAGATCCAGATGGCGTCGACCTTGTGGTCCAACGCCAACAGCGCATCCTCCTCCGTGATCAATCCCTTGACAATGATTTTCATCTTCGTGATGGAGCGGAGCCAGTCGATCGCCATATCCCATGACAAACTTGCGTCGTTCACATTCTTGGCCGCCAATGCCGCCTCCAATTCGGTTGGGTCCACGGCCTTCCCCTGTCTCTTCAGTGTCTCCAGTTCGCCGTATGTCTTGACGCCCATACCCTTGAAGTTCCCAAGCTCGAGATGTGCCGGTAACATGAAATTGTTCCTCAATTCGTTGTACCGCTTTCCCATCCATGGACTGTCGACCGTCAATACCAATGCGGAGAACCCAGCCGCTTCGGCACGCTTCACAAGCTTCTCGGATGTTTGCCGGTTTTGATAGACGTACAGCTGAAGCCAATAATCGTTTTCGGGCATGTTCTCTTGCTTGGAGACTTCCCTACCAGCGGCGATTACCTCCTCGAGGGAGGTCGTGGCAAAGGTTGATAAGCACATCGGTACACCGGCGCGAGCTGCCGCACGGCTTGTGTCTAGTTCTCCATTCCCTCCGGCGAGCCTTTGCATAGCACTCGGTGCGATACCGAGAGGTAGTGAGTATTCTGTGCCGAAGAGCGTGGTGGAGGTATTGACCGTACTTACATCTCGGAGAACCCGAGGACGGAGTTTGTACCGCCTGTAAGCCTCGAGGTTGTCCTTCACGGTTTCCTGGTCATTCGCACCTATCGTCCTACAATGTCAGCGCCGGATCCCTCAACGCATTTCGGTCGGAACGGATCCACTCACCGCAATGGTAGTACTCATAAGTCATCTGATTGAGCTTCGTCTTAGCATGATCCTCCAGATCTGCAATGCAGACCGGTGATTGTTTCAATTGAGAGCTTGACATCCTCGTGCAAAGCTTGTCCTGGTTCAAAATGTTTGGTGTTGGCGAAGGCGGAGTACGGTTCGAGTACGGCACCTCGCGGATCTGATGCGGCACACGGCGCTCTGACGTCCGCGTCCGTGCGCGCGGCTCAGTCAAGGTTAACCGATAGCGCAAACCTAAACCTAGGCCTGAGCGCAGCTGGAGGGTCAATTCACCAGGTGTTCTGAGAACGATGTAAGTCAAAAGCGGTGGTGTTCTGGTGTCGAAGCTGCGGAAGAAGCTCAAGGCTTTGTTGTGACACGCAATTGCGCTCACCTGCGGGTACACTCCCGGTTAAAGGACCCCTTCAATACCGACCTATACCGGTACGCCCACCGATCAAAAGGACCCTCCGAAATAATAATTTCCCTCGTGCTGGGGTCATAGCATAGCCCTCAATATGAATTCGAAAGGTTCTCTATGTACAGCTGTGGCGGCGCCGCGGGCGGGATTTAGCTACGCACCAACCATTGCTGCTCGGCTGCGTGAGACCCTTCACTTTCCTGATGCAAAGTAATGGGCAAACTGGAAGATTACCCCAGTCGTACCATGAACGTTAATATCATTGGGGGTTTTGCTACCCGATATATCTGATACGACAATCTTATCGATCATTGACTGGGCAAACTGAATTCCTCCGCTTCCACGCTGACGAATCTGCCGCTTTTTTCAACGAATATCCGCCAAAGGGTCTCGTTAAAGGTGGGGTATACTGGAGCTGTTTTCATCATAAAATATGTTTATCAACTATCGAGGCGATAATGCCTAACTATATGTCTTGGCATGGCCAAAACTCCGTCCGTCTTGCCATCCAGTCTGCTGTCCGATACCAAAGTACCGAAACCATTCCATAGTGTTCAAAAACCAATATGCTTATGGCGTGTTCAAAAATCCCAATAGTGATGTATCATATCATAAACCGAAAAGCCAGCCAGGCGACGCCCCAGCGTGGACCTTGGCTGCTCCAACTTCTCTTTTGGTAATGAGATAGAATAGAATAGTATCGTCAATCATCCGCATCCCCAACGAATTTTGGCTGAGTCTCAAGTCGATCTCATGATCCACCCGTTACCGTGGGCGAGCATGTCGAGCTCTTCAGGGCGCCCCAGTTCGTCCAGGTGGGCGCGGGAATCACCGTCAAGGTCGGAATCTTGGCTCTCCATATGGCTGGCAAAGACGGGCTGCGTCTGGGTGTTACCGACTGAGGGTGTAGTCTGAAGACTCGAATATGAATTCGAAGACTCTGACATAGTGTGGTTGTAGGGCGAGGGTGCGGAAGGGTGCTGAGTAGAGGTTGGGATGTTGTAAACATGTTGACCAGTCGCGGGCGTAGGTCCATACGGGTGCCCTTGAGGATAATACTGCCATCCAGTAGAAGTAGCAATGCCTACACCAACACCAGCACCAGAACCCTGTCCTTGCCCTTGTCCGTATGTAGCTGTGTTGGACCCCGAACCACTGGTCGTATACCCATCAGCCGGCATAGTAGCCCTCCTAGAGCCGAACCCCGAACCACGCCTATGGCCAAGCATAGGTCTCTCAGTAACCTTCCCACTCGAAGGATCCTGTGGTGTCCCCTGACAATGACCACCAGCAGTCATAGTTGGGTTCGTAGTCCCATGTTCAACCATAGCCGGAGCCTGTCCTTGACAGAAGCCACCCCAAGACGACAATCCAGGAGCAACATTGCCCATAGCCGTAGTCTGTGCCAAATGGGACGTGATGCTGACGAGCCTCATACCGGTGAGGGCATCCAAGTCGGTCGTACCCAGCATCTCCGGCGGCATCGTTGAAGGATTCGGAGGCGTCCACCAAGCACCAGGCATTGGTCCGGGTCCAGGAATACTGGACATAGTTGTAGTAGGACTACTCATGACAGGCTGCGCGACGGGAATGGACGAAGTTGTCGTGACCGATATGGGACCGGCGCTAGGCTTCGTCTTGGGGGGCGAGCGCGGGCGGGAGGAAGTCGAATTATTCAAACCACGAAAGGACGATGTGCGGCGTCTATGTTGATGACGAGCCTCCGGATAAGAAGACGGGCGGGGGGTCGTCGTCGTGTTGCCGGCAAACACACCAGTGTTGGGCGGCCCGGGCGTAGAAGTCGTGCGTCCCAAAGGGCGAGTCCAAAAGGTATTGCCGTGAGGTGTAGCTGAGATAGGGTGCCACGAGGTCGAATTTGTATGCGTGTGCGTATAATTGGAGAAGGTAGGGCTCGTAGGAGAGGTGTAGTTCGGGTCTTGTTGGGACGAGGCCCTGGGTGGAAGGGCCGGAACGGCCTGCCAGACCGTCCCGATAGCACCGTTGTTGTAGGTTGTCGTGCCTGATCCAGAGCCATTGCCGGTAGAGCTGTTGGAGGTTCCGTGATGTCCATGGTAGTTGTTGTTCGAAGTGCCACCCGGAGGGTCTTGGCGAGAGTTGCCGTTACTCGAACGACGACGAGGTTGGCCCGTGGGTCTATCGGCGAAGGAGCAAATATGGTTCCCAGTAAGACAGTTGAAGCATCTCGTTTCGTTAATATTGGGATTGTTAGCGTTGGCAGGATCGGCAAACGAGCAGCGGATTTTGCGACGTCGGCAACGGAAGCACTGTAAGGACGGTCAGTCACACGTTCGTGGAAAGACGTAGAAGACAGCGCTTACTGCCGTGTTGTTACGGCGACGAGGGGTTGCGTTGTCCGGGTTGTCCTGATGAACAAAATCGTTACCATCGAAGCCCTGTTCATCGGTCGTTGTAGGTGGGACTGTATGCGCGGAGGTCGACGCGTCCGAAGTTTCGTTCATAGCGATTACCGTAGTTGTAGTTGTAGTCGTGGCCGAAGTCGAAGTCCTCGAAGGTTGTGACCCGCTTTTCCTATCCCTAGTCGGAGCGTTGGTCGCGTAAGCAATATCCCCCATGGTGTTCACAAAGTGACCATCAGCTCTGCTCGAGTTCGAAGTAGAAAGAGCAGGTGACTCCAGAGAATATATACACGTGCCGGTCAAACCAGTTGTAGCAGAAGATACCTGACCGGTCCCCGTACCCAGCCTGTGTCCATGGGGTACTGTATTTTCTATAGCCACGGTCGAGTCGTGTGTTGTGTGCGGATCTAATCCAGCAGCGCCAGCCATATGGACATTGCTCTCGCATCCGTCCTCCAACCGTGGTGGCATTTCTGCAGGCTGATGATTCCTCGAACAGGGTCCTGTCTTCATCTAATACCTCGGCCGATACGACGTCCCAGGTTGCAAAGCGGGTACCGGCTGTATGCGTGCAGCGTTGCAATACGATTACCTAACACGATCACGATCACGATCGCGAATACGTACACACACACGCGCACCTACGTCTACATCCACTGCCTTCAAGGGACACGGCACCTACAGTTACTTAAGTACATGTACAACCGGCTGCCATAGCCACGGCCGGCCGCGGGAGACGGCAGCGCTCCCAGGATGCGCCCACCTCAAGAAGCCCTAGAACTACTCAGCCGGGACTAACGCATATGCATCGGCCGCAACGCAACGGTAATGTTTCGGATCTTTTCGATTTCCTTGCGCACGAATAAACATCGAGGACCCAGACTTCTCCCAGTCACCCAAAGAGATCCAGAACGTTGACGGCCATGCGTACGGCGCCGAAGACAGGGGAACCGGACGGACGTTAAAACAAAAACAAAATGGGGGGTAACTAAGCGACGATAAAGTGCCGTATCTTGACTTCTGCTCCGTCCTTGATTTGGAGCAGGGGGAAAGCCAGGTCCGTTTCCCGTCCATGCTCAAGACCGAGGCGCAACTGGACGTATAGAAGAGTCCAGACATACTTCCTTTGTTCTCCCTCTTAAACTCTCGCACCCTTACGCCTGGTCAAAACTTAGGTAAGCACCAGGTAAGCACCTTGGCGGCTTATGCGGATCGGCGCGTGACCCGAGTGCGCTCTCCCGTGTGCACCGGCCGAGGCCTGCCCCTTCACCCTCGGTTAGGAACCCGCCCCGCACGCGTCACCCCGCACCAGGCCACAACCGTTCCTGGCGGTTGCACGCCTGTTTGCGCACGTCTCAGACACACGCATTGATGAATCTCTTTCTAATGGGGGTAGTCAAACCTCTGCAAAATTTACAGTGAACTAGATTATAATCCAGGGCATAATACGCTAAGGTTTGACCAACCCTTACAAAACATAGATATATTATTTTTTCAGCAGGCGGTTAGCTCCGGCTCACGTGAAGCATGCACGGGCAGCCACAGAATCAGAGACCAAGGGCAAGATCATCTCTCTGCGCAAAGAGAAGGAGCATGAGTTTAGGATGAAGCAGCTTCAGATGTATTCAGAGCTCAAGTTACATGAACAAGGCATCACTCTTGCAGAGTATATGAACTCCTTGGGCCTTTCGACAATGGCGGCGAAAACCAAGGTTTCGCCCATGCAGAACTCCATGGAAGCAATTGATGACGACGATTGCCTCGAGATATCCTCGGACTATGAGCCTTTAGAGTCTCCTTCCATCCGCCGTGGATAAGACCCCATGCCCGATAAATTATTCCCGTCGGAAGGGTTTTCCCACGGTCTTCGAGGAGTACGGAGTTGGTTGGGTTGTCGATGTCTGGTCGGTGAATTCTTAGACTGCTGTAAATAGGTAAATTGACGATAGAGGATTGAAAAATAAGTGTAAATACTGCATTTAGTGTGTTCGTTTCCCATGCGCTCAGTGGTCTGCTCGATTCCCAACCCTTGTATCAAAAGTCTCGATATCCTCACGGTAGTTGCGGAAAAGGTCGGTACGGCACATTCGAGGGCGCGCTCGAGTGCCGTTTTGATCGAAATACGCGCGTATATCATTGGGTGATCTCCCTCGAGGTCCATGTTTACCAACCATGATTCGTCGATGTCCACGGATCCGCGGAGATTGAGTATGTTGGCCAGGACAATGCAAGATGCTATCCATCGAAACAGACCTTCATTGGTTCCTTCAGAAACGGTCATGGGAAGGCACTGTAACGACCCGAATCGAGCCTTCAGCACTCCAATGGTATGCTCGACCGTGACCCTTATATGGGAAACTTCACGGTTGAATCCAGCTTTCCGGGCCGTGTATCCTTGATCCTGCTTGAAGGGAGTGACAATTGACATGGTATTGCTGTATGCTGAATCCGCAAGCAGGTATTGGGTGGGACCGAAGTATACGTCTGGGTCTAGGTGCAGCGGTAAATCCTTGTAGGCAGTTGAATCATGCAGGGGACCAGGTAGAGAGCAATGAAAGTGTCTTATAAAACGCTGATCATCACAAACAATGGTTGCCGGAAGGCCGTACTGAATACCATGGGTAAGCCGTTAACATTAAATAATGCTTGATAAGGTTCTATGGAGTGACCTACCTGCTTTTTGCGCTGGCAGAGGTAGTCCAGACATCCAGGCGAAGGTAAACAAGGTCCCATCGACCATACCGACTACTCCCTCAAACAACCCTGCGCTGGATTCCGCGACCCTTTTCGCAATAGTCTCCCTCTCGTTGGGGTTCGGCGATTTGACGTAATCTTCGTATAACGATGATAAGCATGGCAAACAGGTCGAGTGAACACGGTTAGGGTGCCCTTACGGATTCCAAACAAGTCGGCCGTTCTCGACAATGATGAACTAGTAGAACCTTGGGCGCCAAATCGAAAGAGGATACAAGCCAGCTGATACCTTACTGATGCTTGTTCACAAGCACTGTTGTTGTAGAACACCGGGTTGGTCTCGATCAGACCGAGGACGAAATGAAAATCTTCTCGATTCATTCGATAGTAGGCCTTGAACCTTTCGTCATCATACCCGTTGAGAACCTCTTCAATGAAGTGTCGGGACGCAGCATTCTGGCTTCGGCAGGTTGCAGCCGAACCCCCCGCCGGCTAGCACTGTCGCGAGACCCATGTTACGCCAACGTGAACCTGACCAGCTGAACGGGGTGCCCGATGACTGCAAGGACCTCCTTCATCAGGACGAGTGAAAAGTCCACGCCATCTCATCCGTGATGTCTGTCTTGACCTCACTCATCATCCTGCTCGTGACCGTCGGATCCTCTGCCTACCTCCTCCTCCGCCCACGCAAGAGATCCGGTCTCCCACCAGGTCCACCCGGCCATTGGCTCTGGGCGAATACCTTCGATTTGCGAGGGCAAGATCCGTGGTTGAAGTTGGAGAGTATCGCCCGGGAGTATGGACCAATCACGCATCTTCGGATCGGGACTCGAGATTACGTTCGTTGATGAACTCTGCACTTTTACGCTGAGCACTGATCATGTACGAACAGGTTTGGTTAAATGATGGAGTGGCAGTGAAAGAGTTGCTCGACAAGAAAAGTGCGATATACTCCGACCGACCACATTTTCCGTTGGCGGGAGTGCTGGCGCGTGGGAGTCTGAGGTTGTTGTTGATGCCGTATGGAGATCGGTGGAGGACGTGTCGGAAGTTGGCGCATAATCAGTTGACAGACGTGAAAGCGACGTCATACCAGTCTATTCAATTGCTCGAGTCGGCGGTATTGCTAAGGGACTTCTTGAGTGATCCGGAGAATTTCAGACAGCATTTGAGACGGTACACATTTAGCGTGATTATGCAGATCGTGTATGGCGTGAGAATCGAGGATTGGCAGCATTGGGCTCTCCAAGAATCTTTCGCTGTCAACCATGATTTCATCCAGCTCCTGGTGCCGGGGAGGTGGGCGGTTGAGACGTACCCTTTCCTGTCGCATTTACCCACTTTTCTGCAACCATGGAGGGAAGTCGGGCGAAAGCAACACGAGCGAGAACGGAAACTTTGGTTGAGGTTATGGGAAGAACAGGGATTGGCGGAAGAGGCGGGGATAGCTCCGGAGTGTTTTGCGAAAGGATTGCGGCAGGCGATGAATGTTGGAAATGCGAAGGGTGTGGAGGAACATGTCGATGACCTACAAGCGGCGTAAGTGAAGTAGTTTGGAGCGAATGTGTATCATCCATCGCTAATGTCATCTTCACAGATTTCTCTGCGGCTCCATGATTGGCGCAGGCTCTGATACAACGTCTATGCAGTTGGCCTCCATCATCCTCGCCATGCTAAAGTATCCTGAATGTCAGAAGAAGGCGCAACAAGAGGCATGTGAACCCGAGACATCTCTCTGCCTTGTGTTAATTGGGCTGTACAGTTAGATTCCGTCGTGGGCTCGGGTCGGCTACCCATCTTCGACGATGCCCCAAACCTTCCCTACGTCCGTGCCCTCATCAGAGAAAGCCAACGATGGCAGCCGGTCACCGTGGCCGGCCTTCCCCACCAAAACACAAAGGACGACACTTATATGGGCTACCGCATCCCCAAAGGCACCATTGTAACCCCAAACCACTGGGCAATCCACATGGATCCTACCCGATACCCCGCCCCACGCACCTTCAACCCCGACCGATTCCTCGGCGACACCACAACCGAAGCCGAGAGCGCAGCGTCAGCAAACCCATCTGATCGAGCACATTATGGGTTTGGCGCGGGAAGGAGGATATGTGTAGGTATACATGTTGCGCAGAGGAGTTTGTTCATTACTGTCTCACGCTTGTTGTGGGCTTTTGAGTTTCGGGAGATTGAGGGGAAGGAGGTGGACGAGACGGCGTATGAGCAAGGGGCTAATCATGGACCGAAGCCGTTTGAGTGTGATATTCGGGTGCGAGAGGGACGGCGGGGAGTGATTGAGAAGGCAGTGGAGGGTGTAGTGGGTGCATCCGACTCTTCAGCCGCAGGACAATGAGTGCAGCAAAAAATCATCAGAGTAAGCAGCTCGACGAGTGTATGATCTGCTATGTAATATTTTGCTATGCAACCAGACATTGTAAGTCAGCCATAAGCGTGAGATCAGTTCCAGTACCCCCACCATGATCAACCATTGCATCCCAGATATCTGGGTATCCCTTCCCCATTACTCGCCTCCTTCCCTCACATCCCATCAGCGAAACCACTTCATCACAACCGCAGTACAAATAGCTCCAAACACACCAAGTACACCAACGAACTTTCCCGCCCCCACCAACCTAGCAAAATCCCTCCACCACCTAATCCTCTCCTTCATGGCCACCGCGAAATGAAACCCGACAACACTCCTCGTCCCGAACGTCTTCAAAGTACGATCCTCCATACTCGGGTCCGAGTCGGGGTGCATATCACTATAGCCTTCGGGTGTGATACAGATGGAGCGACCGTTAATGGCGGGGAAAGCGGTGAGAAGGATTGTCGCGGCAATGACGTCTTCCAGTTTGGCGTAGGGAAGACCGAGAAGGAGGGAGCGAACGGGAGTTGCGAGGATCTGAGTATCAACGAACCAGGGCGCGATCTGCGAGTTGACCCAACGTCAGGATTCGTCACAGACATGGGAAAGAGGATATCCTAGGGAAAGTAGACTCACCATGTTAACACGTAACCCGTCAACGCCGGAGGTGTGTCGTAAACTCTTCATCAACCCAAACACAGCATGTTTGGCAAGCGTGTACTGTGGCCCACCGGCGAGTTCGTAATACGACGCCAATGAACCGACCAGGACGAGACTTCTATCACGCCCCGGTGCCAGAGTCTTCGCTTTCCGGGAGTAGTGGAAAGCGAGTTTCGTTGTGTACAACACACTGGTGATATTCACCTCCACGGTCTTCAAGTTCGGCTCAACCGGGTCTCCATTTTCCTCCGCCGAAGACCCACCAACGAAGTATGGTGCCTCGTTGATCCCTGCGTTAGCGATGACATGGTCGATGGGACCTCGTTCAGCTGCGGCTTTGAAGAGGGTAAGCTGTTGGGACCAGACGGTGACATCGCATGCGACGAATGTGACTGAGGGACCGAGGGAGGAAGCGAGAGCCTGGCCAACGGGCTGGTTGATGTCGCCGAAGGTTACGTAGGCACTGTAGAGGATATATCAGAGTACGTTCCATTACGCGGTGGTTCTCGTCCCACCCGAGTTCAGCGTATCTCCTGACCAATGCTTCTCCGATTCCGCTTGCTCCTCCAGTGATGAGGATGTTTGCACCCTTCAGTGAGGTCGTGTCGACGGGGAGGGAGGTGTCGACGGCTGGCGAGACGAGCTGGATGCGGGATTTGACGATTGTCTCTGGGACTTTGACGTTCTTGTTCTGTGCCATTGTGGGTGGATGCATGTGATTGCCGATAACGACTTCAAGTCAAAAATATCACTCTCAGAAGCTCTATGGAAACTGCTGATGACAGAGTCTAAGCCTCGATTGCGGTTCAAGAGGAAAAGAGAACGATCAAGGTAAAATAGGCGAAGGCGCAGCTTTAGCTGACTTTGATTGCTCCCAACATTCTAGGGTCCATGGTGCAATCTGGGGAAGGAGGGACCCTGCAGAAAGCACCGATCGTACACTTTAACCGGCACGGCATAAACCACGATAGCTGAGCCGCAGTAAGTGTTGAACAGTTTTCGAAACTCGTTTCCTTGTTTGCTACCCGTGGGTTTGTCTTCATCGGGCATCAGGTTGCCCGGCCGTCGCGTTTTGAGGGTGCTTGATGTGATGAACAAATCTTGATATATTTTTTTTTTTCCTTCTAAAAACGCATGCAAAAGGGAGGGCAAGTAAACCGTAACACCATATGAACCGGGCGACCCCTTGAGTACATCGCCTTCATCGCTTTTCTGCTTTTCACAGCCTCCATCATGGCCATGACCTCCTCAACCACCACGTTCGCAGACATTGCCGCCTCTCTGATTACGACATTCAAGCAGCAACCATCTTCTGCTTCTTCCCATTCTCCCTCCAAACCTTGATCTTCCTTTTGATCTGCCCCGCACTATTCTGCATCGTGTTCAACTTCCGATCCCTAAACATCGCCTCATAATCATCCCCATGCTTATCCACGAGTGCCTGTAACCACTTCTCCTCATTTTCCGATACCACACGCGTCGCCTTGACTGCTTTGCTCGCCTGCTCTTCCAACTGCTTCACCACCTCGGTTTTGGCCTCGACGGGCTCAATGTCCATGTCTTCGAGGGGGGCTTTGCCGTAGATGATGTTCACGACGTTGCCGGCCTCGTCACGCTCGATGATGGCTTCGTTCGCCTTTAGCTTCGACTTCTCTTTCTCGACATCGAGTTTCTTTGGTGGATTCAGCTTCTCGCTACCACCGGATAGTGGGTTCGGCGTCGCTACGAGACCTAAACGTGCGTAGTTTTGCTTGAGGGTGAATTTTTTATCCCAGTTTGCTGCGATGATCTCGGAGCCCTTGATTGGGACCTTCTTACGCTGTTGAGCGGTTTTGCGGGTGAGCTGGACGTGAGGGTAAGCGAATGCTCAGCGACAACGAAAGGAGCCCACGCCTCCGGCTGCGCCGATCGGGGGGGAGCACAACATACCTTGGCCTTTCCGGACTTTTGCTTCTGTCTTTGCTGAGGGTTTGCCATTGTGCTTCTATGCCAATGCTTCTCTGTTCTCTGTTTTTCTGGTTTACAAGACCCTGCAGTCTAAATTTTGTGTGGGTGGCGTATCGCAGTACAGTAATCGATAACGCATGTCCAGGATAAAGTTGGGTGAGGTCGGTGATGGCCATAGCTACAGCTATACGATAGAAGGGCGTATGACGAGGTCAAAAAAATGCCGTGTATGTTTTTACTCTCTGCTACCGTCGACCCATCCTTCAGATCTCTTACAGCATAGCTGCCGCCTGTATAGCGTTCTTGAATTCTAAGAGCAAAACCAGCTTGCTCCTTCGAACCTACATGCATCCCACCTCAAGCATTTAAAACATACTCTCGAGTGTTGCAAGACCTTTCCACATCTTCGCTACCCGCACACTGAGCTCTCCCTCAACCACCACCGCAACCCGCACCAACAGTAACATCAGACGTACAGCCCTTCAAAGGTGATGCTCATGATGCGCCTTCTCCTCCTCTTCCTCCTTCGTCTTCCCCTGCGCCACAGCCTTCTCCTGCCCAAAACTCGCATACAACCAAAACTGCCAAATTAAATCAATGAACGCGAACGTAAAACTCAATGAATTCGCGACGGGTGGGGGTTTGGATTGGAGGTAGCCGGAGGTGTAGGCGCAGATAACGAAGGAGATGAGGAGACGGATCGGGGCTACAACAACGGGGATAAGCATGAGAGGAGAGGAGGGGAAGGAGGACAGGAAGGGGAGCGTACCGAGGGTTTGGAAGTAGAGCATGTCTCCACGAGCTAGAGGGATTGCACTTTGAACGGCCATAACGACGAGGATGATTCCGATCAATCCCAAGCTAGCTTGGTCGATACGTCCGACAGGCGGGATCTCCATGGCTAAACCGAGGACGTTGATGATGTTGCTGTCCAGGACAATGTTTGGACGGAAGAGGAGGAGGAAACCTGTCGTGAGCTGCAAGAGCGTCGAGCAAGAGACCTGAGTCTTCGGTGAAAGGATCATGATGCTTCAATGGAAATTGAATTGGTGCTCGGACCTCGCTCGGACGTCCAGCTGCTGCCGCGGCCGCGGCTGTCGAATTTTGGGTCGCATCTGGGGTGCATGATGCTGCGTAACGTTGCATCCCCGACAAAAACACCAAAACATCCCGAAGAGATATTCCATTTGCCTTCAACGATTTCAACAGTCATCAATGCCCAGAGAGGTGCTCTCGCCTGCTGTAGAACTTACAGCCTCTCCGGCCAAGCCGAAATCGCGTCCGCGACCGAAGCCCCGCGCAAGAGCTCCGCAGGATGCGGACGGGAAGAACGCGGATGAAGACGACTTCTTTTTCAGGAGGAATACGTATAAGCATGTTCTTGAGGCGCAAAAGAAAACAGAAGAAGTGAGAAAGCGGAAGTTGAGTCCGCATGAGAATTCGTGAGTGTTTGGGCGGGGTGTATGCGGGATGGGATGTATGCTTATCGTGGTATAGGTCGAGAGATGTAACCAAGTCACCAGAGCGCGGACAGTATACGGCTGATCTTCCTGTCGCGTCGGATTCGTCGTCTGACTCCGAGGATGGCGAGCCGGAACCAACGGCGCGTGTCATCCCCATCCTTCGCTCTTCTCAGTCTGCTGGACTAAGACCTACCGATGCCTCATATCGACCGCCTGCTATAGCAACGCCAGCGAAGCAGAAAGAGAATGCACGGAGAAGGAGTTTGAGCTTAACACCACCGCCTGCACTGCCCGTGGACGTGATCAAGATCGGTACAAGAAGGATCTTGGCGGAGTTCGTTGACAACGACACAAGCCCTGCACCGGAACCAAACCAACCCTCTTCGGAGACGCCAAGGAGACGCACTAGGAACCAGAGACCGACTATGTTGGATGAACGGGTGGACAAGAAGCCAGACTTTAACCCGGCATCACCTCCACGAACTCGAAGCCAGAGGCAAAGCACTGGGTGTTCCTCAGCATCAACCGGCCCCCCAGCTCTCAACCCAACCCTCGCAGACATCGAACCCACCATCACCAACAATAATCCCCTCCCCTCCATTCAAAAATCCGATATCCCCCACGTCGAACTCGCTCTCCTCGGCCACACCTCCCCCCACGACCCCATCCCCCTCCCCCCCTCCTGGCCTGTCCCCATCGTCTTCCGCCTCCGCCTTAACCAACCCTTCCGTTCCCTCCTGAAAGCCTATCTGGCACGGAAAAATATGTTGGACGAGGAGGTGGGGAGGAATATCGTGATGGCGTGGAAGGGGATCAGGGTTTTTGGGGCGGGGACACCGATGGGGTTGGGGATGAGGGGCGAGGAGAGGGGGGTGTTGGAGGTTTGGACGGGGGAGGGGTTTATGGGGAAGAAGAGGGAGGAGGAGAGGGAGAGGGAACGAAAAAGGAAGGAAGAGGAAGATGCGAAGGACTTGGAGAACCGTGACAGGGACGATACCGGTACCCCCGATGTTTACTTCCTCGCTGAGCGTTCAGCATCAGCCTCCGCCACCGCCCAAGCCCCCAATCAGCAACAATACCTCAAGATCCTCCTCCGCGGCAAAGACGGTGACCTCAAACTCAAAGTAAAACCAACTGATACTGCAGCAAAATTAGCCAAGTTTTACCGTGCGCAGAAGAAGATATCGGAGGGCGTGAAGGTGACGTTGGTGATTGAGGGGGATGATGTTGGGAATGAGGAGGAGGTGGGGGATATGGATGTTGAGGATGGGGATATGGTTGAGGTTAGGGTGGGTTGAGTATATCACAAGAAAACTGGGGAAGGAGTTACATCATATTGCACGACATTATCCCATAGTATGACCAAATAATCAATCTTTTTGCTACGGCGATTATCAAGAGATCCGATCCACTCTACGTATACTGGTAGGTATAGCCAACCCACCAAAACCAGACCCGAACCAGTGGCCAGTGCAGCCCAGAATGAAGACCAAGACTCCAAATCTAAACATACTTGATGTGCTCCATTGTATTAACTGACTTCCAGTCAAGAAGCTCCACCCCAACACGTATGCCGTCATGACAACCATGGCAAGACCCCGAGGCCGATGACCAAAACCATGGCCAGCAAGCTCTTCCAGATTCCTCTCATCACATAGCAATGCCGATTTCCCATTTGCAAAAGACCCAAAAGAACCGAGGCCCACCAACCACCGACCACCCGCTTAAACTCAATCGAGCCTCACGTTCAATAAAAATCCCAATTCCACGATTCTCAGACAAGTGCACCGGCATACCAAAGCCAAACAAAACAAAAGAGAGTAAAAAAAGAAAGAGTTGTAAAAAGGGAACAGACAGCACCGTCCGTACGCGTACGCGTAATAACCCGAAACATCGCCTACCAAGAGTATGAGTTTGTGTTTGTAGGCTCGCACATTTCGTGTATGAGTGCAGCTTGTGCTTAGAAATGCCTTTGCCGTGTCCCTTTGCCTAATCTTGAATTTCAATCTCGACTTTCCTGCCCAACTCTCCAAAGCTCCACAGCTCCAAAGCTCTACAGCTCCACAGCTCCACGCCCATCCTCACATCCGTCATCCTCGCATCCTCACGACCCCTCCGTCCTCCTTTGGATCCGCTTCCATGGTGCCCCCCAACCTAGTTGGACGGACAATCTGAAGCCGGATTCAACAGATCACCCAACCCACCTCTCGGCCTTGCCCTTGCTCCGCCATTAACCCCCGCTGCAACCGCCTTAGCCTCACCCGCACTCATTCCAGCACCAACATTCGATGCACTCACGGCTGTCGCACTACTCGCCACACTCTCGCTGATACTCTCCGCGCTATCCATCCTAGGCGGGACACTGGGGTTCCTACCGGGAACTCCCATTCCAGCTCCGCCTCCTGACCCAATCTGGAAGTTCGAAGGATCGGTTATGGAAGGAGGAAGGAATCCAGAACCTGACGGCTGCCTGACGTGATAAGGAATTGCCGCCTGAAGTCTCAACCCCGGGAACGGCGCTGGCTGCTCCTGTTGTTGCTGCTGTCCCTGAACCTGCTGTTGCTGAGGGTAGGGCATATACCCACCTTGCCTAGGAGGAAAGGGAGGCGGCTGGAACATCGCACTCTGCGTCTGCTGCGTCTGTGTCGGCGAATACATATTCTTCGGCGGCACAGTCGCAGTGGGGCTATATTGATTCGAAGCATTGGATATCGAACTTGCGATACTGGACCTCCTCTCATGTCCGCCAACACTCGTGGCAGATGCAGGAGGTGGGAAGTCATGAACGGGTGTCGAAGACGAACCAGCGGTGGCTGCAGCCGAGACAGCAGCATCACGCAGATCCTGGAGTCGAGTATTCAAGTGTCGCAACTCCGGACTCTCATCCGCCCTGAACGACGACGAGGCATTACTTAGCCCCCTCTCAATCATACTCGGGGTATCAGTCGTCGAATGCGCCCGCCTCCTCGGCGTCCTCGACATCTGCATCCCCATCTCACTCATATCACTCTTTTCCTTCGACATCGACTTCTCCAACTTACTCTTTTTCGGCGCTGGCTCGCCCAAATCCGCATTCGGATGTTTCTCACGGAATTGAGTGAGGTAGACTTGGTATTTATAGTATTCTTGCGAACTGCGGTATTTGAGCATGGCGTTTGCGAAGTCTTCCTTTTTGCGGGCTGCGTCATCTTCCATGCGTTCTTTTTCTTCGGGGTCGAGGAGTTTCCATCTGTCGCCGACGATCTTGGCGATGTCGGTGAAGGAGAGGGAGTTATTGGCAACGTCTTTCTTGAGTTCTTCGCGAACAGAGTTGGCAAAAACGACATATGCTGACGCCGGCTTTTCGGGAGCATTGGGATCAGTCTAGGAAGAACGTTAGTCGATGGACATCGACACACATCAAAATGGCTTCCACTAACCTTTGGATGTCTCCGATACTTCCTCTTCCCCGTCTCCTGATCAATATTATCCTTCTTTGCCTTCGCCTTCCTCTTCCCACCACCAACGGCCTCCTCCTTCTCCCCCTCAAACTCCTCCTGCGCCTCCCTATCCTTCCCATTCCAACTCATCGCCGGAGTAACTCCACGCGATTCGTCCATTTCTTCTTCGAGGGGTAGGGGCTCGTTGATAGGGATTCCGCGCCGTGATGCGATTTCGCGTTGCAGGAGGCGGCGGTGGCCGCGTTTTATGGACATTTCGACAAGGTCTTGTTCGGTTATGTCCATGAGGGTCGGCATTGACGTGAATCCTTCTTCAATAAACCTGTTGCCTCGGTATTAGTCACTGTCATGATGTCGGGTGGACGGAATGTATGCTACTTCTCGTTGTACGCCTGCAAACCTAGGTCCGACAGACACCTCACAACGGCATCAGTTCCTCCACGAAGCTCCATTGTGACCAAGTTCTCGGGATGTATGCTGAGTATCTGCACTGATCAGTCGTCGAAGGTCGAACACGAGCGGTGTGTATGCTAGTTGCTGTTCGACGGCGACAATGAACTCGAGACTCGGTCGATGAGAGAGGCGAACCTGAATGCCGGTGACCGGTGAATCAGGAGAAAGGTGTTGACTGACGCGTATGTTCGCCTCCGAGAGTGCTAAGATCGATGGATATTCAAATGCGGATGAAGTGTGACAGATGAGTTGATCTCAATCGAGTTCGCAAAGCCGGAAGTATCGATTGTGCGTTATGTGAAGAAGCGTATGTCGATGTCGAGCAAACCTTTCCGTGTATGAAGGCACCTCTATCGTCTTCCGTTCGTGATTGTGGAAGTGTTTTGTTTTGAGGTAGTGTAGTTGGTGCAGGCAGGTTCTGGGCCACGGGCAAGTCAAGTTCTCCGTCGCAGCAGTCTGCCGTCGTGCGCCTGCAGCTTGTTCTAACAGACGCGTTTGGAGCACTACAAGGAAGCGTGTTTCATCGACTTCCCTTATTCATGCCGTGCCTCTCGCGATCGCGGTCGCCTCCCTGGAAAGATCGTAGCTACGGGCCCTCCCCATGGACAGAATCGCGATGGGCTGCACACTTTTCGATTCACGATTGGCAGATGCACAGCTAGACCGCACTTCTCGACCCTGCCAATTCCACATTGCGCGCGTCTTGACGCAAGCTCTGCGGTGCGCCCCAGACAAGCAACCGACCGCCTCATGTAATCAGATCACCATTTCCGATTGGTTCCCATGACGGCTCGTACCATAATGCCAAGCAGGTAATTGCCCATTTTAGATTCCAGACAAACCGGGTCGTTCTTGCGCGTGATTGACGTTGGTTGGCATCGGGGATTTGCAAGCGTCACGCACGTACGCGTGCACCACCGCCAGACCCGCCAAGCCCGACAACCTTCAAACACCGTCACGCGTACCTCGCTCCTCCCCCAATGCTTTCAAACGCCGCAATAGCGAAGGGTCTTGATCATTCCACACCCCATTTTCTCATTTCACACCCCAGCGCCAACAAAAAACTCAGGATATCTCGCCAACCGCAAATCGGATCTCGGAGGGTAGAGAGTATATAGACTGATAAAAGTCCCCTGAATCCGTTCCCACCTTCATATTCGGATTTGAAGGTTCCTGGGAGAAGATACCAACTGTTTCTCACCTCTCAGCCCGGCGCTGCGGCTGGTGTGGCACAGCGCATATATGCATAAATCTGCACATCACATCTCAGCAGTATTGGCAGAGTACAGCAGCTGGTGGAGTGAAATCTGCGAGTTAAAGGTATCAGGATATTCACAAAGGTACTCTCTATCTCTCTACGCTCTTACCGTATTCCCAAGTTCAATGGCTGTTGAGATATCTTTGAAATTGAGTGCGCCGGGGTGTGGTATGAAGATTGAGGGGTGTGGAATGATCAGGACCCATAGCGAATACCCAAATCGCGATCCCCCTACACAAATTTCGATATGTACCTCTGCCTTGGTTTTCGTTAGTCAGCAGCACTTGGAGTGGTTAGTGTAGGCTCCGGGTGCAGAAGCGAGATGAAAGGTGCACTGAGACAAATGACAGCTGATGAGCTCCTTGAGGTCAGTTTTGAGGGTGTATGTAAGCAAAGTGGGCATTGCCGACGACGTGTGCTGGGCATTTGAGGTTCAAGGTGATACGAAGGACTGTTTTGGTAAGTGGACGCGGCGGTTGTCGCGTGCGCGCGCAAAACAGAAGACATCTGGACGGATATGACGTTTGATAGAATGGGGAATACCGTGTAGAGATCGGGACTATCTTTGCGCACGTCTGGATACGCCTACTTGCACGTCTCTCTTTCCGCTGCGAGCTGTTGTGCTTTTACAACGAAACCATGCGGACTCACGCAGGATCGTGCACCGCGGCCGTACCTGCCACCCAAATTCGAGAATCTCGCTGCTCCCAACGAGTCCTGTGTTGTCCCGCGAGAACTGCAGCTGAGAAGATCAATCATGTTCCAAGTCCCGGGATGGTCACTGGACAACTCTCAGATCGTCGTTGGAACCAAGGCTGCCTTGAAGAAGAGAAAGCGTGAGGACAGGCCGGAGAAATCAGAGAAGCCTGCTGCGGAGGTGGCGGAGAAAAAGGTTGTCGAGTCGGAGACTGGGCCGGTCGTGCACCCGAGTCGTGCGTCTCGAGTGAAGGAGGATGAGGATGTGCAGAAGTTGTTCGAGAAGGCTACTGGATCGGCTAAGGAGGTTGCTGCCTCTGAGGAAAAACCGGCCAAGAAGCGCAAGAGGGGTGGAAAAGGTAACAAGGCCAAGGAAGAGTCTAAGGAGGGAGCGGACAAGGAGAAGACCGAGGTAAAGGAGGACAAGGCAAAGCCTGCTGCCCCTAAGCCTGTTGCACCATCAACTGAGGCCGACGGCGATAAGAAGGAGAGCAAGTACGCCAAAAAGAAGCGCTTACGCCGTGAGGAAGCTGCGGAGATCGAAGCCGCAGGCGGAGTTCCTCCTCCCAAACCAGCAAAGCCAGCAAAAGTCAAACATACTGCTCCTAAACCCGAGAAATCCAAGCCAACGTCAGAAGCCCTCGCAAGGAGGTTGGAGCAGGCTGCTGCCAATGCTCCTGCCGAGCCTGAAGAGGAAGAGGCCGTCCCCGAAATCCCGCCAGCATTGCCGCCCATGCTTCTCCGTCCCGCAGATAAATTGACTACCCTTCAACAAAAGATGCAGCAGAAGCTCTCCGGTGCCCGTTTCCGCTGGATCAACGAGCGTCTTTACACCACCACCGGAGCAAAGGCTCTCGAGCTCATGAAAGACCAACCAGAGATGTTCACCGAATACCACGAGGGATTCCGTAACCAAGTCCAATCATGGCCCGAAAACCCCGTCGACGTATTCATCCGCCAATTGAAAGACAGGAGAAAGGCGAACAAACTCCCCAAGGACGGAAAGGGCGTGACGACGGTGATTGATCTCGGATGCGGTGACGCCAAAATCGGGCAAACATTCACTGCGCCCGCTCCCGACGCCGGTAAAGATCTCACGATCAAATCCTACGATCTACGCTCCGTAAACCCAGTCGTCACCGCTGCCGATATCGCGAATCTTCCTTTGGCGAATGAGAGTGTGGATATTGCGATCTTCTGTCTTGCGCTCATGGGGACGGATTTCATCGCTTTCCTACGTGAAGCGCGGCGTGTACTCCGTGTCGGGGGCGAACTCTGGATCGCTGAGATTCGGTCCCGATTCGCTGATGCCGCCGTCGATGAACCCTCCTCCTCCACTGATAAGAAGGATAAGGGAGGAAAGAACAAAGACAAAGCAGGTGCAGAAGCGAACGCTTTCGTGAAGAGGTTGAAAGGGATGGGGTTCAAACATTCCTTGACGGATGGGAGTAACAAGATGTTTGTGAGGATGGAGTTCACGAAAGAGAAGGAGGTTAGCAAGAAGAAGGAGGAGGGAGGAAATGTGCTTGAGGAGGCGAGGGATGAGGAGGGGAGGTTGTTGTTGAAGCCTTGCGTTTATAAAAAGAGATAGAGTGCGAGGCCGCTCGAGAAGTAACGCGACTTCACTGGGGGCTGCATTGTGCAATTCCTGACCAGCAAAGCCCCGCCGAGTAGAGTGTCAAAGAGAAATGCTGTGCTGTGCTCACTTTCGTCTTCCACCTCCTTTCCTAGTTATGCCACAGTAAGCCGATATATAGTAAGCTCACGCATCTGCGTGAGGCTTTGGGGACGAGGGAGAAACAACACGTTGTCACGGACGTATTTTCGGTTTGATTTTGTATCCTAAAATGTTGATAGCTACTTGAGTAAACTAACTAACTACTCCTGTGATATAGATGCGAACAGCATGGGTATCCTCACAATTTTTCTTCCTTCTCCTGTCCTTACTCCCCTCAGCTCGATTTAGTATGCTCTGGGAGCCGCCCCACTCTGCTCCGTCGGCGGCACCTTCTCCCCCTGCTCCCGATAATATCTCTCATAAACACTCTCCCCCCTCGCAACCCTACTCTCATCAACCTCAACCCCAGGATGCCCATTCTCCGCTATCAACCTCCTCTCAACCATCTCTACATCACCATCCTCCCGAAGCCTCTTCTTATTCTCGAGTTGTACAGAAAAGGGACCGTTCACTTCGATATCGAGACGGGTGTACTCGGCCATGTTGGCGGAGGGTGCGGCTTCGAGGAGGTAGACCATGTAGGTGTGGGTGAGGTCTTTAATGACAGGGAGAGGAAGGTGGGTTTTTGTACGGATTTGGCCGATGACGGTGGTGATTCGTGTGTGTTGTTCTTCGGAGGCTGGTTGGTCGAGCTCGAATTGGAGGTAGTTGATCCAGAAGTACTTCGAATCGAGATACTTGTCCGCATTTGCTGAGAAGAGTTCGCGCGCCTCCTCGGCACTGCCCATAACCTTCCACAACAACCTCGCCCACTCAGCAGACAGCGCACCCTTGGCATAAATATCCGTCACATCGTTATGAATCGCATCCCTATAAACCTTCACCGCACCCTCCACATCCCCAGGTGTAGCCCTCCGTTCCATATTCGCCCACGCAACAACCGTCTCCACATTACCCGGCAAACTCTCCACCACAGCCTCAAAGATCGCTCTCGCATACTCCACCTCCCCCCGACTCTCCATCCAATGCGCGAATTGAATTCGAAACCCGGGGCGGCCAATGGGGACGAATGTCGCTGCACCGCGTTGGTAGATGATGCGGACGTCTTCCGCTTTTCCGGATTGAGCTGCCATCCATCGTGCATAGCGGTACCAGAATTCGTCGTAGAGGGCACATGTTGTGAGACACCGCTCATACAAGAACACGATTCTCTTGAAATCACCCTCCGTCTCCTCGAAATGTAGATACTTCCTCCAGTTGACGAGTTGTAGCTCGTCCAACGGCTTTACGTGGAAGTACGGTCTCTTGACCTCTGCCTCGTACGTCCATCGCTTCGCGGTCTCCGTTTGTGTCTTATGACAGATCTCCTTGTGAAGATCCGCGATTCTCACACGAATCTCGCGTTCAATCTCAGCTTCTCCGCGCTGCATCTTGATCTGTTGAGACCCAGCCTGGACAGCCTGCACAGGCTCATTCAGAACATCATTTCGGAAAGTTTCGATCACATCCGCATCGACGAGCTCGTGGAGAGGTCGAGTAGCTGCCATAGCTGTGTATCTTTGGAAGTATCGTGCGTATTGGTGCATTGGGATATGAATGACTCTGTCAAGGATCTTGAAGATGAGATCCGGACGCTCGTTGCGCTCTTCGAGTTCGATGTATTTGTCCCAGAAGGGGTGGGCGAGGAAGTCGAGACCGACGGTGTTTGCCGCGCGTTCAAACAATCTAGATGAATGCTATGTTAGTATTCAAAGACTAAACGAACAGTGCATAACAGAGTGTAAACCAGAAGCCGATGCACGAGTCATCGCATATACTCTCATGTCTTCAGATCAATCCCAGCATGGTATGGGTCGTGAAAGGCCCCTATCTCATGTAAGAGAGGATCAAGTCGAAAGGGTAGGGAACAGGGAACATAACCACCCGATATCGCCCATATCCATAATAAAGGTTCCACTCCACAAAACAGCGATGACAAGGCATCGCACTCCTGGCTCAAGCAAATGAAAAGAAGGTAAAGGGCGACTTACTCTCTGACATCCTCCTGCAAATGACTCGTATCCGCCTTAAACCCACAGTAACTCGCCCACAAATCAACACTCGCCGGACACGACGCAACACCTCTCTCATAAACCATCTCAGCCGCTTCGGTACCGGCGATCGTGAATGATGTCTCTGCGTATTTTCTCCAGTAACCGAAGAGGAGCGGGAAGCGGGCCAGGAAGCGGTCGTATGTGGTGCGCCAGGCGTGGATGGCGTCTTGGGAGGAGTTACGACCGATGCCGCCTTCCGTGGACTCGAGGGAGCGAATGAGACCTTCCCAGGCATCTGCGCTTGCGAGTTAGCATACAATGCCGAAAAGTGGTATAGAAAGGAAAGTAAACGCACCGAAATCATCAGGATCCTCAATGACGAGTTGATTGAACTTCTCATACTCGTCGCCAGCGTCGCCCGCAACGCTCTGCGATCGCATCCTTGCTCCATATTGAGCCATTGCAATTGGTGTTTTGTGTTTTGTGATAATTGACGTCCGACTTCATTAAGGAGACGCGTCGAAAGCTGCCCCTGAGTCGGTGCCTGAAGGGGAATGTAACGAAGATAACCACCATTGCTCGACCCCACCTGCTGCCATGAGTCTCCCATCCATCGTTGTCCTCATCTCCGGATCAGGCTCCAATCTCCAGGCCTTGGTTGACAATCAGGGCTCTGACTACAAAATCTCCCACGTCATCTCCAACAAAAAAGCTGCCTATGGCCTTGAGCGTGCCGCAAAAGCCTCTATCCCAACATCCATTCACAACATCGTGCCATACAAAAAGAGACACCCAGATGATGTCTCTGCAGCCCGTGCAGATTTTGATAAAGAATTGGCACAGAAGATCAAGGAGTTGAAGCCAGATCTGGTGGTTTGTGCGGGTTGGATGCACATCCTCTCGTCTGAATGTCTGCGGCCACTGAGAGAAGCTGGTATCCCTCTCATCAACCTGCATCCTGCGCTTCCTGGAGCATTTGATGGTGCGCATGCTATTGACAGAGCATATGATGCTTTTCAGAAGGGCGAGATCACTAAGACTGGCTGCATGATTCACTGGGTCATCGAGGAGGTCGATCGGGGAGAGCCTTTGTTGATCAAGGAGATCGAGATGAAGAAGGAAGAGTCGCTGGACGACTTGGAGGCTAGAATTCACAGTGTAGAGCACGTTGCGATTGTGGAAGGAACAAAGATGGCTCTGGCGCACAGGGCATAGGCTTGAGGGAGTTGTACGAGTACCATAGCGTTTGACGTTTCTGAGGGTGAAAACGGGAATAATGGTATCAGATATGCTAAACTGAAAGTATAAGAAAGGACTGGAAGAATGGGCATCCGCCTAATACGGGATCCCATTCGTAATCTGCTGAAACTTGTCATACAACACCGTCCTCCTATTCTCATACGCCTGATCAATCAAACCCATCATCCAAACACTAGCATCTCTCTCCGTCCTATCCAACACAAACCTATCTCTCAAATTGTTAATCGTCGTAGCGCCCTTGAAACAGGGGAGACCGGAATCAAGCATGAGCGTGACCATCTGAATAATTTTTTCGGCGTATGGACGGGAGGCGAGATAGGCTTTAACACAGAGTTCCTGGAACCAACGGAAAGGCTGGGAATCTGCGCTTCCGCCCATAACAAGGATCATCTCATGCGTCAACTTAAACGGCGCGTTTTCAAATGTTATTCCACCCGGCGCGATATCAAAACAAAACCCAAAATCGATATGCAGGATATGTCCCTCTGCATCAATCATGATATTCCCATTATGCCTGTCCTTGAATTGGAGGAGGTAGGAAATGACGGAGTATGCGGCCATTGACTGCACGAAGTTGTTTCGAGCTCGCTGAAACTCGATTGAGTCTTCGTTGCCGTGTTTGGTGATGAAGTAGTCGTACAACCCGTTGACGGCTTCACGTCCGAGCATGTCACGAGAGATGGAGTTAGGGAGGACGTCGATGACACCACAACCCGGCGCAGTAGCCGTAACACGGTATGGGAAGACATACAAGTCCAATCCTACTGTGTTGAAGATCTCACGGAAAGTAGCGATGAGTTGGAGTGCCAGGACATCCTGTCGACAGTCGTCGCCGACTTTGAAGATAGCGGATTGTCTGACCTCCATGATCTGTTCTTCTTCGTCCTCCAAGGAGTCGTCTGTCAAGCTCGGTTCTTCGAGATGACCGGGTACTGCTTTGGAGTTCGTTCGCTCGATGATGAACGTAGCCATGAACGGCGCCTTAGCGTGACTCTGGAGTGGTCGACCAGACTTCCTGTCGATATCCACAACCCTTCCGTTCGGGTTACTCGGCAGATACACCCCGACATCGAGCTTAATCAATGCCATCTCCTCATCAATCTTCGCCTTCTTCTCCGGCTTCGACTTCTTGATATATGGCTTCAGCTTCCCAGAGATACTCGTAACGGCGTTAAAGAAAGTGAACTCTCTCTCATAAAAGTCCTTATCAGTACCAGAAAACGAATTGACCATCTTCTCCAAGATATCATCCAAAGTCGGCTTCAGCACATCCGGGACCTGCGAGTCTTCATCCTTGTACGCATTAGCATTCATATTCCAGATAATTTGGTGCGCAAAAAGTTGAGAGATATGTGCCGTCTCGAGAATGTATCGCGTCACGTAGCCGAGAGCATCATAACGAAGCGCCTGCACGATCTGGGGAACATAGAAGAATGTGACACCAACACCATGGCTTTCAAGAGCGCGCATTGCGTATTGCAATACCAAGGCATTGTTCTTGAAGGCTGGGAGGAAATACGTTGCTGCCGTGATAGGGACCGTAGGTTTCCAGTAGATGAGATATTTCAGCTGTGTAGCAACATCGGGCGCCAACTGATCACCAAGCATCAACTGGAGTGCGTCCGGGTACTCGCATGCTTCATCAGGATGGGCAAGAATGAGTCTCCTCACCTCCGTATCCAGGCCAGGGTACTTCAACCTGAGTGGCAGGTAGACGGCAAGACCTGGGTTGACCTTCCACGCCAACCGGGCTAAGTTCGCAATTGACGAGGCATCCCGAGTTTTCGCAAACTTCATCGAACTCTCACCTGTTCTGGGATCACGAAGGGGGTTGAGCCAAGTTGTGAGCCTAGCCAACTCACTCTCAACGAGCATGAGAAGTAAGTGTCGCTTTTGAGCATGAAGACTAGCCACCGGCTTTTGAGTCTGGCCGCCTGTAGCAGCGGGGACATTGTCACGTTCGATAGCGATGATGAGTTCGTTGAACAGCTTCGTCTCTGCAGTGAGGTTTGTACGGTTACTTCCGAAACTGAACCTCGGCGGAGTAGCGAACCAGACGAATGAAGCATCGTAAAGAGCGTTACGCAATTTCATCTCGAGCGAGCTGTGCATTGGTGTTGTCGCTAAGACATGAAGACCGAAGAGAACGATGCTGAATCTTGCTTCTCTGGCCAAGGGATGGTTGCTGCCTACAGAAAGGGCAACGAGAGTCTCGTGTAACAGTCGCAGGATCACCTTCACGAGGTGCACATCACCATAGCGACAAGCCTGGAAGTGTCCGCACAAGAACTGCATCACGCGAATATGCGGAGTGAACAAGCTTGTCGCGGTATTAGCCTGCTTGGAATGAGCAGCCTTGTTCGAGGGCGCGTACTCCATGACATGCTCAAACGCATCTGTCTGATTGATGGAGTGTGAAAAGAGACCCTGACGACGACGTGCGGACCAGCTCCAAGCCTTTGAAACCTCCATAATGGTCCTGGCTTCAAGACAAGGTCTTTCGGCAATAATCCAAGCCCACAAAGAGATACCGAGCGTTATTGCCTGAGTGGAGAATACAGCGAAAGGGACGCGGACGACACGTCTGAGAAGAGACGTCTCGTGAGCGTCAGATTCCACGATGTGGCCAGCAGCACTCCTCAAAGCATCTTTGAGCTCTCCAATATGGACAAGCTTCTTGTGCTTTCCGTCATCCTCGAACTGTTGAAGCACGCGTTCAAGCGTAAGATGAGACGTCTGATCTTCCTCATTCTTGCTCTGGCGGCCGCGCTTATTGAAACGGTTCTCGGTGAGGGATTCAGTATTGCGGTACAGCTGACGAGCAGTGTACTGAGTAATATAGTCAGACCCGGCATCTGGCACCCAGCCACCATACGGAACAATCGAGGACACCTGCTTGTTTGAGTCGGGAAGAGCTCGGCCTGCATCGATAGCCAATGACCTTCCTGGAGAGATGTCCGGGAAAGCAGTCGAGTTATCCTCAGAGTCAGCAAGATAACTCTGAAGCAAACTACGTGTCTCTGAAGGTGCTTGGCTCAAAGCAAGTCTCAACCACAACTTCGCGTTCGTGTGGAAAGCACGGAAAGTCTCTTCGCGATGTCTGTACGAGTCGGAAAGGAGGAGAGTGACGTTCGCTTGGGTAGTCGTGTACGTGTAACGAGGCGAATACTCGTCCAAATCCTGATCGACACAGCCTTGCCAGAGAAGAGACACGAGTTCCAGCATCGTGTACAGCGGAGACCTCGAGCACAAAAGTGTCGGCATCGCGTTCATGAGCCTATCCGCCTGCCTCGTAGCAAGTCTCTGGACGTGCCTGATGCGATGGCAACATCCGATCAACAGTTCTCGAAGCTGTTCCTGTGCTTGAACGAGCAACTTCCCGCGACTCCCCGTATTCAGGATCGTCCGCAAGAAGATCGTCATGGTATGATCTGCAACAGCATTCAATGGACTCGCAACATCAGATTCCACGAGGTTGGAGTCAGCAAAGTACTCCAACATCCTCGAACAAATACCAAACTCGCACCTCAAGCTCTCGAGTAGTAGGACGGTAGACAAGAACACCTGCTTAGGATACGATAGCTTCCTCAAGTCAGGAGCTTGAGCAGGCAGCGCAGCAGCCAAGACCTTCTTCGGCTTGCTCTCGTCCGTCTCGACTTTGTTACCACGAAGGACGGAGTTCAACTCGAGATCACTCTCGAAGTGGTTGGTCAAGCGCTGACTCACAATCGGCGGCGTGGCCCGCGCAATGATACGAAGAACACGAGCGTGTTCCTTCGCAGGCGTGGAACCGTAATGGAAGCCGTTGAGGTTGAGAGTGAACCATGCGTTACGGAAAAGAACGATCAAACCTTCGTCGCGCGGCACGAACACCCTGTTATCAGGGAACGTCAACGCCAATGCGAGGGGATCGAGAATCGAGAAGAACGCCGGAACGAGGTTCTTCGCAGTCTCGAGATTCCTCCCGCGTCCGCCCATAACACCCATCTCAATGATTTCCTTCAACAGCTCTCCAACAAACAACTCATGCGTCTCACTCTCCTTATCCAACCTCATCGCCATAATCCTCCTCGCCTCCGCGACAGCCTCGATCATAACAACGGCGTCAACACCCCCGGTCCCCGTGCTGTATCGTGACAAGAATTTGACAATCCGCTCGAACTCTTTCTCGAAGCCCAACACGGCGCCTTCCGCGGCTTTGAGCACTATAACACAGTCAGCGGCCGCACTCACCCTCCCAACCTTCTGCGTTAACAACGAAAGTGACAAAGCCAGGATCTTCTCATCACCAATTTTCTTTGCAGTCTCGAAAATTGCACTAATGACATTGATCTGAGTATGGTGCTTCTGCTGCTCGGATTGTGGTGTTTCGGTAACGTTGCTGGCCATGGTGATGTTGTCGAATGCGGCCCAGCGGTCTTTCGGGTCGCGGGAGGTTAGGGAATTTGCGCGGTCGCGGTCGTTGCTGGGGGCGAGGGCGTTGGCGAGGGAGTAGAGGGTTGTGATGACGGTGTCTTGGGATGAAACGCTTAGGAGGTCTGCGAGGCGCTTGACAGCGAGAGTGTTCGTCTCCGGATGTGACAATCCAGCGTTCGAGCGCAGGATGAACCGTTTGAGCGGACGAAGCATCGATCCGGCTTGTTCTGGTAGGTGCATCGACAATGTCGTCGCGGCGTTAATCACTGCGATCGATAGGTTCTTGTCGTTCATCGAAGTGGTATCCACGAACGAGCTGTTTAGAGAACGAAGGAAATCTTCATCAATATGACCGAGCATGAGTGAACACTTTGCGAGGATACTGTAGATAGACGCCGTGACGTTCCTAGCTTGACGCTGATTCTCCGGTTCGCTAAGCTTGAGGAAATCGTTGTCGCCCTCGATCACGTCCAACTGGTCATTAGCGATTGCAGCAATCCTCGCCGCTGTTTCTCTCATTTCTGGTTTCATTGCGTACCGCTTCTCCGCGATCTCGTCCCAGACGTTTCCACAGGTAGCCTGCTCCCCCTGTACCATAAGGCTGGTACAACAGGCATCAACAAGCTTCATCGCAATACATCTCATCATCATAGGTCCGATAGCACAGTCCGCGCTCTGGAACTGGCAGGACAGAGCGCGCAAGGGGGACAGCGAGTACTCACCCTGTTCTTGCACAGCATCCGCAGCTTGCTCGACCGCCAGCATGAGCGTGTCGTCAAGTAGTTTGTCCATCTGGTTCAGCAAAGCCGGGTAAGTATCCTCGGTCCAGAACTTCGTGTGTTCGGATCCTGCCCTCAAGAAATCTGCGCATCGGAGGGCCCAGCGCAGCGTTTCCTCTGCATCCTGGCCGTCAGCAAAGGCGTGGTACTGCGTACGTGACATGAGTTCCTCCAAATATGTTTCGAGTACCTCCGCGATATACAACTGTAAACTTGCAAAGCGCGTGCCGATGCTGAGAATAGCCTTCACGAGCTTGTACGTCACAGACTCGTCTGTGATATCATTCGGTACTGGCAATGGTGCAACCATGTACAGCAAGAACTGCGCCAGCATTCTTCTTGCCTGGTTTTCATCTTCGACAATCAGAGCCGAATCACACAATACAGACACGGTGCGCAATTCGTCTTGACGCGTGGGCCACTTCTTGGGATCCGACCGCAGCGCTCCCACCACCTCATTCGGGCGCGGCCATTGCGCGGTATCAATTGATTGTAGCCTCTCTTGCCATCCACTTGCAGCAGGCAAGTCCACCGAGGGACCATGCGCTCCAATCTTCCTAAGCGTCCCTTTCGAGCCGGTTTTTGCGCTCAGAAGAGCGAGTTTGCGCAAGGCGTCATTGCGAACCGTCTTGGATATACTGGCAGCAACCAATTAGCAATCGTAATGAAGAGAAGTGACGGTGCGTACCAATCCATCAGGTCCTTCTCACGACTTGACCTCCCTTCTTGTCGTTGAGGTTGGCCTCACGTGTACGGGTTTCGGGTCCTTAATTGAAGCGGTGCAGTCCAACGCGCGCAACTGCAAGCCAAACCATCATCCATAGCAAGTGCATTCATCGGAGGTCGGGCCCAGCATTCACGCCGACCATCGACCATCGACTGTTGCAACATCAACTTCCATCATGAACACGGATGCTGCTGGGAACGGAAAAAGAGTGAAGGTTTATCATCGTGTGCCTAACGTCTGTGCGCTTTGGCTTACGCTTGGTTGAACAGGTGCCGTCTACTTCCTCCGATCTGGAGTCCTCGAATGCACCGAACTCGAAGAAGGCCCGGAATGAAGACGAGACCCCATCTGGGCTTCCCTCACCTAATATGACAACTTTTGGAACTCTGAATGATACGAGGTCAGCACAGGCTTCGCCTGCTCAGCCTGAACCTCGTCGTGCCGATGTCGACCGCAATAATGGTTTTGATCAAGGGAAGGTTGACCCAGCCATGGACAAGCGTTATGATTCGACTGTCGGGATTGGTTCGACGTTTAGTCAGGAAACCGAGAATGGCACCATCATGTGCAAGTCATGTAAATCGAAGCACAAGCTGTTCGTCTGGGCTGTAAGTGCTTGAGCCATATGGTATACATCAAGAGACTTACGGCTGCTCATAGGAGCTAATATCGACAAATTCGAAGTGCGAAAACGTGAAGATGGGCAAAGTGAGCAACTGTGGCTCGGAAGACCAGAGTGACTATCCACCGGACGATCTCCCACGCCCTGTGCAAGAGGGCCTTGATCACAAAGCTACGTCAGGAGAGGTAGGATAGCTTGCCCGTCTTTCTGAACCAGACTAACGGCTTGCTGAAAGAACTTAGCTGCTGCTGGATATCTCCTTGGGCGCAGTGAAGAGTGTGATGTTATCATCAGGGATCCGCAAATCTCGAATCGCCACTGCCTGGTATACAAGGAGACGCTTTCCTCCGGTAACCTAGCAGTCTTCATCGAAGATATGTCCGCGAATGGAACCTATATCAACGGCCAAAAGCTGGGCCGAAACAACCGTCATCGGTTACACAACGGAGACGAAATCTCACTGACACACGGTAGGGGCAAAGATGAAGACGTGTCCTTCATTTTCAAACAGTCGCGAGGCAAGAAAGGAAAGGGCAAGACATTCGACGAAACATTTATCCTCGGGAAAACGCTGGGTAGTGGACATTTCGCCGAGGTAAAACTCGGTATAGAGAGGGCTTCAGGGACGCAGTTCGCCATCAAAGTCTTCAAGAGGAAGCCACATCAGAGGAGCAAAGATGCCGGAAACTTGGCGCAGGAGATCGGGATTCTCATGGGTGCTACACATGTTCGTACTTAGGGTTAACCTTTTCCTTGTTGGAGCTGAGCTGACGCAACGAACAGCCCTACATCACATGCATCCGCGAAGTCTTTGACGAAGATCAATTCATATACATTGTAATGGAACTCGCCCCCGGCGGCGAACTCTTCGACCTCGTCATCGAACGTCGAAAGCTCACCGAAAACGAAACGCGACACATCTTCCTCCAACTCCTCACTGGGTTGAAGTATCTGCATGAACGGAACATCGTGCATAGAGATATTAAGCCTGAGAATATTCTGGTGATGGATAAGGGGAACATGAGTATCAGGCTTGCAGATTTTGGGTTGGCGAAGATTGTGGGAGAGGATAGTTTTACGACCAGTTTGTGTGGGACGGTGAGTATCCTTCTCTGTCGTGCTCATTTGTGTGACTGACCAGTGTATTACAGCCGAGCTATGTTGCACCGGAGATACTGGTCAATTCCACACATAGAAAGTACGGACATCCTGTAGATGTTTGGAGTTGTGGTGTGGTTCTCTACATCTGGTGAGTGAAGCTTCTCGTGTCTGTAGGTGAAGTTTACTTAATTCCGCTACAGTTTGTGCGGCTTCCCACCGTTCAGCGATGAACTTGCTCCGCCGTCAATGCAAGAGCAGATCAAAACAGCCAAGTTCGAGTTCCCATCGCCATATTGGGACCCCATCTCTGATCCCGCACTACACCTCATTGAGCGGATGCTCACCGTGGACCCGAATGAGCGCATCACCGTCGCCGAAGCCCTCGAACACCCGTGGATGAAAGGCCTACAACCGGAAGCTTACAGCAATGCATCGACTCCTCTCGACATCTTCTCCCTAGTCGACCTCGACATCACCCGCCGTACCGGAATTGTTCGAGAGCGCACCAAACTGGCGGACATGAACCCTAAAGAAGCCGCGGAGATTGGGGAAACGAAGGTTGTGAGGCCTAACGTCGATGAAGACGATAGTGACAAGACGAAGCTGGATGAGATGGAGAGGGCTAGGGAGACGTTTATGGCAATGGGGGAGAGTGATCCGGATGCGACGATTTATGATGAGGAGAATGAGATTCCGGCGACGCAGCTTGATGAGACGGTAGAGGAGAGTTACGATTAGGGTATTGAGGTGATAAGGAAGGGAAGGGAAAAGGGAGAGGAGGGATGGAAAAAGATACTCAAGGTAGCATATGTTTGGTAGTATATTCTATAATGAAGGTCAACCTTCTTGGATTGATGGCTGAGCATCGGCGACAGTGTGTCAAGAAGTATCCTCAGAGGCGCGAACCACGAACGTTGACAACCGAGAAGCAGAAGGTGGCGGCCCAGGTAGAAGCATGCTTGGTTCCCTATGGGTTCGCTATCCTGCAACAGACACGACGTCCACATCTCGACAGTCTCCAAAGACTCGTTCGAATTCGAGCACAAGATCTCCAAGCAAGACAATCGAAGCTTTCGATTGCAATACCAAGTGACGATGTGTTCGACAGCTCAAGGCGGTAGTGCAGTACCAAGGCCATCTGTGGGTCCCGACATAGCAAGCCAGAGGCCGGCACCCGCTTCTCAAAAAGAAGTTGAAAATGATAGTCGGTTAATACCGACATACTCAGTTTTCAAACTGAAAAGAACAGATACTACACTTGATCTAAGCCAAAAGGCAAAGAGAGGTGAGGAGCCTTTCTGGGGCGGGGGAAGCGGTGATTATATAGACGTTGGCGTGGCGGTGCGCGCTAATGGGGGCGTGAGAAGACGTCGGTCCTGAGAGGACGAAAGACCCATAGGATACATGAAGCAGTTAAGCTTGTTGTCTGAATCCTTTCTAATATATGTGGTTCGATTATGTGAATCATTGCCACAGCTGACAGCAGTGTGTTAGACAGGCAGTTGAACCCAATGCAACATGCATGTGCTCTATGCCAGAAAACAAGCCTCCCTTACGTCTTACCACTACGTGCAGGCCACCAAATGGATCTCAGTGATTGTTACTCGAAATAAAGATTGTACAGCATTAGGCATGACACCGGCGATAGAAGAATAGCATTGTACATTACGCAGAAAGGTTTGGTAACGAAGACCACATTGCCCATACTAGAGTACAGTAGAGTAACACATAGGCCACAACCCGAGCTTTAAACGTGATTCTCGCTTCCGCTGCCTAACTATCTCCGATAGACAACCGACCTAACAATGCAAATGCTAACGTCGACACTACTCAACCGGAACCGACGGAATCTGGTGCTGCAGTTGACGCGCCATAATCTGCGGCTGCCTGCCCGAGTACTGAATATCCAGGTTCTCAAGCTGCTGAGTCGGCACTTCAGGCGCAATTTCAAGCTGTCCTTGAGCTCCGGCAGAAGATTCCCGATAACGAACGCGGACCTTGGCCCTGGCCTGTAGTTCCTCTCCGTTCTCGTTGAACAACGTAACCTCCTCTTCCTCGTACTCCTCCTCTTCATCCTCGTCACCGGTATAGTCGTCTTCCGATACGGTATAAGCGTCTTCGTCTTCGGCACCTTCAGGCATCAATGCAGGGTGTTCGTACAGTGCGAGCTTCGATTCCAGAGCTGTACGTTCGGCTTGGAGGGCACGACAGAGATTCTCGAGCTTCTGGTGCTTCTTGCGACCTGCTTCGAGTTCCTTTTGGTGCCTCGTGCGCTCCTCAGCGAGCTCAAGAATATTCTTCTTCAAGGTTTCACTCTGAGCCCTAATCGCTGCATTTTCCTTCTCCAACTTCTTTGTCTTCTTCGTCATCTGCTCCATCTCTTTCCTGAACGTCAAAAATAGATCATTTGAGTTGTTGAGCGTATCCTCCACTTGCTTGAATTTCTCCACGTAGATATTTAACTGGCTACGCAATTCGGTCTCGGTCTGACTGAACGTTGACACTTGAGCATGAAGAGTCTTAGCACGAGATGATTCAGACTCGGCGATACGACGCTGTTGTTCAGCACGTGCTTGATTGAGCTGAAGCTCGAGGTCTTTCGCGCGAAGGACCGCATGGAAGTGCGTTTCACGAAGCTCGTACTGCTCAAGAAAGCTCTTGAACTTTTCCTTCAAGAACTCATTGTCCTCAAGGCGACGTTTGTGCTTTTCATCCGTATCTTCCTCCATTTTCGACTTGATCTCCCATATGGTGCTTTCAAACTTTGTCGACAGCTCTTCCCGCTTTTCCTGCTCCGATTGTGCCAAGCGTTTACTCTCATCCTTGATCCGCTTGTTTTCCTTCTGCAGTTCACGACAGAGTGCCTCAAGCTTATGCTTCATCCCCAGCGCCTTGTTCATCTCACCCTTGGCCGCATCCTTCTCCTTTTGCATTTGTTCCGACTTCGCCTTCGCTCTGACGTGCTCCCTCTCCAAACGATGCATATCTTGTAACAAGGAACTGTATTTGCGCTGAATGACATTAATCTTTTCCAGCTGGTCATCGTGCGTCGACAGCAGTTGCGTCAACTCCTTGTTCGCCTTCTGCACTTCCCTTGCAATCTCGCGCTCTTCCTGTTCCTCCTGACTGAGATTCGTCTCCAATTGCGAGATTTTGTGTTGGATCATGCTGTTCACCTCACTAGGGTCCAGTGTCTTTTTGGCACCCTTGACAGGAGCCTTGTGAACCGGGCCCTTAAATACCGGGATAGGCGCTGGAGACATAGGTGGAGATGTCCGTGGAGTCGACCCAATTGATGCCTCTACGCTTTCTTGAAGTTGCTGCCCGTCGGGGACAAGTGTGTTTGACGGGGGCGGCGGTGGAGCAGCGGTTGGAGGCGGTACGGCAGGTGCTGCTGCCGAATGAGGCATTACTGAATGAATGAACAGGCCAGTATATGCCCAATGGATTGGTGTAAATGAAGAATGTCTGCTGGCAATTCGCGGGTATATGCGACCTCGATATGTGAGATGTGGTCACAAAATTCAGGACCCGGCAGCGGCCTGCATACATCTCCCCGGTGCACATTTATTACGGAGTTTGGAGAAACGACGAGGGACGATATCAGTTTGCTCCATCTTGCAATCTTTATTCTTCACGTACCTACCGTCAGCTACGAGCCAGCTTCGCTCTCAAACAGTCGATCTTTATAACGACATCCGGCCATGTTGTCGAGCATTGCCCGGCCCTCGCAACTGCGAATTGCGCCTGCTCTAAGAAGAAGCCCGTTGCTCGGCCGGATGTACTCCATCGTCGTCGATGCGGGAAAGTACCAGCCCGGCCAGAAGCTCTCCGGCTTTACCGTCGCTCGCAGCCAGGTTGTTCCCGAGCTGGAGCTTACCGCCACTCAGCTGATCCACGATCGCACTGGAGCGGAACATCTCCATATCTCCAGAGATGATCAAAATAATGTCTTTGCTGTTGGATTCGAGACTCCACCGACGGACAGTACTGGTGTTCCTCATATTCTTGAGCACACCACACTCTGCGGTAGTGAGAAGTACCCTGTGAGAGATCCGTTCTTCCAGATGCTTCCTAGATCATTGCAGAACTTTATGAATGCGTTCACGGCAGCCGACTACACTTTCTATCCGTTCGCGACTACTAATAAGGTTGACTATGAAAACTTGAGGGATGTCTACATGGATGCAACTTTCTTCCCGAAGCTGCGCAAGCTGGACTTCCTGCAAGAGGGATGGAGATTGGAGCATGAGGACCCTAAGGACACATCGACTCCTATTACATTCAAGGGTGTCGTCTACAACGAGATGAAGGGACAAATGTCGGATGCGTCATACTTGTTCTACGTTCGCTACCAGCAACATATGTTTCCGGGCACATGCTACTCTCACGACAGTGGAGGCAACCCAATGAACATCACTGACCTCACCTATGAGCAATTGAAGGCCTTCCACAAGAAGCACTACCATCCTTCCAATGCCAAGTTTTTCACTTATGGCAACTTCCCTTTGGAAGACCATGCTGAGAAGATCAATGCCAAGTTGGAGCCCTTTGTGAAGGATGCTCCAGAGAAGAGTTTGAAGGATATCGTTGGGTTTGATTCACCCAAGGCTGTTACTCTCCCGTGTCCCGTCGACCCTCTTGCGGATCCCACTCGACAATTGAAGACATCCTTGTCATATCTTGCAAATGAAGCTAGCGATGTCTTTACTACCTTTTCATTGCGTGTTTTGTCTAATTTGCTTCTGGATGGCCATTCTTCTCCTCTGTATCAAGCCTTGATCGACACTAATGTCGGTAGCGAATGGTCACCGAACACGGGTTACGACCCGTCGGCGAAGACCACGGTGTTCTCGATTGGATTGCAGGGAGTGAAGGAGGGCGGAGTTATAGGGTTTCAGGAAACTGTAGAGAGAGTGCTGAAGGAAGTTGTTGCGAAGGGGTTTGAGCAGAAGCGTGTAGATGCCGTCTTGCACCAGATGGAATTGAGCTTGAAGCACAAGACTGCGACTTTCGGTATGTCGGTGTTGCAGAGCATGACCAGTGGATTTTTCAATGGTGTTGATCCTATGGACATGCTTGAATGGAATAAGACTGTTGACAGGTTCAAGGAGGAGCTCGCAAAGGGCAGGTACTTGGAGGGTTTGGTTGAGAAGTACTTGCTTGGAAACCAGAGGCGCTTGGCATTCACCATGGAACCCAGCAAGACCTTCACGGAAGATTTGGCGAAGGAAGAAGTTGAGCGATTGAAGGGGAAGGTGGACAAGTTGACCGAGGAAGACAAGAAGCGCATTCAAGAGGAGGGTCTTGCATTGTTGAAGAATCAGGAAGAAAAGGGTGATCCATCGTGCTTGCCGACGCTGCATGTGAGCGACATCGCCAAGGAAGGGCCAAAGACCCCGCTTGAGTATGCTAGCGTGGAAAACGTTCCGGTGCAGATTCGTGCCGCTTCGACTAATGGTCTTACCTATTTCCGTGCGGTCAGCTCTCTAAATGATTTGCCGGATGAGCTCAAGTTGTACTTGCCGCTCTTTGCTGACTGCTTGAGCAACCTCGGTACGAAGACCAGGACCATGGCTGAGTTGGATGATGAAATCATGCTAAGGACTGGCGGTTTGCGCGCAAGCACGATGGTGTCCACTGGTCATTCTGACCTGAATCAGGTCGAGGAAGGTCTCGCGCTGTCGGGTTACAGTTTGGACGGTAACGTGCAGCGCATGTTTGAGCTGTTCAGGCAATTACTGTTGGAGACCAACTTTGACAACGTCGATAAGCTGAAGAGCTTGATTCGTGGTAATGCAAGCGGTATTGTAAACAGTATTGCGGACAGTGGACACGCTTTTGCTAGGACTTACGCCGCGAGCATGATTTCGCCTAGTGCAAGATCCAGTGAGATCTTCGGTGGAATGACGCAGATGAAGTTGATCAGTCAGCTTGCTACGATAGAGGACTTGAGCGAGGTTATCGCCAAGTTGAAGGCGATTGCTCAGATTGCCTTCTCTAGGTCCAGCATGAGGGTCGCTCTGACTTGTGGCCAGGAGTCCCTGGATACGAACGAGCAGCTGTTAGGCGAGTTCCTGCGGGGCTTCCCTCAGCACCCTGCTCTTCGCAATGCCGCAGAGGTTACCCCGCATGGACTGCCTTCCAAAGCTTACTTCCCCTTGCCCTACTCTGTGACTTATTCAGGTGTTGCTGTGAAGGGTGTACCCTATACTCACCCTGATGGTGCGCCGCTGCAGATCTTGTCTTCACTGCTTACTCACAGACACCTCCACCGCGAAATTCGCGAGAAGGGTGGTGCCTACGGCGGTGGTGCTACGTACAATGGCCTTGGCGGGATCTTTAGTTACTACTCTTACCGTGACCCCAACGCTGAAAGAACATTGAAGACTTTCACGGAGAGCGGAGAATGGGCTCGTGACCACGAGTGGTCTGAACGTGATTTGGAGGAGGCCAAGTTGAGTGTCTTCCAGAAAATTGACGCACCCATAAGTGTCAGTCAGGAGGGTATGGCCAGCTTCTTGGAGGGCGTGAATGATCAGCAGAGACAGCTTCGCAGAGAGCGTCTGCTTGCTGTGGACATCCCTTCCATTAGGGACGTTGCTGAGCGCTACCTCGTAAATGCTTTCAAGAGCGGACAGTCCAGCACTGCAGTGTTGGGTGAGAAGAAGGAATTTGCTACTAAGGAGAACGGCTGGGAGCTGTTCAACTGGGGTGCAGAAGCGGCTGAGAAGGTCCAGCACCAGGCCGAGGAGCCCGCTGCCGTGGTTATCGAGTCTTGAGGGTTTGCAGGTCTAGCATAGGAGTTGACGGGTTGGCGTCTGAGGATCATATCGAACGTTTTGGATATTCGTAAATGTCATCGCACGGCTGAAGCAGTTTAATTGAATTTGGTCTTCTCCTCCCATCTTGTAGATCTGCTGTAATTAACCTGACTTGATATAATTCGCCACCTACGCCAACGTCGTGCACCCCGGGGGGTCTCGCATCCCAGACGTCGGGGCGCAAATAACGCGAGACTAAGCCCCGGACCCTTTATCAATAATAATCAATATCACCGCAACCTCTCAACACCTTGCTGAAGGCTTGGTTGTCAACAAGTACGGATCTCATCTGTAAATATGGCAGAGGAAGTAACTGCGACTCCACCGCCGCGGGGTGAGAACCTGCGGTACCGCTTCAGGCGGACGTCCTCTAGCGATCTGGAGGAGTTGATCCTCGCAAAGGTTCGCATCCATTTGTGAGCGTATCTATCGAGCACTGAGCTGACGGCTATGTTAGTTTGAAGCTGCGTTGAGCGAGTTGGATCGTAGGTTGACGGATCTTGAAGCGAAGGGATTCTCGAAGATGGACGAAACGCTCGGAGCGGCTTACCAGCACTACGAGGCATTGAAGGCTGTGAAAGATCATTACTCGCAACGTGGTCGGGAGATGAAGGACGAGGGCTGGAAGCGAGCAGAAGCGTTCGTGCAGGAGATTGAGCAGAGGTATGAGAATGCGTGGCATGCTGGTACTTCGTTTCCGGCAAAGGTGTCATCGGGGTTGAAGCTTATGGAGGAGAAGTTGTCGGATATGGAGTCGGCGTCGGCGTCTAGGTTCGATGCTGCGGTGGAAAAGATCAAGGAATTTGACAACACTATCCAGGAGACGGCGGACCGCGCGGCGGAGAAGGTTGATGAGTGGGCGAAGGCGGTGAAGGAGGGTGCTTCGAGATTGTTGACGTATGAGGAGTTACCGATGGAGTGGAGGAATAACGAGCACATCCTGCGTGGATACAGGTTCTACGATACTAAGATCGGGTGTCTAAAATCCATCGTGGGGATTCACAACGAGACTGGATCGATCTGGACGCACTTGATTGGATTTATCATCTTTGCATCAATCGGGCTGTATTTCTACCCCATGTCACCGGCCTTCGAACTTTCGACCACATCAGACAAGGTTGTGTTTGGCGTGTTCTTTGTCGCTGCTGCGAAGTGTCTTCTGTGCTCAGTTATTTGGCATACGTTTGCACATCACGCACATGTGGTGTCAATGCAGCGAGCGGCATGTATGGACTACGTGGGTATTTCGGTACTCATCGTGGCGTCCATCTTAACGGTGGAGTACCACGGGTTCTACTGCCAACCTTGGGCACAGGCTGTGTACATGTCCTTCACCTCTGCACTCGGTGTTGTGGGTGTGATCGTGCCATGGTTCGAGTTCTTTGACAAGGCCGAGTCGCGCCCTTTGCGCATCATGTTCTTCATGTCCATTGCTGCAAGTGGGGTCTTGCCTGTTGTGCATCTGTCGTTCACGAGGTCTGCGCTTGCTACCCTCAGCTTTTTCTCTCCCGTGATGAAGTCCCTTCTGGGCTACCTTGTCGGCGTAGCTGTCTATGCGAACAGATGGCCGGAAAAGTGGTGGCCCGGTTGCTTCGATCTCGTTGGTGGATCACATCAGATCTGGCACCTTGCAATCATTTGGGGAATCTGGTATCATTACAAAGCCACCGAGGCTTTCCTGGGCAATGCGAAAGAGTTTGCTTGTTCGAACCAGCGTTTTTAAAGATATTTTACTGGCGTTATATTGCATTACAGAACATACCCGTTAAGAGACGGTTTAATCAGAGACACTTTGGAAAGACGAATAGATATTCATACCAGCTGATCATGGGTATCCTTAGGAAAGAAACAAATAGAAGAAATAAGCTGAAGATGCGCACCGCCTGCGTTCAGGTTTAGACAGCCCCGTATGCCCTTTGACTGGTTCCAGTGAGATTGGCCGGCCTAGCGACCTTCACCATTTCAATCAGCTGTTCGCGTGTCGCATTCTTCTCGAAGCGGAGTTTGCGCTGGCTAATGTTAAACAGGCTGCCGAGATAACAGATCATCGACGTACCTCCTTCAACCATTTCTTCAATTCATCCGTACTCCAGTCCTCGGGTTCACCGACGGGTTCCCTGTGAAGCGGTTCACTGCTAAGACCCGTCCCGCCAAAGATCGATGCCGTAGTAGCAAGAACGATCAGACCGGCAAATGTGGCAGTCTGCCAAGGGTCCGTGAGTAATCTTCCCAGAGAGTTGGAAAAGAGCTCATACGAGGAGAGTACTAGAGCGTTGCGGTAAGAGCCTGCCCAGAGGAGACATTTCGGATCGTTGCTACCTGATCAAAACCATCTTGACATCAGCTTCACTTCCTCTTCCAAGAAACGTCCAGCTCACCTGGTATATCGACTGATGTCACCGTCTCTATATCGATAACCCTGGTTATTACAGCCCGTCACGTGCTGCCGGCTTAGGGCTCGTGTGCCCTCAGATTCGCGGCGGTGCAGCGCTGCCTGAGCTCGACACCGAAAAATTAGGCTTGGCGTACCTTGACCAACAGCTTGCCAATACACCGCCAAAATGGTACGTATGCTGTCGTTCATGCGTCTGGGATGATTGTGCGAGGTCGGGTTTTGTCGGTATCAGCTTTTTCGGCATGTTCGTACGCCTTTTTGGGAGTGTGATCGGTTTTCGAAGTTTTCGGGCGGTTTCGCGTCTCGACACGGAGGATGGCATGCGACTGGGATGAGAGCCGATGATCTGCGATTCAACTAGATGATATTCATTATTGGGTACGCGGAATATTGAACGAAGGTCGTCGTGCTGTCAGATCGGTTGCATTGGAAACGGGGAGCACGAAGAATTGGTATCGATGGATGGCGATCTCGAGAACAATGAACTTCGCTGGATGCACCAGGACGATCAATTCTCTTGGACAATCTCTTCGACATCCCCGCATCCCCTTTCTCGACCGTGTTCTTGTTCGACTCCCGACAAAGCTGACGCTTCCAAACTCACTCCGCACAATCCCTCTTGACGCAAAACACTGCCTCATTTCAGCTCATGTATACTAACAATCCCTTCCACAGCCTAAGCAGATCCAGGACATCAAGCTCTTCCTCGAGTTGGCCCGCCGCAAGGACGCCCAGTCTGCCCGCATCAAGAAGTCCTCCAACGGCAAGCAGGTCAAGTTCAAGGTCCGCTGCTCTCGCTACCTCTACACCCTCACCGTCGCCGACGCTGAGAAGGCCGAGAAGCTCAAGCAGTCCCTTCCTCCTAGTATGTATTCCCCTGTGAAGATGGGTTTGAAAGGTGGGTGCTAATTTTGCTTTGTAGCCTTGAACGTTGAGGAGGTTAAGGCTTAAGCGGTTGGTGTTTTGAGTGTTTACTAAAAATATCCAAATGGCATGCTTGTTGCGTTCTTACCTGTTTGTCCCTCTGTGTCCGCCTTGTATTATGTGTGGGTGTGTGTGCTTATGATTCATGCTGCCACTCTACCTTCGTATCGGGTCCACCAGTGCTTCGCACGACGTTTATTGAGTGCAACGAGTTCAGTTCTCCGTCACCGGATAAGCCTCCGTACCCCACTCGTTCTCCTTCATCAGCCCCACAAGCCTATCCCACGTCCCCTCCACGAGCGGGAAATGTAACTCCCACTCCCTAAACACACTTGGTTCTTCCTTTGCCTTCACGAACCCAATACTCTCGAACAACTTCAAACTCGTCTGATTGTCTTCACCGATTTTGACCATAAGCTTTTCCAGCCGGCAGTTACAGTCGGAGCATGCGCAGACGATATCGGAGGCGCGGTTGAGGACGTAGAGGAGAAATAGGAGTAGAGAGGAGCGGCCGAAGCCACGACCGCGGTAGGATGGTTCGGCAATCATGAGTTCGACTTCGCCGACGTATGGGATTGGGCCCTCTTTTGGTGGTTTTGGTGCTAAGTCATCATCTTCGTCATCATCGCCGTCGTCGTAGGATTCTGATAGGAAGAGGTTTACGTCGCCGATCATTGCCGAGACTTCCTCTTCGTGGGAACCTATCGTTCCGTCTCGTAGTTTTGCTTGATCGAGCACGATGAACGTCAATTCTACCCCGCACATCAGCACCTACACCATCACAGATCACGTCTGATTTAACATACTATCACCATCCTCCCTCCATTTCCTCTGCATCTCATACTCCTCCTCAAGCGATAACGGCTCCGACGCGGTAGCTTCCAAGATCGCGGGATCTTTCATCCATTCATGGTATTTGGGGACGTGGATCGCTTCGTAGGGAACGAGGGTGACTTTACCGTTGTAGACGACCGTGTGTGCGTTCAGCTTCATTTTGATCTCTTGATCTGGTGTATATGAAGGTCGAGGTCGAGGAGGTTAAAGTTGGGTCGGTTCGAGGAACCCGAAGTCGCGCCGCGTGAATCATGGGCGCGTGCAGCTGCGGCAGTACCGACTCTGACTGCGACTGCAACCACCCTCTGATCCAACTGGAATTGCACACAAAATGCCAGAAGAAACAGCAAACTACATTCACGGCCACCACGAATCAGTCCTGCGGTCCCACTCCTGGCGCACTGCCCAAAACTCCGCCGCATATCTCCTCCCCTACCTCGAACCCCACATGCGCATCCTTGATATCGGATGTGGGCCCGGTACTATTACTTTTGACTTCGCCGAATTGGTGCCCGAGGGAGAGGTCGTTGGATTGGAGTATGAGGGCGGGGTGCTGGAGCAGGCGAGGAAGGGAGCAAAGGAGAGAGGCTTGGGGAATATTGAGTTTGTGGTAGGTGATGTTAATGGGTTGGACTATGCTGACAACACATTCGATGTTGTGCATTGTCATCAAGTTTTGCAGCATGTCGGGGATCCGGTGCAGGCGTTGAAGGAGATGAGGCGGGTGGTGAAGCCCGGTGGTATTGTTGCGGCAAGGGAAGCGGATTTTAATGGGTTTACGTGGTATCCGGAGAATGAGGGGTTGGAGCATTGGCTTGATCTCTATATCAATGTCGCACGTGCGAACGGGGGTGAACCTAATGCCGGCCGTCGTCTCCATGTCTGGGCCCACGAAGCCGGATTCCCTAGGAAAAACATCAAATGCACAGCCGGGACGTGGTGTTACGCTGACACCGAAGCTCGCGAATGGTGGAGTAATATGTGGGCCGATAGGACCTTGGGGTCAATCTTTGCAAGGAAAGTTATTGAGAGTGGACAGATCACGCAGGATGGATTGGAAGACGTTGCAGCTACGTGGAGGGAGTGGGGAAAGCAGGAAGATGGATGGTTTGTGTTGCTCCATGGGGAAGTTGTATGTCGCAAGTGAATTCAAGCTGAGACCCACTTCGCGAGCCCAAATCTGAGGTGTCAAGTGCCTAAAACGCAGAAGGCTTGTTACTCAAACTCCCTCCATCAACCGTCACGATGCTCCCGTTAGTGAAGCCACAGCACGCCAAGAACAACGCCGTTTGTGCCATGTCCTCTTCGGTACCCGCCCTTCCGACTGGAATGGTTGCAACCCGCTCCTTGGGGAGGTCCGAGCCTGACGACTTGTTGTTGTCGCCGGAGGATGGGGTAGTCATTTCGGATGGGAAGAGACCGGGGCAGATGATGTTCGAGCGGATTTTAAGGGGGATGAGGAAGTTGGAGAAATTGCGCCCGAGATGGACAGCGGCAGCTTTAGAGGCGGAGTAGGAGAAACCGGATGCGATTTGTTTCGAGAGTCCTCCGATGGAGGCGATGGTGATGACTTGGCTGTCGTATCCACCGGCACCGTTGCCCTTGGCGAGAAGCGGGATGAATGCAACCGTAGTGAAGTATGCTCCAGCGACGTTGGTGCGGAGGACTTGATCCCACTCCTCAACTTCGTCATTGAAGAGGCATTCGTACACCTCCTGCGCGTTACTGGGATCTTTGAGATTTGAAGTCGACCTCGGTCCTGGAACGCCAGAGTTAACAACGAGGATGTTCACTTTCCCACTTTGCTCCTCAATCTTCTTCGTCGCCTCCTTCAACGAGTCCTTCGAAGTGACGTCACACTGCAACGGGATTAACTTCCCGCCCCTGGACTCGAGAGAGGGGCTGTGAACATCCGCGGTCTTTTGGAGAGCTTCCAGACGGCGGCCGAGGATATAGACTGTTGCTCCGTTCGCAGCGAAGGCTTCAGACATCATGAGACCGAGGCCGGTTGCGCCGCCAGTCACGACCGCGATCTTGCCGGAAAGGTTGAAGAGGTTGGAGGCGGTGAGATTAGATGACATTGTCCGGGTCAATCGATTCGCAGTTAAAGGGTTGAAGGTTTGTTGTTCGGCCAGGATGGTTTCGCCAGAAATAAGGTTTATATAGCGGGTTTGCTCAGCATGACGTCTCGTCATGCGCGCCGAGATTAAGGCTCAGCTGGAAAAGGCGGCCTTAAGCAATCACGAGCTCGATACATTTGAAAATTGCAAACGGCAATTCACGATCAGCTTTATCGTCAGTTTATCATTTTCGACACTCTACGAAGCAGCGACGTTTGGTCGTTCTCACGCCTGATCAGCGCTCTCCATTGCAATCCACACGCCTAACCATGACCGTGTATGTGTGAACCCTCCTTCTTCTCCGTGTTCGAGTAGCTCACTTTTGCTCTCCGACAGTCCCACTGCCAAAACTACCTGGCCAGACCCCGGCGTAAACACCCCAATCGGCGTCAACGTCGAGAAACTCGAAACAATTGCCTTTGTTCCTACCACAGCCAACATATCGGGAGGGGAGATATCCATGATGACCCGCGCTGCTCCGAAAGATGATGATGATCCGGAGAAAGCTAACGAGATGGAGAGGAGGAGGACGGAGGAGTATGCTAAGGAAGAGTTTAGTGGAGGAGTGGAGTAAATGACATGAGTTGAGAACACGAAGATACTGGAGAGGCGTGAGAGTGAGCTCATCATCATTCATCTATTTCCAAAAAATCAAACACCCAACAAACCAGCCAAAAACCCTCACAACCAGTCCCTCCATTGCAATCCTTTTAGTGAAACAAAAACTGGAAATCCGTAGCACTCAGCCGACTCAACGCACTATCACTCTGATTAACGACCGCCCCAATCATCGCCGCCTTCTTCTCCTGCAACTCAATAACCCGACTCTCAATCGAATTCTCAATACAAAATCTCGTGATCTTCACCGGACGCGTCTGCCCAATCCGATGAACACGATCCGCACTCTGCCATTCCGCTGCTCCATTCCACCACGGTTCCAACAAAAACACGTGTGAGGCTTCGGTGAGGTTGAGCGCTACTCCTCCGGCTTTGAGAGAGACGAGGAAGACAGTCACGGCGGGGTCTGTCATGAAATGCTTGATCGTCGAATCACGCTGTTGAGGCGTCATATGCCCATCCAACTTCACGCACTGATACCCAGCCCGTCTCAGTCTCCAATGCACCAAATCCAACATATTCGTAAACTGCGAAAACACGATACTCTTAATCGTCGAATCCTTGCTCCTGAGCTTATAGAGTTCCTCCACAAGTGCCTCAATCTTCGTCGACGACCGGAAATGGTTCATGTCAATTCTGTTGATAATCGAATCCCGCCTATGGTTCTCCTCATTATCCTCCTCGAGCGCGGGCGCGGTAAGGTCGATATTAAGCGTAACATGACAAACCGGACACTCCGGATGCTCCTCAAACGCCCCCTCGACATACTCACTGACACAAACCCGACAAAACACATGATGACACCGACTCTTAATCGCATCCGTCGCCTCCTCATCGCAAATCCTACACACGAACCCTGCTGCGCCTTCCGCCGCTGTACCGGCTCGGTTGAGTACGAGAGCGGGGTGGTCGGCCATTTGTCGCATTCGAGTGATGAGTTGGAAGATGTTGGCGTAGTTGTTCAACACCGTATTCGCCGCCACGTAGGTCGAGAACTTCCTCTTTGAGTCGTTGTACAACGAGTCATACAAATCCTCCTCTTCCTCATTAAACACATCCCTCCTCACCACCACAACCCTCGGTGGCAGTCCAATATCATCAGCTCTCTCCACCTTTGTGCGGCGCAACATCACCCTCTTCATCAACTTATGCAACTTCTTAAACGCGACCAATCCCTCCCCATCAGCACCATGCAACTGAATCGGCTTCAACAACTCCGCATTAAACCAACACGTATGATCCATCGGCCTATGCCCACAATCCTGACAATGCCTCTTATCAGGAAACCTCCAATGCAAACTCTTACACTTGCACTTCTTGCAGAAATACAAACTGTACGGCCGCAACTCCAGAAATCGCAACAATGAAAACAACTCATTCACCCTGTTTTGCAGAGGAGTTCCGGAGAGACACCACTTCTTCTCCGCCTTAAGCGCAAAGACACTCTTCGCTGTATTACACGACCGATCCTTGATATTATGCGCTTCATCCAGAATCACCCTGTGGAACGGGACGGCGTGGATCAACGAATCCTCCTTAAACACCCCATCCTTCCTCTTAAACCCCTGGTTCTGTTTCCTGAACGCACTCTCCAACACACCATACGACGACAACACGACATCATACTCACAAATCTTCTCAACAGTCAACTTCTCCCTCGCGGTACCGTAGTAGAGTAACACACTCAGACCATTCTTCGTATGCTGCTCGATCTCGTGTTTCCATTGCATTAACGCAACCGTGGGCGCAACCACCAGACTTGGCTTCATCCCCGGCGTCGACAGCAAAAGCGCAATCGTCTGAATCGTCTTTCCCATACCCATTTCATCAGCCAAAACCCCACCACGGAAGGTTGGGTTCTCTTCTTGTTGTCGTAGCCAGTGCAGACCCTCCAACTGGAACGGCAGTAAACTCAAACTCAAACCAGCGGGTTGTTCAGCCCTCTTAACTTCCGTGACGGCAAGTTGTTCCAGGTCATCCCATACTGTTTCCAGCTCCGGATGGTGCACAGCCAGCTGCTGTCGCGTTCGCTCATACCTACTCAACCTCGGACGACGGACACGACGGCGGGTCGTGGCGGTGGCGACAGACTCCACAGTCGCGGTGACAGTGACCACATTCCCATCCTCATCCGAAAGCTCCGCTTCTTCGTCCTCTGCTTCGGAGAGGTTATCGAGATCGAGGTTCTGGTCTTGGTCGGAGAGGTGCTCGAATGAGGGGTCGTCGGCTTCGTCATCCCCGCTGTCTGCAACGACATCCTTCATCTCGGCATCGACATCGAGCGCTTCGCCTTTGATGGAGGAAGCGACGGAGATGGAGGTAGCGGGTGTGGTGGCGTTTGCGGGACTCGTCTTCGTGCTCGAGACACCCGCGATGCTCGGAGTGGCTGACTCGACTTTTGCTTTGCCCTTGCCTTTTGTAGCAAGGGCTCGCTTGGGCGTGACGGTAATTCTCCTCTTCTTGTTCAAGTGAACCTTGGTCACTTCCTCCTCTTGCTCGATCTCCAATTCTGACAACTCCGACTCGGAATTCTCCACAATCTCATTTTTGAAGTCTTCTTCCTCAGAAGTAGCATCCGCTTCAAAGTCGGATTCGGCGTATTTCATGGGGAGCTTGCCGCGGGCTTTGGCGGATAGGGTGCGGCCGGTGGCGACTTTGCGTTTGGCTGTATGTAAAAGAGTCAGTACATGTGAAGCACCGTACCGCTTTTTCTACATACGTCTTGTTGTGGGAGGCTCCACATCCTCTTCTTCTTCTTCCTCCTCCTCATTTTCTTCGATCTTCACAAGCTCATCCTCCTCCTCCTCATCCTCGCTGTCCTCCACGACATTATGCGCAACACGACGGCGGGTAGTAGTAGTCTTTGTCTGCTCGACCTTCACGCCGGCTTCGGTCGTAATCTCGATGATCCTATCCTCATTGGCGATCGAAGTCTGGGAAAGCGAAGCTTGAGAACGGGTAAGACGAGGCATTGTATGCTGCTGTTTTCCGGGATATATGCTGGGTGTATGGTTGGTATGACTCAAGAGAATGACTCCAGCGAACGTCCTATAACTCTTTGACCCTCCTTGCACACTCAGTCGAAGAATGTCGTCCAGGGTATATCTTTCTTCGCCACCGTCTTCGCCGCGTTCCATCCCCGGCGGATCCGCTCGGCCCTACAGCCCAGCATCGCCGCTAACCCCGATATAGGCAATTAAGCACGCTCGGAAATGAAAGGAGTGGCGACTGAAGAAAGAAAGAAGAAAGTACTACTCCAAGGACAAGGTCAAGGTCAAGGTCAAAGAACATGTCGAGACGATCAGGCGTCCGCGGTCCACACTCCGCTCTTACAGACTTCCTCCGTGAACGGGGCATCCGGGTACAGAACCTCGGGAGGCGGAACACAAACTCGGCTTCCGAGTCGCCTGCACCGGGGACTCTGTTGGGTGATGAGCCTGCTCCGTCTGCGGCTGAGGAAGCGGCTGTTCAGGGGACTACAGAGGAGGATGTGGATGTTGGAGAAGGCAGCTCGACGACGGTTACGACGAGTGTGCAACAAACCTCCACCCTCACAGTCGCGGTCGCGGTCGGCAACCCGGCTCCGGCTCCTGGACCATCAATAGGTGGAAAACGCAAACGCGCACCCGCCAAAAAGAAGAACAAGAAACGCGACGACGACTCCGATTTCTCCGACGCCGACAACGATGCCGGAGGCCCCAGCGCCCCCAAAGACAAGGCAACCGGCCCCTCAAAGCGTAGTGCATTCTCCCACAAAAAGCGCCTGGGGCCTGGTATGATCGATTTCTGCGCTCAATGCAATTGTCGATTCACAATCACCGCCTACACCGTCTCCACAACCGACGAAACCGGGCTCCTCTGCCACACCTGTGGTTCCGCGGCCTCTACCGGGGATGGCAAAGCGGCAGATAAAGCAGCCGCACCGAAAAAGGTGGTGAAGAGGAAACGTGCCGCCAAGGGGAAGTTTTTCGATGAGGAGAAGAAGATAGGGACGTTGCAGGACCGCTGTATCCAGTTGATTGCGAAACACATCCATGATATCGATATGTTGGGTGACATCGGTTCCCTAAACCTCGACAAGATCTGTCAGATTATCTCACGAAACCGATCACTCACGCCCTCTACCATCAATTTATTCCTCGATGCCGGCGTCGAGAGCGTCAAGTTGTACGACTGCTCCAAACTGGGCGTGGAGGAGTTCCGTGCCGTCGGGGCCAAGTGTCCGTTTGCAAATGAACTCTACCTCAAGTGGTGTGGACGGATAACGGATGACGTGGTCCAATACTACGCCGACCACCTTACCCAACTCACAAAAACCACATTCACCGGCCCCTTCCTCGTCACCGTCTCCGCATGGCGTCAATTCCTCTCCACAACCTCCACCCGCCTCGAATCCTTCCAACTCAGCGATACCTCACGCTGGGACGCAGAGACAATGAACACCCTCGTCGACGCCTGCCCAAACCTCATCTCTCTCCGCCTCAGCCGGATCACCCCCCTCGACGACGAAATCGTGCGGTTAGCGACTGGATTGCCGAATCTGACTTCCCTCGATTTGAGTTGGCCTGGAAAGGCGGTGAGTGATGCAGCGATCATCGACGTACTCAACACCATCGGCTCAGGCCTGCTGGAGCTGAATCTGGACGGTCATGGGATGTTGACGGATGCGGTATTGGCCACAATCCGAGAATGCTGTGGACGGCTCCAGAAATTGTCGATGAGTGAATGCGAGACATTCACGGCTGAGGGTATCACCGCACTGTTCACCCAGTGGGACCTCAATACGGGATTGACGCATCTTAATCTTTCGCGTGTGTTGGGTATGAATGATGAAGCGCTCGAGGCGGTTATCGGACATTCTGTGGCGACGCTGGTGAGTTTGGACATCAACTCTTGCGATGAACTCACGAGCGCTCCACTCCACACACTCGCGTCCGCTACGGCGTCCTCTGATATTCTTGAGTATATTGACGTCTCCTTCGTTCGATGCGTGGATGATATCGTCGTTGAAGCCCTCGGCTGCGTCACACCTATCTCCGCAGCGAGTGGAGAAGGGGGAGCAGTGGGAGACGATAGGAGGGAGGGGGCGCAAGTGCGGGCGACGAAGCGGGTCGTGAGGTGTTTTGGGGATAATCGCGTTACGGAGACGGCGAGGGTTGGGGAGGGGGTTAGGTTGGTTGGGAGGGAGAGTGATATGATGTAGGTGTTGTCTTGGATCTTGTTTGCATTTGGCTTTGTTTATGGAGGATACCTTGCTACAAAAGACTTATACCCACAATTGACTCGAATATCGATGTCCCTTCTAGAGATACGCGGAGCTGTACGGCGCCCACGGTGGCCACATTTCTTCGCGCGCGGCAGATGGACATGCCATTGAGGACACACTGCCACCCGCTGCCGCGACGTGAAAAGCTTAAAGCCCTGCAAGAGAGCAATGGTAATTGCAACTTTGGCTGGTCTCCCAGCATGATGCTTTGCGGAGTGATATCGGCTTTCGCTACGAGCATCACATGAAGAGGAGAACGGAGGATGTTGGAACCCGCTCACTGGCTTGTTCCGGGTCATTCATGGTGATTGGTACATTACGCTCCTCGGGGTGAGAAATCATCAGGGTATCATGCTGCGTGGCACGTAATCCTCCCGAAATAGCAGCACCTGACACGAAACAATGAACCCATCGACATCGGGCTGCGGCTGGGCTGATTGAGGCAGCTCCTGTCAAACGTTGGGGCTGTAGGGAACATCCGCATGAGCGACTGTTAGATGTATTACGCATGACCTACATATCCGGACTCAGATTCACCTGCACTACCTCGGATGTTTGTACGCACAAGTGGTATCCGGAAGCCGTTGGTACGAATGGAGCCCAAAGCGCCCGAGGAGCAGGAACTTTCCGATGGATTCAAATTAGATTGTCAAAGGACTTAGAATGCCAATCATCCTTCATGACGGATCAAAGGGTTCTCCTCAGCAGTGCGCGAAACACGGCTCACAGCCTCCCGTAACCTTAATGCTCCACGCGCACGGCCGTGGTGACACCCGCCCACATCCGCGGAATCCATGGCACCATCGGAGGACGGAGCGAGCCGTCTTGCAAATTGCTGGGTTCGACGATGGCGACGCCGGAGGGGCAATTCGGCAATCGTGTTCGATCGAGAAGCGAAATGGCGCCGGACGCACCCCTACCCGCTTCTTGCCGTGATATTCCCGGGGGGTGCTCTTCCGGACGGTACAACTATCCGCATGGCGAACAGTTGCGACGGGAGTGTTTAAAGAGGGTCGATGGCCCTCGACTGTTGAAGGGCAGGGCAACAGCTCAGGATTCATCAAGCAAGGACCTTAACGACTACGGATCTGGTGCGATACACGAGACACCACCAAAGCTATCACGAAACACGCAACAAACAGCGACTGCAAGTCCAAGTCGCAACACACCCCAAGTCTCATACACGTCAGACAAGGTCCATCTTACAGCTCCTCGGAGTCGCAACATTTATCTCCCTACAGCCAAAACCACAAGCAATGGCGCCACTCTTCCCGCGACCCACGTCCACGTCCACCTTTCCCTCGAACTCCTACACAACCTCCCCGATGACAAGCCCCATCTCCTCACGACGAGCAAGCCCAAGACAATCCCGCTGTACCCATGACTGCAAGGTCTTCTACATGGCGATGTCTACAGCAATGGAGAGGTCGACCGCCGCTTTCCCAACGTTTGGATCCTACAACTCGCATCCGAACTCGCACTCTTCGGATGTGCCAAGCACGTTGAGTCGTTCGAGCAGTTATGAAGATGAGGTGGAGTTTGAGAACTTTGATGAGTTGGCGAAGGAGGGGATTAGGGTGAAGAAGGTCGGGGCACCGAGTCCTCCCGCACCTAGGCGTGCTTAAGGACTACCGATTTACTACGAGCATGGAGCTGGAGTTGGAGAGTAATGAGGATGAGAACGATGGGAGGATATTTGCAAACTTGCATCGGAACAATCTGTATGATCTTATGTCTACGTTATGAAGCATCTTTTTGGCTTTTGGAGTTATGGTGAAGCATGGCATTCTAGCATCGTTGTGGAGTATTGCAAAGCAAACATATGTTTTTTTGAAAGATTCCGTTACATAAATATATGCTATCATTTGCCTTCAATGGCCATAATCCTCCTCCAAAAGTCATCCTGCAATCATAAAATCGAAGCCATCCTTACATCGATATCGAGCGGTGATGAACCCAGCAACCAGTACTAGTAACTATAAAAGACATGATAGATCCATTAACAATCATAACCAAGGTTCTCGTTACCCCATCCCTCCATGACTCCAAAAAGATTAACCCGCATACTTCCTACAGCAATCATTTCTCAGGCACTGTCCGACATGCTGAAGACAGACCCAGCCCAACTTGACCTCCTCGACGACGCAGCACTAACAGTAGCAGAAGGTGTTGAAATAGAGACTCGCCTGACCCTCACACCGCTCTCTGCCAACTCACGGACAAACTGGACGTGATCGACGTCGTGTGGACTCGCCTCGCCACCGCTCTCCTCCTCAGGCCCGCGACTTAAGCTGCAAGAGTTGAACTCAACCCAAGGAAGTGGCGACAAAGTTCGCTGCATTGGCGTCGCCCATGGAAATTTCGCCATCGTAGACTGCGATACCTCTAAGATCTGTTCGAGGTGCATAGCGTGTTGCAACTGTTCGAGTAGGCACCTCCGGCCGTCAATGTTGAGCTGCACGTCAAATTCGCAGGTATCGCAGGCGAATCTCTTGATGATCGCTTTTATTGATCACTTGCTTGCAAGGTCAGCTCTCCACGAGTAGTAGTCCCGGGTGACGGACGACATCTTTATACCGGGTGTCTGTCGATGTTGGCAGTCTGTTTCCCACACCCACCTGGAAAACGCGGAAATCGATGGCTTTAGATACAATGCAGCAGTCGTAACGCGAGGCACCAAAAGCCGATTCGTAACAACATTTTGCACTTTTCAGCTGCCTAAAATCAACTGCAACGTGGTATAACCCGTGAGTAACAGTGTAAGCGATTCCTCTGGCAACGTGCCCGATTAGTTGAAATCATGCTTGGCTGGGCCTAGGCCTCATGATGACGGGCGGGCCGCGGTATGACGGGTGAGCTCGAGGGGTACATGGAAGGTTTATGTAAAGCCGGCAAAAGCGGATGTTTCTTTCCCCATGCTGACGAAACTCGATATTCGATTCCTACGTTGATCTATCTTGGACCTGCAGAATTGGAGTACCATGGTACGGATCGCGGCGAGCGGCTTAGCTGAGGGAGAGCGTGTGACGGACTGTCATCCGGAGGTCGGACCGGGGCCGAGACATCCCCCACGAGAGCTGTGAGATGATGCAGGCTTCGTATCTGTATCAAATGCAGAGGCAAATAGCATTGGCTGTCAGAGATGTCTTCGTCACAAGGGGAATTCACGTTATGATAGTTGGCTCTCGCTTGCTGTCATGGAACAAACTGGCTTAATGTCAACCGCAACAACTGGATTTCTGAAGCTGATTGTGCTCTTCCATATGATAGGCCTAGGTACACTTTCCTTCGCGCTCTTTCCCATAGTCAAGAGCGATAGGGAACATAGGCATTATTAGAGTATTGGTCCTTTATCCACAAGCATGTGAAAGATGTGCCCATAACCGTATGCTTAACCTTATCTGACTGACTTTGATAACTTTATGTCTTGTCGACGGCAACCACCAACTTGCCCTCCTTCCTCACCCAGTAAGCCTGTACTGCATCCTCGGTTACTCGAACTCCATCCAATACCACAGTAGTATCCTCGTACACGTTTGTCACTGCGAACACCAGCTTCGCTTTGCTTGGTTCGTAAGTTGCCAGAAGATCCAAAGAAGCATCCCCTAGAGCCCGTAACAAAGGCACCGAGAACTCGATCTTGACTTTTGATCTTGTCAGTAATTGGGATACGACGTACGTGGCCTTCTTCAGTGCTGGTGCAGCCAGCCGTGCCGTTTCTTTCGTCTCTATGGCCTGGATCAAAGGCTTTGCCGGCGTTGGCGTCGGTGCTGATCGTAGTTCCGTAATCGCCGCCTTCTCCTTCACCTGATTCTCTGTCAGGACCTGGATACCCGTCACCGTCTCCTTTCCAATTGCACTCCCAACCGGCACACTCTTCTCTAGCGCTCCCTTGCTCCTCATATTCGGCACAGCATACTCCCGACTCAACACCATCCCGGACTCATCCTCCACCCTCTCCAAGCACACCTCAATCAAGTACATCTTCACCTCCGGATCCCTAAGCGACGCTCTCAGCACGCTCGTATGCACACAGCAATCGACTACAAGACACTCTCGGCCAGCTTTGTCGACGTCTTGTCGGGGTGGTGTGGTGTGGAGTGGGATGTCCCAGTCGCCGCCGGCGCGGAGGTGGCTCATGAGGCCTTGATCGGGGAGGGTGGAGGGGGCGGTCATTTGTTTGGAGTGGCAAATGTTGAGAAAGGCTTTCGAGCCTTGGGGATGTCTGTAACTGTAGATTAGCAACGGTCCGTGCTGTAAAGAGAGAAATACGCTGAACCTACCTTCTCTTTGTACTGGTTGTGTTGAGTGTCTTCACCACGAATCCAGGCTCGGGTGTGACCATCTCAGCATCATCCACATCTAACTTCTTTGCTCCCGGTATCGACACCCTGGTTGCACCTGTAGAGAGACGCCCACCGATAGCCGCATCGTTCTTCTCCGAAACAGGTGTCCGCGATTCAGACGATGATCCAATGATGGAGAGGGAGGACAGCCTGCTGGTAGCAGGGGCATCATCGAAGTCTAGAGTAGGCATGATAGGGATGTGCGATCACAAATAGATTTGTCTGTGTTATCGAGAAGTGTCGCCGAGGTAAACTTTGCTCACTCGAGGTTCACGGGTTGTCTCCGTGACATGCAGCAGCTCGCGGAATCCGAGACATTCTATCATTGAGCGTGGGTATGTACGTTGTTGCGAGATTTAAATACAAATTTGCTGAAGGGTAGATATCGGCACATACGGAAGTCAATGAGAGCACGTGCACGAAAACGATTTTTCCGAGCGAGTGTCGGTACGGCGAATCCGGAGAGCCGACGGGCAGAAGTGCTCCTGCACCTTCATTGTCTATAACGATCCAGCCTCCTGTAATCCCGCCCATTATCTCTCCTCTCATCTCTTCTTTCGTATTCTCGCCTATCTCGGTCATCTCGTCTTCGGCTGTAGTCATCCTTTCGTTTATCGTATGTGTCGGCACTCCTTGATCGTGATCTTCGCCGGTACCTCTCCCTTAATCTCGACCTGTCTCGATCCCGCCTATCTCCATCATCTCTTCTCCGACCAGGATTCCGCTCTCTTCCCCTTTCGTGTTGCGGCCCCCGTGCCGTTTCTTTCTTAACTTCTTGATCTGTTCTGGCGAGCGCTTCATTGATTCTCTCCGACGTACTCTTCGGGTCAGAATTGCTCGACGACTCAAAGCCGATCTGTCTTCGGCCCTTTTGCCGTTCCGACATACCCTCGACCCATAGTTTCTGTCTCTCCGCCAACCTCTCCGCCGACCCATCCTCGGGGACGTTCTTCACGTCCCACACGTTGCGAGGAAAGTTCGAACCGTACTGTTCATGAACATCAACGTACTCTGCCATGGTCTCCAACATCCTCGGATTCCGGAAGTCTGAGTTCCGTACGAGCTGTAAGTTGAAATGTGCACCTGCCGCTTTGAGGTCTCGGAATTGCTCGACCTTGTCGGCTGAGGATTGAGTAGGGGATCCTGGTGGTGAATCGGGAATTCGTGCGAGGGGTGCCGGTGCGGTAAGATTATGTATCATCGCCCGGTTGGCAGAGAAAGGCGATAGTGGTGGCTTTGTTGGATCATTGTGGGTATCATGATCATAGTCTCGGGTTGGTGGGCTGGGTTCGTCATCTTCAACTGACGGCATCATCGGCCCTGCAGCTTCTTCGTATTCAAGTGCCGGCAGTGCGAATTCGCTTGTAGTACCATTCGTTCTCTCCTGAGCCAGCGCAACCTGACCATCGTTCGCTACTGTTGCATCCAGCACCTTCTCGGGGAGTTGTGGTGGAGGAAGCGAGCCCTGGTCGTCACCCTCATCGTCATCGCTGGAGTATGCTAGTCCGAGAAGTGTTGACATTGCAGAAATCGATCTTCAGGTTTGCCTGAGTAGAAATGGATTGAAAGCTGCCTCTAAGTCGTTGCTATGTTATTGCCGAAGCCCGGGACCTCGACCTGTAACGTAGATTCGAGCATGTCGGATATACTCAGAACGGGCCAAAACACACCGGAACACTTTTCGATAAACATCTAAAACATCCTGGAGAATCAAAAGCTCCACCAGAGAAGCTCATATGTGTACGGCTTATGCGGTTCTCTCACGTACGAAGACCCTCAGACTGGCAATGCTAAAATGGGATGGTGTTTGTGCTTTTGTTTTGGAACACCTATCTGGTTGAAATGGCCTAGGCCAAGCAAAGCTAATGTTTCCTTCTGCACCTTGCTCTTGCAATTCTCTTCACCCAGATCATTCAGCTGTACCAGTCTAGAAACAACAGGATCAGACTTGCCATTATCAGGAACACCAAGATGAACTTTGTTGTGCTTGAATTCCTTTCCCTTGCTTTCTTCAGCTGCGTGTTTCCCCTTTGCACCTCCTCCGCTGTCGTAACCGCCTCGTCATACAACTGATCCGTCAACTCCGTTTGTTGTACCAGATGCTGCACCAACACATTTTGTAAACTTGAAATCTCCATCAAGGCCTTTTCCAGGCCGCGCACTTGATCGAGGGTGGAGGAGAACTCCTCAAGCATTGACTTGTTTTCAGATTCCAGAGCTTGAAGTTGTTGTGGTGTTAAAAGAGCCTCGAGTTCTTTGGCAGTAGTGTCGTCAGCTGGGGGTAATGTGGGCCCGGGAGAGTTGCGGTGCTGGGTTGCGAACACGGGTGTTGCATGAAGCATACTATTGATACAACATCAGTAATGGGCAGAACATATAAGCTTTTCAAAGCTTACCTCTTGCTCTTTTCAACCTGTCGCATAACTCGGATCTCTTGTTGCTCTTTCTGCATGCCACTAACTTTGGCCAGCTTTTGATTGAGGAACCAGGTCACACCAGATCGGTGCGCCGACAAGAGGTCGTTCATGTCTTCCTCTGTGGGGTCACGCAGCCATCGAGACACAAACCCCAACCTGTTCTCCAGGGCTGTTCTGCGTACTGTTTCACTTGTGTTAGACAGCTGTATGCCCCGGGGTTTATGCTGAGACGAACCTTGTTCTGCCTCCTCTAGCCGCCGTACTCGCTCCCACGATTGAGTCAAGATCATTCTGACCTCATAATCAATCTCATCCCTTTCCTTGTCCGTGAGATGCCGGATCTCAGACACCCCGGCGCCAGGCCTAAGTGCGGAGACTGATGTGCCATTTCCGCGGTGTGATCTTGAGGATGCAGTTGAGATGTTCAGGTATGCCTGGCGAACAGAAAGCAAGAAGTTCCTTAGATCTGAAATGTGCGCATACTATCACAACAGTCAGTATTGGGTGCATACAATGGGTCAAGGTACGCACAATCCGCCTTGCTTCTTTCATGTACTCATCCTCAGTAGGAACAAGCCCTGGATGGCGCTTCCGCTTGCGGACAGTCTGAGCCGAATCATGAGAGCTGGCTTGTTGGTGCTTCTGAACGAGCGATCGAAAAGTGGCCGTTAAGTCAGTCATGGAGGTTGGAGTTGTATGACACCGACGTTCTGCGGCTGCGAGACCCGACCTGTAACGTAGTTTCGTGTATATTCATTATACCCAGAACGAGCTGAATCACATCGTAACAGTTTTGGATGGATATCTAAAAAAGCCCTAGGGAATTAAATGCTCCATTGCAGTGAATCATATGTTTGGTTCCTGTATTACGTCGTACGGTGTGGGTTAACGGCTTACGCGGTTCACTCACGTACGAGGACCCTCGAGAAGGAAAAGAAACAGATACAACCACCATTATGTTCGCTCACCACCAATCGGCAACGGCCATGGAGCACTCTCACGCCAACCAGGCTCCCATTGAGCACAGATTCAAGTGCGTTTGCCTCCCATCCTCCTCTCACTCCACGCACTGACATGAGTAACGCAGCCCCTACACCGACAACGGTGGTACCATGCTCGCTATCGCCGGTGACGACTTTGCCGTCATTGCTGGTGACACCCGTTCGACGAGCGGCTACAACATTAACACCCGCTACCAACCCAAAGTGTTCGAAGTGGGGGACAACATCGTCGTCGGAGCGAACGGATTCGCCGCGGATGGCGAAACCCTCGTTCGTCGGATTGCTCAGAGAATAGAGGTAAGCAATACAGCAAGAAACGGCGAAGAATTGTCTTGCTAATGCTACTCACAGTGGTACCACCACACCCATAACAAGCCAATGGCGATCCAGTCCGCCGCTCGCCTGACACAGACTCTCCTCTACGGAAAGCGTTTCTTCCCATTTTACGTCCACACCATTATTGCAGGTCTCGACGCCGAGGGCCGAGGTGCAGTCTACTCCTTTGACCCCGTCGGCTCTTACGAGCGGGAACAATGTCGTGCTGCTGGTGCCGCTGCGTCTTTGATTATGCCCTTCCTCGACAACCAGGTGAACTTCAAGAACCAATACGTGCCAGGTACGGAAGGAAAGGAGCCAAGGGGTGTCACTGGTCTGCCATTGGACCGCGTCATCAGCTTGGTCAAGGATGCGTTCACCAGTGCGACGGAGAGGCATATCGAGGTCGGTGACGGATTGGAGATGTTGATTGTCACGAAGGATGGTGTCAGGACTGAGAGGTTCCCCTTGAAGAGGGATTAGGCGAGGAGAAGACGAGCTACATGTAGGAAGGATCGCATTATACCCGAGAAACGAAGAATACCATGATTGATTACATTCAAGATTTCTTTCGAGAGACTGGTAGAGATAAGATATACATCAACGCCATGAACACCAATAAATAACCCAAAGCCCGCTGTAAACCATGCAAATGCTGTGTTTTCTCCAATTGACTCAGACCACACACCTCACCCCCTCACACCTCATGCCATGCACGCTCATTGTTGATATTCACATCCATATGCTCATAGAGCAACCGCAGCCCCAGTCGGCAATGCCAACATCAACAACTGCGCCGCCAACTGCAAACTCCACAACCCAATCTTCTTAATCCTCCTCCTCCTCGCCTGATCATCCGTAACACTCTGCGCAAAAGCATCATACACCTCCGCGCTAACATCATCCATCAACCCCGAGTCCCACAACGTCCAGGAGCCGTCCCAGTCTGGAAGTGATTTGACGACTCGGCATTTTAGGGGGATGTAGGTGTGTTTTCGGTTTAGGTATGCAACGATGGGGCGAATGAGGGCGTAGTTTGTGTAGGAGAGGTCGTCGGTGAAGAGTGGGACGGCGGCTTTGACGTCGTTCAGCTGGATCCTGATGTCCATTGACACCAACGGGGTCGGCTCAAATTCCTCGACGACTGATTGAGGGGCGGGATCGACTTGTTGTTCGATATTCTCGACGATTTCGGACACGACTTGCCCGAAGTCGAGGTTTTCTACTTCTTCCGGTAGGACCATGTCGATTATGAAATCGACGTTTCCGGAAGTGATCCAGCCAAAGGGACCTTCGACGCCGCGGTTGAGGTGGTCGATGTTCATTGCGTCGATTCTGATTCTGTTGCTCTTCGTCACAATTTTCTTGCCGCCAATATTCCTTGATGGCTCGCCCGCTGAGGTGCTGAACAGCTGGCGAGGGTGGAGGGTAAATAGCGAGTTGTCGTATGAACCGGACATACTGTTTGCGCTGAGTAGGTCGTACATCAACCACTGCTTCCTCAATCTCGGCAAATCACACTGAAACACACTCATCGTAAACGGCCTGAACCCAGCCGGTTGTAGAATCGTAACCAACATATCCTTCATCTGGAATGACTCGAGCTCAAAATCTCCGGTATGGTGCGTATGCCTGAACGACTTCGGATCCATCGCCAGCAACTCATCGGACCAGTGAACATGCGTTCGGTCAACCACACCCCTCATCCCCAACACACTAACATCCCTTACCAAGCCCTTTCCATTCATCCACCTCGTAAAGCTTAGCGTGATGTCCACACTGTCGATAGTCAGGTCGAATTGCGTGTAGTTTCCATCATCTTCCTCCTCTCCGTCACCTTCGTTGCCTTGACTCTGTGCTGCCGCAGCCGCAGCAGCAGCCGCGACCGAACTCGACCCCTTCGTAACATTCTTTCCCCCTTTGCCATACCCACCCCTCCCCGGCCTCCGACTCACAAACACATTCCGAAAACTAATCGTACCATCCTTCCACTTCGGCACAATCGCGCTTTCAAAAACAATCGTCAACCCGGTTCCCTGACTAACATAATTCCCCAACGCGGTCGCCAGAGATTCTTGTGCGAAAACTGTGTTGGCTGCGAGGACTGCGAGGGACATAAAGCCTGTTGTGCCAACGACGATCCAGACAACATGGCCAAGCAAAATCCAGGTTAGAAAGGCGGAGATGTCATCGGCGCGCCAGGGGCGGATATCGCGCATGAGGGCCCATTTGAAGCGGATGCCGAAGCGGGAGAAGAAGGAGGTTGCTGCGGCGAGGAGTTCGTCTTTTGCTTGGCGGCGGGCGGCGGTGTGGAGGCGGGGGAGTGGTCGGCTGGCGTCGAGCATTGATCGAGGTGGTGGTGGTGGTGATTGTGACTCTCCGGTTGTTGATCCGTGTTTTGACTCCTTTTGCATCTCGTTCTCTTTAGGCTGCGACGATGATGTCGACATGTACCTCCTCCCGTAGCTTATTCTTTCATCCATCCGTGTCGATGCTGGCCATGTTGCTCTGCTGAGGATGACCGATCTCTCGACTGTTAATGTTCCTTCCTTTGATTGTATCGGACTTGGCTGCTGGCTATCACTACCAGACCATGCAATTCCGGTGAACACGAGATTCCTCTTCCTCACTAAAGAAGCAGGTCTGAATGGCAATGACAAGATCCGCCCATTGACTGCCGCCGCTCTCGATGCATTCGACACGAATGTAAACGTTCTCGTCGACATTGACTGCTGCAATCCTGATCCATTCCCCAAAACCTTCCCAATCCTCGCAAAGACGGCCCGATTCGCACCAACCCTTCCCATATCGCTACCAATCGGAGAAGCCGCCCCAAAGCGATGCAATGTTTCCCAGAATTTTGCGTTCATTGCTCCGTCATTTCTGCTACCTATACCGTTATCCTTCCTTACAATATGCTGATCTGGACGTCACCCTCTCAGTTTAAGCTCAGCTCCAGCCAGGGTTTTTGAGTGGCGCATGAAGCCTCACGTGCTGATAGCAAGGCAAACTGAAAAAATGCGCGATAGCAGTAACGAAGGTGAAGAGACCGACCGTGAAATATATCCCTACAAGATGGCTGCTCCGACTGCTGTTGCCAACAATGTTCACCTGAATGTCCAGGACGATGGTGAGCTTTTTTTCTCCGCAATTGATTGATCTGATCCGGGTCTCTAACGGTTCACTCCAGACGAACTTCTCATTGACGCCTCCGCAACTACCGCTCCCTCCACCTCTACCTCTGCTCCCGTTCCCACCGGTGACGAAATGGCCATTGATGAGGAAGGCCGTCCGCGCTTCGCCCCCGCCGCAAACAACGAAGCCCGCACCTCCGCCAAACCCATGACCCGCAAAGTCCCCGTCCCTCCACACAGAATGACACCCCTCAAAGCAACCTGGTCAAAAATCTATCCACCACTTGTCGAGCATCTTAAGTTGCAAGTACGGATGAACGTGAAGACGAGGAGTGTGGAGTTACGGACGTCGAAGCAGACCCCCGATAGTGGTAATTTGCAGAAGGGCGCAGACTTCATCCGTGCCTTCTCACTCGGTTTCGACGTCGACGATGCCATCGCACTATTGCGTATGGATGACCTCTACATCGACACCTTCGAAATCAAAGACGTCAAAACCCTCTCCGGCGACCACCTGTCCCGCGCAATCGGCCGTATCGCCGGTAAAGACGGTAAAACCAAATTCGCGATCGAGAATGCGAGTCGGACACGAGTCGTGTTGGCGGATACGAAGATCCATATTTTGGGGGGGTTCTCGAATATTAGGGTTGCGAAGGATGCGATTGTTAGTTTGATTTTGGGAAGTCCGCCTGGCAAGGTTATTCCTAATTGTAGGACTGTTGGGGCGAGGATGAAGGAGAGGTTCTAAACGGTGGGGTGAGGATTTTGGGACAATGTCCAGTTTAGCATTCTGTTTGGGTTCATTTTGCCGGCGCGCAATGGTTTTGGGTATTTTTCTCTAGCACACACTTTCTATACACAGGAACGTTTCCTCATTGCTCGTTGAAGTCCATCTTCTTATCAATGCACTGTAACACTGCTACGAGTGTGAGAATCTTACACGGTCAAGGTTATGACTTAGGAAAGTCCGTAGTACTGCCGCCGTAGACACAAGCACAAAAGCGATTTCCCGTGGCGAGTGAAAATTCTGTGTTCTGGCTTAACCAAATCTAGAAGTTAGGATACACTCATGGTCGTAGCACCAGTAGGAGTCGTCCCTCCAGTAGTCAAGTTCGCATTGCTGACATTCGCGGGCAGTGTAATCATGAAGATCTAGAACAGCGCCGTTAGCTATCAACCCTGAATCGTTATAAGTGATCTCTACTAACATCTCCCGTGGAATCCGAACTCACAAACATCCGCCCTTGACTATCAAACGCCAGCCCCACCGGTCTGAAGCATCCTGTAATACCCAAATCAGCGTCCGCCTTGACCTTCGGCCTTAGGTACTACCATTTGGACAAGCACTTATATCTGGGTTCCACAGCACGTCTTCATACCCAAACATATCCGTCAAATCAGCAACAGGCCCGAACCCACCCGTACTCGACGAGTTGGTGAACGGCACGCGGACGATCTTGTACCCCGTCGGTGGGGCGCGGTCCCAGCTTCCGTGAAAGGTGACGAAAGCTTGTGATTTGTTTGAGTTTGGGAGGAATTTGATATCGAGAGGGGCGGAGTGTGCTTGGAACGTCAGTCGAGGAGGGTTGGAGATGTTCGCGCAGGTCGTGTCGTTGAGCGTTGAGTTTGGTGAGAGGGCGAATTGGTCGCCGGTAGTGAAGTCTGTACCAGTGGGAAACTCGGAGGCATTGTAGACTGCGAAACAGTTTGGGTAACCATGGAAGCTGCCTGTTGGGTTGCTAATGGGACCGAGGTAGTTGAGCTTTTCGCCGGGGTTGTTCAGGTGGACGTCAGTTGAGGTACTGTTCGCGGTATAAGTGATGTCGTCCTGTAAGGAAAATGCGTCATTCGAGAATCCCTAGAGAACTTTCGCCTCTGCCTTACCGCACTATTTTCGACTGTCCACAACCCTCCCTCCCAGTCCTCGACAAGCCCCACATCATTTCTCAGGCCCCACCCCGCAATGATTCCATCATTTGTAAAATCGTAACCGTCATCTGGTAGGTTCGTCAAGTTGAACACTTTGACCATTGCACGTTGGTTATCCTCGACTGCAGCGCCTTCATCGAGGTTGGAGTTCGAACCACGGTTGATAACGAGAAGATCAGGGAAGACTGACGAGAGCAGGAGCGTACGAGTGTCATGATCCGCATTCGCCATATTACTCACCACCACCGTCCGATTCGTCAAGGTCAAATTCCCCCCATCCAAATCCCACGCCCACGTCGTATTGCTCGAACTCGCATAAACCTTGCCACCCGTTCCATCTCCACTCATGCTCACCGCAATGCCATGATTCAAGGTCGTATCATTCAACAAATTAAACACCCATCCCGCCGTCGAACAATTAGGAGAAATCGGGATGGCGATGATTCCGTATCCGCTGTTGGTGGCGAAGAGGATATCGGTAGAGTTGAGGGTTGCGATGGTTATCCCACGTGGGGAGTCGAGTTGGGCGAATTTGGAGATGGAGTAGCCGGGGGCGAGGGAGTAGGGGTGGGAGAAGTTGAGAGTCGGAGGGCAGGATTGGGCAGCAACCAGTGTGATAAGGCTGAGCATGCTAACGACCAGATAGATCAATTGCAAGTGCATTGTCAACTAGCTGATGGTTGGGCATGGTATTGCAGCTCATGTCTTCCCGCAGCTGCAATTGGTTGAAGGTGTTGAAGCAGTGACCTCATGCCACTCCGAGTTGATCAAGGATCCCCGATTCCCGGTCATCGACGGGAACCCTGCTCATACGGGCCGCTTCCGGTGGATCACATGTTCTGCAGACATCAACGTTGGGTTTCCCAGGCTCCTCAGAACCGTCTTTGTTCTTCAAATGTAGCCCAAAAACTTGCAATACAAGGCGTTACGTCGGTAACAACTTCCTCCTCATTCTGATCGGCCCTCTAATCTCCTCTAAGCCGACCTCCACGATCTGGCCCTTCTGCATCACCTCCAACTCGCCCTGGTCCCTCATCTCAAACACGACCTTCCGCGTCGCATCCATATAGTCTCTCCACTCCGTTCGTTCCGTTAACCGTCCCTCTTTCGCCAGTCTTCGAGGTACCTCCGAAGGACACCGCGTCGACTCCGGCGAACGAGTGGAGTCGACCAATTCCACGATGGTCTCCCGCAGCACCTCCTCCGAAATGGGGCCGGCACCGGTTTCAGAGGACATAACCCTGAGTTAAACAGCAATCCCCGGAGCAGAGGAAACGACCTCCGTCTATGGCTGACTTGGATTTATCAGGGATCCGTAGCTGAACCACACTTGCAAGCGTGCTTAAATCTCCGAGCGGTCACTTCGAAATCGAGGACCCAGCAACTGAGATTGGATGGTGGGGGCTGAATGACAATGCAGCAATGCAAAAAACGCCGTGCTCGGTTGGGCCTTCCCTCTCTATAAAACACGTCTCGAGGGTGAAACTCGAAGGACTTGGACGTGGAAAAGGAAGCGGTAATTAAGAAGATTAAGATTGAGCTTAAGCTTTGCCGATCTATCACGATCATGACGTCAAAGATACTTCTAGGTCAATTCTAGGGTGGATTGGTAAGCAAATCCCGCAGAAATAAATCCTCCTTGATCCTCTCGACATCACCACCAAGGTTACCTCTATCCCCTCCGAGTATCCAATGACAATGTCGATTCCCAAAACTGCAAAGGCCTGCGTTATCGAGGCGGCTAAGGCTCCGTTCAAGATTGTCGAGCGCGAGGTCGAACAGCCGAAGCAGGGCGAAATCTTGATCAAGACCCTCGCTTGCGGTGTCTGCCACTCCGACTCTATCGTCAAGGAGGGCTACTGGCCAGTTCCTTGCCCCGTTATCCCCGGCCATGAGATCATCGGCCGCGTCGTCGCCGTCGGTCCCGAGGAGAAGCGCTGGAAGGTCGGACAGATCGTCGGTGGAGGATGGCACGGAGGACAGTGTTTCGCTTGTGATAACTGCCGTGTTGGGTCTTTCACGACTTGTGAGAATGGAACCGTGAACGGTATCTTCAAGGATGGTGGCTATGCTGAGTACTGCTGCCTCCGCTCAGAGGCTGTCGTTGCCATTCCGGATGGCATGTCTTACACTGAGGCTGCCCCGTTGTTGTGCGCTGGTGTCACTACTTACAACTCTCTCCGTAACACTGGAGCCAAGGCTGGTGACTTGGTTGCTGTTCAGGGTATTGGAGGATTGGGACACTTGGGTGTCCAGTTCGCTAACAAGATGGGTTTCCGCGTCGCTGCTCTCTCCGCTGGATCGGCCAAAGAGCAGCTCGCGAAGGAGTTGGGTGCGCACTACTACATCGACGGATCTAAGGTCGACCAGGTCGAGGAACTCCAGAAGTTGGGTGGAGCTAAGGTCATCATGTGTACCGCTCCTCACCCCGAGTCCATCTCCCCTCTCGTCGGTGGTCTGTGCACTGATGGTACGATCCTCATCCTCGCTGCTACCGGTAACATCACTTTCGACACCACCGCCATGATCCAGAAGCGCGCGAAGATTATGGCTTGGCCTTCTGGTCATGCCAAGGACTCTGAGGAGACTTGTGAGTTTGCCAAGATTGCGGGTGTCAAGACGAAGGTTGAGGAGTTCCCTTTCACCGTTGAGGGTATTGAGGAGGCTTACACCAGGATGATGGAGAACAAGGTCAGGTTTAGATCCGTTATCAAGTTTGACGAGTAAGGTGGACAAAGCAGGAGATGTACGATAAAACCAGATGGTATTGATAAGAAAAGGAGAGCCGGCCGTCCACGCTCCAGAACCAAACTTTTGGAAAAGGAATTTCCAAGCCATACCTCGGCTGTATGTAATGGATTTTCCGGCACCGAGCTCGCGTGTGAACGCTAACGCTTCAAGGCTCCCCGACGCTGGCGCCTCCGAATGAACTCACCAACGCGAACGACCTGAACAACACGAGATGGTCAATTTAACGGGTTCTGGACCTTTTGAGATCCGCATTCTTCAAAAGGGATGATCTATCGCCTATCGTGGTTTTTTGCCTTCTAGGCCAGCCGAACGCAGCGACGATCCCCAACGGCTCAGATCATGGCCAAGGCAAAAACCAATAAACGTAATAGCTCAACCTTTGTTGCGAAGGATTTGTAATCAACCTCTTACTTCACATGACCTCCAAAGCGCAGCATCTTCACACCAGAGTCCATCTCCGACCCCGAAGCATCATCTCGATCGGCCACAGCGGCGCGCACACCCGAAATCCATGGTCCCAAAACCTCGATCCCAGCCTCAGACTTTCTCACGAGATCTAGATTCGCCTGTTTTCACCTGGATCTCACAGACACGAGCCCGCACGATTGCAAAACGAGCAATGTTAACCCTTATATATCTCCTAGCCCCAGATCTCGTGTTTGGCCAGCTGAGGCGATAGTTCCGGGGCACACGCAAACGGGTCTTCATCTCGTCTGAGTGGGGCAAGGCCAGCCGCGCGCGCATTGATCTCTTCGCCTATGCTGCTCGAATTCCGTCCCGTTAACGTTGAAAACCTAGAAAGGCAACGCTCCATGATCCCCCAGACCATAGCTACAGAAAGACTCGACCCCTAGGCCTGCAAATAGCGACTCACGCAAATCCCGAGAAATCCAGGTTCTAGCCAACTCAGCTTGTCGAACCTCAACGGTCCAACGCCCGCGCGTCTCAGCCAGCTGATGTCGCAGCACTGCGCCGCGCGTAACAAATGTGGACTTGGAGTTCTGCCACGGCCTTTGGGGCTTCGGTGTGGCACAACCCAGAAGCGCAGTTAGGCGGGATCGGAGACAATGGAGAGACAGTTAGTCGAATGCAAGGGTGGGGACCTTTGTAGGTGAACAGCAGCTGTTATTGCTACGGGATATAGTAGGTAGTGATAGCTAGAGGTGCAGGTGTGAGAGATCACTGCTTCTTTTCCTGGTGCTCCTTGAACATCTTCTCACACTCCCACTCCACGTACTTCCACACCTCCTCCTCACTGTCCAACTCTGGTTTCCATCCCAAGACCTTTCTCGTCTTCTCCGCGACACAACGGGAGTTACCGCCGGTAAAGTACATTGCCTCCTTGAACCCAAATCCATCGATGACTTCTTGCTCGGTGTGCTTGGGGTAAACCTTCTCGTCGTCGACGGCACCGAGGGCATGGAGTTTCTTAGCGACGAACTGGGAGACCTCGCCCCAGTTGTGTTGACCAGTCTCGGCAAACCAATAGCCTGCCTCACCAGTGTTCTTCATGACTTCGGGATTGTCGGAGAGGAGCTTGGAGAGGAGAATGGTGTAGACGGGGACGAGGTCCTTGATGTGGACGTTTGACCAGACATTCTTGCCGTCGCCGACTTGAGGAGTCTTCCGGCGCTCGATGGCGGAGCGGATCACGAGCGGAATCTGGATGGAACGGCGGTTGAAGGCGCCAGTACCCTCGCCGTATATACAGGGAGGAGTAATCATGGCCAATGTGTAGGAGAATGCCTCGCGGACAAGGACAGTGTCGACGTGACGGTGAGGTTGGGATTCGGGAAGAGCGGTGAGAGAAGCGGTATCGGCATCGCTGTAGATCTTGTCGGAGACGAATTGGCCGTTTGCGGTGTCGGAGAGGATTCCGGTTCCGGAGGTTTGGATGTAGATTCCTTTCTTGCCGGTCTCTTGGAGTTTCTGTTTCAATCCGGCAATGATTGCTTGGGCTTCGCCGAGGTGGTCGCAATCGGCAACTTCGATTGTGACGTCGTGCTCTTTGGCGGCCGTGGTAATGAGGTCGGCGGAGTCAAGGGTGCCAATGAGGGGCTCGACGCCGAGGTCCTTGAGCTTCTTGGCTTTGTCTTCGGAGCGGACGAGAGCGGAGATCTTGTAGGATTTGTTCTCCAGGAGGGCGGCAAGGACTGATCCGCCGATGTAGCCAGTTGCTCCGGTGATGAAGATGGTAGTAGACATGTTCGTTGTTGGTTGATGGTGTTGCAATTGCGTGGGATCAGGATACATTTCATCATTGGCCGGGTGATTAGTAAGTCCATTTTAATTCAATCCTCGGTAGTTTAAATCAGAACGCAATTTCAGGCACGTTCGCGGCTAAGACACCCGCACGCCTCCACCTTGATCTAGACCACACAACCGCCCAGATGAAGAAAGAACGACCTGGACACGGTTGCACGGCACTACACGGACGCGAACTGGGGGGTCGGACGAAGCGGCTATCCCGTATTATATGCCCCAGCATCCACCACGCCAACAGCAACGGCCAGCATTCACTCCCACTGCGATGCCACCATTCACTGCAGCTGAGGCGAGAATGGAGTCGGCAGAGGAGCATTACCCCCGCGATTCGATCGTGATCACCTCTCCCTTCAGCCCGCACGAGATCTTCCCCGAGGCAACCCATTTTCCGCCCGTTCACCAGCATTTACCCGCCGATACCGCTCTTGCGAAGTCTCCGGCCGCTTACCTCTCCACCGTCGTTCCGATATCAGATTCCCAGCTCAATCATGCCATCGCCACTGTGAAGGCAAAACTGCGTCAACTACATGGTCCGAGGTTTTGGGGTGCGTTGGTTGAAAGTATGAATACGTTGTTGGATGGTCAGTATTGTTTTCTGGCGAAGAGGTTGGATACGGCGAGTGTGAAGAGTTATCACGGTCCCAAGCTTGGCGCGGAGGGCTCGTGTATTATGGCAATTGCGACACACTACCGACTCGACGATACACGGAACGGAATTATGGATTTATATGCGTACGCTGGGTATAAATGCCCATGTGCATTCATGTGCCATGGGCGGACGTTGTTGATTCCGCATGGGATGAGCGCAACGTTCCCGGAGAATCCCAATGTGGGCTTGTTTGCTCCAGATGGGACACCAGAGGCATATATGGCTGTTCCGTTGTGGGTTGATGGAGTCAATGTTGGGCATATATCCGTGTTGTGGACGAAGGAGGGGTTGGAGAGGAGCGTGAAGAGGGATGGAGGTGTTGGTGGATGGGGACGGAAAGAGTTGGTGTTGCAGTGTTTTGTGGAGGTTGCGGCACAGAGGCTTACGAGCGAGGCATTCGGCAATGAGGACTCACTACGCGCGGCACTGGACAATGCGGCAACCGTGCCCACTGAGGGCGGTAACCTTACCAAGGAAGCACTGTCGAAGGCACAGCAGGAACGAGAGGCGATGGAGGCTCGGAACCTGGAGAGGCCTATAACTCCGACAAGCGATGGTGACGACAGCTACCTTCCGATCATCGCCCCGTTGGCCAGCAACATGTCTCACGAAATCCGCACACCACTGCAGGGTGTTATTGGACTCCTCGACGTCCTCTTCGCCTCCCTTCCCAAATCATCATGTCCACAACCGGCAACTGAAACCGAAGGAACCGTTGGAGAAGGTTTGGAGAAATTGGTTGAAGACACGGAGGCGGCAAAGGGTGTTGTCCAGGATGAGAATGTGGAGAAATTAATTGCGACAATACAGACCAGCGCGAATCATCTGGTCAAGTTGATGGATAACATGAATGAGTTTATGCAGATGGAGACGCAGCCCAGGATGGCTATCGAGAAGGCACGATGTTTACGACGAACGAGGGCTGTGACGCCGGAAATGATGCAGGTGGATGGTGTCGCATGTAAGGAGGTTGTTCCGAGCCCGAAGAAGAGGAAGACGGAGACTTCGGATAATGTCAAGGCTGATGGGGATGCTGAGGCTGATGAGGGTGAGATGTGCTCGAAGAGGAGGAAGGTCGTGAATGAAGCGCTCGTTGTGAATACCAGGCCGATGTGGTTGACGACGCCTACGGATGTATTAAGTAGTCCGGTCGCGAGTCCGAGGAAGGTTGATAGGGTGCGGGTGGAGATTGTCGTGCGTGATGTGTTGAGAGAGGTGTTGGAGTCTGCTGAGGTCGTTATGCGATGGGGCCGAAATGCCATTCCGTCCGCGGATCAGTGCAGCATTAAGTTGAGCGGCGATGGGAAGGCATTGGTTGTGCAGTGGGAGGTACAGACGGATCTGGAAATGATGGTTGATCGCGGGAGGTTGAAGCAGAGTCTTTCCTACTTGGTGCACAACGCATTCAAGTTCACCACTACCGGATCTATCACTATCTCCGCCTCCACCTCCGCCGACAATATTGTCTTCTTGGTCAAAGATACCGGTGTCGGCATCCCCGCTCCAGCACGCGAGCGCTTGTTCCAACCCTTTTCACAGGCGGATAAGACGTTGACGAGAGCGGTCGATGGAGCAGGGTTCGGGTTGGTGTTGGCAAAGAGGTTGGGTGAGGTCTTGGGTGGTGAGTGTGAGTGTGTTGAGAGTGTTGAGGGTAGTGGGAGTGTGTTTAGGTTGTCAGTGCCGACTAATGCCCCCAAGCAAGTCGCTCCGGTTCCTCAGGGCCCGGTGCCGAGGACGCCGGACTTGGTGAGGGCGGCTGTTCCGGAAAAGATGGGGGTTGATGCCAAGCAGAAGGTGAAGGCGATGATTGTGCCGCAGGCTGCGGGGCAGAAGTCGTTCAACCCGAAGTTGGCTGAGACTTATCCTATGCGTATTCTTATTGCTGAGGATAATGCCATCAACCGTCGTATGGCTGCCAGCATGCTCTACAAGCTGGGATATGCTAAGGACAAGGTTCTTTTGGCTGAAAACGGAAAGGAGGCTGCCGAGAAGTACGAGCATGCCATCCAGAACGGCCAGGACATCTCGCTTGTGTTGATGGATTGCTGGATGCCTGTTATGGATGGCTTTGAATCCACGAGGAGAATCTTGGATGTCGACGCCAAGTCCGGCTTGCAGGGAACAAAGATCGTCGCCATTACTGCCGACGCAATGAAGGAGAACTTGCAGAGAACGAGTGAGTGTGGAATGAGCGGATACGTACTCAAGCCGTTCAGAATCAGGGATATCGAGGATGTGATTGTTGGTTTATTCTGAGTCTCGGCTTCGCATTTTACTAAATTTGAGGGAGGCGCAAGTCTGGGTGGAGGGATGTTGGGAGCATAGACGGCGTTTATATGTCTTATTTTCTGCTATATCTTGATTGTTTTTGGGAAGGTTACCATATCATTCTTCGAATTTTTAGGGACTACGGAGTGGGTTGGGTTCGTGATGGAGCTTGAGCTCCATTGTGTGAGTGGGGTGGGATTGGAAGACGCATACACGTTGGAATAGGATATCTATAGAGCCAGCTGTGATGTGGGAGAATATATCATCATTAATATCTCAAGTTTGAGTTGTTGAACAGACATGATCCTGTGCTGTATACTACGAATTCACGCTTATACGCGTTTGTACACAATTGCAAATTGGAAGGCACGTATGGTCACTTGAGTGTTCGAATTCATAGTTCAATTGAGAACGCAAACGACAAAACACATAATCTTTCACCGTTTGAATTTTCTGTACCTCGATGACTTCCTGATGCTGGCGGTGCCGTAGGCCTAGGCTCTAGCGCCAGCGGGGCCGTGCGACTACAACTGCGCCGCAGGTTTGTACGATGGCCAGCATGTATTGCCATCTCAAGAGCAACTCACTTACCACCACAATAACCATTGCTCTTAAGCAAACTCAAGCAGAGAGAAGGCAGCAGCAGAAAGCTCGGAATCAGCCGAAACCTGAGCATGTGGAGTCCAAGGCCCCTGAACCTGAGCCCTTAAAGTTCGGCAGCGCTCTGCCAGCAATCCCAGCACTTATCGTCGATGTTCGATCCACTCTCCAACACCTCTGGAAGTTCAGGGTACCCGGTATTATCAGCATATATGCACCAAGTCATAAGGATTCACGCGCTACATACTGGGCAAGCCTCGAGCTCGTAAAACATGTCGTCTGTGATGCTTTGACCGAAGACAAGAAGCTCGGCTTGATGTATGAGATGCTCAGCCGTGGCCTCTTGATAAACCCGCTCAGGAATTAATGATGCCCCGTCATGAATACATGCAGTACTTTCGCCAATACTATCAGTGTATGACCACCAGTGCTTCGGACAGAGCCAAGGCGCTGTTCGATTGGGAGCCTTAGATGATCGCGATGATCCGGTAGTTGTGAATGTCATAGAGGGTGCTAGGTCCGACTTCTGCTCTTGGAATCCCATTCTGGAGATGCCGGCGTTGTGGGTTCCTACGATGCCTTACGCCGGAGATGCGTGTGAAAGCGCCCAGTTGACAATCATGATGCTCATAGCAGACGAGGCTGTGCAAGAAGCTCAACTTATCAAGAACCTCGTCAACAAACTCTTTACTTGGGCCGTCCCGTTTGCCACCGCGTTAAACAGGATTGTTGGGACGGGCAAAGACTCGTTGAAGTTGGAAGTGGATTTGGATACTGGGTAAGTTTGCTGGAGAAGTTCGGCGCGGATGTGGTTGCTTGTGACGACCATTCAGACAAACGTGAGCATTGAATTCCTTTCTTGCGCATGAGAAACTCACATGCTGTTAGCCTCAATCAACACTCAAGTGGGCAGGTTCTTCCCGAACACCGTTCACATGAAAGCCTCCAGATTCATTACAAAACACAACACAACAGGTTCGCTGACCGCAGTCTCCTTATCTGTTGGCCCCGTATGGAAGTACGCAAGGATGAGACGCCGATCTTTGCTGGCAACGATATGCACAAGGCTCTCCAGGCTTTCCGTGGACCGTACTTTGTTCTTTGTCGGTGAAATTGATGGATGTACGTTCGACATGGATGCTTGGATGAAAAAGTATGGTCAAGATTGGGATGAAGTTGAGGTGGCAGAGATCCTAACGTTCTATTTGCTGCATGACTGTTTGAGAGTTTATAAACGGAAGACGGGGGAGGAGCAAAATGGTGCGGAGGTGTGAGATCAGTTTCGCCATGGGAGGTTCTTAAGAGGGTTCGGCTGATACGCTTGAAGACCCTATATATCCTTAGGTATACTTTGTTTGTATCCTTAACCTTACAATTGAAAGGAAGAGTCAAACTGCCCACGCCTATCTCCTATGGACAGGTTCACCGTCCGCGCGCGCACGGAACGATCTGCTCGGTACGTCTCGTCTACTGCTGTGTGCAAAATTCTTGACGCGGCGCATTTTACCGCCTATCTGCGCGGGGATAGTTTCATGAACCAGCCCATCTTCATAGACAAGGCTTGGGAGGGCGATTTCAGGGGAGACATTGATATATCAGACTCTTAGGAATCGATAGATGTCCTCGAAACGCGTGTAGTACCGTCTCTTATAGAGTTGTGACATTAAGGAAGGTTTCGGCATAGGTGCATAATGTTGCATGAACATGCATGAAAGCAACGAAAACACTCTCTGGACCCACAAACCTCAAAACCTGTTAGAATCAAAGAAACCACACGTAGAACTTGTTCATCTAAGCTCCCTCTATCTCATGGAACCCGGAGCTGCATCCCTAGTGGCTTCCAGGGTCCGTTTCTTTCTTAAACCTGAAACCACCTTTTCAGCATGAAGCGACTGAGGGAGGCCTTGTGGCCCAAAACCGGTGGCACGACGTGATTGCTAAGGATAGGTATGATCATTTTGAACCCTTACTCGACCTCCGAGGCCTTTATCTATGTTGTTTTAGGGGTTTTTGTCATATGGAGTTTGCGATTCGCGCGCACATGGGAAAGTTACGTCAAGAATTTTGCACACAGTAGTAAAATGACCGAAGTCGTATCTTGCACTGCAGGAGATGCGGAATACGCGGATATCCGTCCGCTAAGAAAGCTTTGGCCATGGCCGTGCCAAAATCATTATCTGATCACGAAAGCAAGGGAGGTCCTTGGACAATGCAGAATGATGGGTTCTGATCTCTGTTGTCAGCAGCCGATTCACTGATTTACTGAACGACCATAGGGATCGTCAGCCGAAGCTCATCGAGGACATGGGCATCATCAACGCCCAGTACGGTTCCATCACGGCATGCACTACCGTCCTCGCCTCGGTGATGACCATCTTCTCCGGACTCTTCACGGATACAATGGGTCAGACAATTGCCGGGATTGTGTTTACCTCTTTCAGTGCACTCGCCGCGATACTGTCTGCCGTGGCGATTCGTCAGGAGTCGTATGGGGTTCTGATTGCGGCGAATGTGATTTCTGCTTTTGGAGGTACACCCGGAGTATTGTTGCAAGAGTCCATCGTATCGCTTTGGTTCGTGAAGGGGAACATCATGTTTGCCATGGCTATCTCGTTGATCAGCGTCAAACTTGCTGCATTCATTACCACGGTTATGATGAACCCCTTTGCCGATTGGACCGGGTCCTACGGGGATAACTACTGGTTGGCAAGAGGATTCTGTGGGCTCAGTTTGGCATTTGCCATCGGCTATGCCATCTTGTTACAAAAGGCCAAGCAAACGGAAGTCTTCGCTTTCAGGAAACTCGAATGGAGACACGTATGTGCCAAGCTCCGCCTTACTTGGATGGACCTCTGCAAGTCCAATTGTGGCCATGCTTGTCGAGGCTATCCCCTGGAGTATTGGAAATGTCCTCGTTGTTAGCTCCGTAGCGCTCCTTGTGCCTATGGAAGGAGTCTTCACTGCTCTTTCGTTGCAGAAGATCGCAAACGATGCGGGACAGTCCGTCCTCGATATCATTGCGGGTATCATCCAGGATCACACGCCTGACCAAGGATATCAGTGTGCTTTATTGTTTTGGATCCTATTAGGAGGAGTCGGTGCGATCGTGGGAGTGCTTCTCGGAATTAGCGATATCTTCACGTCCGAGAAGATCTTGACACTCAATGACAAAAGCAGAAAGGAACGCATCTATAGGCATGACTTGTGATCGCGAGTTGGGTTTTGGAGGAATACCCTTAGTGAGTTCGCTTTCTTTTTTAGACCCTTAGACGCTGATGCCCATCGACTGACAACTGAAGTCCCTCTTTTCCGTGCCGTCACTGCCGTTCATCGCGATTTCTTGCTCCCCGCGTCATCGTCATCGGCTCCATATTTCTCATTCCCAATTCTCACCAGCTCTTCCCTCGCCATCTTGCCTAGTGCCTTCACCGTCTTCTCATCTATCGGTGCCGTCGCCGCTCCATCTGTCTCGTGTTTGCGCTGTACCGCCGTCGCCGGACGAACCCCTTGGAGCTTCCCCTGAAGACGTTGCGAACACTCAAAGATGCCAATAAGACCACGCTCGTATCCATCGCACAACTCAACCGCTCTGCAAAACTCCTTCATTGCCAAGGCATAATCACCCATCTGTAATGCAAGCTCTGCGTATCGTGCAGCAACTGTATGCGCATGCGGGTTGAGCACCAGTAGTTCCTCCAAACAGAACGCGGCTTGTTGGTGCATTCTAAGCTGGATGTAAAGTTCGGCGACTTCTGACCATGCTTCGGAGTCATTCGGTACCGAGTCCAGGAGCTTTGTTAAGACTGTCACGGCCTCCTCAGGCTTCCCGGTTGATTTGAATAGTGCTGCGCGGCGCTTCATCACGGGCTATGAACGATGTCAGCATGGCTGGGGAAGTCTAGCGCATCGCACATACCACATTCGATTCGTCCTCCTTGAGCATCTCGTCATAGTAGTCAAACGCCTCCTGAATCTTATCTTGTGCTTCCAACAATAATCCCCGTAGAGCGATGATCTTAGGACTCGTAGGGAATCGGTCACTCAGTCGCGTTAAGCATGTCTGATACACATCTGTCAGCCAAACCATCGTGGCAGTCTCTGTGCACAACGCGCACCGATGCGAAGACATCATCTCCAACCTCAAGAGCAGCAAGGAAGGCTTGTTCATAGATAGCCCAAGCTGTGTGCAAACACGTTAGCGAACCGCTGCATGCGCGTTTACTGCCTCGTCTGTTTACACACCTTCATCTGCAGCCCTTCTGATACCCCCTGAAGCAATTAAAGGTCGGCTCAATTGCACAACAATGTCTGCATCGCTCGTAGGAGTCGTTCTTAGAGTCCTTAACTTGACAATCACGGTAGACATGTCGTTATGCTTGTTGGTGATTCCAGTCGTACGTCAACGCGATACGTCCTAGGAGCTGCGGCTACTGCCAGGTGTCGCAGGGTGTACGCAGGTCGTCTGGAGGGCCGTTCAGAATACGGCATGCCTCTTAAGAAAACTTGTGAACGTTGATTTCAATAACTTGTTTTCTTTAGGTGTTGGCAAGCCAGTCCTTTCACCCAACACTGTGACCGTGCAGTTCCGTGAGAGCAAATGGTGGGAGGACCTTTGCAGTCGTATAAAAATTAGGAACACGAGGTCTATAGGGCATCCTCTTCCATAGTTAGCCCCTTCATGCCATCTGATCCAGCAGAAGCCACCGAGACCGCACAGTTTCTTGCTGCCTCCCTCGATCCCTTCCATGCTGTCTCTTCTCCACACATTTCAGCACATGAAGCAAATGACCTCTTTTCCGTCTCACAAACAGCGCAAATAACGCTGCGGCAACCAAAACCACCACTGCACTGGCCGTCGCCGGATACCCAAACTGCTCAGGGCGAGAGAAGACGATGGTCATGACGTAGGAGAGGAGCTCGAAGAAATTCTGGAAGGCAGCTTCGCTGGAGGAGAAGGAGCCTCTGGCATCGCCCTCAACTTCCTGATATTTATTATTAGCAAACAAACACGGGGAGGAATGAGGAGAGAGTCACAAACCTCCTGGATCAACGTCTGCGCACACAAATCAAACCCCCACAACCCAAGCCTACTAACAATAACCCCCACAATCAACCCAAACGCCCCCCACCACTCCTTCCCCTTCCCCGAGTTCCCCATCCCATGAAACAACCCCACAGCCCCCACCAACGCTATACTCTGCCACGTAATACTCCACAACCCAGCCCTTATCGGTCCGACTTTGCGCATGGCGAAAGGCGCGAACCATGTGGCCGATATCTCAACGGTGACGGAGACGGTGCGAAGGGCGGCGATGAGTAGGGTTGAGAAGGAGGAGGCGCGGAGGTAGGCAACCATGTGGCCGGCGAAGGAGAGGACGGTGAAGTGAAGGAGGGCGAGTGAGAAGGAGGGGAGGAACATGGGGTGGCGTGTGTAGGATATCAGTTGATCTCCAAGCTCCTTGACGTACGCCACATATGACAACGTTGACGCTGACTTGTCTTCTTCGACGGGGGCAGCATCCTGCCGCTGGAGCTCCGGCACCGCATTGTATACCTGCGCACCATGGTAAGTAACTGTTCGAGCGAAATTGATGACTCCAGATACCATTGCAATGGCAAAGTACTCAATAAATAGAGAGACGATGTTCATGCCCAACGTCACCAGTACCGCCAACCTGGTGGACGATGCATCGATGAAGCTGATCGCAAGAGGAGCGAGGAGCTTGGCGATGAGGTCCATGCGCCGCGTCTGAGAATTCAGCGCTTCACAGCGAACTTGTCAGCACAAACCCGGCATGAAGATGACAGATTTCTTACCTTGAAGACTCGGCTCATGTTGTCCAGCGATCACAACAACCTGACATCGTGTAAGCTCAATGCTCGCCATCTTGCCACACAACGGCTTACCCAGTCTCTCTCCACTGCAATCGTATTCATGATCGATGAAACTTTCTCAACGCATGCCAATACAGCCAATGCCGACATGAGCACGCCAGTCACTGGCCCAGAACGCGTAGGCCATGTCAAGAGTATCCAAAAACATAGACATGATAAAGCAACTGGGATCCGTTGGAGCCCTGTAGCAAACGTTAGCTACACCCAAAGACCTGAAAAGGACCCGCATACCGATTGATAACCTCACCACCTTCAGCCGATCCGTCCGATCAATATACTTCCCAGCTGCCGGCGCAAGCAGCACCGCCGCTAATCCTCTGATCAACGCGTAGATCGAAGGTTGTAGCAGATTACCGGGAAAGATCACAGCGATGGTGATGACGGCTTGGAACTCGAATAGCCGGCTTTGCCAGGTCGATAGGAAGTGTGACACATAGAGCTTCCAACGGATACTCGTTGGTACGGCGTCGTTGAAGGCGTCTCGCGGTTCCTCGGTCGCTTCGCCACCATCTCGCAGCAGTGGAGCCTCTAATCGTTCATTCTCCATATCCACGACCGACATCGCTGTAGACAAGAAGAACGCTTGGATCTCCTTCGAGTTGTAACGAAGATTGTGGCTATGCTCATACGGGCTTAAAGATGCGCTAATCGATAACGGAATTTAAGCCCGGCATTTCGTACAAGACGGGGTAACGAGATTAATTGCTCTGTAGATGCCTCTGAAAATATCAAACGCCTTCACCCAAGCCCATGATCCTTGTATGGTTTCCAAAGATCATAACCTATACGTCAGATTCCGCGATGCCGCCAGCGGCCCTTGATTCAGCCGCTCCTGCTCGAAGCTCACGCTTTACCTCCCTCTCCCCCCGTTCATCAACATCAGTGCGTCGTCGCTTCATTTCGTTTCCGCCGAAGAAGCAACTCCAAAGATCCTTGTTGGCAACGACTTCACCACCAGCAGTAACGAGCTTCTTCAAATTCGCCTGTTTTTCTCTTTTCTCCGCATCTTCCAAGGCAGCATCAGAAGACTTGCCTCTATTCTGAAGTCTCCGTTTTGTGGAGAGATCGAGGATCTTCTCCTCCACTGTGCCATGCACTGTGTAGAGCCAGACCCATGTGTCCTTGGTCTGTCCGATACGATGCACACGCGAGATTGCCTGCAACTCAATCGCAGAATTGACAAAAGGCTCGCACAGAAAGACATTACTGGCAACATTCAACGTCAACCCCGCGCTCTGACTCCGTGCGTGAAGCATAAACACCTCCAGATCAGGTTCCTCATTGAACCGCTGCACAAGCTCTCCTGCCGTCACCTTCGCCGGCTTCCGATCAAGACGGACGTTCTTGATGTCATTATGTTCAAGTGCTCGTTGAATAACATCAAGCATGTCGCTCCATTGCGAAAAGATGATACTCTTGCTGTTTTTCGGCTGCTTCCACCTGATCCACAGCAGATGCCGAACGATCATATCGATCTTCGAACCATATGAATCACTGACAAGTTTCATACTCTTGATCTCCTGAAGCATCTCTGGATCAACTTTTGCGTAGATCGACTGCGCAAAAGCTTGGTCCTCTTCGTTTTCCATCCATCCAGGAGCAGATGCTTGAGAAACACGCCGGGTACGGTACGTGATGTTTTGCGTATCTCGTACGGAGAGCTTGGTTTTGCACGCGGGACAAGTAGCGTGCTGTTTTCGCCAGAGCGTCAGACATTCCTTGCAGAAGAGATGTCCGCATCCTGTAATGACACCAGTCTCGAAGGAATCTTGACAAATGATACAGATCCTCTCAGCCTCGGAGTCATCGTCTGCAGAGTTTTGTAGATGCAGCAGGTAACGATGTCGTGATTGAGTCGCCGCAATGGTGTCCGGGAGCTTTTTGATAGTCCCATCCAGCTTCTTCCTAGAGTCCGCCTCCTTTCTCGGGTCAGGGTTGGGTTCATATGACAGAACCGAATCCGAAATGACCTGCAACTGAGCAAAGTAGTCGACCCTAGCGTTGTAAACCCTGTTGAAGTGAACGAATTCGTTCTCCAACTTATTGCAAGCAGTGAGCTGATCCTGAATGACCTTGTGGAGACGGGTCACCTCCTTAGCAGCGATCTCACGTTCGAGGTTGCGGCCTTGGCCCTCGCCACCGCCAAGCATATTGTCGCGAGCGATCTCGCGGAACTCATTCCTGATGGCTTGCAAAGAACCCAGATGAAGAGGCAGTCGAGCTTTCTCGGCGTCCGCTTTAAGCTGCTGCATAATCTCCGACTCCTCCTCTTCTCTCGATGTCGCAGCCTGGGGTCCACTGATAAAGCCATTCAAAGAGTGCACACGCCACGCAAGAGACCTGACAAGGACCGCGAGAAGACAAGAACACTCAGCAGCGACGTCGAGCGAGTTCGTGTACTCCTCTCCAGTCGCATCCTGAAAGTCTTCCTGATCAACCAGAGGGCCAGTAAGTAGCTCCACCATCCGGTTCCTCCAGTCATCCATCACATTTGCCTGTTCATTCAGGGCTTCGCAAAGCTCCTGCAGACGTTCGAAGATGTGACGTGACTTGAATCCACCAGTCAACTGCGACTGTAACATCTCTGGAATCTCGGGAAAGTCCTGTTCAGCAGCCTTTTGTTTCAAACCTGTGATGTAGCGATTTGCGAGGCGTTCCGGGGCTTGCAACATCCTGGAACGTACGACCTTGGCTTCCTCGTAATATTTCGATTCTTTCTCTTCGTCTTTAATCTCCTCCTGAAAGTACGCTGTAGCGATGAAGAACAGAAGTCGGTGTTCAGCTTCCAACCACCCACGCAGCCTAGCCTTTGACGCGGTGTATCGCATCTTATCACCCGCCTCGAAGCCCTCGAGATCGTCCTCCTCTTCAATCTCCTCATCAGCGTCGACAATCCTCGCAGAAGTCGCCCTCTTCTTCCGCATCTCCTCCAGTTCTTCTGTGATGGTCTTCACTGTCCTCCGCACCTCCTCCACTACAGGAAACCATATATCAAGCGCCTCCTGATACTCCTTATCATGATCATGAATCCTTCCCTTATTGAACTTTGCCGTAACGAGTGCCAGTTCATCCGACGCCACCAACCTTGTCGCCTGCTCCACCATCACTTCCAAAACCTCCTTGATCGACCTCAACTGTCCACCACCAAGCCTGTTCACATTCGCTCGACCCAATTGCATATGACAACACGTCTGTCTCAGTCGAAACAACCACTCCTGCATCTTCTTCGCAGCAACCTCCGGATCCCAATGCGTCGAAGTCGGGTCTCCCAACTCATTAAACCCAGCCTCGTCAAGAAACTCCTTAAACAGCATCGAGTAATTATGCTCTTCAACAGGCGTAAGATCAACCGACAAAACGACCCTCCGCTGAACAGGTAACTCCAACTCCGAACCGACAGAATCCTTCGTATGTCGACACGCAATCCCAAAAATGGACATGAAATCCGGTCCACAATTCGGGCGGTGAACGAACGCGTTCCAGGCAGGCGGATTCTGGTTGAAGGGGTAATACCGCAAGAAGGTCAATAACCCTAGCACGTCCGACGCAGAACTCCTCATCGGCGTTCCGCTGACCGCCCATGCGTTCACGCGTGGGATCATACATGCCATGCGAGACGCGTTTGTGCCTTTGTTCTCGACCATCTGGGACTCATCAAGACATACTCGCCACCACATCAGCTTCAGCAGTGGTGATTCCCCACGCTCCTTTGGTCGGCCGGGTCGTAAACTTCGCTGAGATGCTGGTGCAGCGAAGTGGATCTCGGTTTTCAACACGTCGTAGGTGGTTAGAACGACGTCGTAATCTAAAAGGTGTTCCGGCCTGATATACCCACCCAGCCGCTTTATGCCATCGTAGACGCCGATTTTTAGTGACGGCGCGTGTTTTTGGCACTCGCTTAACCATTGATTTAGAATTGAAGGAGGGGTGATGACCAAAGTTGCTTTGGTAGATGTAACAGTCGCGTCACTCCATACATCGTACACGCTCTCATTCGGCGTCGAACAACACTGATGCAGTAGAATCAGAGAAATAATCTCCAATGTCTTTCCCAGTCCCATTTCCTCCGCCAGCAGACCTCCCTTGAGAGGCGGATGTCCATCCCCCAAAACACTCTCATCCTTGCAAACCAAACCATATGGTCGGTTGACGAAGATCTTCTGTCCATTCGCATCCACCTCTTCCACCCACATCGGATGCAACCCAGACTTGGAATCATAGTCCACCAACTGATCTGATCCCTGCTGCATATCTTTACCTTCCCTCTGCAACATCCACATCGCCGCACGTCGCTGATACGGCAGCATTGTCGAGTCAAGTCTTGGATCTTGTAGCCGTGCATCATTTGGTGAAGGCTCTACCGGCGGTCTCGGTAGGTGTTCATAGAAGTACGGCGCCGAGATATCTTCCTCGTTGCCGCTTGGGTATATGTAATCGATTAGCTTCGCAAGCGCTGGTTCCAGTGTCGGCGTGAATCCCGGCCATAGCCCACTTCCCATTAGCAGCGTCGATACCTCCACCACAACTGTCGCACGCCATGTATCGTCTTCAGTTCGATTGAAGCGAAGGGTTGCCGACGTGTGAAACTGCTTCTGAACGTTGCTTTGAGCACGGGGTCGGGCGGTTCGCATGGCTTTCTGCAAATCAGAGAAGAGGCCGATGAATCGAGGTAGGTGTTCGAATTGCGCATCGCCTTCGGATATAGATCCATCACTGCAGACGAATGCAAAGTACTGGTTAGCTGCGTCGTTGCTGATCCACAGCACCTCGTCCCCCATACTCAACCGTACAGAGAGGTCCTTCGTGAGATCCACATCATGAGTGCCACCAACAGCGCCGCCCAGATCCGTATTAAACTCGAACTCCAGTTGCACCCTTACGAGAGGTATCCAGTCATCGCCCTCTTCCTTAGACACGCGCAATCGCTTCGCGGGTCGTTCGCCTCCCTCCTCATGATCCAACTCTGCGCCGCGGAGGCGATCGAACAGTTGCGGGTCAACGAAGGTCTCCTGGTCCTTGCCAAAGACAACCGTCATCAACCTGTTCATTGGCATTGCCACAGCGCCCTCCTAAACAGATGAAGGACCGTTCGGCCTTGTCGCAGCTTTTTGGCGACTTCGGCCTTATCGCCGTCAGGTCCGAGCGTACGCGTCTGAGATGCAGGATGAAGCAGCCAACGCAACCTTAATATGGGCAGCCGGAGCAGGATGTCTTGCGGTCAATGGAGTCAGTGTCGGCCACCTAATCATAAGTTCCTTCCCTCGCCAAACGTGCAGGTGAGTCCTGGGCCCGCTATGGTCACCTATGGCCAAGTTGGCCGAGCGTAATTAGAAAAGAGCGACAGGAAGGAACAGACGACATCGACGAACTTGAACTTTCAATTGTAAGAAAACAAACGTAAAGATTAGCCAAACGGACTGCTCCAGTATGCCCCGATCTTAACCCTATGACCCCGTTATATCCCCACGCTCATGTATAAATACGTGCACTCCAAACGAACGCACAAGACCTCGATATCGTACACTCCATATCTTCCCTCTCCCTTCTCCCTAAACTTTCGACTTCAACAATCTTTGAAAATATCTTACACCAACCAAACCATCAACTCCTCCTCCGACCTCTCCGTGGCCTCCTCGAAAGTCGGCGGCGGACCGTTCTCCTCAATAGCGCGCTCCTCCTCTTGTTCGGAGACATACGAGCTAATACTCCTCAACGAACTCCTTCGACTCGGCGGGGCCCGTCCAGCGGGTCTTCCCCTTCCTGTGCCATCTCCTTCCGTGGGCGACATCGTGCGTGACCCGAAACCATGACCATTGCGTTCAAGGGAGTGCGAACGAGAGGGCGGAGCGGTGGATGCGGGAGACTGCATCCGACTCTCCCTCTCCGCCTCCTCCCGTTTCGATAGGATAGGGACAGAGTTAACCGATGAAGCTCGGGATCCCGTCTCCTCCGAATTATACTCCGGCGTCATATACCCCGGCAACTCCAACAACTCCTCTCCAATACTCCTCTGAAACACCTTCACTCCCAACTCCCTCACCACCTTCTTCTTTAACCACCCACTCCTCGCAACCTCAATCCTCAACGAATGCGTGACTCTAACATGCACACCCTGCGTAACACGGCCATGGACGCGATGATCCGGGATCGGAAGTTGTGCGAGGATTGGTTTCGTTGTGGTCGTGGAGACTGCGAAGGGGGGGAGTTCGGCGGTGGCAACGGCGTAGGTGTCGAAGACATAGGGGATGCGGTTGACGAGGTAGGAGACTGTTTGGAGTAGGGAGACGGTGGTGTGGGTGATGTCCGGGGCGTCGCCTTTCATGTCTGCGTCGGTCTTGAGCTTTAGGGTTAGTTTGACGGGGAAGACGCAGCCGGGGCCTTTGTAGGCATGTAGAGGGTATTTGACGTCGATTTCCCAACGGCTGCTTCCCAGTGGGAGTATACTATGCCCATCCATCGGCGGGAGTACTCCGAACTGGAGTGGATTCCGTGGTGCTGATAGTGAACCCACTGACATAGGATTGATGACCTCAAGCCACGTCATTGGATCCGACATCCTCCCCAGTTTGGTCACACCTTCCAGACTCACTTTCAAGAAATACTTGATACTACCCGACCCCGTCTCGATTGTACGTGGTGACGCAGGCGGCAAGTCCTCCAGCATGTCGAACACGTACGGGTGCCCAGCAATCAGGACAGGATTCGTCGGAGTAGATCGCCAGAGCACCCATCTCAGATGTGATATCTTCTCTCGATGAACATCCGACAAAACCCCCATTCCAGTCTCCTGTCGTGCATTCAGTTTGATTAAGCCGTAGAACTCGGCCGTGAGCTGTTGCGCGTGAACGGGTGCTGTAAGGCTGAAGTTGACTCTGTTTGCTCGTTAGTGCCATCAAATGAGAAAAGCTGACCAAAAAGCGAACCTCGACTTGATAACGACGCGATGTGCAATCCTAGGATCCGGCGGTGCAGTCCCATCACTACGTTGTCGCAGCGTATCGGCAATTGCCGTATGTAGGTGGAAGCGGTCTGGCGAAACGTCCATGATGCTTCCTCCTTCGTCGTCTCCTATACGTCTCAATCAAACAATGGTATATCCTGGTGTCCTGTTCCAAGGTTCTTGTTGGTATACGAGCTTCAGTCGCGCTTTCTCCACAATCCGGAATTCCCGCCCGCTAATTGCACCTTGTTCGATATGGGCCCTTTTAGCTAGCTGGAGACGGTTGTGTACATGTGGCGCCGGTCAATTACGAAGCAAATCAGGCCTCGATGGGTCTGACAAATCCTGTCAATTTACTCAAATGAACGGGAATGTGCCTTGAGATTGGGTGGAGGGAAGGTCTGGTTGACAGCCGGGTGGACTCCGGAAGACCTGTGTGACCTGTGTGGCAGACAGCTGTGGGTACACACCATTGTTTGATCAATTGCAGTCTCTCTGCCTGCTATTTACATCCATACATTCTGGCCTTGAATAATTTCCCCTTCCGCTTATGCTTATGCATCAGAACCTTGGAGATGAACCCGAGGCTTCCAGGCGTAACCTGTCAACTGGTCTCTCGGAGCAGCTTCCTTCCTGACATCATAACGGCGGCAGGGGCCGGGCCGAATATGTGTCCTCGGACGCTGAAGACGTAGACGGAACTTCGTAGCATATACACCTCTCATGTGCATACACGTGAACAGAATCCCGGTTCACCATTGCCGTGTGCGTCTCACTCCCACGTCTTCCTCAACCCCAGACCCGAACTCTTCTCCTTCTTAACCCCACCCTTCTTCTTCTGCTTCCTAACCTCCTCCCTACTAACCGCATCCTCAAACCTAACCTTCACAACCGTCGCCTCACATTCCTTGTCCTCCCGTCCCGGCTGCCGAAAATGCAACGCAGCCCACGGGGGATGATCCCTCTCCAGCCTCAAGATATGCTTCTCCACAGCTCCTATCCGGCCCTCCAGCGTTGCGGGCGGACGCGGAGCGTAGGTTATGTTGAGGTGTTGTTCGATATTTGTGATACGCTCGTTATGGGCAGATTCGAGGTAGGCTTTGGGTGTTTGAGGGAGAATTGCGGCTTTTGCATCGTGTCGGATTGTTGTACCGGAGCCGATGAAGGTACTACGTTCGAGAGGGCCGCTGGCGTAGCGGATGAGATCGTATTGCATTTGGATGGAGCGATCGATTTGGATTGCGGAGGTGCGGGCGGCGGATTCGTCTTCGTTGGTGGGATCGGCGACGGCTTTTCGTTTACGGAGGTATTCGTTCTGGTTACTTTCGTCGATTCGTTCTCGTTTTTCTCGGATGAGAGCTTTCATGTCTTTCTTTGCCTGTAGCTCGCTGATCAGCATTCATTCGAACAGCTGCCAGTGACCCACTTTCGCAACTGCATTGACAGCCTCTTCTTCGAGAGCTTCAAGAGCGTGCCCAGAACCCTCTGTATTAGACAGCATAAGCTGCTCCGATAGGTCCAATACCTTTCCCGCAACGAGTTCCTCTTGAGCCGGAGAGAAGAGCGTCAGGTCCAGCTCCAGTCCAGCCAACGTCTCCTGCAACCCCAGCTCCTCACAAAACGTGATCAATGCCTTGAACCACGGTACGGGTCGTTGCTCCTCCGTCTTTGTATCCTCTCTGTCCATTGTTGGCAGATCTTCGACTGAAATCCTTCTGGTCACCGTATCTCCTTATCGGTACTTATCCGGACCCGTCCCTACTGTGCCACACCAAGCCGCACCCAAATATTTTCCCAGACAGGGTAACACAAATACAAACCTTCCGATCCTCCCGTCATCCCAATCATGGCCAAAACACCCAGAGAACACAAGAGGAAGCGCGAAGAGTCCTCGGCTCCTGCCGCTGCTGTTGAAGCCAGTGCGAATGCTGCTTCGGCGCCTACTGCTGATGCGCCCATCGCTGAACATTTCGGAATGAACCCTGCGCGAATGGCATTCCTGAATGCCGGCGAAGAGCCCGAGCTTGGTTATGGCGGTGGTCGTGGCGAGCGTGGAGGCCGTGGTGGTCGTGGTGGACGCGGTGGTCGTGGTGGTCGTGGTGGACGTGGAGGCTTCCAGCCTGGATCATGGCGTGAGGAGCGCCTACCCCAGGCTCAGACCGAGCTAATCGGTGGTAATAAGATCGTGTTCGACGAGAACACTATTGGGGACCAGGTTGAGGCTTTGGTGAAGGCCGAGGAGCCGAAGGAGAAAAAGGAGAAGAAGAGGGACAAGAGAGATGGGAAAGAGAAGAAGGAGAAGGCTGCTGATGAGGATGAGCCCAAGGCGAAGAAGGTCAAGACTTCAAAGACTGAGGACGAGACCAAGGAGAAGAAGCCTAAGAAGGGTAAAAAAGAGAAGGACGAGGAGAAAGCTAAGGCTAAGGCCGAGAAGGAAGCGAAGGCTGCCAAGAAAGCCGAGAAAGCCGAGAAAGCCGAGAAGAAGGCTATTAAGGCCGCGAAGTCTGAGAACCGAAGACTGAAACACGAGGCGAAATCCGAGAAGGCGAAGGAGGAGACGGATGCTCAGGCTGAGGTTAATGGCGAGGAGATTAAGCCCTCGAAGAAGGAAAAGAAGGAGGCGAAGGTGAAGGAGAAGAAAGAGAAGAAGGACAAGAAAGACAAGAGCGTCAAGAAGGAAAAGAAAGAGAAGAAGGAGGCCCCCGCAGACCCCGAATCCACCTCCACCTCCGAAACCCAACCAACAGACGAAAACTCCACCAACTGGGCCGCAGCCGACCTCAACGGCGACGACGCTCGCAAGAACAAATTCCTCCGTCTCATGGGCGCGGCGAAGGCTGGTAACGCTACCTCGGGTGGTGGAAAACTCGAGGATTCAGAGCAGAAGAGGAAGAGGGAGCAGGAGCTTGAGAAGCAGTTTCAGGCGGGATTGGAGATGCAGAATATGAGGATGATGGGCGGAGGCGCGAAACGTGGGTTGGGTGCATAGAGGGGAGGAAAAGGAAAGAAAGGGAGAGAAAGGATTGCATCAACTATAGATCATACGTACACCCAGTACAGAATCGTACATGCATTTTACTACATCTGCTACATCCATCCCATCTTGATATAAGGTCTTGGCTTCGTCAAATGTGGTATTCCTCTGCCGTTGGTTCGAAAAGTATGTACGGCCGTATGAGGTCAGTGCAGGTGGTGCAGGTGCCCATGGTATGGGGAAGTTGGGGGGGGGGGGGTGCGGAAATCGTGGGAGATGAAGCGAAGGGCCAAAGCTTCCACACCGCAATTCGCCCCAACCCCCAACCCCCAACCCCCAGCATGCCCAAATTCCGATACTCAGGCATCCAGCTCGACGTACTACACCTCTACCGAGCATGTTTCCGCGCCGTGCGATCAAAACCTGTGGTACGTTCCCCCACTCCTCGAACGCCCGACATTCGTTGAGCGGGGAGTTAACTGTGGGTGGATTGGATGTAGGATGCACAACCACACTTCAAACATTTCATCAGGTTCGAATGCTGGCATCGCGAGTTACCTACATGCTTGGTAATACTAACGCGGGCGTTCGAACAGGTCCGAGTTTCAGAAAAACATGGGGTTAAGCAAGAAGGATTTCAGCACGGTTGAGTTTTTGGTGAGGAAGGGGAATCGGCAGTTGGAGATGTATAGAAACCCGGGGATTAAGGATATTCGATAGTGTTGGAACGGGGGAAAGCGCCGCACAGTAAGCGACTAAGACGTTCGGTCTCCGGTCGGCAGAGGGCCTGTGAACGGTCAGCACAAGCTCGGGCGAGAGCTTCAGAGCCACGGATTACAGGGAAGGAAAGAAAAAAGGACTGCTATACGATATCTGCATGTACGTTCAGAAGCAGAAGTGAAAGGGAGTACGTCGAAACTGCTACCACCACAAGGATAGTGGTACGGGCAGGCATGGCAGGACCAGCAGCATGGTAGCACCAGCATACAAAGGTCCAATACACGTCGTATTGCTATACACGTCGTCCCTTCGACCTCCTCAGCTAAATAATACCCATGCAAATCATATATGTATGCATGATGGGCTCCTCACGACGGCACAATAAAGCATTGTGTCCGCACATTCAGAAAATCCCAGAGCGTCCTGGTAGCCATAGAAGGATACCGATCGTCAGATATTAGTGTTGTCGTCCTTCCCCCACCCATTTTTCTCTTCCTTCTTTCAGCAACACCGCCTCCCCTATATGTTGTTATTTTTCACCGCTAACCGGTCTCGGAGTTCATTTAGAGGAGCGTCTCGCCGAGAGCGCAGCGAGCCAAGGACAAACCAGCATGAACAGTAGCCTGGACCTCCTGCTCACTCGCACCAAGGACAGGGTTGACCTCCATCAAATCCATCGCAACAAGCTTTCCAGTCTCATGGAGCGCCTCACAGATATACATCCCCTCACGCCACGTCAACCCCCCACGAACAGGGGTTCCAGTAGCAGGCGCAACAGCAGGATCCATCGCATCAACATCGAAACTCAAATGAATCGGGCGTTGCAAGCCGGGGTTAATCCTCTCCAACGCCATCTCGACAACACGACCGATTCCGTATTTGTCGACGTGGTGCATGGTGTACGCACACACATTGTTCTCACGCAAAATCTGCTTCTCGACGGGGTCGAGGTCGCGGAGGCCGATGTATGCGATGCGCTCGAAGGGAAGGCATTTGGGGACCCAGGAGAAGACGTCAGGACAGGGCTCTGCGGCACCGGTGACGAAGGAAAGGGGGCAGCCGTGGATGTTGCCGGAGGGGGTGGAGTGGGGGGTGTTGATGTCCTGAACCACCAGTATCAGTCAGCATACATCCCAGGAAAAGGGGGGTTAGGAAGAGACGTACCGCATGAGCGTCGACCCAGACGAGACAAGCGTCAGGGTAAGCGGCCATGACACCAGAGACAGTACCAATAGCCAAAGAGTGGTCACCACCAACAGTCAAAGGGAACTCCCCCCTCTTACAGTGCTTCTCGACAACACCAGAAACAGCCTTCGTGACAGCCGAGACATAGCGCGGATTCTTCAATCTCCCGACATCAGGGTCCTCATTCGCAGCAGGCTTGAGCTGCTCGAATTGCTGGTGGCCCTCGAAGGTGACGTCCCATCCGAGCTGTACGCTTCAACGTTAGTATTCGACGGCATATATGCGTGCAACACCGGGGGAAAGCGCACCTCCTTGACCTGGTCGATAAGACCGGCGTTGATCATGTGCTCGGGACCAAAGTCGACACCACCGCGAGCTTGTCCTCCCGAGAAGGGACATCCAACAATAGCGACACGCTTCTCCTTCAAGGCAGACTGGGGGTTGCAAGGGAACATCGTAAACAAAGTCTATAGACCAATTGACCAACACAGAGAAGGTCTAGGGGGTGAATGCTGTTTGCCCTCCAGTTATGGGACTTCGAGCCTCTTATGGATTTCAGTCGGTCACGGCTGTTTTTCGGCTAGAGACCCGAGCGCGTGTCGAACGCTTGTCGAAGTGCCTCGAACCCCTGGGTGCCTGCGTGTGTGCGCGAAAGGCCGTCGGAGATGCCCGGACCTGCATTTATCAGATCAAGGAGATAATCTGTTGACATGGGGGAGGCTGACCGTTGCGCTTCCTTACCCGCGCACTTTCCCACGCAGCCCCAAAGTTATGCCGACACCCAGGCTCACCACGCCACTTGACTTTTTTGACCACTCAGGGTCTCGCAGTCCGGTCCGTTACGTGGGCCCTCTCCCAGCTCCCCTGACGCCAGGTGCCTGCGCGCGAACCAGGCACCGACTCCGAGCACACGCTGCAACACGCGACAAGTCGTTTACTAAATGCGGCATCCAAACCCAGAAAATCATCGCCTGATGTCAAGGCAACACAAACACCCCCGTTTACGTACGCACGTCAGCCTTTCGTCATGCATGCGCTTTTGACCAGAAGGGACAGTCCGATCCAAAGTTTGCGTCCCGTCTAAGTGTGTGATCAACTCCATCAACACAGTCTAAGGCAAAGTTAATCTACTCGTACCCGTGCGATGGCGACGGCCCGTGCGTGAGAGAGATATCGATCTCCTGTGGGTCTCCCCCGAGGGCTTGCTCGGTCCTCCTCAGCCGTACGCGTCCTTCCCCGAGAAAGAAGAGTCCGGACCGTGACACCTGTAGCTATTCCCATACACGTGCAGCCTCCCACAAATCCCACCCAAAAAACAAGCTTCTATTATTAGGATTTTGGTGTACAGCTGGTTGGTTTAGCTGGCGTCTAGAGTTTGCCGCCTCGGGCAAGTTACATATAACGCGCGCTCCAAACACGTAAGCGGTAAGCGTGCTCTCTCCCAGCTGTGCTCCACCGCACAACCATAAAGATCGTGATCAACCCCGAGAGCCAACACACCTCTCCTCTTCCCTTCCTTCCCGCTTGATTGTCTTCTGATCACCGATTGAACATCATGTGGTGAGTTCTGGTAGTCGTTGCTTTCGTTGTACGGTCCGGCTAACGATGGGGACAGTGGTATTTTCGGTTACTTGAATTATTTGGTGGAGAAGCAGCGAGGAGAGATTATCGATATTCTCGTGTCCGGTATGTTCACAATCAAGATCCTTTCTGTCTACATCTCGCTAATTGTCTGCTACAGGTCTCCAGCGCTTGGAGTACCGTGGTTACGACTCTGCCGGTCTCGCTGTCGACGGTGACGCTCAGGATGAGACCTTTATCTTCAAGGAGGTTGGCAAGGTCTCCGCACTGAGGAAGATGATCGAGGAGGAGGGCAAGCCCAACACCTCCAAGACTTTCTTCTCTCACGTCGGTATTGCTCACACCCGTTGGGCCACCCACGGTCAGCCTTCCCGCGTCAACTGCCACCCTCACCGATCCGACCCCTCTAACGAGTTCGTCATTGTCCACAACGGTATCGTCACCAACTACCGCGAAATCAAGGCCGTCTTGCAGAACAAGGGTTTCACCTTCGAGTCCGACACTGATACCGAGGTCGTTGCTAAGTTGACCAAGTACGTCTGGGAATCTACTGGCAAGAAGCTCGACTTCACCCAATTGGCCAAGTTGGTTGTTAAGGAGCTCGAGGGTGCTTTTGCTTTGTTGTTCAAGTCTATTCACTTCCCTAACGAGGTTGTCGCTACCCGTAAGGGATCTCCTCTCGTCATTGGTGTCAAGACCAAGAAGAAGCTCAAGGTTGACTTTGTTGATGTTGAGTTCGGTCAGGCTCCCGATGGTCCTACCGAGTCTTCCATCTTGGCTCCTGACAGGCGCATGTCTACTTTGACTGTCCCTGCTTCCCTCCAGGGTCGCCCCGCTCTTCACACCTCCCAATCTCGTGCTTTCTTGTCTGACGAGGGTCAGCCCATGCCTACCGAGTTCTTCTTCTCCTCTGACCCCTCCGCCGTCGTCGAGCACACCAAGCGTGTCCTCTACCTCGAGGACGACGACATCGCTCACATCGCCGAGGGTGAGCTCCACATCCACCGTCTCCGCAAGGAGGGTGAGGCCGGTGTCTCCGCCGTCCGTGCCATTCAGACTCTCGAGATGGAAATCTCTCAGATGATGAAGGGTAACTTTGACCACTTCATGCAGAAGGAAATTTTCGAGCAGCCCGAGTCCGTTATCAACACCATGCGTGGACGTATCGACTTTGACAAGCACGTCGTTCGTCTTGGTGGTCTTGCGGCTTACATGTCCACTATCCGCCGCTGCCGTCGTATCATCTTCATTGCTTGTGGTACTTCTTACCACTCTTGCTTGGCCACCCGTGCCATCTTCGAGGAGTTATCTGAGATCCCTATCTCTGTCGAGCTGGCCTCTGACTTCTTGGATCGCCGATCCCCCGTCTTCCGTGACGACACCTGTGTGTTTGTTTCTCAGTCTGGCGAGACCGCCGACTCAATCTTGGCTCTCCGATACTGTTTGGAGCGTGGTGCCCTTACTGTCGGTGTTGTCAACACTGTCGGCTCTACTATCTCTCGTGAGACTCACTGTGGTGTTCACTTGAACGCCGGTCCCGAGATCGGTGTTGCCTCTACCAAGGCTTACACTTCCCAATATATCGCGCTCCTCATGTTCGCTTTGGTCTTGTCTGAGGACCGTTTGTCCCAGTACCAGCGTCGTGTTGAGATCATTGATGGTCTTTACGACATCTCCAGGCACATCAAGTCTGTCTTGACCAAGGACACGGAGATCAAGAACCTCTGTGCTTCCGTCCTTCACGGCGAGAAGTCTCTCTTGTTGTTGGGTCGTGGTTACCAGCACGCTACCGCCCTCGAGGGTTCCTTGAAGATTAAGGAGATTTCTTACATGCACTCTGAGGGTATCCTGGCTGGTGAGTTGAAGCACGGTGTTCTTGCTCTTGTTGACGAGAACATGCCCATCATCCTCATCATCACCAAGGACTCTTTCTACCCCAAGGTCCAGAGCGCGTTGCAGCAGGTTACTTCCCGTAAGGGCCGCCCAATTATCATCTGCAACGACAATGACGACGAGGTGATCAACTCCGCATACAAGTCCATCCAGGTGCCTCACACCGTCGACTGTTTGCAGGGTCTCTTGACCATCATTCCTCTGCAATTGATCTCCTACTGGTTGGCGACGATGAACGGTGTCGATGTTGACTTCCCCAGAAACTTGGCCAAGTCTGTGACTGTTGAGTAGACGAGCATCTGGACTGTATCATAGTTTCTTCTTTATATCTGGGTTCTTAACGTGTTTTGGCTTGTATGTTGTTCTATCATTCTAATAATATTCTTCGAAGACAGTTGTCATGCCCCGCTTCTTGTCCAGGGACGTGTAGGCCCGTGACGACCGGCTTCCGTCCCGCTTCCCAACGTTATGTACAACCCATTTGCAAAGCTTAGCTCGGGAGATGTCGACTCTACCTTTGATCTCTACGTGTATGACGTCGCGATCGCTGTAAGCGGGCCATGGTCAACAGCAATGGACCGTCGCCACATCGGAAGAAGCGGAGCATAGAATGGGAAAACGCGTTCAAGCTTACAATACTACTAACCCTGAACGCTCCGTCATCATCCTTGATTATTCTGACTGGTTCGCAGGTCAGGTGCTGCGCCACGCTCTCGCTCTGCACAGCCCACCCCAGGCAAGCAAACTTAACCACCTTCACCGCCTCAGCACTCGCCCACTTCACTCGCCAGCCCGCCTGCTCAACCACCTCCACTGTGAGGCTGAACAACCCGTACGAGCCTACCGTGACCGCATATACGCAAAAGCGAACCGTGCGACAATAAACTCAATCCGATTACGCATTCTCCTTAGGACATCGACAACTCGCGTGTTGACCCTTTCCGCGTCCCAGCGGCCTCGCTTCGTGCTCTGACGACGTTCTGAAGCGCGTCAAATCAAGCTCACAACCCCAGCTCACCGCGTATTTCGACACCTTTCGGCTATCTTTTGACAAGGAGCTGGATCCTTTATAGGAATCTTTCGTTGCGCGTCATCGTCTACCCAGTTGTTCCCTCGGATCGGTGAACTACAGCGGCCTTACGGGGAGGTCAGCATCTGAGGTGACACTCGGCATTCTCCCATAACGCAAGTTCTAGTCGTGGTATGACATCGACTTCTCCACAATCTTCTCCGGTCAAGTCTTTTTCAAACGCTCCGATCCTCCCTCCACCATCGTCACTTACATCTTTATCCGATTCTTACGAAACCCGTGAGAACAACCTCAAACTCCCACCTATCCCGGATTCATTCAAGACACGACCACTCACCTTGAGCAACATCACGTCGTCTTTTTTGCCACCTAATACTATCGCTGCACCTTCTACTTCATCAAAGGTAGAGCACCCGCAGACTTCGCCTGTTCAGAGTCAAGCTTTGATGTACCCTATGTCCTACCAACACGAGGCACCACCTTCCGGAGCCGGTTTCGCAGTCTCCTCCGAGCGTCACTCTGTTGGTGTGAACCCGCCCAAGGCCGATGAGCAGGGCGGGCAATCTGTCCAAGGCCAGGGTCAAGAACAGCAACCTCAGCAACAACAAGAGCAGACTTCCGCTGCTCAACAACAACCGCCTCAGCAGCCGGGTACGCCAGTGCAGGCGCAGCCTGTTGCACAACCTGTTCGCATTGCTCATCATGGTCACCAGGGTCAACACGTACCGTGGGGAAGTTCGGCTTACCCGCCACACCAGGCGCACCAGTACGATCCGACGCACCAGCCACAAGCTTCACATGTCCAAGGTCAGTTAGGCCAGCATCAATACGGTGGTCCTAGAGATTTGTCTCAGCAGCAGACTGCTGTCCCAGCTACTCCGCAGCTGCTTTCTAGTGGTGCAGTGGCCAATCAGTTTGCTGCTCAGCTCCAGCATCAAGCGCCTGGTCTCCATGCCGCTGCGCTCGCTTCGCCAGGTACACCTGGTACCCCCGGCGTAGGACCCGCGAAGCATACATGCCCGACATGTAACCAATCCTTCACCCGCCATCACAACCTAAAATCCCACCTCCTCACCCACTCCCAAGAAAAACCGTTCAGGTGCCAAACCTGCGGCCACACCTTCCGCCGTCTCCACGACCTCAAGCGTCACAGCAAACTCCACACAGGCGAGAAGCCATACGTCTGTCCGACATGTAACCGTGGGTTCGCGCGTATGGACGCGTTGTCCAGACATTTGAAGTCTGGGTCGGGCGAGTGTAATCAGGCTGCTGCGCTCGCGCAAGGTGGTGCGAATCCACAGAGGCATAATAGTATGCCGTTGCCGGCTACGCATCCTTTGTTGCAGGCTTCGACGAATCATAATCAGACGTATCCGCCTCCGCCTCATGCGGCTGCTTTGGCTGCTGCGGTTGCACAGGCGGCTACGGGTGCGTCGCCGCCGCCGATGCAGCATGCTCAACCACAGTTGCATGGACACCAGAATTATGCACGTCAGTTCGCCGGTACGGCGGGATTTGGTCCCTTGGTTGATTCCCCTCGCGCGGTGGATAGTCCGCCTGGGTATCAACGCCAGAGCTCGAATGCATCTGCCAACTACTTCACCACCTCTCAACCCGTCCCACAACTCGTCGGACAGGAAACGGATTTTAGTGGCGTGGGCGTCGGTGTCGGCGCACATGTCACGCTCGAGAGTCCTGAGGTGGTCGCGTTGAGGGAGAAGTGTAAGGCGCTTGAGGATCAACTCCGGTATTTCCAGTCTGTGAATCCCAAGGGAGAGGAGCAGGGCCATGAGCAAGGTGGAGAACATGATGGGCATGCGCATGATCAGGATACGGTCGACGAGACTGATCAGAAAGTCGCGGAGGCGTTGAGTGGGGCTGTTTCTATTGCTGGTGTTAAGCGTGCAAGGTCGCCGGGTGATGTTGGGGGTAAGGATGTTCATGAGGGGCATGGTGTTGAGCATCATCAGCACCAACACCAACACCAGCATCAGCACCATAATCATGTTGATGAGCATCATGCGGAGGGCGTCGAGGGTGTTCATGATTTGGCGAAGGTTGAGGTATAAGGGGTTGGGGACCCGGTCGAGGATGAAGGACGACAAAATGGAAATGGGAACTTGGGGGTGTCGTGGTGTTTTTGCCGTTTTCTTACGTTTCTTGCGTTTAGCAGAGTCATGACTTTTCGCGTGCGCTTTGTTTTTTGTTCTTGGTTATGGTTATATGCTTTTTATTTTATCACTATGGGTTGTGTGTGTGGAACATGTTTCTTGCCATATGCGTACGACGTTTGTTTCTCTGCATCTTATACTTGCTATCTTATCATCTTTGTGCACATAACGTACCGTATCATGTCACAATCATCTTGCTCATCTTGCTACCTTAACATGCCTATGTATATCTTTCTCCATGTATATCGTACAACGCCCGGTCTTCTTCAAAGCCAGGCGTAAAGCATGTAATGCATGCTTACGCTTCACGTCTCCTTCCTCCCACCGCTCTCAACGGGCTTCTCAGCGGTCCTATAAAAATCTCATCAGTCTCTGAACCCAGTGGGCTTCGGAACGTCTTTACCTCGTGACATTCGCCATGCGCTTGCCATCGTGGGTGGAAGGCGAGCTCATCTGAGCATTGTACTTCGCTTCACACTCCTCGAGGAAAGACTTTGAACGGTTCGGGTCGACGTCATGAGAGGCCGGGTTGGCGTAGAAGGCCTCCCAGTTGGTGATTGTGGGCATAGTAGCGAACGCGCGAACTCCGACAGCAGCGGGACCCGTGGAGCGGGCGAGGCGAGTAAGTGCGAACATGGTCGTTAATGGTTGTTGGGTTGTCAAAGAGGTTAGTTTGAGGGAGAGAGATGGCGGATCCGGGGAACCTTTTCAAGGTTTGAGTGAGTGCGGGGGATTGTCATGTGAATCCTCATGCTGACGTCAGAGTCGAGTTTCAGTCGCCTCCTTCGAAGAATCTGCAGAGAAGCGAAATCGTAGGGAATCTTCGCATGTTTGGATGTGACTGGATTGTATGAGGGGTTCGAAGATCGGTCTTGTCCTCTCGATGTGTGGGATCGTGGTCGAGGTCGACATCCTTGAAATAACGACAGACATGGCCAAGTGGAGGAGCTCAGAATGATCGAAATGTAGAAGAGAAAAGACATCAATTCCATAAAGCTACAGAGAACGTTGATTGTCATGCAACTGTCTTCTCCAACAACAGACCCACAGCGATGCCAAAAAGTGAAGAAGCAAAAAACGCCATACCATGACCCATTCCATCTAAGATGAAAAAAAGTTGTAAAGATCGTACAAGGGGATATCAGGTATAAAGCATCATATCGTCAACTCATCTCCATCAAATGTTCTTTCGTTTTCGTCGTTTATGGTTCGTTCATCGTAGGTTCGTCTTCGCGAGGGGGGAGGAAATTCTGGCGTTCCATGACGTGGTCGACGTCGTCCACCGTGCCGTTGACACCATTGCCAATGTGCTTGGTGGCGGACACAGACGAGCACCTTTGACGCTTCGAACGATGCTTCTTCACCGATACAGTCGGAGGACTAACCGACTCGTTCGTCACATGCGAACCCGTATCCTCCCCACTCACCCCAGCTCCAGCGCCCACTCCAGGACCTCCTCCCACCAGACGTTTCGGAAACAGCGTGATGGGCGGATACACAGGGTACCCAACACCCCCACCACGCGTCCTCCCACAAGCCCTCATGGCCCCCTTCCTCGCAACCCTTCCCAAAACCTCCTCATCACTCCAACTCAACCTCCCACACCTAACAATCGCATCCCTAAACTCCCTCACCGTCCACCTCCTCTCGTACTCCGGCTCAAGCACATGATAAAGAATCTCACAAGTCTCGTCCGACAAACACGGTAGCATACTCTGCAAGAACGTGCGGTCATGGAGGTATTGGTGGTAAGGTGGCTGTGACGGGCACGCGTACGGCCAGGGGTTCCGACCGGTGAGGATGTTGATGAGGATTACGCCGAGGGACCATACGTCGTTTGAGTCGTTGGGGTAGGGTATGTCACCTCGGACGTTCTCGGGGGACATATAGAACGTCGAGCCGCAGCCGCGATCGGTGCTAACCTCCCTCGTTGTCGCGAGTCCGAAGTCGGCGATCTTGGCTGTGGCGCCGTTGTCGGTGATCAAAATGTTTTCTGATTTGAGATCACGGTGGTAGATCCCGCGGGTGTGCATGTATTCCACCGCATCCAACACCTGCAAGAACAACTCTTTCCTCACGTCGTCGGGAGCGGGATATCCCGTCCCCGCCGTCTGCGTAATCGCACGGAATAAATCTCCCTCGGTACACATTTCCATCACGGAATACGTAGCGTCCCCTGTCTCCAACACCTCATGCAACTTCACCACATTCGGATGAGCCGAACACCTGGCTTGAAGGGTGAGTTCACGGACCATGGACGTCTTGGATTGGTAGGGTCCGTTGTTGATGGAGTGTCCAAGGGCTTTGACAGCGAGGAATTCAGAGGTGCTGAGGTCTTGGGCGAGGTAAACAGTTCCGTAAGCGCCGATGCCGAGGATATCGAGGATGTCGAGGCGGGAGTCGATGACTCGGTTGATCAGGCTTTCGGGGTTGAATATGTGCATCATGTTCTGTGCTCGGGTGGACATCACCAAATTGAGAGACAAAGACGGTACTCGAGAGTGTGGTGAAGTCGTAAGAGTCGTGGCCTTTGCTTTTTGATGTCGAGGACAGCTGTTGCGGAGTAACGTTTCTTGCTTTTTGTAGCGTAACGGCAACAACGGCTGCAATAACTTTTTGGGCGTCTCACTCTGAAACGTGTCAGCGATGCCGAACGAACCGATGATGAATCAGTTGCAATTGGCGATGGCACTCGACAATTCAGATGGTGTTGTGGTACTGACGCGTGTGTCAAGCTGTCAAACTCCTTGCCGTATACTGTTTTTGGCAGGCGAACCGTTGACGTCCGATGTAAGAAGCTGGAAGGTATGTTGCTAAGGTGACCTCAGTGATAGTGATCCGTTGACGTACTCAAGCCTGTTCGTGTATCAAGACTATGGGATCCGTCTCAATTATTTCTTTTTTTTGGACGTAAGGTCTGAACTTTGTGGTGGAGAGACAGGATCCCATTGAGTCTTTATATCTTGAATGATCATATGAAGGGCCTTACCGGCCCGCCTCCGTACCGTGCGTGACACGCTGTGACCAGCGGCTCAGGGTCCCCGCCTGCAGCAGAAACTGCCGTACTCTCATATACCAAGGTTAACGTTTTTGTCATGCAATCGTTGAGACTACCAGTTGAAGGGGGTGACCACAAGGTACGTTGTTCCGAAACACGGGGTGTTCGACCGTCTCGTCCCAATTATGCAGATCATGATCAGCTGCGGGTCAAACTTGAGAGAGTCGTGACAGGGCCCAAACGCTCGATTCGTAATTCCCATTTCTGATCGAATCAAGGGATTAAGGGTTCGATCACAGAGTACGCTGGGATCGTACCCATCCCGAGAAAACGTGTTTGTCTTTTCAGGATGAAATTTAGACCGTTCATCTTCAACCCTTGCAAGCCTCAACTGAGCGGCTGAATGAAGTACTTGATTGCTTGTTATGCCGTGCGGGCATTGGAGGTGCGCGAGGCTGCATGCTCCAATACATAGGTAAGTATGCGACGCGGATTGGGGCAGGAGGTAAGGTTATCGAGTGGCAATTGGTATGGAGGGATGGGTTATGTCAAAATGATTTCGGTTTTTTCTTGCTATTAGTTGAAGTTTCTCTGCTGATGGATGTGGGAGGACGACGAGAGGGGAGTGGAGCTGGTTCGGGAGGCCTCCGGCGGCGCACCGGGCCTCTGGCGGCTTCCCCGGGCCGCTCGCTAGACCCAAGGTCAGTCAGGGGTTTCAATCCCGCCCAGTACGTAGTTCTTTTATGTATGCACAAGCACAAGCGTCGTGAGGAAAGGACCCGTGATGGATACACGGGGTGGCCTGGCCATAAGTCTATGGTTGGCACACGTTTCGTTTCTTAGCCACCTAACAACTAGTATTTGGGTACCTAGTTAGCCGTGCTGGATCGCCTTAGGGCAATGTTCGGCTTACAATACCACTACCACTACCACTACCACTACCACTACCTGCTTTCAACGTTGTAGTCCCGGAAGGAACTCCGTTGCATTGCCGTAGTCCCTTGTCGCAATTTTAAAGAAGTATGAGTTCGACTGGAGCTTCCTTCGAATTCGCGGCCGGAAAAAGGGTTTCCCCTTGCTGCGCTGGCGTTTTCATTTCATCTGTTAAGTATACCGCCACCGTTGGTCACGCATGTTACACGCATGTTACCACAAGGTTCGCATGTGAAGGACCCTGAGGTTGAGAGCATGACAAGGTTGGATAAAAGGTTAAGGCTAACGGTTAATAAACGAAAACGACGCTCGAACACCACGAGATCTTGCCCTGTTTAGTAACAGACCGTGACAGACCACGCCTTCATGCCTCAACTCGGCCCTCAAAACTCCGATCCCCACCCATCTCATTCACTAGAAAGTCGAAATAGTGATAACGGATCCCGTACCCGTGATTGATACATGAAGGTGTGTGTTGCTGGGTGGTTGGTCCTGACACACGATGAGTCTGATCGTGTGCTCGCGAGGAGGAAGGTTGTCGGCGTCCAGGGGTAACGTGGGGACTGGGGTGGTACCGGTGTAGGCATAGCGTGGTGCGTGTTTGACAATCTGCCGGAACAAGTTTTGCGATGGCGACAACGGCGAAGGCATTGTATATTGCCTGGCGTCAACTTCAATGCAGAAATACCGGTACCCACGCTCCCAAAACAAGAGGAGGGAGGAGTATCTGCCGGGATCAGCGTTTCGCCGACAGGTCTCTCGGTTGCGATGATTCCATTTGCTGTTATGTCTTCCTTAATACTAGCGGGTGATACATTTGTCGTGATCATATCATTCTTTGCAACCAATCAAGCAAGCATTCACAGCTTAAACTCCGGGAACGGAGGCATATTTATACAACCCTTCTCTGATCACGTCGTCTTTCTTTCCCGTTCCCTGCTACTCGTTATTGGCTTTCAACTTGGCACATGCCATACTGACCCGGAAAAGGCGGTTCTGTTTGTGAGGGTGCCTGGACCGCGAAATCGGTACTCGGGGCGCGGAGCATTGGGATACGTGTTGAGGCAAGCCCATGCGCATAAGGCGGAGATAAGACAGTAGAAGGGAGAGGGGGTAATTGGGGGTCTGAAGAGGTGCTGTGTCTTGGGGATGACTGTTCTGGAGGCCCAGTGGGTCTGGAGTTCAGTTTGTAGAGATGCCTGGGGAGCGGGGCACGGATTCGAAGAATCTCACGGCCTGCGGCAGGGGAGAAGAGAGGTGGGGATCGACTCAGCCAACGGCATTGCAGCTAAGGTAAAGAAGAATATAATGCAGAATATTGCGGCCTGTCACCGCATATCCTGACTTCGTAGACTCCAGCTCAGGTACCCTTTGGCTAGACCCTAGCGCACAGGTCGACGTCCTCGCTCGCCAAGCCTCCCAGGATAACTTCTGTAGATCTTGGCGTACGCATCAGGATTGAGGTCGTGCTGATCCCTCACACCTTCATGAGTTCCGTATAAGGTGCAGAGATAAGACAGCAAAGATAGAGGGGTTAATTGGGGGTCTGAGAATGTGCTATATCTCGAGCTCGGCCGGAATTACTGTTCTGAAGCCCCATTCTCTCATGCGTTCCGTATATGCTGCCTTTCTGAGTTTGACTGCATGCCCCCAGAACTCCACGGGGAGACTCTGATGTACCGATTCGATGGGCAGACACACAATGCAGGTGTCGATCGAGGTTGACTGCCCTAGAGTTGGACTTCCATGAGCAATATTTGTTGGGGTGATTCCAATACTTCTTTCACAAATGTCATTACCTATCGCTTTCGTAATCGTTCGAAAAGAATACCCGGAAACGCAATTGCTGGTGAGAAATGCGGGAGCTCGAGGGTGGAGTTTCGATGTAAAAGTTTTCGGATGTGTAACTGCAGCTGTCGCATTTCAAATACTCCCAACACCTATTTCGAGCCTTAACCTTTTAGTCCTCAACCTCGTGCACAAACGCGTGCACTTTTTCCTGTCATGACGCCGAACTCGCCGACGCGTACGAACTCGACGGTCGAAATATAGCAGAAGGATCCATCGGGTTTGGTGAGCCTCTGAGTGTATGCGTACTGGGATGATTCGTTCGAACACCGCCGTGTCCTTTAGAGAACATCGGGGGGTCACTTCGGGGTGTATGCTGCGGTGGAGTTGTGCGGACGCCCGTCGTTGTGATGGTGTTGGTTGGTGTTGTGCGGACTGTCGACTCTGTTCGTTCCGGTTCTGTGAGCGTGAGAGGTGGGATTCTCTGGATGAATGCTAGTCTGTCTGCTCGATACCGGGTGTAAGCAAAGCCGTTGAAGAAGAAGACTACTAGTGGTTGTAACCTACCCGCCTGACCGTGCTTGAATGACTGCTCGAAAGGGAACGTACACAGCTGATTCCGCGCATGGCAGAACGAACATTTATTCTCCCTAGCTGGGGAAGGGCCTGAACACTCGCGTTGATATCGCTGACAACGGAGACATTGGAGCTGTATGCTACTCATCAGCTTTGGCGGCAAAGGCGGATAACTGGAAATGGAGTCTCACGGTCTGGGAGGAGTCGAGGAGATGATTTGCCAAGCCTAGGGTGCCAACGGACGGAGGGGTGTGGTCGGTCTCGGTGCCCGGAAGAGCCAGATGTGGCCCGATCGGCTGTAGTACGTGGCTTATATCTCCCAAAGACCCAGGCATGTCGATACTCTTGATACAATGGAAGCTTGAGCAACCAGCATACACGGCTGGCAAAGAGGGAGACACAATGGGTATCAACAGCTGCTGCAGGTCTAAGAAAAAAAACAAAGGGGGGGGGG